AGGATTAAATTTTCTGAATTCGAAGACGAAAGAGACGACGCGACGGTGGATTATCCCGTGCTCGGACGAAACCGTTTTTGCTAATTAGGTCGTCCCCGACGATTGCGACGCGTTCCCCCCACCGAATTCCGAGTTTGATAAAAAGTCAATTTCGCAATTGGTGAATTCGCCGATGCCGCGCCTCTCACGTACATTCGCTCAAAGCACGCCTCGGAGATATGTTGAGGAATATGCGAAGACATTTATCCGAGAAGGAAAATATGGAATATCCGACAAGCCGAGAGAGGGATGGTAAAAAAGTCGTGTTTTCCTCGCGCGCCGCAATCTCTCTATCTCGTCCCGTTTTCGTTTTTGTCGCGTGATCGATGGTGACGTCGTTGCAAAAGTCATCTTTCGTTCACATTTTCCCGAACGTTTTCTCAAAGTTCTTACGCAGTTGCAAAATATTGAGGAGTATTGTGTTTGTTTTCAGTTTGTTTTTCTCTTCTCGACGAGAAGGAAATATTTTTGTCGCGGTAAAAAAGAAACATTTCCGGGTATTTCGAAGTAGAACGAGAAGAAAAGCACGATAAACGATAAAAGTTCTCACGATAAAAAAAAAAGAAAAAGAAACGATAAGGCACGATTGCAGGTTAATTCGCAGATGCATGTTAATTAGCGCTCCGCGGCCTCATCGTGCACGATCGTTTCGTGTCGACGGCAATTGTCCGCAACAAATCTTCTCGCGACGAAACCGCACGAGAGCCGCAGTTCAGAGGGAGAGAACACTCTCGTGAGACGCACTAACTTTCGTCCCTGTAATTCCCCGAGTTGATTATTCATCAAGATTTGCGCGCGTATGTGTACACGGCGTGCGTGTATGTACTTGCTGGTTTCACGATGTGTCCGCACGGTTTATTATCTTTCCAAGGTCTGACTCGCTCTTATCTGTTTGCGTGACAGATTTTAAATTTCTCCAAGACCATATACCGTTGTTGCAAACATTTCTCATCGTCCACGCGGACTATTTAACCCGCGCCGCATTTACGTGTTACGCCACAACTCGCGAGGAATTAATTTCGAGAGGAACGAACGAAAGGGGTTGCTCCAAGTTCTTCCCTCCACGACCAGAAGATCGAGCAGAGGCACGAAAGACGAAGAGAAAGGAGGGAAGGGGAAAAGCATGTATTCCTAATCAAAAAGAAAATCCTGCCATACCGCGTCTTCCACGAGAGAGAGAGAGACTATGAAACATTATTATCGTAAAGTAGTCTAACGTTTATGTGTCTATGTAATCCGTAAGTTCAATTATTCGCTATCCCGTTTAAGGAGCGCACGAGAGAGAGAGAGAGAGAGAGAGATGGAAAAAGAGGTGTGCGTGCGTGTGTGTGTGTGTGTGTGTGTGAGAGAGAGACGCATCGACGAGTGGAATTGAGAATGTGCCGAATGAGGGAAGCGCGTGCGACATTTCGTATACGTCAAAATCATAATCCGCTCGCGGCGGGAGATGGGCAATGCACGCACGTGTGTAACACACTTTTAACATTCTGTAATATATAACTCTTTTAGCGAGACACATTTAGGATAATCAGCCGGAGCGTGTCCGGACGGAGAAATTGCGGGGACGAGATTGAGATTTATCGCGCGACTCCGCTGTCGCACCATCGCGTCCTCCGTTACTATTATTAATTTTTATCGGCGCTCTCCGAACTTAAAAACGAAGCATTTTCCTTTATTTCATTCGACACGCATACTTTTGGGAGAGAAAGAGAGACAGAGATTGTGAGAGGAGAAGGAGCAGCCTGCGACGCGGAACACGCTCAAGACGTTTCGTAAACCACTGAGAGAAAAAGAAAGCAACTAACGCCGCGCACTCCACGAGAGATGGAAGACACACGGAGAGAGAAAGAGAGAGAGAGAGAGAGAACGTCCCTCTCCACCGTCAACGACGGATCCTCGCGATCGGGCGTCGTCGCATCGTGTGTCTGTAAAGCAACAAATGTACATACCTACATCGCACTAATTTAGTATTGCCACTAAGTATTACAACTAGTCACATAAGCCAAAAGTTTGTTACTCTCGCAGAAGTTTTCTTTTTTTCAGTTTTGTAAAATAAAGGAAGATGATAAAAACACCACAGAGGCACGTCCGTGTGTTCATCCTCGCCCCTCTCCCCGCGGAAGTCCCGCCGCCGAATGGAAACATCCGCGAGACGAAGACGGAGCTCGCGAATCGCGAATCGCTCCTTGAACAATTTCACCGCGTCCTCCCGCGTGTTCTCGCGCCTCTCTTCGTCCTTGTAAATTCTTGCCGACGGTGATGACGCACGCTGGAAGCCGTCGTCGCGTCGTTCTTCCGCACGCGACTTTGCAGCGGCATTTTTCGTTTCCACCTTTCCCGTCGCTTCCGCACGCGCACGGTGAATTGTTTATAACATCCGGCGGCACAATTTGGTATAATAAGCGGCCGATAATCATCTCTCGGTAGCGGAAGCGAATGACTCTCTCTCTCTCTCTCTCTCTCTCTCTCTCTTTCTCGTTCTCGTTCTCGCTCTCTCTACGCTTTTTACGTAAGCAGCAGAGAGCCGTCACTCGCGTTACACGCCCCCATTTCCGCTTTCGTTTTCGACGTGCCTTAGAAGCCGGTCGAGGCAATAAACAAGCTAGCAGTCACCGATAAGCAGACTCGACCGATTATGTTACATACGCTCGTGAAACGCGTGTGAGGACATTCCGTAGCGATACTTGATCAAAGACGACGATGCGCAACGCCCGCTTGGCCGACACGTCAAGCGGAAGTCGATCGTGACGAACAGGTAAGTCAGTGGTTTTGTCTCTCTCCTCTCGCGAGATCCGCTGACCGGCTGACTCTGCTTCGCGTGGTTCCCGTGCTTTCTCCGTTTTTTTCTTCCCCTTCGCGGCTCAATCTCGCGCGTTCGACGCTTATCATATGACCGCGCGTCGGTCATTTCGAATCTTTCATTCGGACAGGTTCGTGATTTTCAACCGGCGCGTCGTGGTGTGCCGCGAAAATTTTCAAAGGTCATTAGTTAAATTTTCGAAGATCATTAGTTAAATTATTTTCGAAAGAAGTTCAAAGCACAGCAAGTATACATATCAAAATTGGGATCTCTTTGAACTGATTATACGAATATATCATTATTATAATAAATAAACACCGGCTTACTCCTAAAGTGGGTGGCGAGTGTAGCCTTGAAGAATAAGGTTTCGCGACATGTCTCAAGTGTGTCGTGAGATAAAAAAGATTGAAAAACACTAGGATAAGTGAGTTGAGTCGAACGATCGATTCTACGGTGCAAGCGACGGGATTTCCCGTCGGATAAAAGCGAGTGCGGTGTGTTTCGCCGTAGAAAGTGGAACGACACGAGAACGTGGCCGACGCGCTCGCGAACGTCCCAGCGATCTTTCTCTCTCTCCTTCTTCGCTCTTCCCCTCTTTCCTCTTTTTCCTCCTCGTCTTTTTTTCTCTCCTTCCCCTCTCTTGCCGCTTCTTTCTTTCGTTTCCCCCGGTCTCTCGACATATTGACGGCTCCCTCCCTCCCCCCGCCAAGGCTGTTTTGGTAGCCTTTAATTACGCCACCGCTGTACGATCCACCCCGTGGGTATCTCGCAATCTTCTCCTCCGCGAGGAAGAAGAGGAGGAAGGAGGAGGAAGAAGGAGAGGACGAACGGAGAGGAAAACATTTGCCGCCTTATGCCTGACGAGAGTCATAAAGCAGCGTACAGCGATCGCGGTGCGCTCGCGTGATACCGAATCGTGCTGCATATTTTCACGACATCGTCCAAAGCGGACGGGCGAATGCATTTTTCTCTCCCTCCTCCTTCCCCTTATTTCTCCTTAAGGCCGCACCTTGCTCCGTTTTCGTCGCCGTGTTAATTTTATTTCACGTCCCGCGCGTCGCCGATTACCGCGGAAACGCGCCGCTCGGCAGGGCGGACGTACGGACGTCGGAAGGTCCAGGCGAGACTCGAAGCCGAGCGATCGACCTCGCGGTCGCTCGATAAATCCCCATCGCCAAGAGAGAGAGAGAGAGATCGTTTCTCTCCTTCCTCCGCGATCACGTGCCGCGTCGCGGCGAGAAATTACGCGCGTCGCCGACGTAATTACCCGAAGAATCTTTCAATCTTAATTACCATCGTTCTCGCTCGTTCTCTCTCTCTCTCTCTCTCTCTCTCTCTCTCTCTCTCTCTCTCTCATTCCCCTCCTCTTTCATCCGCTCGCGCTGGGATCTCTTACGTAATTAAGAATCCGAATGAAAATATCACGTTGTGAGGCGTTTCTTCTCCGACTTCGCGATAATGAGAAGAGCGAAGTCGGCCGCTGACCATTGGCGGCTCGCAAACATTTCTCTCTTCTCCGTCGGCGAACGCCTCTCGAATCTGTCGTCAGCACGTCCGCGTGCTTCAAGTCGGCCGACTTGATGTCGATCGCGGCGATCAGTCGCGATTGATCTGCGGTGAGAGAAACAGAGAGGCAGGCGGCCGCGTTCGTTCCCGCGAAAATTCATTCCCGCGAGCAGAGTGCGCCCATCGAGTCGATCGATCGTTTCTTAATCGTCGCGCGTTTCTCCCGCCGTGTCGCAACCGCGTAAGCGAGTGTCAGCGAATTGTAGCGCTACCTCGCATTCGGATTATAGCGCGGCGATAACGACGTCACGTTGAGGTGTTTCTTTTTCCTCCGTCGTACGGTGAGAGCAAGTTGCATAACCACGTTCTATATAAACAATGTTTCAATGAGAGACACACGCGCGGAATTTCAGCCGTGGGAGGGAGGAAGACTGACTAGAAGAGAACCTCCGCTCCTCTTATGATTCCACGAATTTCATGAGCGTAATTTCGCAAAGCCGAACGCGCGAACGCGGTCGCGCTGCCGTCATGCACGAGAAACGAGTCGGATCGAAGTTGAAGGCCGACGTCTTTGCAGCAGTTTCTGCCGGCGCGTAGCCTCTCTCAGCTTCGTGGAAAGAATCGAGACGAACGCAGCGAACGAAGGAGGAATGTCAACGTCGCGGATGGACGGATAGAGGTCTCGCATGATCGAAGCATTGTCTCTGCCGTGCAGCAAACGTGAACGCCACAGGACACGAGGATGAAGCTGTTCGCGCTCGGCTGTCCCGCGTTTTTCGCCCTCCTAGCGATCGCCGATTGTCTCACGACCGGCCGATTCTGCCAGCCCGAAACGGGAGACGGTGAGTGATCGCGCGCGATTGATCGAGCAATCAAGCACGATCGAGAGCGCTGAGTCAAATCAAGTGTCAAATCTAACAACGAATTCGACCGCTTGCGCTAATGCACACTGAATGCGACCAAGGCCTGTTGTTGCAGTCCTCACGTTCTTACAGCGAATTCGGCATACACGTGCTGATTCTGCTCCAGTGCTGCCTCGACATGGTGCAAGAGCACAACCGTCTCCGTGTAATACTAGACAGAGAGCCGGTTGCTCCAACTTCTTGGTAGATTGACTGATATGATGGTTAAATCATCATGTCCGTCTTTGTCTAAGTTGAAAGAAAAACAAAGACAAACTTATGATTTAACTGTCAATTAACTTAACAAGAAGCTGGAACAACCGGCCCAGATGTGACTGATCTTGGTGCGGCATTAAGTTAGTGCAGCACTGGGAGAAAGTGCATTTGTCTAATGTAGAATACAGAGAGACGCATGTGAATTATTCAGTTAAGTTAGAGGAGATAATATTATAAAAATATTTATCATACGTGGTTACACACCTCTCTGTCTGGATACTCGCTCACGATATCGACGTAATTTTGAATCTGTGGCTTTTTTTTTTTTTTTTAATAAAAATCCTTAATAAAATTCTTTTAACAAAATTGATTTTCTATCGCTTCCTCGCTGCTATTGCTACTTTTTTAATAATTTGTAAACAGTTGGCGGATAAACTCCATCGAGACTGCGGAATATTAGATAGAACCGTTAGATTAGATTATCGAGAACGAGTTAGACGAGGAACATAAACAGACAATCTCAGACAAATAGACTTGCCGACCGAAACTGTTGTTTTGAATGTTAGCTATTGTTCGCGAGTCTCTGATTAGCATGTATTTGACAACACATCATCGATCATCGTCGAATCATGTCCCGAATAATATGACGGCTCGTTGCCTTTATCCGCGGGCACATCAGCATCGACGTGAACCAATAAGAAGCCTCCAGGATTCGAAACGATTCGAAACGAAGATTTAAGAGCAGCAACGAGGAAAAGGACACATTATTCTCGCACGTTATTGCACACTTTACTCGCTTTACGCTTTTCGGCTTTGTTCGCTTACGCTTTGCTTTTGTTGCATGATTATTATATGAGAATAAATATCGTCATCTGTTATCATTAAATTGCTTCGAGTGTCACTTTTTTACCGTGTGGTCATCCTTGTGCCGCATTTCTTTTCAAGCATCGCGGCGGCTTCTGTTTTCGGCGGCTTTCTCGACCATTTCTCCGTTTCGCTTACGGCTTAGCTTACCGACTACTTAGGCGCCCTAAAAACTGATTTATAATAACATACTTTCTTTCTTTCTCTAGCGTCATATTTTCTGATTTACCGCCCGATTTTTTAGTGCGACCACATGCACTGTCAAAAAGATCAGCACAATATAATTTGCCCCCATTCAGTGCGTTTTATTCGTCCCAATATGAATCCTGCGCTACACTAGGCCAGTTTTCGTTCGTCGAACACCGTACAAACTTGAACTCGAATGTGTGGTACCGAAAAAACTCGCGCTCAGAGTGCGCCCTAACGCAAGCGCCCGAATTCGCTATTATATTTAAGATCGTCATAAATACACTCAATGACTTCTTAACCACCAGTAAAACGATCTGTATAGATGGTGTGCAGATAATTTGACCAGCTAAAAGTATTAGAAGATATACTTAACACGCTTTTTAAATAATAAAACCGGACTATGGATAGGCCTTGATAGCACTCAATGCAAGCGCCCGAATTCGCTGTAATTGTCGCGTGCAAAGTACAGTCACCCTCCAAACTCTCTAAACCCTACCAAACCCTCGGAATTCGCAGAGAATCGCGACGCAACGAACACGTCGGCCGCCGCCAATCGCCATGATGCTACAACAGCGTATCGCTGGTTTACGTAACGAACGTAAGCGTGCAATTTGTGCGTAACGAATGAGACACGTGGCAGCCGATTGACAGCCGACCGAACGACCTGGCGAGCGCGACCTTAATTCTCTGAGCGACTCTTCTCTGAGCGATTCAAACTTGACTTCCCCTCATCGAAAATGTTGGGCGAGCTCCACCGCTCACACGGCGGCGCGACTTTGCGATTTTCCCCGTAAGCAAAGATGACATCGCGATTCTTGTTATCCATTTGATCGTTTAGAAGTTCAGTCTGCGAGAGCCAGTTCACTTCAGAGGCTGATTGATGCCTCGACGTTTCCGCCGGGGGGAAATCGACTTCGAATTGCCCTGCGAGAGAGCTTCTCGCTGAGATTAAAGTCGCGGGAACTGGGGCGCTCTGTATTCGCATCGTGACTGGCGCTCTCGTCCGTCGCATATTTCGCACGAACGCCGGGTTGACGAAGGAGAAGAAGTAATCCGTCGACAGACGGATCCAGCCGCGTACCTTCCCGAGTAGAAAAATTAACAGGACTCTGGTAAGGGCCTGATTATTTTTCCCTAACATTAATCGAGCTCTAGTAGGGATAGAAAGACAAGGGCCCTGCAAGATGTGTAACAAATGGCTTAACGGGTCCTTGTAAGGCAATATTATGAGAGCCTTATAAGGCAAGATTAATAGGGCCTTATAAGGAAATATTCTTATTATTGCTTGATCGACAATATTTGTTCTTTTCATTCCAAGAAATTTAGACTGTAATTTCTTTACTTCTTCATAACCTTGTTAGTGTACAACAAGAATTTTTTATTTTAAAAATATAGCATTTTTTACACGTAAAAATCCTGCTACTGTTTTTATTAAAGTTTGCTGCATTTCGAAACGAAGGCAGTACTAGAAAGATCCTTGGTAAGGACTAAAGAATATGACAACTAATAAAACTAATAAAATTTGTTTTTAATCGCGGTATAATTAAAAAATCTTTAAAAGAACCAGATAGAGAGCGTACCTAATAAAACAATACTAAACTACAACAATTTTATTACGCGTTTCAGATCTTATTAATTTTCTATAACAAAACTTGATTTTGTATATCTAAAACATCCCTAAAAAATCCTTCCAAGGCCCTTATCAGCTTTCCCTATCAAAGCCTTATTTATTAGATCTAAGATATCCCTAAGAAATCCTTCTAAGGCCCTTCTCAGCTTTCCCTAATCGAAGTCTCATTTCGCAAAATCTAAGATATCCCTAAAAGATCCATTCTCGGGACTTGATGCGGTAATAACGAGGCACCCCTTTTTAGAGCATCCTACTTTCAGCCTTATCGGGGCCTTATGCTTCACGAAGATGGCCCTAACAATTTTTTGCTCGGGTTACGGCGTGTGTGTATCATCAGCACTCTTTTCCCTTGCAGATTTCCAACGCGCCCACGTCGGCCTCATCATCTCGCCCATAATGTCCAAGAGGATGATACGCGAGATCGAGATCTACTGGAATCACGCCAGGTACCAGCCGGGCGACACGATCGCCCTGTACGCGCGCGAACCCGCGGACGACCTCGAGCCGCTTTACACGCTGGTACCAAACGCGCCGAGCGGCATCAAGAGGACAGGCCTGCAGGCCTCGTTCGTGCCCACCGCGGACCTCGCATTCGAGCAACAATGCCTACGTGAGTCATAAATTCTTATCGGGACTAAGCGATAAGAGCAAGGCCGCGACAAGGACTGCGCCTTCCTTTCTTTTCCATTCTCTTCCCTATTCTTCCTCTTCTCTTCGATTCGATCTTTTTTCTTCGACTCTTCTTCCTTTCCTCCCGTCTGCCGTGTTTCTGCGGTAAACTCAGTCGCGGGTTCGTCTCTTTAATCAGGGTATCATGTCGCCTGGCTGAGAAACGGCACGGTCAGGTTAGCGAATTGCATGCGGACGCAGCCACGTTGGATGGCCGAGAGGAGGGACATTCTGGGCTCGTTGCCGATGAGCAGGGTGTTCCTGCCCGGCACGCACGATTCCGCGTCGTACGCGATACACAGGCGGGCGGATTCCGAGAATCTTCTGGAGAAATACGTGATAACGCAGGTAATCGCGCGGTTGTTCTTGCAAGTCGCTCTCGTCCTAGAGTGTTGAACTCCTTGATGCTCGACCAACTGGATCGAGATAAAAATAGAATAACCGTCGCTTGGTCAATCGTCAGGATAATTAAACCGCAGGACATAGACGTGCTTGCGCAGCTGATTCACGGGGCTCGGTATCTGGACATCAGAGTCGGCCACTATCCGAACAGCAACATCGTATGGTGGGCCAATCATGGACTGTTCAAAGCCACTCCCATGCAGGACATCGTGCATCAGGTGAAGAGCTTTCTCGACCACACGGACGAGATCGTCATATTCGACGTGCAGGAGTTTCCAACCGGTAACGTCCCATTTTGCCGAGTCCGCTTCGTGTAATCGCCAAGTTTCTCGTATAATCGATAATCCGGAATTCTCGCACGCGACCTTCGTCCCGCCAGGGTTCGGCAAGAATCTAGGGGTGCATCACGACTTCGTCGCGTACCTTGAGGAACAGTTCGCCGGCTACTACTTGCCGAAGAGTTACGGCTGGAGCAGCACGCTCAACACGATCTGGTCGTCCGGCAAGAGGCTCATCATCGGTTACGACGAGAAACGCGTGGTCAGCCTCTACGAGAGCGTGTGGCCCTGCGTGACGCACCAGTGGGGCAACGTCAGGAACATCGAGGACTTGTTCAGATATCTGAACCGCATCGAGACGGAGAGCATCGGGTACGTAATCGAGCAGCAATGACGCGGCGGGCTCTCTTCCGGCCGCGCGAGCGAACATCTCTATGAAAAGCGCGCTTTTACTCCTCGTTTCAGGCACTCCAGGTCGACGCCGCGGTCGGCGATGGCGGAATTGACGCCCAACATATTGGACGTGGTCCTCAACCGGCTCGGGAGCATTCGCGAAATGGCGGAGAAGGTGAACATCAACGTCACCAATTGGTACAACAGCAAGTGGCAGCGTACCGCGAACATCGTCGCCGTCGACTTCGTCCGCTCGTCCGGCATCATCGAGACGGCGATCGAGTGGAACGAGAGACGGAATTCGCGCTGCTGAGGTGGCCCGGAGCCCCCCCCCCTCCCAGCGAAAAACACGCGCAACCAAAGCAAAGCAACGACAAACACATACACATACACACACACACACACACACACGCACACACGGTGAATGTAACTCGACCTGCGCCGAAAACGAGTCGGCTTCACGAGCCAATAGTAGTACTTAATAACTTGTTAAGCTTGTGTATACGATCCTCCGATGCGAAGTATTCGCTGACTCACCAATAAGACAACCGCGCTGAAATGCCTGCGTCAAAGCATTCCGTGCAATCTTGCTTTACCGCGCGAAATCTACACCCGACGATGGCAACGCGACGCCGCGCGCATACGTATGACTTCTCGTGCGGTAATCGCGCATCCGCCGGATGCCGGAATAATGCTCCAGTCAAGATAACAACCGAGAGAGAAAGAGAGAGAGAGAGAGAGAGAGTCAGACACGGAATTATCTGTCACGCGTACCGCGTCGCCGCACCTCGCAGGTGCGCGATGCACCAAGGCGGGAGAGAAATCAGTTGATCATTCGGCACAGACGATGTTGGCTCGCGAATGCGAGATCAAACACGTCCGCATCGGCCGAGCCCGTCATCGCGTTCCCGCACGAGAGGACGACGAAAAGCTGAGGAGCTGAGGTCTCCTCTCGCCTCGCGAAATCTCGGCTGCACTCTTGTTTCTTTCCTCGCGGGCGACCAACGTTTAATCAGGAATCAATCGAGAGTCTCTCGATTTCCAGCGATAACGAAGAGCGGCGGGGGATAATTTTTCTCGCGGAAAATGAGCCGCCTACTGCTGCTCCTGCTGCTGCCGATCGCAGCCACGAAGCTGTGCGAGCGGCAGTCCGAGTATCGTCAGTACCAGCTGTGCCAGAACAACACTCTTTCCTGCCCGGACGACAGGAGATGCGCGTTCGTCGAGCACTGCCCGGCGATCGCGGCTCTGATGGACCGGAACGAGCTTCCTGTTCACAGGTACTTCGCTACTTCGCGATTTCGTTGCTCTTCCACCCGCTCGTGTCGATACGGGCTCATCTCAACGGTGCTTCGCACCGGCGTAGATTGCGACAGGCCGTGTGCGGCTATGACCGGACGCGCATGAAAGTCTGCTGCGACGCGGACAACTACGCCGAGCAGCCGTCGCAGGCGATTCCCGATCTCTATCCGACGCAACCCTACCCGGACTCGAAATGCGGAAAGAGCCTTATCCGGGACAACGTGGACAATCTAGGGTCGTACCCCTTTGTCGCAAGGATCGGATTTATAAGCAAGTATTCCGCTTGGAAAGAGGTCGAGCGATCGATACAAAGTGTCTCAGAAGTCGTCGCTTTTCTATCTCTGTAACGTCGACGACGGCAGCTGCAGAGCTTTCGCTGACAACGTTCGCGTGGGGCTCGACTTTTCCTCTTTTTTCTTTTCAGGGAATCGTAATCGTGCCGTAAGAGCGTTCGGTTGAGAGACTCGACACTTTTCAAGAGAATTTATCATTATTTGTTTAATCATCGTCGAGAACACGCACACGGCTTCTGCGACACCGTGTATACGAGCGAATCTCTCGTTCCTGTTCGGCAAGATCAGAGAACGAGAGTGTGATAATTGGCTAGATCCGCTTTGTCACATGAAGCATGCGCTTCCTCGGCATGTTTAGCCAAAAGTTCGCTTTTCAGATGTGTTAACGGGTGAAATGAGATACTCGTGCAATGGCGTGATTGTTAGTGAGCGTACAGTATTAACTACAGCTACATGCGCACTCGCGAAGTCGGAGAGATACAAATTGTACGTACATATATAGATATACATATGCGTCGAATATATATACATATATATAGATATACATAACAGTCGAAAAACACAGTATATAACGAACGATCTCGTTGCTATGGATTTTCGATTGTACAACAATCTCTCGTGTCGGTCAGTCTGATCAGCATGCAACAATTACGACAATCCTTTGTTCGTGTTTAGATGCTCTGTGCTTATTGGTGAATATAATACAGAGTCTGATCCGGATTGCAACGAATTGTTTTGCGGGCACAAAACCAGCAGCCGCGACATATCGTACGTGATCAAACACCCAGGCTATGACCCCGCGACTTACTCCAACAACGTAGCCTTGCTTCGCCTGAAGAAGACTATCGACTTCACAGGTATGTACAAAGCTCCTCGATCAGCGTATGACGTACACACTCGAAGAACGGCCGGGTTCGCTTTGAGAAAAAGAGAAGCTGTCCAGTCCCTCTCAATGAAATATGCAATACATTATCCGGTCTTTAGCCACAGCGCAGCCTATATGCTTCATACCGGAGGACAGATACGTTAGCTTGGGAAGCACATGCACTGTCGTCGGATGGGGAAGATTGTCCGGTCAGAAGGGTATCGTATCGATCGAAACGAAACTACCGAAGCGTAAACTGTAGTAAGCGTAAGAGTGTGGATGTTTAAGTACAACGTCCATATGCTGCGACCCTGTTGTAGCGCAGCCAACGACGCAACAGTCATTACAGCTAAAACTCGTACCTAAGCAGCAGTGCTCGGACTACCTGAGCCAAGGTCTGTCCGTCGAATTATGCGCCACAGGAAGCTGCGAACCCTGCTCCGGGTACAGCGGCAGTCCTATGTTGTACAAATATACGGACACATATTTCCTGGTGAGTCACGAGCACGAGCACATGTACACTACGACGAACGTGTGCGGCTCACGCGATCGTGTGTGTAATATATATGCGTAACTTCTTTTTTTCTGTTTGTCTGTTTGCTTGCTTTCGTCAGGTCGGAGTCCTATCATATGGGTCTAGCTGCGACTCAACCACCATTTTCCCGTCTACATTCGTGAACGTACAGAGGTACACGAGGTGGATCTTAGATAATTATTGAGGCGACTGTTCTTTAAAGTTTCATCAAAGACCTCACGGTAATATCGAACAATCGCTATGTATTGCCTCTGCACGAGTTTCTACTTTTCGTAAATTTTATCCGAGATAATGTATTATTTGTGTTTGAATATATTCAAATATTTGCCGCGTGTCATTTCCTTAGCCTCTTCTAGACCCAGCTGATAAGCTAAATCGTGCAGTCTTTTCACTTCCGAGATAAGCCCGGTCATTGATAAATTACCCAGTTCTGCAAGAAAACATTTCATGGTATTTAGCGACATAGCATGAAGAGTGATACATTAATGGCACATCAACTCACGGTGCAAGTGATTCATGTCGTCGGTTGTAAGACTCGCTGTCCAAGAACACGGTTCTGTCTGCGGTGAATTTTGAGCGACAAACTCGTGTACACCTGGAACTTCATCGCTCGCTAACATATACAATGTATTGTGTATGTAACTCTGAAAAGTTGCTCTAACTTTGAAAAAAATATACTTACTTTGCTCAGGCCATAAATCAGGCGACGCTCTGTCTAATTTTTCTAGACTCATCAAATTCTCCTCTACACAAGATAGATCTGTAGAACAGAAACCCACTGTCATATTTTATTTTAAATCACTGCTGTTATGTTGTCACAAAACATTGTATGTCTCTCTTGTTATTGTATTACTTCAAGCACAAAATATGAAAAAGACTAATGTAAAATATTGTCTCAAGTTTAACCCAATAAGATATAAGACATATGAAGCTTAAAAAAGATCTGCTATACATATTTCACCGAGATGCTCTCGGAATATGTTATACTTTATTTCCTTTTTTATCATTTACAAGGCTCAAACTTACCAGTCTGATCCGTTGTTTCATCGGTGGCCATGATAATGTTCGAGTAAATTGACAATTAATCCAAGTATCCTCTTGGAGAAATTCTCTCGGCGATCGACCGATACACAAATCACAACAAAGTGACAGCTGATGACGTAACAATAGGACAGTCACACACGATTCTAGTCTATTTTTACTACAGGAAGAGCTCGACACTCGAGCAGGACGCAGCGTCACCCTACGTATCGGTCCTTTGAATCGCCCGTTCCTTGCGCAACTCCTTGGTTAACTCGATCTGTTGCTGCAGGATGTAGACATTTTCTGCCTTCCGACGCTCTTGTCGTTCGATGTCTCGCACGACTCCCAAATGAAGTTGCTGCCTGAAACACCACGCGCACATAAGCCAATGCTCAAATACGCCGGCTGATTCGACGCTGATTTACCTGTCGTACGACTGCTTATAATGCACATATGCTATTATTCCAAAGGACACGCAGCAACACGAAACGAAGGTGACTTTGGCCGCTATTGACATTCTTCTTGCCGAGGACGGCGATCGCTTGCGCCGCAAAGTTGTCACACATGGTCCTGCGAGCCATGCTAAACAATCGATTATAATCGATTCGCGCGGAGCGGCAACGCGTGCACCGTTATTTTTGAATTTTGCCAATCTGGACGAGAATCTGGAGAGAAACAACGGATTATATAGCTTTGAATGAACTATTTTAAATGTCTCTCGATATCGACGGGGTAGCAGAGAGTAACCTGAGAGCGGCCAATACGACATTTTCTACGACACCGACTTTCCGCACTGGGAAAGGACGCCATCTGCATCCATTTTAAGAGGGGAACTACGATAGTACATCCACTTTCAGGTCTCGGTGGTAAAATCTGCATATGGTGGAAGTCCATGCTACATCCACTTTCAGGCGGTTTATGTCCGTGCTGCAATGACAGTTGCCATCTCTATGCCAGACTGTGCCCGTGTGGTCTAAAAAGAGCGGGGGAGAGGGGGGGAGGAGCAGAAAAAATAAAAGTACGTATTAAATGTTAAATCTTCGAATATATATTGCCGTATCAAACTCTCTTCTATAATAAATAATTTGACATGTATGGAGACGCATGATGTATCGTTGTCCGCGTCCCGTTCACTTCGTCTTGTTTTTTAATTCAGCATCCCGTCCGCTCCGGACATTCGCTCGTGGCACTGACAGTGACCGTCGGTGAGCATTCGATCCGCTCGGAGGAGCACGTGTTATTCACGTAATTAACGTGACGAAATTCCGATTATAAATATCCCGCGAGTCGACGAAATATTTGAACTTTAAAAAAAGCATCAAAGAAAATCACGTTAATATTGTCATGGGTAAAATCTCACCCCGGTATATATTTTCTTATTTTCGAAATAAAAAAGCCAAACGAATGCAATTAAATGTTATTTATCATCATTGAATATTTAATGAAAAGTAGAAGAGTTATTGTCCGCAGCGGATAATCTCCCTGTATAAAATGTCGAACTGAAACATATTAAAAAGTATTGACATTTTGAATACGTCTGAATTCTGCTTTCTGATCCGAAGAAAGGGAAAATAAAAAGTATTAGTTCCCATTAAATTTCACCGCGCTAAATGCGAGATGGCAGTAATGAATGCTTCGCATTAACAAGAATTCAATTCGTTTCAAATATGCCTTGTATTCAATCGCAATCGATAATTTTTAAATGCGAACTTTCGTATTGAAAAATATTCACTTCTTCTCCTAATCATTTTCGGATTCAGAGGCATACAAGATTTTCACCTTCTATTCCCCATCGCATTAAAAAGTATTCACCCGCGATCCAATCTGAGAGCAGAATTCACGACAAAATCTCGTGAATGCGAAACAATACTTTTAAATACGACATTTTATACAGGACTAATATTTAATAAAAGCGCGATTAAATTCGCATAGGATGAAATTCCATTCTTTAAAGCTACCATGACCTTTAATTATTCCCTGAAAACGGCGTCACAACAACTTACACTCTGTACAATTAGTTGCTAACACATTTTCTAATCGTATACATTCCTCTTTAATTAACATAAAGCTAACAAATGTCCGATGCTTCGACAGAGTAATTTTCTTTATTTTCAGTAATCAATAAATAGAGTGCATCAATGTCGGACAATTTTTTGACACTGATTTATGGTATTAATCGACATTCGATTTTCGATACTAATTTACTCTTTCATTTCTCTATAAGAAAACAGAAAATGAATATGAATCGTTCATTAATCCGCGTTAATTTGATGAATAAATTAGGTATTGATCGGCCTTCGATTTTCGGTACTGATTTATTCTCTCATTTCTTTATAAGGGAAGAAAAATTGGTACGAATCGTTCGTTTAACTGAGTTAATTTGTTGTGTAAATTACAGCGGTAACTACCTGAAAAATGAGAACAAATTGTCATTGGACAATTTTCTGACACTGATTTATGGTATTAATCGGTATTCGATATTCGATACTGATTTACTCTTTCATTGCTCTATAAGAAAAAGAAAAATTGATACGAGTCGTTCATTTATCCGCGTTAATTTTTTTTTTTATTATATATAAATGGTCCATGGGACGATTAAATATTCGAATACATGTTGCCGTATCAAAGTCTCCTCTATAATAAACGATTTGACACGTCTGGAGACGCATGATGTATCGTTGCCTGCATCCCATTCTCTTCGTCCTGCTTCCCTGTATAAAATGTCGAATTGAAACGTATTAAAAAGTATTGACATTTTGAATATGTCTGAATTCTGAATCTTTTTGATCCGAAGAAAAGGATTGAAAAGTGTTTGTTCCCATTAAATTTTACTGCGCTAAATGCGAGATGATCTCTTTCGCCCGGATGCCTCACCAGAGAAATTTCTCTGGTACGCTAAATCCCGTAAGGCCATCAGTCTTTGTAGTATATCTCATCGGTGCATAAGGTTTATATTACCTGTACATACATATTTTGAAACATTTTCTTTGGATATTATATCAAACGGATTTTACGTGTCACGTAATATCCTTCGAACTACATGGACATTATTATTTTGATCATTTTGATTTCTTTGGTATTCATTGAATTATCCAGAACGCGCAACTGCCATGTTAAACGACTTAATTGTCGTGTGAAATGTTTCCATTTTCACAAATTCATATAAAATTTTTCATTTTTCACTGAGTCACAGAAGTCTTTCACTTTTTATTAGTTCACGCTAGGGAAAAAATTCATGATCGCTGCCCCGAGCAGCTGCAACGCTTTTCGAATCATCTATGTCGGCGCGCTTTTATTCCTCAGATTTCTGTCATTAATAACTCGATAATTATCGCGTATCTCGCAAAATGGTATGGGACTTTTATGTTTGTCTCAATCCAATCTACCCTCACACTTCGGGTTGGCAGCTAATTACCGGACACTTCGTATGATCTTCATGATATTAATCATACACAATGTCAATTGTTTTTTTTTTGCACATGTTAACATGTTAATTCATATTATAAACGCGTAACAATGTGCGAGACCGTGCTTGTCAAGTACGCTATTATGGTTGTAGCACGGACATAAACCGCCTAAAAATGGATGTAGCACGGACTACCACTATATACAGGTTTTACCACCGAGACCTGAAAGTGGACGTAGCATCGTAGTTCCCCTATCAAAATGGATGTAGAGGGCGCCCTTTCCCAGTGCGGAAAGTCGGTGTCGTCGAAAGCACCGTGTTGGCCGCTCTCACGTTCCTCTCTGGTAGAACAAAATGATCAGTGAGCGCTTAGTGATTATTGTCTGTGATTCTTTTTTTTGCATTCTTTTAGATTCTTCAAAGACCCAGAAGTATTTACCAATCAGGAGCGAGAATCACTAAGCACTCACTGATCACTTTGTTCTGCTAAACGCAGCCAATGAATACTTGCATGATAAGACACAGGGAAAAATAACCTATTCGATCCATTCTTATGTGCGCAGCTTAAATATTTAACGTTAAAAAAGATTTTCTTTTTGGGATAAAGATAAGCATTCTTGGGTAGGAAATTAAATATTTGGCTGAACGTTAAGCCAGCGGCATACGGTCGTGCTTATTTGTGTGCTGGGTTGCTTGCTGGATGAAAATAATGCGCGGATACACGTGGTGTATCTTTCTCCCGCCGTGCACCGGCAATAGTTGTTAGCTGTATTATCTTGAGCGTAGCTAAAGCAGTCGGTATTATCATCGCTCTACAATTATCTCCCGGCCCCTTGAGAGCCCCTTGGCCAATACAAAAATTTACCCAGGGCTGACAGTCTTTATATTATCTCGTCGGTGACGCGATCATCGTTATTCTGTCAAGGTAAAAGAAAATAGCACGTGGAAGCAATGGGACGAACAATTTATGCTGAGGAGCATCTTCGCACATATTTAACATTTCTAGCGAAACCAGATGGATATGTGATAGGACTAATTTTGGGACAGGTTTGTTTATTGTATCTTCCAGTTTCACATGTCAATCTTACGTTCATTTTTAATAACATATGTGATGAGGAAATAAGAAACATTACAATTGTACATTCGTTAAAATCCAATTGTATTAGTTTAAAGCACTAATTTTCAAGTGTACATGCTGTTAAACATTTATGTTTTATTATTTTATCATTGTGTCTGAAAGGAAAGGTTAAAAATTTAGTTACGAACATAAAACAAATTATATTCACATTATAATACGTTTTGATGTATTATTTGTTTTCCTCGGTGTTACAGAGTGGTGGACAGAAAGATTACATAGTGCATTTAGCAAAAACACCACCTCCTCTTGCTAAAAATATTGTGGAAGAAACTTTAATCAGTTATACAACAACTGCAGAACAGGATGCAGCTGATATATATATTAAATCTGTTAAGGATATACCTATGAGCTGGGTGGCTGATCATGCTAAACATGTATGTAGTTTCCATGGAGCACAATTAAAAAGTAAAATTAAATATGATTTCTTATTTTTATATATATGTACATATATACATACATATATTTAATTTACATATGTTGTATTTTATTCCAGGTTACAAGAATGTTGCCTGGTGGAATGTGGGTACTTGGTATTTTTATTATAGGGCCTGAGGATATTTTAGAAATTACTAGCAATGTACAAATATTTAAATCAGTTCTTGGTGCAATTCATAAGACTCTTTCATGGAATAATAAGCACCTCTGTGGAAATAATCAGGATGAGAAACTTATATTGGCTTTCAACAGTATTACACAGAAGTATACAACCTCAGATATCTTATTATAAATTTGAAGAAATTATACATTGTATTTTAATTAGTTTAGTAGTTAGGTGTTTTTTATCTCCAGATATGTTTGCAAGTCTATAGATGTTAGTAAAGATGGAATATTAAAACCAGCTGACTGGAAATTCCAAGAAAGAGCAACCAAGTGGCATCAACTGGAAGCTTTTGTAGACTTTGACAAATTGTACTTTATTGATGCAGATAAGGATCCTGAGACTCTCAAAAGGCAATTACAGGTATTAAATAGAATATATTATTTTTTAATTCAAATAAAATAACTTATCTTAAAAACTGAATTAAAGACAAAAACTGAAATTAAAGACAAATTTGTATTTTGTAGAATATCTTGACAAATGTGGCAGACTTGATTGATTCTTCGGTTGTAGTTATTGAAGAGGAAGTTAGGCCACTGGAAACTATGTTAGAAATCATTTGCAAGAAGAAAAGAGACAACAAGGAATGTAAAAATAAAAAAAACGATAATAATTCATTTCAAGTTAGCTTATATATTCCATGTGTGAGTACAAACAGATTTACTCAGGCATTACGAGAATAGTTACAGAATCAATTCTATTAAATGGTATGTTGCTGATTTTGCCCTATTAGTCGCAAGATAACACTAATTCAGACATAAGAGTGACATCGTGCAGTGCATCAATACGACTAATTGGACAATTAGTCAGTAAGACATTTGTACATCAGAAAGCTAGTATTGCAGAAGCTAATATGGCAGTAAGGCAAGACATAGTAAGATCTCTGGCAAGCAGATTAGAGATGCACTGGGACAGTTTAATAGAAGAAGAGAATGGTTCTCCCGAAGGTAAATTACAGATACCCTCAAAGCCGAGACATGGTGTATGGTATGGCCATTTAGATTTAGATTTCAATATACTCTTGCTTACTTCAGATTTTTTTTTAGAGAACATCACATTACACGAACCACCAAGAAGAGTGTTGATAGCATTACCAGAAAATAAGGTAACCTTGTCGGATTATCTGTTTCCTGGCGAGGGACCACAAGAAGCCTTATTATCATTGCAAGAACTGCTGGATCTAGAAGTGCAGGAGAGTCAAGTGCAAAAAGAAGTTGAACTGCAAGCTGGTAAGTGGAATGTTACATGTAATGTTACATGTTCATCAAAGTAACATTAGAGAGTAATCTTTTCATGCGTATATATTGTTACTTAATCACAACTGAATTCATGACTTAGATCCTATGGAATTCTACTGCCAGAGTGATGTCAATAGCCAATTATCGGATCATGGTACTGATAAAACTAAATTTCAAATATTTGTTCCTTACATCGGCCTATGTGTTGCATTCTTTATTGTGACTGCAGCTATCATTATACATGAACTCATATAATGTGTATATTGTATTTCTTCTAAACGCATATAAGGTATAGATTTAAGATAAAATATTTTGAATCCTTGTGCGTCTCTGTAAAATTGAAGCTGTAAAAATTATAATATTAAATTATTTAGTATACTTCAATAATATACATATATATTGTTTTTATTATTGCCAATGCAACATGTGTGTATTTTCTTACATAAAAGTACATGAATATTTTTATATCTATAAAATTGCACGATAAATCTCTTCGTGAATATATGCGATGGAAATTACAAATTTAATTGTAATTAAAATAAATGGTGTATGACGCGCGTCGAATTGTTTGTTGTTTTAATACAATAAAGCAAAATATTGTTAACTTGCATTATATTTATGGATTTTATTATAACATCTATATCATATATACATACAATATCATATACATATCTTATATACAAAAGAATAGCATTTGTTTAGTCTTCAGAATGGCAATTTTTATACCATTAATATGACAAATATTAGTATTAATATGTTCTTCAATATTATTCATAGTGTGTAATTGCATAATAAAATGTCAAAAATTAGGCAATAACATGCATAATTTCGATACAAAATTTATTGATAAATCAGGCAGTGGTAATTCTAATGTTTAAATGCTTGCTATTAGCTGCATTACTCGAATAAATTTCATAATTATCTGTAAAACTATGCTAACGTGTATGAAAAGTTTATTTACAAAACTTTTTACACTGTACATGGCAAATCCTGTTAAAAAGATAACATTCCTAAGAACGTCAGGAAACGCAACGTAACAATTATCGTAATTTTCTATGTACTTGCTGCGATAGATATTTGTTTATTCATATTGAAAACTATTCTTTTCTGTCCCTCTTTTTAACTCCCCCTCTTATATCGTTTACACATTTAATCCATTCTGCATAGTGCAATTTACTTTGATCTTTCAGTGCAAGCACAAACAAGTGCTAAATATCTGATTTGTACATATGTATTAGTTATTGACTTTTTACATATTTATTATAATAAAATTATTCACTCCAATAATATCGTGTGTATGTGTGTGTACATATATGTACGAGAATATAGAACAATTATCTTCTTCTCGTACATATATACACACACACACACACACACACACACACACACACACACACACACACATATTGTATGTGTATATGTATGTATGAGTTAAATAGTGCAAAATATATACATTCCTAATGATCCAGTGTTAGAATGTTATTATGATGTTATTAAAGTAAAAAATTTAATTTTCCTGCATATAATATTAGGCAGCACCATTTAAAAATTTAGATAAAGGAAATTAAATATGTAATATAGGATTTCTTCTCTATATCTCAATATATCTCCTTCCTATTAAGTATTTTCGACAAGTATTCTAATGCAAATAATAAATTAAAATATCAATAAAATATTTTCTGAAACCTTTTTTAAAAATATTGCAAATTAATTAAGAGGAACCTACATTTAGTAACGCAAGATTTTTGAAAAAAACAGTGGGGGGAAGATATATTGTAAACTGGCGTATACAATTGTTATTGCTGAAAGCGAATATGATTATATAATAAATAGTCTAGTTGTTGGAAATGATGCGAACGTTTACAATTATTTGTACTTCAATTATAGCATAAATTCGGTCGTTTTAGGTGCACAACAATTCAGCATAATTCTATAATGCACTGTAAATTCAAGTTCTTCTTCGGAAAATTTCAAAAGTCTCACTCTACCGTCCTCTTACAAACGAAAATCTATCTTATAAATGATAATCTATTAACAATTATACCTACGTGCGCAATTACCTCTTGCGCGAAAATTATTCCCGCGCATGAAGACGCGAAGTTGCGTTTCCTGTTTTGATTTGCAACATAACGTGTTACGGACTATATTCTCGTCCATCGGACTGAAATTGCTCATTCTTAATGTCTACACAGCTTGCGAAGAACAATAAAATTTTAGACTACACCCATCTTTATGAGCCCCGCCTGGCTTCCCCTACCGACGCTCGCGTCTTCCAACGAGTCCAGATCTAAGGCAGACTCTATCATAGTTGTGTCCTGCAACAATCTGAGTCTAGACGCGGACAATGGAGTTGTCACCGCCGGTATAGAAGATGTATCCAGAGCGGAAGAAACCACGACGCTCTGACGAGGAGGCAACGGAGCGATCTCGTCAATATCAATTGGTGCTATGTTGAGAGACGCTAATGGTACTTCGTTGGTAACAAGTTGGCTTATACTGTTTGTCGTACTACCTAAAAACAAAATCAACAATGGCGTGTAAGAGTCTCGATCATCGGCGTGATTGCACGGGTAAAGTGCACATACAGCATTAAAATATAAATAGTTGGCATTAAATTGTGAAAGACGTGATTGTTACGTAAACCTCTTTAGTACTGAAAAAAGAAAAACAAAATCAAACTGTATCTTACAATATTATTATCAGGAAGGTGCAGCGTTCAGCATTGTGCTTCTTACGCACAAAATGCCAGCATTACGAACATAAACTTCTACAATCTTAATTACCCGGTTGATCATGAAACCGCGCTGGTTTTCGGTATGTATATTCCGACATACGACATTCTGACGTAAACCAACACATACTAAATGAAATATACAATTGCGAAAAAATCTGTTTGCAAACGATGCTTCCACTTATGCGCAATAAAACAGAGGAAAGTAAATCAAACCAAAAGCCCCTTCCGATCTTTGTCAATTGAAAAAAGCGTACACGTCGTGAGAGAGCTTAAACATTACATATCATATCAAATCTCTCGTAGATCGTAGCTCATATGCCGTGAAACAAAAAGCAATCTTAATCTTCGCATGTACCTTTGTTGATCTTATTGCAACTAATATTCTTATCTCACCCATAATTAAAACCAAATTATAAACCAATCAATTAGTCACAAGCCATAAACCCTATAAACGACACAGTGTTCCAAAATTAGTTTCATAAAAGTGTAAAACAAACACGTGTGATTTATTAATGTTGGTGTGAACAATCGATTCATTCGTATATATTAAAACATACACTCAATGACGATCAAAATGTACAAAACGAACTTACCGAGTAGTACGCTCTGAGCCCTCGATAACAGGACGTAATTTTAAACAACAAAGAAATACAATTTATTGAATTATGTCCAAGTTATACTAATTGCAATAACAGACTTACGTATAAATATATACGTAGAAATATATATTTATACTTAAAAGAAATTCTTTTTTTTTTCAAACAACATATAATTCGGCTTTCGAAAAAAAATATGTATTAGGAATATTTCTTTGCGTATTATGAAATTTTATTTATTTTTATAATAACAACAAAGAAAGTTACGCAATTTGCAAAATTTCTATTTATATTGCAGATATAAAATAATCTTTGGATCAAAAACATTTTAAGCAAACAATAATAGTTTAGTAAAAATTTAGAGAACTCGATAAAACTCTCTTTCCTTTCTCTCTTATCTTTTTTAATATATGAAACCTAAACAATAAAACATATTTAAAGAAAAAAGATATCTTAAGAAACTCATATCGAACAAACATAGTTGGTATATGTCTAATATCTTAACTCACTTATACATATACCACTGTAACCATAATATACATATTATCCTTAAAATAAAGATCTATGCATAATACAAAACAGTACTTTCAAAAAATAAATAGATCTCTTTTTTGCAACAATTAAATTCAACTTCTTTTGGTATTTGTATATATATATATATATATATAATTTTTCTTTTTTAATTCTCGATTTGTGGAATCAAGAACAATCGTATAACTGTTTATGTACAAATGATCTTATATTTCTTGATCTTATATCATTTAGCATGAAATTTTAAGAAAAGGACGAATAATGATCTAATTATATTAAAGCTTTCTAACATTATGAGTTCATGATTTTTTTCTGTGGTAAATATATTAATTATGTACCTATCTTCTCAACTTTTCCTCCATATTATTACTTTACCAAGTTGAATATATTCGAGAAATACATGGCTGGTTTATAATAGACGTTAAATATCCTCATTGTCGCTCAATGAACTCATAATGAAACGTCGATTCAAGAGATCCTCCTCCGTACTGTCGCTCGGGCACAATGAATTCTCCGCGTACGACAAATTATTAGTCAGTGGTCCAGAACCGAACCTGTTGACTACGAGACCTATCGCGGTCTGCCCAATGATCGGTATCCCGCCTGTGCCCAATATACGCGCCGGCAAAATGTTCTTCGATATCGGATACTTCAAGGTATGATCGGCACACCTTAGGTTATTGTACTTGAGCGTATGCGGAGACTGAGTCAGCCGTAACGGATCTTCGGAATAACATTGAGGAAACTTTTGTAGATCGGTGTAACCGTTCTTATCGCTTATCTTGTAACGTAAAGGATCCTCGGAGTACCTCTGAGGATACTTCTGAAGATCAATGCCATACTTCTGATCGCCAACGCACTGATCGTATATTAGGTTGTTGTCCGAGCATCTATGATATTCCTCTCTACATCTATGAGGATACTTATGTAAACCCTCCTCGCATCTACACGGATATTTCTGAAAATCTGGATTTATTCGATCTACCTCGGTGTACTTCATATGTTTGACAGAATCCTGAGAGCAATGTTGCGCCGGATACAGCGGCACATAAGTATCGTTTATGTAATGGCGCGGATATTTTGGTAGATCTTCGGGATGTGTAGGATGCCTTAAGAGAGTTAACTCACCGTTTATTGACTCTATTCTCGGAGAATGTAGACCGGTGACCAAATTGTTCATCGAGTCCGTGAGTTCCGTACTGGGACTTGTTTGAACCGTTGTGCCGTTCGACTGTTATGATGAATAAAAACAAAACAAACGTATATTTATCCATTCAACCGTATTAGCAAAAAGAAAGAGTAAGATATATTTCAAGTACCTGAGGCTGCACAATCTTAACAGTTCCATATGTCTTATTATTAGTAATCACATTGTCATCACCAACTCTTTCTTGCTCTGCACGATATTCGGGTGTAACTATTCCTCTTCGATCTAAAAAAAAGAAAATAACCAACGATACGTGAATTCTCTTAATATGGTACAAAATAAAGAATAACATAACAACAAGCATAATTGTATTAACTTTCAATCTCATGTGACTTTTATATTGACACAAATTAACATTGCATATCTATGAGAGAGATCTTACCAATTAAACTAGGTGGAGATGGCCCACATAATACGTAAAAACAATTTCCGCAAATGTTTCCTTGGCTATAGGGATTAAAGCTTTCCTGTCCTCTTTTACTTGAGAATGAACCTTTAATCTATGAGAATAACGGCGTTTAGATGACATCGCCGATATAATTTATACGCGATCTCAACAAACGTGCTTACATCTTCGTTAGTTGTTTGATTACTCGTGGTTAAATATGTATGAAAGCCAGCAAGGCCTAAGATACTCCAAACAGAAAAGAAACAAATCACTCCTACAATGACGCTGCTCGGAGACGACCGGAGAGCTTCCAAAAATGGCTTATCATCTTTCGTAACTACAATCAATGAACAATAAATGGAATGCAACATATCGTACGTTAATTCCCTTGATATACTCTTACTGTTCTACAAACGATAACACTTACGCATAATTAAATGTGTGACTGCACATGCAAATATGAAAACACAAAGAAACGCCAGAGATACTATAAAAGCATAAAAATATCTATAATTCCTTCTGCCCACGCAGTTACCAACCCATGGACAGTGATGATCAAACCTCTCTGTAAGAATATTTATCTTTAAAATTAAATTAGCACCATAATTATTGTACAATACTAACTCTGATATGTATAATCTGATAATGCAAAAACAAACAAGTACTACAGATACTTTCAGATGTCTTGAGGCTAATACAGAAACATAGGAGTACATACCTACACAATTGTCGCATAGACTACAATGAGAGGCTCTGGGTGGCCTGAATATTTTGCATGTAAAGCAATATTTTAGTTTCACTGGTTGTCCTCTGACTAAGACTTCTTTTGTTCTAGGAGGAGGTCTATATGTTTTGGAGTTACCATTGTTTGGTACCTCTGTAGATTAACACAAAAAATATTTCAATTTAGTACCTCAAGAAGCTACAATATTAATTTTTTTCCCATATACTCATATATTATCAAAAGTATAATATAACTAAAAATAATTTACATGCATGTAAATACACAATTATATCTATACCAATTTGTTGCTCAATGTAAGCAGCTTCGTCAGGTGTTGCTCGTGGAATTACTCCAGGATCACTGAAGCTTGTACGGAACAAAGCAGACATTACAAATATAAATAATAAACCTCCTATCACCGGTATTGCTGGTGTTATATGTAGCGCCAAAAATGGACAACTGGAAAAAAGAAGACAATTGTTCTGAAATTTACTTTTGCTGGTATATACAAAAAAAACATCGACTTTTCTCTCCTAATGAAGTCTAACAAATTATCTCTAAAAGCAGAGGGTTCGCACTCCAGGTAAGCTATAACGCTACCTAACCCTACTGACTCTGCCAGCGTAAATAAAACATGACGCATGAAATTGCGATGCTTACTCAAAACCAAAAAATAATCCGCTCGTTCCGGCGATGAGACACACAGTGACATAGAATACTCCAGTCTGCGGTGCCATCATCACTCTTCCGTCGCAACAGAAGCGATTCCTTCCCGGGAACAGCTCCCATTTTCGCGTGACGTGAGGCATCTTGCGCGAGGGTAAAGTTTCTCTCACGTACTGTCATAAATGAACGAGCAAATCCCGCACGTTGATCGCTGGCGGTTTATCACAGTTGTAAAACCGTGTCCCTTCTTGGAAGTTCCCGCTAGCGAAACCGAACAAACATGTCTCATCTTGTTCCGAAGGTCTTCTGTCCTCGAGTCATAACACGCTGCGTCAGATAGCAGCATCCGTACACGATATGTTCCTTTCCATAAAATGCCAATTCAGGGAGATCCCAGCCGCCTGTTGAGCTCGCCGTTCGCGACGCAACGCGACGACACTTGACTTTTCGCGTAAGTGCAAGTCTAAAAACTCGATTTGCAGACTTAACCTAATTTTATCAATTCAGCTGAGAGTTCACGAATACTTTGGCGAAATTCACGCGTATAAACTTGCAAAAACTCGCATATGGAAAATCACGAACTCACTTCCGGAATGACATTGTCATCGTGCGTCTACAAAGGTCACCGACTTCGAGAGTGTTTGTTGGAAGAAAGGTCATAACCGCGGATTCGTCATCATCGTCATTATCATCATTATCATTATCATCATCGCTGTCGTCGTCGCCGTTCTCGCGAAGGGGAAAAAAGAAGCTTCGTTTGTAAATTGGGTCACCGCGGCCTCACTCGTGAATTGTGCACCACCACTGGCCGATCATTCACGGAGACCGCAACGCGCACTATGTTCCGGACGACCACTGCATCGTCTCAGATCATCGTCACTGTCTCGCCGCAGTCGTCACGCGACCTACGAGCGATGATAATAACTCACATATTTACAAGACCAGTACTGTTGTGAAACTCTTCGCTGATCGTCGTACTTGCTCGCGAAGCGCGTACGCGGCGCCCTCTCGCGGCATGATCCAAAACGCCATGTGACTCTAAGTCATGTGACCCGGAGCGGCCCGAATGATCGCGATTCAAACGCTCTCGTCGGCTTCCGTGCGGATCGATCCATCGATCATCGGTATATATCCGTGCACTAGTCTATGAATCGGTTCTTTTCTGAATATTACCGCATGTTACCGAGTCTCGAGAATGATTTTAACATTGACGTTAATTTAGGTGAGAGGTTAAGTCGCACGTGGAGAACGAGGATCGCGGAGAGACGAGACAAAAGTCAGACGAGCAATGGCGACGAGCAATGGCAACGAGAGCGTGTCCTAATCGCCTCTTCTCGCAGAGGGTCGCCAGGTAAAAAGGCGTCTTCGAAGGCGTTTCGATCAGCGAACGTCGCGAGATTGATTATTTAATGGTAGGGAGGGCGACGAGAGAGAGAGAGAGAGAGAGAGAGAGAGAGAGCGCGCGACTTATCGCCCCCGTTGCAAAATGGGTCGTCGACGCAATGCGGTACGTCGCCGCGCACCGGCCGCACACGTACACACACGCACACGGTCAAGGAAATCCTGGAAATCGAACAATCCTACCGTCGGCGCCATCTTCGGGCACGAACGACACCCTCTCGATCGTGAGATTTCCGCGAGATGAATGGCAAAGGCTCGAGATGATCTATAGATCCCTCAACGCGTCGTGCATCGCGCGAAACTCCTGCTGCGGCGTGCCGCGTCAGTGACGGAGCAACACGCACGCACACGGAAGAGTGCACGACGAGCCCGAAGATTAGAAAAACACGTCGACGAGGTAGGTACGCTGCGTTTGTAAAATACCGCGGCTTTGAACCCCGCCGCGACAACGGATGCCGCGGCGGCTTCGCCGGCTGCATTGTTTTCTACCGATTCTTCAATGTTTCCTAACCGACTAACAACCAACCGTCATCGCGGAGTTCGCGATGCGTGTTCGTTTCGTTTTTATTCAATCCTACACTTTCCGTCGCAAGGTCGATCTCGACTCGCCCCACGTTATATCTGCGGCTACGGAGAATCGAAATTGCGATCAGCGAGGAGACAAAGTCGCCCGGATGGATACCTTCCGCAAGTGATTAATTCGACTTGAATTTTCAACGTAGGAACACACTGCGCCAGAGTCGACGCGACGAACGGAGGAAGGGGCGTACGCCGATCCCTCGTGCGAACGGTAGATCATCGAGCGGCAGAAGCGGGTAATCGATACTCCGCGACAATTCACCAGACGTTCTGTTTCTGCAAGAGGGAGAGCTCGACGGGGGAACGAAAACGGCGCGAAGAAGCGAACGGAGGTTCTTGCAGCGGGATATCAACAGGCATCGGAGTTAGAGCGGACGTCTCAGATCTGCGAGGTCGACCTCCCTCTCGACAATTCTCTCGCGTCGAGCCTACGTATCTACGGCGTCGAAGGTACAGCCGAATCAACGGCGGTGGCGGCGGTGGCGGCGGTGACGGTGGTGGTGGTGGTGATGGTGATGGTGATGGTGGTGGCAGCGGCAGCGGCAGCGAGGGTCGCCTCGACGACGAGGGGGTAGAGAGTCGCGGGACGAGTGAGACGCGGAAGGGTACCCCCGGCGGTGGGGTATGAAGGGTAGGTTGGTAGGTAGGTAGGTTGAACGCGCGGGAGGGGTGGGCAGGGGACCGGGAGGGTGCATGAATCGCGGAGCGGGCGGATGGACGTACGGACGCAAACGCTGAAATCAGCTCGGACGATCGATGCGATAAATGGATGCGTGCGATTGGTAGCCGGGAAAATCGATGATGAACAGGGGGGCATACCCTACCTACCTACCTACCTAGCCGGCGAAAGCCGGCGAGCCAGCACGGCCGCACCGCACCGCGCCGCGCCGCACCGGAGAGGATGGAGCAAAGACCGAAATATCGATTTTTAGGCCCCTACGCGGCGGTTCGTTCGATGCTCGTATCTGCCCCGTGCCCCGTGTCCGCGCGAAGCGCCTTTCAAAACACCGACGACGCGCGCGAGATACGCCGCGCTGTGCACGCAGCCTCGTCCTCGTCCCCATCGTCGTCTCATCGTTGTCGTCGTCATCATAGCTGTCGTCGTTGTCGTTGTCATTGTCATTGTCTCGGTTGGACTTGAGATCTCGCGTTCAAATTCGCAATCGTGTGGATCCTCGTATCAACGTCATCAAGTGCGCCGATGTTCTCAGGTAAATCGCGTCCGGCCTACGAGAGAGAAGCAGCCGTCATTCTCGCGACGCATTCTCTCACGCTCGCCTCGTGGACGACGATGCTGATGATTCACGAGGCGGCACGAGCGTCGGGAGACATGAGCGTAATCGGCAAAGGCAGTTCTCGAGCGAGCATAAGAGTCAGTGTGGATCTCCGTAGCGTAGAGGAGACACGGCGGAGTGTTCCCTGCGGGCGCGTATATACTCACGACGTGAAGTACCGTGACACAAGGAAAAAGTAGTAGTGGACGCGCGCGTTCGCGACGTCGGCGACGTCGAGAGAGGGTGAAGGGTGTAGACTTGATCTCTCGCTGCGTCGTCGGCGACATCGGTGGTGGTGGCGGCGGTGGCGGCGGACGAATAGTAAATTGTGACGGTCACGGCCTGTGACACATGTATGCCCGATTGAGTTGGGCAAATTCGATTAACGCGCGGCGAGAGACCGCGAGAGATCGGCAAATCGCCGCGACGGCGAGAGTGATACGCCGCGCAACGGCGAGTTATCACACGTTGCGACTTATCGCGCTGCATTGATCTGTATACGCGCGCGGGCGGGCGACAAACGACGACGACGACGACATCGACGACGACGACGACGACGAGGACGTCGACGACGACGACGACGACGATGACGACGACGACGACGACGACAGAGTATCGCCGCAAACGTGACCGCAACGAAACATTTGACAGTTCGTCCGCGGAATAGAGAGAGCTAACGATCGGCCAGAAGGAGCACCGTCTCGGGCTCTCGTCTCTACATGGATCCGATTCGCTAGATCCATTTTCGCCCGTTCGTTCACGCTAGATCGCGAAGACGCTTCGCGAGATCATGTAAGGGCCGATCGTCAGCGAGAGAGCGACGTAGCTTTCTCGCGCGACCGCCTTTGCAGATAATTATCCGCAATCGCTAATCGCGGCGATTGATCGATATAGGATAGAAGTGCGCAAGACGCTGAGGCCAACGAGACCGGGGAGAATATACCAGTGCCGCGCGATAACTCTCATCGAGAATCTCGGTCGGATCATCGGCAAAATAAAAATGACATGTGAAGGATTCATACAAATTCTCCGTGTAGAATCGCATTTGACGAATCGAGTCCGATTCTCGCCCTGCGCCGCGCGATCGCATCGAGATTACGTTTCTAATAACGAATAAAAGTTAAGATTTGGCGCTGGATACGCGACGCCAACGATGACGACGACGACTACGACGACGTTATTGTCATAAGACACTTGTACGCGTCATGTGTAATTTATAATTCGGCATCGCTTTCGTCTGATTCAGAAAAAATGGCAATCGCCGCGTCGGATTATCAGCTCAAGTGGCACAGCTACGGCGAGCATCTGCACACCTCTGTCGCAACGCTGCTCCACTCGGAGTCTTTCGCGGACGTCCTGCTGGCCACGTCCTGCGGCCGGCACGTGGCGGCTCACCGATTTGTCCTTGCGGCCTGCTCGTCGTACCTCAGTCATATTTTTCAGACATGCCATTTCGGCGCGAACACCAATGCTCCGATAATTGTGGTTGGTATTGAATTATGCCTCGAATCCTTCCTCATACAGTATCCCTGTCCTCATAAGGACATCCTTATCCATACAAAATTCCAGATAATACGGTATATTTTAGCAACATTTTCTGTGGGTCCGAGATACTGTCTTTTCTTCATTTATCGTCAAATTGCTCGCAGACTCCGAACGGGATGTATGTTACAGCTAATTCGCTACGTGATTCCTGTGCTTCAGGTATTACCCACAGAGATCGGATACCGCACGCTGAAGATCCTGATACAGTATATGTACAGCGGTGAGGCCACCGTGGCGAACGATCAACTGGAGGGAGTCTTAAAAGCAGGCGATATCTTGCGTGTACGTGGCTTGTGGAGATCGAACACTGGTAGCAAGAAGGAGAACATACAGTCGAACAACCAGAAGATCGAGCGCGACAAGAGAGAGCCGTCGCAGTTGACCGGGCAGATACAAAAGATCAAGCTGATACAACCGACTCAGGAGAAGGTAGTTGAGGGTGCGCAACAGGCGGCCACCGCTCAAAATAATGTACAGACTCAGAAGCCAATCGAGAGGAAGAGCAATGAGAAAATTACCGATGAAAAGACCAACGAATCCGAAACGAAAAAAGTCTTGGAGGAGAACAAAAATAATGAACAAAACAAGAACAAAGAGAATCTCGAGGCGAACGGCAAAAAGAAGAAGGCCGTTAACAGCGACGTTGAGACGAATAAGACGAAGAGCGAAGGTGGCGAAAACGTGAGGCAGTTTTTATACTTAGATCGAACAACGCGATAAAACGAGAACTTCCGTCCAATGATTTAAACCGTGAAGTCTAACGTGTTTTCCCCTTTTTCTCTTTCTTCTAGACCGAACTGAATCTGGAACTGCTAGTGAAGGACGAGCCAATCGATTGGGAAGAAACGATCGATCCGTCGGAATCGCTTACGATAGACCATGAAATCGATATCAAACCAGTATGTAAAATAAGTACAATGAATCGCCCAGCGGATCGTTTTCTTAACGTAGCGATAATTAAATGAGCAATCACAAGTTTTTATTCTTACTCTCATCGTAGGAAATCGTACACAGTGCGGACGAGGATGGAGACATGGAGGAAGAAGAGTATACACCATTGACATGCGACATGTGCAGTCAAACGTTCAACAGGCCGTCAGATTGGGTGAGGCATATAGAATTCACGCACGCTGACATGACCGAAAATCGGAGAAAGAAACGGAAGGTACGCATTCTCGCGTGTTCTATTCGAGCGATACGTTTATATGTACGCGAAACGACAGACACTCCTTGAAACGGAAAGACACGTTTTCAGGACGACGTGAACGATGACAGCAAAGACTTCCCGCCGTTGAAATGCGACCTGTGCGGTAACATGTACTCCACACCGCAGGAATGGGTACGTCATATACAAACGGAACACACGGAGGAACAACTGGCCTTGATGAACAATTCGGCGCCTCCGAAGCCGAAAAGGGTTCATAATCATCAGAAGTTATGCAACATATGTCAAAAGGAATTCCCAAGTCACGCCTCGATGGTCATCCACCAGAGAACGCATACAGGAGAAAAGCCCTTCCTCTGTTCCTACTGTAAAAAAGGCTTCAACGTAAAGAGCAATTTGCTGAGGCACTTAAGGACACTGCATGACAAATACGTGCATCCTAGCTTGTACGGGAGTAACGGTAGCACGAATGCTTAAGTCCCCTCACATTTCTTTCCGACGCGTGTATGTTTCTGTTTGCATGGCTCAGTCGTGGAGAGAAATCATACAGTATCGTTCTGTAAATTCAATTTTATGTCTGTAGACTGACCGCGTATCTATACTGTAATAATGTATTCGGATGCCAAATCAGATTCACGTGATGACGGACTAAGCGTCGAGATCTGTGTGAATCTCCACTGATAAGTCACTGAGCGCATCTGAAGAACTTCACAATGCATTTTGGAGAGAAATCTATACAAACTATTTTTTCTAAAGAGTAGTAAAAAAAATCGCGTTCTCTTTATATATGATAATCTTCATTTTAACGATGTATAAAATAATAGAGCTCCTCTCGTTAGTGACTTTGGATTCTTGAGTTGAAACCAGAAAGCAATATCAGGGTTTTAATACCAAAGAGGCTGATTAATATTGCCAAAATGTCTTGTTTCGTTATTCTGAATCTTTTTCCTTCTCTATAATGTAGCGTGCACGCATAAAAAGAAGAACGTTGTTTTATTGGAAATTTTGTTTAAATATGAAAGACAAATGCTGAATAACTTAACTACTTCTAGAGATCTGTCGAGGAGTGCTTGCGTGTAAAATAATTCTATAGTATAAATCAATATTTAACACGATTAATTATAATTATTGACTTAATTATTTAGTGATTATACGAAATCCAAACTATTTAAGATTTAACTGTATACTTCTAGGCTATTCCATCCATGATAGCCCTTTTATTCCCTCAGCTCGTAAGTTAATTATGTATTTTTATATTAAAGTAGCTTATACACACAAACGTATAAGAGATAAGATACTTGCATTAAGCAAAAACTTGGAATTTCGATTAGGCTAGGTATATAAGAGTAATATATAATTCAAAATTCATCAAATTTTTTGGAAATATATTGAGTTCTTCTTATATATAAAAAAAAAAATGATGCGATATTATCAAAATACTGTCACAGTCTCTGGAACATAACAGTAATAATGTGAATATTGATTAAGAGGATGACACCATTTTGCTATATTAATCATTGTGTCACTCTACCTATGAATTTTAGTGTCAATTCTGCATTGCGCTAGCACTGTGACGAGCCAAATGACTTTTAAATGTAAAATTAAAATAATATATTACCTTAAAAGTACTCTTTTTAACTTTGCCTTACTTGTACCTCAAATATAAACATATCGGGACACTTAATTTTTGTTATTTACCAAAATATATATGTCTAGCGTTATATTCTCGCAATTACAGTGTCAAGCCAATTAATCTCTTTTTCTAACGAAATAAATATGGCGACATTAGAAACATTGTGGCAGAATTTAAATTCAAACAATATCATATTATGGTATAATAGCGATAATTACAACTTATCGGTGTATCAATTTACGCTTTGCGCTATTTTAATTTTCTTCCTCGTCGTCGATTTTGGGTGCCAGATAATACCTGATGTGTCCAATATCGCCGATCTTATATTCACATACCAGAGGAACATCATCAGACATAGACAGTTGAACTTGATTACATAGAGGACCGGCTTTCACGAAGCAATTCAAATAACGACAAGCAAATGTTAATTTTACTGGCTCTTGCATATTAATTATTACTGCTTCCTCTTCATTATCCGCATCCGCAGTCTGCGCTAATTTGATATTAGCTGCAAGAAAAAAGAAGCAATATGTGTAATGATTATATGATATATATGTACATATATTATATTAATTATAAACATGCTACAAGTCTCAAAATTTTTATATTAACTATATAAATCTCTCTCTATGTATGTATAAATGCATCTAACATATTCTATATAGCTTTTGTGTTTGATTATAACAAACAGTACATGTTTATGTTTCTATCAAAGCAGTTTATGTTCTATCAAGGATAAAAATGTAAACAGAAGAAAGTATATATAACACATGACCTTTGCTCAAAAGATCAGGAGATAAACATTTCAAATACATTCCCTATTTGAAGTTAAATTATCCAGTCAGTTTGCACCTATTGTGCCATAAACACAAGTGCTGAATTTTGAATCAAGTACAGAAGAATTTTGATTCCAAAAAATGACGAAAGCAACTCTAATTCATGACACAAACGTAAGTAGATAAGATATAAAAGGTAAACTACATAATTACCACATATTTATTTTTAAAAAATACAAGAAGCTTACCTGAACCATAATCACCAGAGGCGCTGAATTTTATACCTTCCTTAGTACAAGCAAAAGTTATGGATTCTCCAAATTGACTCAGATCTCTGCATATGCGTGTAAATTCTCCAGATGGCATTTTGACCACACATGAGTATGAGGTTTCCTATAAAATGATCAAGAGCATTGTACAATTCAGTCAATTATTTTATGTAAAAGGACCTTACAGGAATGCCAAGGTGCTCTTGATCCATATTAATCAGCTTCATTTCATACTCAGCAAGCTTCTCCTTATTTGGCGATTCAAATATAAAAATAACAGATTCTGGATTATCCCATGCTCTAAGGGTTACCGTATCTTCCGCACCAGCACATCGTAGAATTTTTGACATACTAAAAAACATTAAACAGTGTTTATCATAACACAGTCATAAAAATTACCTCAACAATCTGAGTTGAGAATTAATGGCTGTGAATTTCTCTTTTGTATTTTTTGTATTTTCTTTTTATTTTCTTTTCTTTCAAATTGTGTATGTATATAATATGTATATATTACATAGCACAAACTATGTAACAAATTCATTCCTTTAGTGTGGAAACTTTAAAATTTATGACAATTTTAAGATATACTATGTTGACTGCAGTAATTAATATTTTAATGATTAAATATTACAACTTATGATTGAATTCAAAGAGCTTCCAAATATTTCGAAACAAACTCATGTACAAATTTCTTTTACAAAATGTAAAAAATATTTACGTGTAAAAACTAAAGTTGAAGGTATAAATTGTTTTATCTCTTTCGTTCAAAGTGCAGAAAGTGTAAGCAAGAGAACAAATCCTATTTTTCTTTGTTCGACGAGCGCGTTAATGACCAGAGGATAACCTCCAAATCAGCAAGAATAATTTTCCTTGTCTTACCAACTAATACTCATGCCCATTGAAAGGTTCCGATCACAACGATACTTGTCGAAACCATCGCTTCTGAGATTTAAGGAGACCAACGAAACGTGAGCATTGTCCATTGCCTGAACTTGAATGCCCGAGTCGGAACATTCGAACGTTGCTTCGGTTAAAAGATCCTTTACAGCATCCAATACCTTCTTCAAGATTGCACTTTGTATTAAACGTGCCTCAAACATGGTGCCGTTGATAAATTCGATAATCTCAATTAATCGGTGAAATGAAAAGCAGATTGGATCGGTACCCGTAGACAGACCGACGCAATAAGTATTCTCGCGGCTTCTTCAGCTAACAATTACCCGCGCTTTACTGGCCGTTGTTTTTGGGGCGGAAGTAGATGGCAGCTGTTAAGCAGATATAAACTGTTGAAGATATATCCGGTGTTCAAATCCATAAAATACTTAGATCACTTTCTAGGTTTCTTTTATATTTTTCTTTCTTTTTCTTTCAATGTCTATTGAAATATTTATTTCATTTTTAGAACCAAAAGCATAATATAGTACAAAAAACAAACATGATCTACGATACAGCACGTAAAAGAATAAGTAAATATAGTTTTACTCTTTTTAATTTACAACTGTATGTACAAGAGTATATTATTATTAATTTCTGTAACGTGACAAGATTTTAATCTGCTAATCATAATTGACATCAATTTGTAAATTTGTATTCAAGCGTATTTAATAATGACCAATGGTTAATTCTCTATTATTCATAGACCTCAATATAAAAAAAACATTATTGAATAAAATGATGAATAAACATAAACTGATTACTACAAAAAGTACATAAAATAATAATTTTAATATAATTTAGTTCATTACATAATTTCGGGTTTATATATATGTATCTGAACCTTATATTCAAATTTATTGGAAAAGATAATAATTACAAAAGACTCCTAAACTGTAGCTATATTGAATATTGACGTTGTGAGAAAGTGAGGAAGCATGCGTATTTTCTCATACTTCTTACATACTGTAATAAATTTTTTTTACATATTATCACCTGCATTTAATATAAAAATTGTATATGTAATAGTAATATGTAAAACGCTTTCTATTTTGTTATCCCTTGTTAACAAATGTACATATTGTTCAATCTACGTATGTTCTATATCTTCAACGGAAATGGATTTTATAATTGTATAAAATTTACGATTATTTGTTACTACGAAACAAAAAAAGTCAGTATATTTGACTAATTCATACTATTGAACGCCTATAATGGCATGCGGAAAAAATTCAATTATTTCGATATACAGTGTGAGAAAAAGACCACGTGATTTCTCGCTTTTGACGTCATAATTCAATTTGACTGCAGTGAGATAAATTGTAGACAGGAGCCTTAATTAGAATAATGCTTACACTATCATATTTAAATACATGCAGTCTCATTCGTTACGTTATATAGCTACATACATAATATGTACACATTAAGTATGGGACAACTGTTAGGGGCGGCGTGATTATGGATATTGAAATGATAATTTATTTAATTTTTCAAGAAACCGATGTCGCCAGTCATATTTTCTAATTCGCTAAACATCTCGTCGAGATGCTGAAACAAAAAAATGTCAAATATATATATATCGATCTTAAATAAATATAAATTTATTAATGCATTAATATTTACATCTGTTGGTTCCTCTTTATCATCTTGTGGTACTTTATCCTGCGGTTTATCATTGAATGTTATATTTCCATCATCGTCGATATCTTCATCCTCATCATCTTGTTCAAAATCATCATCATCAGAATTATCCGATTCTTCATCATCATCATCATCATCATCATCGTCGTCGTCGTCATCGTCATCATCGTCGTCATCGTCATCATCTGATTGCATGTTACAAGGCATATCCATTTCATCGTAATCTACAGGTTCCTCTTTTATTTCAGTAAGCATTATCGTTTCTTCCACGGTTTCTGTTTCTGTTGGACATGGTGGTGGAGCTTCTGATGCTGAAGGTATTTGAGGAGGCTGCGAGGTCTAAAAAAACATTAATGTACCAATGTACTAAATATGACTTAATATGACTAACTACTTATTATCTACTAACTACTTATTATCTCTTGTTAACAAATGTACGTATTGTTCAATCTACGTATGTTCTATATCTTCAACGGAAATGGATGTTATAATTGTATAACACAACGAAACTAAAATGTGATTAATGTAATCAAAAAATTAATCGAAAGATAATTAAAAAATTATCTTTTTAAAAATAAATTTCACTATTTCATTGATTTCATATGGTCATGTATAACATAATCGAATTGATATCTTAGAATTCGTAAACATTTCGCTATTTAAATATTCTTTAAGTTCAACAAGTTAATATTTTTGTTTGGTAATTATTAATCAATAGAATAAATGAAATCAATCAACGTGATTGACATAGTACACAGAAATAATCTCAATAACTGGTTTTTCTTTCAAGATAAAGATCTATACCCAGGGTTGTTGTTGTTCTTGTACTGTCTTAGCTGATGTAATCGAAGTTGGTAATGTAGATGAATGAGAATTCGTATTTTGTTCTGGAGTTTGCAATGCTGGTTTACTATTTTGTGCTTTATTAGAATTATCTTGCAATCGCGCTTCTATATTCATTTCTTGATTTGTCGATGGTTTATCCGTGTGGTTGATTTTATCCTCCTTCTTCACTTGATTTCCATCCTCTTTCACTTTTTTAACACCAGATTTAGGCTCAACATTATTCGCTTTCTGTTCCTTTTTCACTTGCGCGGCATTACTGAGCTCGTCTTTAACTTTCTTAAACTCCTCTTTAACTTTCTTAAATTCCTCTTTAACTTTCTTAACATTAAGCTTAGGTTCGCCGGGAAGACAAGTGTTGCCTCTTTGCCGTCTAAATCTAACAATAATACTCCTCGTATCCCACATTAGGTCATGCGCTTGTTTATAAGCTGATATTGATTCATCTACACTATTATACCTTATAAAAGCATATCTGTAACAAGACATAAATATTAATATAAAGATGAAGTTGTCAAAGATAATTTATACCTGCATCTGGGAATTAAAGAGTTAATATTCATTTCGTTGATAATAAATATATTTACACACGTTTAAAAAAAATATATATAAATATATACACTTAGAAAATATATAAATAATACTCACCGAGTATTTCTCATCTTTTGCGCATATCCTACATCTACTCGTGCAGCAGTTGGAAATTTACTTTTTACTTCGTTTACATTAACAGACTCAGGCAAATTTCCTATGTATAAAGTATAGGGATCTATCTCTTCTGGCATTGGGTTATCTTCGTCTCGTAACGACTTCCTCTCGACTTTTAAGTGTCCTGTGCCAAACGGAATTTTTTCCAACTCTTTTATAGTGTCGTCTATATTTACATTCTCTGCCATCTGGATGAAACAATATCTTGGTCCACTCGGACTTTGAAAATGTATATTTTGTATACCAGGATGGAATAATCTAACGATATCCTTATTCAGATCTGGATCAGGGAATTTAATTATTAAGCTTTGCGCTTTAACTGTCTTATTGTATTCATTTTCAGTCTTAAGGGCTCTCTCCGCGTCCTCTCTATTCCAAGGTCTACTAGGATAGCTCTGGGACATTGGTTTCCTCTGTTTATTCTTCTTCACTACGACTTCCTCCTGAAAAAAATATATTTAATTAGGATTATCCACCATACCAAATATATATTGTACTCAAATATATTTACCGATACAATTTTTTCATCCTGGTTCTCTGTTTCCTCACCATGCCTGCTAGTTACAATTCCCGTTGGGAGAGATGGTATAGGATGATTAGGTAGAGGAACAGTCATGTGATTGATAATAACATCATTCCCTGTTGTAGTATAATTATTTCTTTGCCATTCTAAACCAAGACTGCTTGCCAATGTTGGATTAAAATATGCTGTTTGTTCAAATTGACTCTGTGACTGCCCAACCCTTGCCGGCCTTCTATTTTTACGATGAAAGTTATTTCTTTGACCATACATATAATTTCTATTATGAGTGAATCTTTCACGTCGTATGTAATTACCTCTAAGAGGCATCTCTCTTTGAAATGTATTAGTAATCTCACGTGGAGTTGGAGATGGTAAGGGAGATGTTTGTGTAGCTATCCAATGCCAAGGATTGTGTGCATGTGTCCAAGTTGAAATAGGAGCGACTTGGGAAGGCACTGGTCCAAATACATGAGGTTGGGGTGGAACTCCACTAGGAGGTGGCATAGCAGGCAAAGGTGGTTGTCCTGGTAGTGGCTGAGCGATAGTGGATGGTGATGAACTCGATGACGAGTAATTAGCATACGAGGAAGCTTCGAAGCTGTAGTTCATTGATTCTTGTTTGACAAAGGTCTGTTTACTTTCACTGTCTTCTTCAGCTACCTTTAGTTTCAACTGTAAAGATCAGGAAATCATGAATTAAAACGGCAAGAATACATCGTAGTGCGCAAATTTTACGACATGTACGACCAAGAACTGCTACGTTGGTGTTGCAATGGCATTATCGCGTGAACGATATCAGTACAAACAAGTACGAAAATAACGTCTAAGCATTGACAAGTTAACCTAGAATAATGTTATTATCGGACGACAGTAAGCACATGGCGCATCACTCGAATCGCCGCGGCGAGGCCGTAGAAAATAGAAATCTGAGCATTACCGTGCGCTTCATATTGCAGACACGTATCAGTGTGGTGCGATCTTACATGGAAGCAGCGTTTCCCGAGTTACAACGTAAACACATTGTATAGGCGTGAGTGAGGAGCGGAGATAGTATTACGAGAAACACCAGGGATACCAACCCCCGCGCGACGATTTTTGCAGGAAATAAATAAACAAGAACGACCCTGACCCCGCTGCGGTGATCTCGCGGAATTAGCGCGTTATGCAATTTGTCGTTTCGCGCGGTCGCGTCGCATCGAATGTTGCATCGCGCCGTTTACGCTCCATGGGCCACCAGACACCCCGTTTCTTTCTTTTTCAAGCTATCGATCTGCACGACGCAACGCAGCGTGTGCCACACACGCTGGACACAACGTGAGCACAGGTGTATCGCGATCGAAGCGAGAGTGCGAACGAGCTTCGAGCACAAGTCGCGCGATGCGTGATCCAAACTGTCACGGACAAACATTCGCGACGGACAATGAAGCCCTGACAACACGTCCGTGTGTACGGAACGCGACGCGCTCACGTTCTCAGTTGGAGGTTTTATCACATCGCAAGGTCGACCACGAGTTATGATGCTGGCGACGTTTCCCTCGGCAGCTTGAAGTACACCATGTATTTACCGCCCACGCGGATCGAACTCAAATTCGAATTTTCACTTACGCGCGACTCGCGCAATTTCGCGATATCGCGGTGATAAAATGTATATATCGTTCACTCCACTATTCACTCGCTCTTGGCATTCCTGAAAGAACAGAATTATTCGAATGTATTTTTTATTTTAATGATTTTTATTCTAATAAAGCCTCAAGTTGTTATCGCGCGCGCACACACACACACACACACAACACGCGCGCACACATACACACACTACACATATGCTATACATATTACACACACTACACATACTATATATACTACACACACATACACACACACAAAATACACGCGCACGTACACACACATACTATTTACACTACACTACATTACACACATAAATTAAAGTACGCGCATTGGCGAGAGTACATTTTGCTGAAATGTGTTGACAAATTCGAGCAACGAAGGACGAGAAACCTGATTGATCGAACCTGATCTGTTCGATGCATTAATTAACATTGACAAACTTGAAATTATATTGCAAAATATATTGCTTACGTATAATTTTATATGCGAGATGCGTCTTTAAAGCTGCGTTTAGTTTTCTCCAGAGCTAAACATTCTTTTCCAACCAATATTTTGTTGTAGTTTTATTTTAATACACTGCATTTCGTTATATAGGCATTATCTTTACTTGATTTAAAAACAATGTATAGAGATAGATTAGCTGGTGATCAGTATAATAACTTTTCGTAGCGGAACCTCTGTCAACAACACCGATTTCATTTCGAAGGTCGTAGCTGCAACTACAACGAACAAAGCGCTACCTGCGCCCCGAAAGTCGCCGAAAAAGGCGCGTCACACGAAAAAGAAACGTGGCGGCGCTGCCTGTACTTTACCGAAAGTACCCGAAGAGACAGTCGAAGACGTAAAGCCAACTGTGACGGTTTTCAGACCGCAGACTATATTATTAGAGCGCCCACATCGAAGGGATATGGCTACAAGCACAACGGAGGAAATCGAGGTATATTCCCAGCAACGAGAACTATAATTACGTTGCCATGCGTTGCGATCCCTCGTGTCAATAATTCGTTAAGTTTGATAAAGGAGTATCTCAATTTCATACAACAGCATGGTCGTTTTCGAACTTTCTATATCCTTTCCCTCCACGTCCCACCAACTATCACCATCCCGTACTTCAATATACTGTAGAAAGTATCCTAGAAAAGCGAAAGTTACAACGATCTTGTACTTGTAAAAATACCGGACGGCAGTGACCGTTTCGTCAATTTATAAATATACTACATTATATATATTCGTTATATATCGTGAACACGTGTAAATTGCGAAAGATTGCGAAGGAGCAATTGGGAAGGGACGATGAGGATTATCGTATAGGTTATATACGACAGGCTGAGCATAAGATATAATCAGCTAATTTCCGAAGTAACATGGTCACGTTCGATTAGGACACGATTTTGCGTCGCGCTGAGATAAACAACATGGAATCTGTTTTTAGGAAATCGATCGGAAGCAAACGGAAGCTGTGAATTCTGGTGAATTCCCACCTGAATATTTAATTAAACATCCCTTGCAAAATACTTGGACTTTATGGTATTATGAACCTGATAAAAGTAAATCATGGGAAGAGAGTCAGCGGGAAATAACAAGTTTCGATACAGCTGAGGATTTCTGGAGGTAATGATTTTCCTTTTCCTTGCATATGGTAAATAGTTTTTATGAATTGTAAAACAAATTTGAAAAAAAAAATATTTTTCCTTTGCAGTTTATATAACCACATAAAAACAGCTTCTGAATTAAGGCAAGGTTGTGACTATAGCATGTTTAAACAAGGAATTCGGCCTATGTGGGAAGATGAGCAGAATAAATGTGGTGGACGATGGTTAATAAATCTAGATAAAAAGCAACGTTTTGCAGATCTAGATAATTTTTGGTTAGAAATTTTACTTTGTATGATCGGAGAAGCTTTCAATGAATATTCAGATGATGTATGTGGAGCTGTAGTAAATATTAGGCCAAAAGGGGATAAAATTGGAGTTTGGACCTCAAATGCAAATAGTGAAGATAGTGTTATGGAAATTGGGTAAGCTATTAAAATTGAGGAAAAATAAAATAAAACAATAAAATATTTCTAGGTTGCTAAATCCTTGTTAATATTTTTTTTTATTTACAGGCGTAAATTAAAAGAAAGATTGAGGATCACACCTAAAATGTCTATGGGATATCAAGCACACAAAGATACTATGGTTAAAGCTGGAAGTCAAACAAAAAATACTTATACACTTTAAATATCTTTCTTTTTTTATTTTAATACTTATGTTAAATAAACACTCTAAATTCATATAATCCCTACATTGTCCAGTATGATATTAATCTCAGAAACTAGTGGATAATGTTATATTAACAAAACTATTTAAAATATAAGTTTATATTATATTAAAAAAATTAAATCTTGAAAGCATGTTATATTGCCATTATGCTTGTCTTTCCATAATGATGAAATTAAATGAAAGAATAATTAAATTATTAATTAATAACTCGACATGTACAACCTTATGTTGATGTGAATGGTAGGATTGAAGTTCAAGTATATTTAATGAAAAATATGTGCAAACAACTGTATTTTCCTGTGACTGGTGATATGATCGTGTGATTATAAGTTTATATGCTTGGATGCGTTTGTGTAACTTCATCTTTGAGCAAATAAATTCTAGTAACATTTCTATATATATATAATTTCTAGTAATATTTCTATATATGTATATTAGACATTTATTTACATACATATATATATGTATATATATATATATACACATATTTTAAGAATTTATAAACCAATTTATAAATTTTATAAATTAATATGTGACATTTTTCTTTTTGCAATAAAATATTAGAATATAGCATCCACAGTTTTATTTGCAATTATGTCAAATCGCAAATTCTTCACTGAAAGTAGTTTTGGCAAACTATATTGCATAGTTTCCTTATATATATTAAAAATATATAAATGTGCATAGTATTTTTATTTATTTGTGTGACTTATAATTAATTAAATTCTATCAACTTAATATTTCTAAATTTTTTTTTACTTTATATATACTTTATATATTGTATATATCTTTTATTATTAATAAATGGTATAAAAATTTCTTAAATCATGCTTCATATCTAAAATTGAATATTATAAATTAAAACCATTACAAGATTTGATAATTTTATAATTAATATGATATAAAGTTAAAGGATATGAAAAAGTAAAATTCATAACAATTATGATACAGACAAATAATTAAAATATGCTTTATATGATTTATAAGTGACAAACATGAAGGCATTAAATATATAACTTACATTATAAAGATTATTAAAATTTCAGAAAAGAATTGTACAGATACATACTGATATATTATCTTTTATCTTTATGAGATACCATTAAATCTTCTACAAGTTCCTTAAGATCTCTGCGCCTTCCTTTTTCCAAAGCTCGTATTAAATCTATTGTCCATCGTTCTTTATCAGATTGTGATATATAAATCTTCAAGATCTACAAAAATTGTATAATTTAGTGTAAACTGAAACTCAAATTTAATCTTTAATTTATATACACAACTAATTTATATATACAATACAAATATAGAAATATTTATATATGTAAACTTATAGCTTACCTCAAAACTTTGCTCCTTTAAATCACAAGGATATTTATTTTGTACAGCATCAATTTCACATTCTCTAATACCTAAATATCTAGCTACATCTCTCCAAGATCGACCTAGTCTCTCACTGATCTGGAGCAATACTTAAATAAAAATAAAAATATCAAAATAATAGTAAAGCTATGTACATGAAAATGAAAAAAAAAATTAAGAAATTAAATGAAACATGTTTAAAATCTTAAGTTAATAGTTTAGTATTACCTGTTTGTTGTAATGATTTTCTTCTGTCATCTGTTTTTCCTTCTTGTTCAGAATAGTATTTCTGTGTGATATTACTAAATGATAGAGTTAAGTTTTGTATTGTTGATTCATGTGAACTACATGTGGAACTACAGGCATTATGTGATCCTGAAGATGATGCTACATTTTCTGTAGCGTTTTCATGGTTCTGTGGTCTTACTGTTATAGAGAAACATAAATTATTAAAATTTAATATTATACTACCATTATAATTCAGTAAATCATTTTATATCAATTAATATATAACACTATATCAAGAGAAACATTTTATAAACTTTTATATTACTATAACTACATGTTAGTTCTTTTCTATAATAAGATATAAATTCTATAAATAATATAAAATATAAATTAATCCATAAAAAATATTAAAAACAATATTTACTATTATCACTTTGGTACATATTATAAAAAGGAAACGGTGGTGCCATTTTCTGCACCCAATTTTCATATTTCAGCAATTTATCTTCCAACTCTGGCTTGCCAATGAACTTTGTTATAAACCATAACTGTTCTATATTGTCACAACTAATGATATCTCGTTTCTCTAGCAATCTTATAAACGTTTTGAAATCTTTTGCTTTGCTTAATTTTCGCCTTGAATCAATTTCATGTGCATAATTGTGCTTCAATTGATTTAAGATATTACTATCTATAGCAGGCTCAACTACATTGAGGAAATCTTGACGAAGTGATTTATATCTCTCGAGCATCGTACTCATTCTTTAATCTAATCAATGTATGCTAAAACTCCGTTTCATATAAAATATTCGGGAATACCCGTTCACGTTCGAAATTTGTGCACACAGATGTCAAAGTCGTAATTGTAAAAGACGTCTAAAAAATTACATGTATATTCGCGATAAATGTTTGTATAACTAATAACTAAATATATTCATATTATATAACCACTTTGTTATAAATTCTATAATTTTTACGTAGATCATACATTTATACATAAAAAATTTGAGAAAATAAGGATTCAATCGTTAGTCTGTTCTTTTTAACTGCACTACTGAACTGGTACAATAAGTTAAAAGTAAGAAAAAATATAGGTGTCTCATTCTAACTTATTGCACTTGTTCCGCAGTGCAATAAGTTAGAATGAGACAACTATATTTTTTCTCACTTTAACTTATTGCACCAATTCAGTAGTGCAGCTGAAAAGAACAGACCACGTGAGACGTTGGCTGCGTTCCGATATTCACTGCCAGCACTGAAAATCTATAATATACGTGATACAAACTATGTATTTTCAATACTGGCAGTGAATTTTGGAACACAACCGTTGTTGAATATACACGTATGTCATACGTACCAATGGCCGCGTTCAGTAGAACAAAGTGATCAGAGAGCGCTTAGTGATTATTGTCTGTGACTGGAGCATTTTTTTAGATTCTTCATAGACCCAGAAGTATTTATCAATCAGGAACGAGAATCACTAAGCGCCTACTGATCATTTTGTTCTTCTGAACGCAGCTATTGGCCGCGTTCAGCAGAAGCTGCTTAGGCTGCTTAAGGCCCATCTACAATGGCTGCAAGAATAAGGTTCTAAGCGTAAGCAGTAATACCTCGTCTACAATAGAAGTCGTAGAGTCGTAAATCGTAGAAATTGACCAATCATAGTCCGGTAAGAGAAAAATAATTGACCGCGATTGGTCAATTTGTACAACTTACGACTCTCTGGGTCCGTTCCGTTTCACGCATCGAGCGCATTAATTGCATCGAGAACCATTCCGTTTCAGCTAATGCGTGCATTGGTGGCGTATAGAATTCCCTAGAATACTCTCACCTCTATCGCATGAAGCGCGCATCAGCTACTACAGCTCGGACTAGAAGCAGTTGATGCGTGCATGCGCAGATTAGTATTTATAATCTTTTATATAACCCTATTTAAATACTGACAACGTGACGTGACGACTGATATATTTAACATACCGATATTTTTTTATTTTAAACATACAGATAATCACAGATACGTACAATGGACAAAGTCGACAAAGTTGAATTCCCCGTATTAGTGGATAACGAAATGATCACTATGTTTCTCGAAAAAGAGATCGCGTTAAGAGCATCGAAAGGTAAAATTGAAATTTTAAAGTTTTAGAAACAATTCAATTGTATTTTTAAATTAATACATGTGTGTGAATATTTTTCTACAGATCAAGATTTCTTGATAAAATATAGACTCACTACTACTACTACTACCACTGCTGTTAACTCTATTGTCATCATTCACTAATGAAAATAAGGCTATTGTTGTCAATGTTTCGATGTCCATTGTGACCATGGTAGCATCCATTTTTCCTTTCACATCAAACGCATCAAAAGTCGTTCCGTTTCCAAAAGCGCATAGGCGCATTAACGAAAACGGAACGATATCAATGCGCGCAACGTATTGGTTGCGATCGATGCGCTCGATGCGTAAAACGGAACGCAGCCTCTGACTTTTATTGTAGACGAGGTATTAGAAATAGACCAACCACAATCGATTATTATAAGAATAATCGATTATGGTTGGTCCATTTCATAAGGCTCGTCTACAATAGCTGTAAGAGTAAGGCTGTAAGGCTGTAACGTAAGCTGTCAGCGAATGAAAATATTTCATTTCGTGTCTTGCAATCTTACAGCCTTACTCTCAAGGCTCGTCTACAAAAGCTGTAAGAATAAGGCTGTAAGGCTGTAACGTAAGCTGTCAGCGAATGAAAATATTTCATTTCGTGCCTTGCAACCTTACAGCCTTACTCTTACAGCTAATGTAGACGAGCCTTTACAGCTAATGTAGACGAGCCTTTAGTCCATGCGTCCATGCGGTATCGATAGAAGCGAAAATATTTTTCTTTATCGTCGGAGAAGGACGTATGGGTACACCCTTCTACCTAAAGCCATATACCAAACTGAACTGATTTCTTTATCGTCGATGTACTAAAACGTGTTACTAAAAAATTAAATTATGGATAAGAAAAATAAAATACAATATCTCATTGTTGACACGAGTGCCTTTATAAAAAATGCTAGTTTGCAGGTAATTATTACACACATTTCCTTTGAGTAAATGAATGTAAATTATTTCATTCAATTTGAGGTTATATGCATAGAATATTTTTATTGATATCAATCGGTGTAATCTTATTTAAAATATAACTCATTGAAAACTCCACACCACACAATATGAATGTTTAATATAAAAAATATTTATTCTTAGGATATTGGTATAAATATTTTTACTGAACAAGCTGTTATCAATGAAATCACAAACAAGAGACAATTAAGAAGATTGGTTGTTTTACCCTATGATTTAGAAGTTCAAGAGGCTTTTACTGAAAATATTAAATTTGGTTAGTAAAACTTAAAAATTTTAGATTATTTAACATTTCTGTCAATATTATGTTGATATTAATTATACAATTGTTATATTTATAGTAACTGAATTTGCCAAAAAAACTGGTGATTACACTAGTTTATCAGCTACTGATATCAAAATAATTGCACTTACTTATCAGTTGGAAAAAGAGAAAATAGGAACAGACCATTTGAAAAATATTCCAACTACAAGAATTGTTAAATCTACTGCTGAGAGAGACAAAGAAAATGAAGATAATCTTAAACCACCAGTTGGTTTTTATATGCCAAAGAAAAAAGTAAGATATTTTATATACATGCATGTACATGTGTGATATATATATATATATATATATATGTATGTGTGTACAAATATCCACACATATTTCCTATATATATTTTTTCTGTCAATAAAAATTTATATTTTACATATAGGAAAAAACAGAATTAAATGCAGATAAGACAGAAACTTCTTCGCAAAATATAGAAGAAACAAATATTAAAGAAAATATAAACATACAGGTTATAGAGGATTCAGCAGCAAATAATATAATAAATGATACAAAAAATCAAGATCAATCTTTATATATATGTGATGTTTATAATGCATCTTTGAATAAATCAGATTATGAGACATCAGAACCAGAAGAATGGGAAACTAAAAATTTATCTGAGAAATTTGCTAAATTGACATGTGATCCAACAGATTTCAAAGTTGAAGGTGAGGATGAGAATAAAGACCTTGTGAATGATATCCTTGTCCCAGTTGGAACAACAAAATCTAAAGATAGACAAGGTAATATGGAATTGATTCTGGATGAAGATTATAATTGTGATGACAATGACAATAGTGATGATGATGACGACGACGATGGTTGGATCACATCAGGTAAATTTGATTTTATGATTATAATCTTTTGATGAAGTTTTGTATATATTCAAATATCAATTTTTAATATATCTTTTTTAAGGTAATCTTGCTGACATAAAAAAACAAATGGATTCCGCAATACTCGAGGAAAAAGCTGCAACTGTAGCATGCTTAACGATGGATTTTGCTATGCAAAATGTACTCATGCAAATAGGACTAAATGTAGCTACATTAGATGGCAGAATGATTAAACAGATGCAGACATTTATATTCCGATGCTATGCCTGCTTTAAGACTACTAGCATCATGACGAAAGTTTTCTGCCCACATTGTGGCAATAAAACTCTGAAAAAAGTGGGAGTCACATTAGATGAGAATGGAAAGCAACAATTACACATAAATTTCCGAAAACCTCTCTCAGCCAAAGGAAAGAAAGTATGTTACGTTATTTATTGATACAATATTAATATATAATTTAATAATATATATTGAAATGAGAAGAACTAATAAGATTGATAATTTTTTTTTCCAGTTTTCTTTACCAATGCCAAAAGGTGGAAAGCATTCGAATAATCCTATTTTATGCGAAGATCAACCAATGCCGAATCAATGTCCAACACGATTAGCACGTACTAAAAATAATCCGCTTGATAATGATTTTATCAATATAATTGGATATTCTCCATTTATTACACGTGACGTAAATTCGAAGTCAGCTATATTAGGTATAAGATCAGGTGGTTCTTTCAAGTATTGGATGAAAAGAAATCCTAATGAATCTAGAAAGAAACAAAAATAAAAATAATTGTTTTTCATCAGTTACTTATCATTTCAGTACTTGTATTTATTATATTAGCTATGCGAATCATTAAATATAAATATATGTTGCATGTTTATATTCATCCTATATAATATATATAGTGTATATAATATTTGTATGATTTATATATAATCTATCTGATTTATTGCAAACACAAAATGGTAACTAGAATTTATTATTCTTGATCTCTAAATTGTATTGAAGGTACAAAAAATTTGCCCCGGGTGAGGATCGAACTCACGACCTTAAGATTATGAGACTTACGCGCTGCCTACTGCGCTACCGAGGCTTGTGCTACTTCGTTCTTATTTACTAAGATATAAACGGAATTAAAGTTATTATCTGTAAATTATAAAAAGATAGAAAGATAATTTTTCCTATCACAAAAGTTTTAACCGTTTAATAATAAGTTCTAATCGTTTTATTGAATACCTCCTGTCTATTAATTTCAACATGGTAGATAAATACAATTCTTGGGTTTATTTTTTTATTTACATTTTCTATGCTTAGGTGTTGATACACCCTTTTACAATAGCTGCGACAAAATCATTCATTAGTAAACAAGTCAGGACCATCTAAATATGCCGTAAGCCCATTCTACATTAGTCGCAAAGTCGCAAGCAAATTAACCAATCACAGTTAATTATTCTTCGATCTCAAGGAAAACAATCGATCGTGATTGGTCATTTTGCTTGCGACTATGCGACTTGCAACTAAGGCCTGGGTACCTATTAAGGCTCGTCTACAATAGCTGTAAGAGTAAGGCTGTAAGGCTGCAACGTAAGCTGTCAGCGAATGAAAATATTTCATTTCGTGTCTTGCAACCTTACAGCCTTACTCTTACAGCTAATGTAGATGAGCCTTTATGGAACTCGTCGGAATCGATTCCGATCGAATTTATTTCATTATTTCCTAGAAATCTATTGTCTTTTCTAGGGGAAACGGATTTATTCCGATAGGTACCCTGGTCTACAATACGTGTTGTAAGCTGTAAACCGTAAGAACTGACCAATTATAGCCGATTATTTTTGTAATAATCGACTGTGATTCGCCAAGGTGATTGATAATTCTTCTTTTTTCCAGTTTTCTTTACCAATGCTAAAAGGTGGAAAGCATTCGAATAATTCTATATCCCTATTTATATCCCAGGCCTTAGGCCTGGTCTATAATACGTGTCGTAAGTTGTAAGCCGTAAAGCCCTAAACACAATGCCAGGCAACAGGCAATAAGAATAAAAATAGACCAATCACAATCGACTATTACAAGAATAATCTATTGTGATTGGTTTATTTTTATTCTTACTGCCTGTTGCTGACATTGTGTTTAGGGCTTAAAAATTGGCGAATCACAGTCGATTATTACAAAAATAATCAGCTATAATTGGTCAGTTCTTACGGCTTACACCTACACAGCACCGGACATCCAATGGATGTACGTTTCATGTCCAATTTATGTCCGTATATCCGATTTACGTCCGTGGACATAAATTGGACGTAACAAGGATTGTCCTTATTGGACATCGGACCTGTAGGACGTCCGATGTACGTCCATCGGACGTCCTATGTCCGAAGTTGTGACAAACGTACGTCTTATGGACGTCTTTTGTAAAAAAATGAACATATAACGGACGTCCAATGGACATCCGTGTGCTGTCTGGGGTAGGTCCTCTGGAGAATCAAACTTGAGAAAAATCATAGCCAGTTGATATTCTTGGTGCTATCTCTATGTCAGGCCGAGAACTTTTCAAACTACCCTCGTAGTTTATTTACCATAAAGAAGTAAAATATGGACGAACAACAGCCTTCAACATCAAGTGGCATCGAGAAGAAGAGGAGGAAAGCCGCTACATTTCAAAAAGCATGGTTAGGTATGAATATTTTTAAATACTGGTTAAAACTACATGTAGACATAGAAAAAGTTTTCTGCTCGGTTTATCGCACAGTATTAGCATGCGGCAAGCAAAATTTAATAGCACATTTTCAAACAAAGAAACATGTTTAGAATATGAAGACTCATAATGTCAATCCATCTGTTCCATTAACTGTGAGGTAAAGGTTTTTCTGCAGTTTCCCTTGCTTTTACAACGAATGTTAATATTCATGTAATTGTCTGCAGTTATTAAAAAATACAATATGTTTATTATTAATTATAAACATTATTCTGTTTTTTCACAAAACCTTTCTTTTCTCCCTATAATTCTTTCATTTTTCATTTCAGATAAGGGATCTGACGCTCATATTAAACTATAGATTGAGAATTACTGTCGGATCAATTAAAATAACCACGATTTAGATTATTTAATTTACTCGATTGCAATTCTCAATGCATAGTATAATACAGGCGCTATAATACCTTAAAAAAGATACGATACTGAGACTTACTCAAACAGCGAGTACGTCATCTCACGCATGCGCTGTAGCGTCGCAATATATTGCATTTATACCCGTTTTTACCAACCTTGGTTAAACTAACCGGCTAGTTATTCCAACGGAATTGACCAATCGCATTTGTCGTTAATTAGAATTGACAAACATCATTTGTTAATTCCGATGAAATAACTAGCCGGTTAAATCAACCGCAGTTGGTAGAAAGGGTATTAGCAACTCTGCTTTGTAGACGCCGTTTTAAAAGTCTTTAGTTCGTCTCCGTGGCAGTTGGGTGTGATTTTTGCAAACTACGAATATTTTTTGATCGTGGGGACTGGCGTACGCGTTGTCCTTGTTTTTCTTTTACCTTCATACTACTGGAAAATGGCGTATGGACAAAGCTGAATGCAGTCCGGAGCCATATATTGAACTGAACTGAATTACGTGTGAGTAGCGTTGGAGTATCTATTGTATGCACAGAGCCATCTATTGAAGAAGAAGAACTGAACTGAACGCCGTTTTAACCTCTAAAGATCTTACCATTTCCCGCTGAATATAAACTGTGTTTTGAATATTGTTGCTATGCTCAGTCCGGAAACGTGGGATTTTAAACCACCGCGACATCATTTTTCTGTAGTCAAGAGGGATTATAGAAAAGCAGATGTACCTGCAATGATGAAGAATCATTACTTTAATCATTCGGTAAGTTTAAATGTTTTTCTTTCTTTATTTTGCAGGTTATGTTTTCTGTATATTTTATATTATCCATATCTATTATATCTTTTTCAGATATCTGTAGTTCTTCCTAATATGTTTACTGTTCCTGAAAATTTATTAAATTCTCTATCGGAAGATACCGATTACTATCGAATCAATGCATTGCGTACCTGTGATTTACTAAATAGAGAATTTATTGAAGCCTTTATTAAAAAAGGTAAGCCCTTGTAATTCACCAATATTTGCACTATCAATTATTGCATTATGTAAAATGCATTATGTAAAACTACTTAATATACACACAACTAAATTAAGTTTCTTATAATGCATATAGATTTATAGTTTAATTATATATTTATGTATCTATATATTTAATGGTTATATTTCCTGCTTCTTAGGGCAATTTACTCTCCTAACTGTAGAAAACAAAATAGATTTGGAAAATTCCATTTGTGTAACTCCAACTGGATACTTAATAATTTCTTTGATAACTGAAGATTATCAAGCACTTGGATTAGAGGGAAAAGCTTCTTCCTTTAGTCATAAACCTCATACACGTTATAGTAAGTTATGAAAAAAAGATTGTGATTCAGAATATATTTAAAAAATATTTAAAAAACTTGTTATATTATGCTTGCTATTCCACCAATACATAAAGATGTGTGAAGATACTTTCTCATTTCTTTTTTATTCTTCCTTTTTTTGATTATTACATGTTATTAACAGTTGTGACAATCAATTTAAAAGATGAATGTTTTATTCCTACTAAAAAGAATTATGAGAGAGTTCGAATAACTTTGGAAAAACGGTTCAAACAAAACTTTGATGTAATAATAGCATGGGATCCACCAGGTACATATACTTTTTCCTTTTATGATATATATAACATTCATATACATAATACTCTTAGATGACATTTAAAATTTTCCAGAGACAAATCTTTGCCCATCATCTGTGGCAGCATGGTTTTCCACACATGGTTATAATGTTTGTCTTTGTCATCAAATGTTTTCTCAAAGAACTGAATATTCATTAATGATACCTACTCTTCAAGATGGATGCGACATCGATAAGTTCTTCGAATGGCTTGGAATTTTCAGCATTGCTGGCGATTTGTATGTTCATTAGTCATGTGCTTAAAAAAATAAATATTTATCTATAATCTTATATATTTGTCTATAATATAATAACATCAAAATAGTATCTGATAATGGCTGTAATATTTTTAGATCCGACGAAACAGACGATTACACAAACACATATAAGTATCTTTCTCCTTCTATATATGTTGGACAAGTACAGTATCTACAATGGACTGGGTTCTTTACACAAAAACAAGTGCAAGAAATATATGATGTTTTAAAAGAATGTATATTATCACAAAGTACTCTACTCTGGGTTAGTTTACATGTACAGGGATTTGCAGACAGTCCTGTTAGCTGGGACTTAAAAGAGCATATGTTTTTTAATGATGGAGACAATAGTTACACGATTATATTTCAACCTAAAGGTGAATCTATTGTACGAAGAAGTTTATGTTCTAATAACAAGCCAAGAACATAACAATAAATTAATTTTTTTAACAAATAATTTGTATTCTTTGTATTTCTATTTTATCCTTTCTTTTATGTGAGCCAGGGATTATGTAAGGAGAATATTTTGAAATAAGTTATTGATTGACAAATATTGTGATTTATATCGTAATTTATTTTATCATGTAGAGAATAATTGAAGTTGCTATAGGTCATGCATTTTGTTGATATAATAAAATACCATCTTATGTGTAATATATAAATATGATAAATTAATGACACAAAAGGACAAGAGGTGCAATGAAAAATTGTAAGACAAGCTACATGAGATATATAGATATCGTCTGATAATGATCTAGAAAAGAAGTGAAAAAACCTATATATCGAAGTCATATGAACGTATCTATAATTTATTGCACAGTTTACTATATTTAATGGATAAAAAAGATACTGTGTTTCAGAATAATATCATTCTTATCATTATAAATTATTCGGTACTTTTTCATACACCACTTGTCTATTTTATTAATTTATATTAATGATATATAAATTCTATAAGAGATATCTCTGAGCTATTATAAATACTAATTTTACATTTAACCACATATACATTACACTATCCTGACTGTCTGAAGCCTATCACAAGATAAAAGAGATCAGAATAGACTTAATAATACTATTAATTATCTTGCAACTTAACAGAATTATGCATCAGTGTAAAGCTGATGTTCATATAAATAAATAAATAAATATATATATATATAAATAAAAGGCACTCTCTAAAATTATAACTTGACTATGAGATCAAAGCAATCTATAGTGTGTATAATGAAATCTTTAATTTAAGCAGGCATGTCTTTGCAAATAGCAGCAAAAATTTTTGTTTCTTTTACATCAAACATATATAATGTTCATATATAATGTAAAATATCTTAGGGAGAATCTTTTTGAGAAGTCATGTATCTACACCGAAACATTTGAATTAATCTTCATATCAATACATGAGAACTATCTGAGTCGGTAAATTTCATTCTAGAATTATAATATAAATCCTCTATACCTGAACCAATGGACATGCGAGACTTAGAACGCGCCACGAGTTCGCCTATTTCGTCAAGATCTCGATATCTGAAATACGCGTAATTAATTTTTTGTACAATTCATTGTATAATGATTAACATTGTTCTAATACATTTATTAAATACATACCTACTAACTGGCCGACTAGGATTCTCAGACGATTCCGATGAATTTTTCATAATCGAAAATCCATCATCTGCATTAAATGATGCTGCATTACCTATATAAACACAGTTATCTATTGTAGAAAGATAATAGACAATGATATGTTCCTGTATAAGAAAATAATAAATAATTACCAGAGGGAAATAGTATGGTATGTTTTAATAGGTCACCGCTCATAAATGGAGACAGACTGTCATCATCGTCTGGCAGCAAATGAGTAGCTGAATCTGTTGCTGTAGATTCAACCATTTCTAGCCATTGCTGATTGTGTGAACGGAACTTCTCCACCTTTATACGCGCTGCCCAATTCTTGTCGCACATCTAGAATATGATTGAAGAAATTTATATTTTGCGACAGAAATTCTTTCGAAAGTTACAAATTTAAATGACGTACAGCAATAACATCTAAGCATGTATCACAGACTTTTCTGATCGCAGGATTCTTATCGTGCATTAAATCAATCAAATAGCCAGGAGCTTCTGTAAATTTAACAAAACTTATTCACAGATCTGACGTAAGATACATTTGCTGTTTATTAATTCGTAAGTCTTTAACCGATTCAACAATTAACGTTGATAATTACCATTACCGGTCTCTCGAATTAAATAATCTCGCGTTGAATCGTGTTTTGCGATTTGATAAAACACATAGATGATTTGCAAAACCATTTCATCATCTTCCTGTTTAGCTACAATAATCATATAATAATTATATAATTAAAATGATATATTATAATTATAAATATATAATTTTCTGTACACATTAACTTAAATACATACCTTTAAGAAGTTCAATAAGAGAGAGAAGTATATCAGCCTTACACAACAGACGAGCGCAATCTTCGTCATAAGCTGCAGTGCCCAAAAATATAACAACTTCAAGTACTAAATCATCTTGAGCTTTACCTGTGAGTTAATGAAGATAATATCAATATATGTCTCAAATATGAGCTATAACATATTGAAACCTTATTTATATTAAATAAGAAAAAAATCATTAATGAGAGATATACCTGGAACTAAATTATTGCGTATCCATGGTATAAGATTACAGCGTTGAATAATTTGCGAATAATCTAAATCAGGTAATTCCAAATTACCCAATACACCAATCACTTCCAATATAAAATCTTGAGAATCAGATTGTGTCAAGGCCATAGCAAAATCACCCACAAAATCCTATTGAATATATATAAATGAATATCACAAACTATTGTTAAACAATTAATATACGATATTATTATATTAATATTAGTGCTCCAACTTACAACAAAGTTCTCTTTTGTTGACTCGTGCTGAGAGATATTCCGAATCATTTTCATTATAAGAGCATCCTGATTCCTGAATGCAGATCTTATGAGGCCTTGTAAACGATTATTCTCTACCATCAATTGCGCATTCTTATTGTTGATAGCTAAATTTATACCGAGTGCTATTAATTCAGACCTGATATGATCGTCTTCACAAACCAATATCATATTTGTTATCTGGACAGGATGCACACATACATTGTATGAGAATCTTAAATTTAAATTCATTTGATAATTTTGTAAGAGTATTTTTACCATTGGAATGCAGTCTGTATTTGTGAACATTGCTTTCACTTTATCATCCATACTGGCGTGATAGAGTAATCCCAGAATTGTGCTTTTATTTTTAATATCAGCTACAAATATAATATTAATATATACAGATTTTCATTTCACATTTAGAACTTACAGTTTACAGAAGAATATAGTGATCGATTTTTTTTCTTTAAATACCAGTTCTTACCCTGACCAAGTAATTTTATCCATTTTGGTAGCATGCCAACTCTAATCATCCTTGCTCTCAACTTGGTATCAAAAGAAAGATTAAATAATAGCTTTAACGTACTTAACACAAGATCTGTATTATTGTTTTGTAAAAGCCTTGGTAATTTATCTATAATATTTTCTTCCGTCTGTAATATGTCAGTATGTGCATTATTAATATGTTTTTCACATATATATAGTATTTATACAGGGTGGGGGGTTATAAGTTTACAACCCGAAATGTGAAGGTAGATTGGGTTAAGATAAACATAAAAGTCCCATACCGTTTTGCGAGATTCGCAATAATTATCGAGTTATTAATGACAGAAATCTGAGGAATGGGAGCGCGCCGACATAGATGATTGGAGAAGCGTTGCAGCTACTCAGGCCACAGCGCGGCCCACTCGACCTAGCAACTGTTGGCGGCGTGCGGCGAGACGTAGGTCCGGCGAGATAAAACAACGAATAGCAGCGCATTGTCTTTCCCCTCGCCGCGTACCGGCAACAGTTGCTGGATCAACTGGGCCGCGCTGCGGCCTAAGCAGCTGCAACACTTCTCCAATCATCTATGCCAGCGCGCTCCCACTCCTCAGATTTCTGTCATTAATAACTCGATAATTATTGCGAATCTCGCAAAATGGTATGGGACTTTTATGTTTGTCTTAACCCAATCTACCTTCACACTTCGGGTTGTAAACTTATAACCTTCCACCCTGTATATGTAAAATATTATTAAATATTACCATCAGATCTTTATTTTCACGGAAGATGGATAATTTCTTCAAGAATGTGATGACCAATATTAATAAGTCAGTATTTGTTCTGTCTAATGTTTTAATCAACATACCAATGACATTCTTCTTACGCATTTTTCTCTCAACTTCCATAGCATTTTCGGCAATATTTAAGAGCAGATAAAATGCTACTCGCAATAGCTGTTCTTGTTTCTTGGTTAAACTTTTAAATTTTTTACGATTTTTCTCGAGTTCCTCTTTTAATTTTTTAATATCGTTTTCAGATGCAGTTATGGGTGTGTCTGTAGAGCGTCTCTTGACCTCATAATCTAATGGACCTTCCATGTTCCAAATATCATCTATAATCTTAATCTTCCTATCACAATTATCATTATTCCCTGTTGGGAAAAATGTTAAACCAGTGGTGCTCTCGAAATGTTTTCGGCGTTTTTCCATATCCTCTTTCCATTGATCATAGCGACGTAATTCGAAATCGATTATATCCATACAAAGAGAACCAATCTACAGCAGAAAAGAAAACTTTACTTAAGAAACACATACTTGATTCTGATTTTTATTAGTGTATTTGTAACTACTTACTCTATAGTCAAGCACAATATTATGGAACTGGCTATATGTAGAGAAACAGAAGAAGATATAAATAATATTTGTAGATAACTCTATGCTGCGTCGCCAATCTTCTCTCAGGACTCGGGCTAATGCACTTAATAATGATTCTGCAACAAATGAAATCCTACTATAATTATAACATTAAAATATTAAACCTAAGATGTACAATTAATCCATCAAATTTTTGGAGACAATGTTATTTAGAAATTACTTAAAATAAAATGTAATAACTAAAATTACCATTTTTTGTCAATTCCAGAAGATTATCAGGTATCCTGGCTAGTTGTAATATTAATGAAGAACCTTTAATTTTGCCAGGTATCTCCTCATATAATAACTCAATGTAATTATCAACATTACTAATGACTGCACGTTCAACTTCACCATTTTCTGTGGTCACTGAATTTGATGACGTTGGTCTTAATGGCTGAGGATTACTTTCGCTACCTATTACAGAGATTCAAGAGTTAATTAATTCTTAAGACAATATTAATATTGATATTGAGTTAGTAATGTTGAAGATTATTTTGCATTACCTGTACTAGTATCATTGGCCCGACGATTTTGTAAATAATAAATTAATTGCTCAACCTCACGTAGCTTGGATTCATGTATTAATGAACATTTTTCAATTACCTCTTTTGCTAAGAGGGAAACATTTGTATCCGCATTTAAACTTTTAAGTCTAATTATCTTTTGACATTCCTATAATATAGCAATAATGCGCAATAAAATTACTGTATATTAAAAAAGCAATCTGTTATCCTCTATTTTATTATGTTATACAAATAAAACAATGCACATACCTTGCGATCACCAAGCATAGGATCTCCTAATTCTCCTAATATCAGTGCTTCAACATCATAATTTACTACTAAAGCCTTTTCTGTTGGATGAACATCTAATGTACCAGATCTTACCTTCCTAAATGTTAATAAAAATAATATATCAATTACCTATCCTACTTATTTACATATATATGTATACTTGTAAAACTTGTAAATTTAAGATAATATAAAAGACTCATATATATTATATTAAACATATTATATATATTATAACATACACAAGTAAAAATCATATGTGTTTGACAGATGACTGACATTATCTGACAGAAGCAGGAGCGATGTCAATTCTCACCTTTTTAGAAATTTAGCTTCGTCCATTTTTTCACCGTATACGTCTATGATCTTAATAAACTTTCTAAACAGATTTTTTTACGTATTTACACTTTATGTATACGAATTCTCTCTTTATTAATTTACCTTCAATTATTCTATCTCCATGGAGAAAAAAGCCATTGAATACGTCCAGTAGAGTAGAACCATAAACTACAGATGATATTGAGCGACATGATATAACGAAGAAGTTCCTAGACTGTTGACGATTTTTTGTCTCTAGAAATGCAATTCCCTTATTGGATGCCAAATACTGTGTATTGGATTGGATATCACTGCATTCTGAATCTGCCATTATGGTTCAACCATAAAAATATATTAATTCTATGGCCATGGTATCGAAACGATTCAAAAGTATATGTATAATGTTGAGAATTGTTTACACAGAAATAATTTAATGAACAATGTATAATTTTACTGACAACATGAAAGTCAAGTATTTATAATAAATACAAGTTTTTTCTAAATTGGATACATATTGAAGCTGGTGGTATAATAATATATATTCTTGTCATATATGGATTTTTGAAGGAAGAATTTCGTATGCTTTGGATATTTTTATATATTTTTTTATATAATTTTTGTTGCACAAAATAAAAGAAATATTTCTCTTTATTAGGTATCTAAGGACATAGATATATGTAAAAAAAATACACTGATGAGTTTATTTTTTACCTGTTATATGTATTATTATACTTATTGCGTATACTTACTTCATGATATTGATATGAAACAAAAATGAGTACTCGAATATTAAATAATATTCATAATGATATAAGGCAGCTTATAAAAACATTTACATCATACAAGGTTTGCATCTGGTTATATTAATACTTATATATATATATATTATACTATATATATTATATAAGATACTATATAATTCTTAAATAATACATATCAGTAAAATAATATATATATATTATTTTACTGATATATATTATCTAAGAATTATATAGTATCTTATAAAATATAAATTCTTATGTTTATTTAGGAAGATGAAGAAAGATTTCGAAGATGTGAACGATATTGCTTATCAAATATTAAACATCATCGCTACCTTTCAGTTAATAGCCATGCGACTAAAGAAGCTATAAGTGCATTGGTCACTAAATTTTCAATTCATGGGAAATATGAAGTAGCTAAAAAATTTCAGGAATTAGTTGATACTTTCTTATCAAGTTTTGATTTTGAACAACATCCACAATATGATCTGCAGTGGTATCTGTTAACATTCTTATTGGATCTATCTACTGAAACTCACAAGTCCAATTTAGATTGCTTAAAATTTGGAGAATATAATTTTAATATAGCTGCTGGAAATGAGGACAATATAGAAGAAATAGACTGGGCACAGTATTTAAAAGAAGGCCAAGAAAATTTTTTTTATGATTATAAAAACGATGATAGTGAAAGTGTAAGTATTTCTAAAGAATATATTTACTAAAATTATTATTTCAGTTATATCAATATGTAATTTTTATATTAATGGTATTTATATAGGAGTGGTCTGAGATAACAGATGAAGATGAAACAGATAATGATGTTTCTTTACCAACACAAATATCTAATATGCAATTAGATATTGCACAATCATCAAAAATATCAGATAATATAACAAATGAATATTCTCTAGCATTAGTGCAAAATCTTGAATCTAGAAAGTGGCTTTTATCAAATGTTCAAACAGATTGGTGGAATAATTTACAGTGTCAGAAATATCTTGTTACCAAACAATCTTGCAATACAAATATTTGTGATATTTGGTGAATATAATCTTTTTTTAATGTAAAATATGAAACTATTATTGACTGTATTATGACTTGATATTGACTTGATATTATGAATATATATGTTTATAGGCAGGGAAGCTCATCATCTTTACACAAAGTAATTACTCTTAGTGAATATCAAGTATGCAGAGAGTTATTATGGATGTTTTATGTACAAACATCTATGGTAGTGTTTCAGCAGGAAAATGAATCAAAATTCGTGATATGTTCTAACATATCTATTCCAAGTTTGACAACAGTAAGTATACACACGATAGTATTCCATATAATTATCCCATATAAATATTTTATTATATTATTTGAATGTCACTTCTAGACTGCTTTCAAAAGTATTCTTTTACCATTCTGTGAATGCTTCTCGATGATATATGACATTAAAAAATTTGGTGCTGACTTACAAATGGATCAGAATTCAGATTGTCAGAGTCCTCCTTTGACTTATGAAGCATATAATGCAGCACTTAAATATCATTTGTATGAGTTGAATAATAAAGTTCTTAGTGTAGAAAAAGATATTATGAAGCAAGGTAAACCTATGAATTTATGATTTATTCATGCATTGCAGTCACTATAAATTGTAAAACATTTTATCTTTTCAGAGGATTGCAATACGTTTTTGTCTTTATCAGCCAGTCTAAGGAAACATTTAAACACTGTAAAAATACTTTACGATATACATCAGAAAGTTATAACAAATTGGAGAGTTAGTCCTAATTGGAAATGTGCATCTCGGCTATTGTCGTCTTTATATTATGAAATGCAAAATTCTCATAGTTTAGAGAGAATGAATATTTGTACAAATTTATATTTATGTAGTCTTATAGTTTATCTTAACATAATTGATACATGGTTAAATGAGGGACGTTTGGAAGATTGGAGAGACGAATTTATAATTGTGAGGTAAATAGGAAAGCAATATATAATTAGAAATGGAATAACATTTGATATATTTTTATGGTATTTATGTTTAGAAATTAATTTTTTATTAATTAATAATTTATCAGAATTGCAGAAGATGAGTTGGCAGGAAATAATGAACAAAATGAAAAATTTACAGTACGATTATACGACGATGTTTGCTCAGCAGATCCAATCATGCAATTCCTACTTCAGAAAGTACAACATATGGGTCATAGTATTGAATTACTTGTTTCTTTAAATCGAATCACCGATATACAAGACACTACTCGTATGTAATTGTGAAAATATCTTTATTTTTATACATACAAAAGATATTAACTTATAACTTATTACAGACACAAGAATCTCATTAAATTCTAAATTTCAATTTATGTTACTATGGGAGATATCATATTATTGCCCATCAATTAAAGAAATAGATACAACTGAATTGCAGATGGATGAGGTGTCACAAGAATATGAATTTGAACTTGAAATTAATATAGTGGGACAATTATCAAATTTACATAATCCATTTTTCATGAAAGCTATGGAAAACTATATGCCATATTTGTTGTGTAAAAATGATATAGTGGGCGATCTCGATACGAGAGATTCTCAAATAGAAGAGGAACAAATACATAATTTATATAAAAAGTATCTCTCTCTCTCTCTCTCTCTCTATTATATATATATAATTTTTTTTATTTATTTATTATTCATGAGTAGATATATATAAAAGAATAATTTATATGTATCTGAAATAGCAGGTAATATGTATTTTTTTAGATTGCAAAAGGTAAAATATATTTTACCATTGCGAAATATCTTGGAGAATACATTGTCTGAGATATTGACTTCCCAATACAACAGAGCTAGTAAATTAGTAAAAGATATCATGATCAATGAGTACAAACTACAAACACATCTGAAACTATTAAGATTTGTTTACATGATGGAAGCTGGACACGTCATGAATAAATTTTGTCAGATTTTGTTTTATGAGGTAAGATAAATAGAAATATCGTTCGCATATATAGATATGTAATATTCTTTTCATTCAATATTATAATTATTCCAGATTGAAAACAATCAAATGTGGGCTAATTCATATTTTTTATCGTGTATTCTTGAAGAAGTATTTTCTCAATATTGGCCAGATACAAGTTTACAGTGGTCCATTACAGTTCACAGCAACATTAATACACGTCAAGTATTGGAAGCTGTAAATTATATAACACTGTGTTACACAATAAAATGGCCTATAAGTATAATGCTGACAGAAAAAATTTTGGAAAAATATAATGACATATTTAGATTCCAATTAAAATTAAAATGGGCGCTATGGACGTTAAATAATTTAAGATTTTGTGGTAAATAAACTTGAGTTTAGATATAATACTTTAGAGCAACATTTGTATTATATTAATTATACCTCTTTCAGATCTAGAAGGTTCTAAGTCTCCATATATACGAGACAGATTGGAACAGTTCTACATAAGACGTCTTGAAAGCTTAAAATTTTGGTTGTTGCATGCAATAGGATCTATACACACGTACATATCTGGTCAGGTATTGCAAAGCCTAGGTTTTATATTGGAAAAAGTTCTAGCTCAGGCAGATAATCTTGATACAATTATATCAGGTAATACGATCACATTAAATATTATCTTAACATAGAAATTCGTTTAATTTGTGCATTTCATATGGTTGTAAAATAAGTTTTTATGAGAATAATGATAAGTAGTATAATTTTAGTAATTCATAATTTTAATAATTTAAAAAAAATGAATGATTATACCTTACAGTACATAATGAATATCTGGACAAAGTTCATGAACATTGCTTATTAACAAAAGAGTTTGAAGATTTAATGACAACCATAAATAACGTACGTACATATACAAGATAATTATGTAATAATGGCATTAATTTATATGGAATTCATATTATCACATTTCAGATGATTGAAATGTGTGGTCACATACGAGATAGATGGTCACGTAAAATATTGTTAGCTGAGGAATTAAATGTTATGGAACATAGTTACATAAAGTACCATACGTATCTTGCTTTAGCTTTGCACAATGCAGTGCAGCATAAGGATGCGGATTATTGTAAGTTTCAGAATTTACTAGCAGTACTTAATATATTTCAAAATAGTTATCCGCAATTCTGTAATTCAATTGATCAGTAATGTAAACAATAGCAAACTATCGTAAAATATCATGTCATCAGAGCTAAAAATAAGAAATATGACATTCTTATTATTTCATATTATTTCTACAAAAAAATAACAGATATATTAATATTAATACGTATCTACATATCAAATTATTTATATATTTGTCGTGCGTATAAATATACTCGTCAAGAAATATTCATACCATACTAATAAATGTCAAATCATTGCTGCATGACAATTAACAATATTATAGCTTTCAATATATATAACATTTTCCCTTGCTTTATTTACAGTGACTGGCTTAAGTTCAGCCTTTAATTGCAGTATACCATGTGCTTAATTTTGTATTAATAGAGAATGCCAACTCTCATACAAATTTAACAGCTTTTTACTAGTGTGATTTCTGATTTCTCTTATTGTGGGATTAACAGCGACATCAATTCCACTTCATTTATATCAATTACTGCTTAATACTACAATGATTATGAATTTTTCGTGTAATATTTGCCTGTGCTATTGTTCCTAGATCAATGTACTGTTATCTTGCATATAATTAATACCCTTTATTTTTTATACTAATTATTTCAAATAAAATTTTTTAATATATTACAAATATATCTAATATGTAATATATTGATATATTGATACAATGTAGGATTATATATTTAATATCGAAATTGTTGATTTTATATATAAACAAAAAAGCAAAAGACATGTTAAATTTTATTTTAAAAAATAAAAACTGAATAATTATATTTGATTAACTCTAATTCAATGGTTATGAATTTAATTAGTACTTTTCACTTTATACTTAAACTTTCAATATCCTATCCCATTCCTCATAATCCATACCTTTCCAGATATGTTGATGCCAACTTCTACAGGCTATATTAATAATAATTCACTTGAAGATAATAACAAATTTATTAAACTTATCAATGATCTTAGTCGAACCTTATTAGCGGAAATCGCATATCAGAGTTTACCACCATCAGGCATTCCTTTTCCCATACCAAAATTAATTTACGGAAAAAATTGGCAAATCAGGTAAAAATCAGATGATAATTGTATATTACACGTATACATATATATATATCTATGAATCAAAATATGCAGTATTATCATTTCTTGAAATTTCAGTCCAGAGTCACTATTATCCGTTGAACTGTCTTTAAACAAATATAAACAAACCTTTTCTTATATACGTTGGTATCAATACAAAGAACAATCTACTGTTCTAAATTTGTCATCATATAACATACATGACGAGATAAAAAATATTGCCACTGATTTATAATAGGAACGAAGATTTTAAATAGATGCAGATTTATATATATATATGCAGATTTATATGTATATATATATACACACACATATACATACTATATATTAAGTTCTACTGATGTACACAAGTCATTGCGTTACAAAAAAGTAACAATAATAATAATAATATGCATTTAATTTCCTAGTTAATAAATCAGTTGTGAAAATGTTGCCATAGATAACTTAGAATATGTGTGTGTGTGTGTGTGTGTACCTTAAAAATATACATTTAAGATCGTACTGATAATATGATATATAAATTATTCTTGATATGAAAATTATACGTATTCAATAACACTTTATAAAAAATTACTATGAAGGTAAAATATAAGAGATGAAATATTTGCAGAAAAAGAAGATATACAATCTCTAGTAGTAATGTATAATCTAGTAGCAATTAATAAAATAGTAATGAAATTAATACATTATATACATTTATGTGAAAAATTTTTTATATATTGCACATAAGAATTAACTTTGTGCAATCACAACAGCACCATTTTGACCTATAGCTCCACTTTGCGCTCCTGTAGGCGCGTTCGATGTTTCATTAGTACTAACAGGAGAAGACGAATGATTGGTTGCATTTGTTGCAGCTAACGCTTTGTTTCGTAATTCGAATACTTGCTGTATCGCCTTACGGAAACAAAGAAAGTTATAGTCAATTACACCTGCAAGTTAAAAAAAAGAAAAAATATTTTCTTAATATATAAATACACATACCTGGTGTGTATATAATTTAATATGTATATACATACCTTGTGTTGTGCAGATATACTCACCTTGCCTATCAAAATTATCTTCACGTAAGATGCAGACCAACGCTAGAAATTTATTAACTTCGCGCAAATACAAAATTGTACCATTATTTAGCTTAATTAAACTGGAACTTTGGTTATCAAATGCAGCTGCTTCTAAATCCTCTCTTAATCTAAAAAAAAAAAAAAAAAATGAAATGTGTATAACCAAATACATATCATGTATAATTATCAATTATATATAAATAAAATTAATATAATTGCCTACCCATATATGCAAGAAACATCAATAACCACATCAATCATATCACAACATAGTTCATAACTTTGCATATCAACAGGTGAGCTATCTGTTGCAATATAAATTTTTGAGACAACATCAAACAGGAAAGCCTTTTCAATTCCAGAGTTCTGTAAGAATATAATAATATTATAAATGAAAACTTAACACTATAGAACATTTAACATTATCATTCTTGAAATATAAAGGATAAATTCTCTTACCGATATGAGTATATTAAGTAAATTTTCTAAAGTAGGCAGCTGTGGTATTAATTTCTGAACAACTTTGCTAAATGCTTCAAATATACTATGATCATATATTGAAGTTAAATGAAAACTCAAATGTATTTGATCACACCCTAAAAGAAATCATATTAAACTGATATTGGAATAATGATAATTTCTTTAGCATTCATCTTTTACTCACCACCATCTGCTAAATCATCATTTGCTCTTGTATGTATATCTCTTTGTGTTTCCATCTTACAATCATCTGATAAACCATCTACTTTATGGATAAAAACTTCAAACTTAATTGCTTCATTGACTTTATAAGCTTTTGTAACTGTTAAGTGAAGCTTATTAAGTGCTTCCATATAATCATCCTGAGCATCTATTACAAATACCAATGCTCCACAACCACCAAATATCATGTCACTATCAAAAGTAGGATCAAAGAAGTCAATTTGTCCAGGAAAGTCCCATATTTGAAATTGTACAAAGCTTGAATTGCTTATATCATCTTTAATTATTTTATTTGTACTTTCTAAAAACAGTGTCTCATTTGGTGACATTTTATGGAATACCACCTTTTGTATTGACGACTTGCCACTACTAAGAAACAAAAGAAAGAGTTACCAAGTACATGTAAGAATTAAGTTAATAAATTTATAAAATATAGACTTAATATATAATAAATAGCCTTACCGTCTAAGACCCATCAAGAGTATTCTAGGTTTTTGTTCTCCTGCTAATGGATCCATAGATCCTTCAGTTTCTCCATCAAATGGTGCATATCCAAAATCTTTAGGAAAAGAACCAACATCATAACCACTTTGATATTGATCATCATCATCCTATAAGAATGTTATCATTTTGAAAGACATAGACATAATGTTTTTACATAAAATTTATAGGTAAATTTTTAATATATAAATTAATAGTATATTATTGTTAACCTTAAATATCAATAATAGCATGTTTATTTCCAGAACACGTGTTCAAGTTACTCAAGCAATGTCTATTGACAAAAAGTAATATTTTTATATATCTCTCGAGAAGAAAATTAGCTACATCGTCGTTTCTCGTAACAAAGACTTTAATAAAAAAAAAATACTCAGTAAATTCACTCACCATGCTTGCGATATTAAAACAAACGTGTTATGCGATTCCACTTTTTCTCTTGATGAACTATAAATTTCAAAAATTTTGTAACTCTCCAATTTATCTGTTTAATCGAGATTAAACATACTGAAAAATTATATGAGCTATAAAATTAGATATATTTTTGTTTATAATTTCTAGGGGTGTGATGCTTGATACAGACAATATATCGCTTTATATACTGATTGGTTCTCAATGAAATAATGGCTGCGTTTCGATCACAGGTTCCAATGTTCACTGTTAGTATTGAAAATACATAGTTTATGTCACGTATACTATAGATTTTCAGTGCTAGCAGTGAATATCAGAACACAGCCAATCCACATTAAAGCCAGCGGCACACGGTGCTTGTTTCCGTGCTGGATTGCTTGCTGGATGAAAATACTGCGTTTTGATTGGTACATTTCCGAAGATGGACGGAAATGCACCAATCACAACGCAATATTTTCATCCAGCAAGCAATCCAGCACGAAAACAAGCACCGTGTGCCGCTGGCTTAACTTGAGAATTTCTGTTCTTTTTAACTACACTGCTGAATAAAGCTAAAGCTAAGACTCCATGCATGCGGTGAGCTCCGGCAAACGGCTGCGGTGACCAATCAGGAGACAGACGCATGCCGGAGCTTGCCGCAACCGGACTTGCGCCTCCCTCCTGATTGGTCACCGCAACCGTTTGCCGCAGTTCACCGCATGCATGGAGTCTTAGCTTTAGCTTTAGCTTTAGTACGGTCGCGGACATAATAGTATGTGCCTGTTTTTTGCAACTTTCGGAACGCATCCCGACTCGAGAAGAATGAGAGTCACTGCTCCGCCTGCGGAGCACGCCTGCGCAGTGAGTCACACTGCGCGCTTCACGAAAGACGAGAAATGAAATATACGCGATGGGACATATTATAATAATACAGACTCAAATGACATATTATAATAATACAGACTGAAATGAATACTCCAGCATTAAATGGAAATGAGGAAACACAGAACAGACAAGAATCATCCGATGTAAGTCTTATACTCCGGGGGACATCCGAAAAAGGTAGAGATAAATAAACATGTTTATGTTTTTAAAACAATACGAACTTAATTAAGAGAATTAAGCTGCATTACGATAATTACGATTCTATTATACATTTATATGTGATTTATTGTTTCAGCAACAGCCACATCTTCTATAGCAGAAGTAATGATATTAGATACAGAGAAGCAGCTGTTATATAACAGCTGTTTATTATTATAATATGTCTCACCGTGTATATTTCATTTCTCGCCTTTCGTTGTGAGTCACTGCGCAGGCGTGCTCCGCAGGCGGAGCAGTGACTCGTAGGGCAAGAGCACAGGCTTTTGCATAATACATAATACATAATACATAACGCATAAAAGAATAAACCAATTAGTTTTCTTCATTTCCCTCTTCAGGATAGAAATGAAGAACTCTGGTTGATTCTCTTATGCGTTTTGTATTATGCGTTATGCAGTCTGTGCTCTGGCCCTTAAGGCCTATCCAGACAAACTTGCGTAACGCATATATATAAAGAAATTGACCAATTATGATCCGTGTAGTAAAAAAATATTTCTTGTATTAAACATACGATTAGTCAATTTCCTTATACATATGCGTTACGCGCTTATGCAAGTTTGTTTGAATAGGCCTTTAGGGCAAGAATACAGGCTTTTGCATAACACATAATACATAACGCATAAGAGAATAAACCAATTAGTTTTCTTCATTTCCCTCCTCAGGACAGAAATGAAGAGCTCTGATTGGTTGATTCTTTTATGTGTTGTGTATTATGCGTATGCGTTATGCAAAAGCCTATGCCCTTATTCTTCTCGAGTCGCGATGCGTTCCGAAAATTGCAAAAAAACGGGCACACACTATTATGTCCGCGACCGTACAGCTAAAAAGAATATACCTTTATATATGGCTTTTGAATAAGTTGACAAATATTTAACTGTTTCCTAGGAACAAAGACGTAAAAAGTTCCAAATTTTCATGGTATAAAAAATGACATGAAAAGAAAGAAATTAAGTTCACATGAAATTTTTCACTTGCATATTTTGTTCTACATTTATAATTGGCCGCCACCATGGGATATGTATATTCGACACAGCATAATTAGACATATAGGCTGCGTTCTGAAATTCACTGCCAGTACTGAAAATATATAGTATAGTGACAAACTATGTATTTCAGTACTGGCAGTCGATTTCGGAACGCAGTGTTGGCAGTGAATATCGGAATGCCGCAGCCTATGTCCAATTGGGTACTCTCCACCACCACATTTCCTCTTTGTCTAATTTTGCCGGACATTTTTCCACGGCTTCTAAATATAATCGCGTAGTCCACATTATATATTTATATATTGTATTAATGTGTATTAGTTTATGTAGGAAGTTTTTCAAAAAAGAAAACTTTATAACTGCGTTCCTATATTCACTGCCAGCATAGAAAAGCTATGTTCCGATATAAGGCCTGTTTGTTTTGTCTGCACTGCTGAACTAATGCAACAAGTTGAAATGAGAAAACCTACGTTTGTCTCACTTTAACTTAAGCCAGCGGCACACGATGCTTGTTTCGTGCTGGATTGCTTGCTAGATGAAAATACTGCGTTCTGATTGGTGCATTTCCATCCATCTTCGGAAATGCACCAATCAGAACGCAGTATTTTCATCCAGCAAGCAATCCAGCACACAGATATCTATACTATACTAGATTGCTAACTTCGATCTTTGACCTATACAAGAGCTGTGTCCCGCCTATTTTCCGGTTCGGCCATGAAGACCGCCAAAACATGGCGGCGGTGTGTGTTTGTAGTGCGTACATGAGTATCCGATGCGTGTGTAGTAGTGCTGTACTGTAAGTATGTGATACCTGATGTGTCTACACTGATGTGTCGTATCTACTGCTATTTATATTAGTAAAACTGCAAATATATAAACGAGATAATGCCAAGTACATGTTGCATTGTTAATTGCAATAATACGAATAAAAAAGGATATCACTTATTTAAGTAAGTAGAATACATTTATATATAATAAATGTTCGAGGTTTGTAATATGTGAGAGTTATCTTGCAATTAAACATTGTTAATATTTCAGATTTCCGATAAAATGTCCAGAGATTTAAAAAAAATGGATTTGTGCAATCGGAGGAAATTTTACAAAAAAACACCATGTAATCTGTAGTGCTCACTTTTTACCTACAGATATCATGGAAAAAGCAAATATAAGTAGTGTTCTATTAAAAAATTTGGCTGTGCCATCAATAGCTCTGAGAGCTCCTGCTTGTGACACTGTTCCTGCAGTGGAATGTAATAATGATCCTCTGATACAACCTGTTACGAGTTCCATGATGGAATGTGATACTATTCCTGCGATAGAATACTTAACACTTAGAATGTATTCACTTATAAAAACAACGAAAGATAGAAATCCTGCAAGTAACAGACACAAATTTACAAAATTAATATTATTTAATAACACAAGTTGCATTTTATTCTTTATATGTATGTAAAAAATGTAATACAAATACTTTGACATATTTTGAACTGTATATATTCAATTTAATTTTAACCTTTACCAAACACTTAGATTAGCAACACCTTATTAATACACACATCTTTAAATGATATTCTTTCTTGTTCGTATTTTTGAAATTTACAATACTTATTCGGCATTATCTCGTTTGTAGATTTGCAGTTTTACTAACATAAATAGTAGTAGACACATCAGGTGTCACATACACACTACTACATACGCATCGGGTATTCACATACACACTACAAACACACACCGCCGCCATGACTTGGCGGTCTTCATGGCCGAACCGGAAAATGGGCGGGACACAGCTCTTTTGAGAAGTTAGCAATCTAGTATAGTATAGACATCTGTGATCCAGCACAAAAATAAGCACTGTGTGCCACTGGCTTTAATGCAGTTCAGCAGTGCAGACAAAACGAACAGGCCTATACACTACCAGTACTAAAAATACATAATTTATGTCACATATACTATAGATTTCCAGTACTGCCAGTAAAGCCAGCGGCACACGGTGCTTGTTTTCGTGCTGGATGACTTGTTGAATGAAAATACTGCGTTTTGGTTGGTATATTTTCGAAGATGGATGAAAATGCACCAATCAGAACGCAGTATTTTCATCCAGCAAGCAATCCAGCACGAAAACAAGCATCGTGTGCCGCTGGCTTTAAATATCAAAACATATGGTCTGTTCTTTGTAGCTGCACTGCTGAACTGGTGCAATAAGCTAGAGTGAGAAAACCTATATTTGTCTCACTTTAACTTATTGCACCAGTTCAACAGTGCAACTACAAAGAACAGACCAATAGTAAAAGCTATATTATAGTTTGTTATTATAGTTTCAACACTGTCAGTAATCTTGAGTATTGAAAATATATACTTTATGTCATATATATTATAGATTTTCAGTACTGGCAGTGAATATCGGAACGCAGCCCAGATATATATATATATATGTTCGTGTATATATATACATACATATACAGGGTGATCCGAAATTCTCGCATTCGAAGTACAGGACATGATACTTTATGCTAAAATAAACAACTTTTTGTAGAAGAACGTGTTAAAAATAATTAATAGGTGCTATTGCTATGTGGCACTCAGGGGCTGCGCGCGCGTCTCACTCGCGTATACTTAATCAGTGATTAATATTCGTAAGTAATGCCTTTTAAGTCGCTCATATGGCTCTCTTGTGATTAGTTTACGACATCTTAAAACTGTACTTAAGACAATCTTAAATAATAAGAATCAACTGTACAATAGCGGGATTTGACCTTCTTCCATATTGTATTCCTTAAGTAATGAAAAGTTAATAAAATAAGTACTGCCTTTATTTCTTATGTAATAAATGAATTAATAATTGTCTGAGTGCACAATATTATCTGAAAATAAAAACAAATGTAAATAGTAATATGCTTTGCGAATTGTGAAATCCCGGTATTGTTGATTGATTATAGTTGATTCTTATTATTTAAAATTGTCTTAAGTACAATCTTAAGATGTCAACTAATCACAACAGAACCGTATGAGCGTCTTAAAAGATATTATTTATGAATACTAGAATACTCACTAACTAGATACACGCAAGTGAGGCGCGCGAGCCAGCCCTGAGCGCTACATGGACAAGAGCATTTAAGCCCAGTTCCACAACTTGTTTTAAACGGAGTTTAAAGCAAGTTGTGGAACTTATTAAGTTGTGGGCCTTATTCGTTAACTTTAACACGTTATTTTGCAAAAACTACTTATCGAATGCAATTTTGCTGAAGGAAAAAGTTGTTTGTTTTAGCATAAAATATCATGTCCTGTAATGCGGGAATTTTTGATCATCCTGTATATGTATATATAGTTATATTTTTGACTTATAAAATTCAAAAATTATATCAATCATGTATTTTATGGACAGACTATTTATTCCAGTCAATTAATACTTAGGAGAAATATTACTTAGGAATCTGTAAACAATACAATTTATCTATCAAAAGTACAATCAAGTATGTCTTCATAGCAACAACACCCATAATCGGCGAACTTTCGTAAGAAAGATCTACAATTCTTTGTTTAGCGGTCTTTGCCTTGATATCAGGCTTTTCGTACAGGAATATATGCCTGGCATGTTCTGCTATAGCTATATATGAGCCATCTATAAAGAAATAAATTTAAATAAATTAATGCTATTTTTCTTTTTCCAGTTATTCTTGTAACATATTTTAAGATTATTGTTTTATGTTTTACCAATTGGAGCTACACAAAATTTCTTGTTAGTTTTACTAGCTTCAACATAGCCAAATCCAGGAAAGTTGTGAATATGTTGTATGTCCCATTGAGTATAGTCATCACATGTATCATCTGTTACCCAAACACAAGCATCATGATCGTGCCTCAAACATATCATTTGTCCATGTTTTCTTTCATATGTAAATAATACATGATTGTTACTTCCCAATCTAGCTAAATGTGTGAGTGTTCGTGTAGAAAGATTGATCCTTTGTAAAAAATTATCTCTTCCTTCCAGATCACATTCTTCTAATTGTTCAGCATTAAAGCCCACACAAGGTTGACCTTCTCTAATGCTGTTACTTTGTTGATCCGTGCACAAATGTGCTAGCCTACAAGCGACGTTCTGTATTACTTAAATAATTATTTCATGATAATTTCTATGACTTCAATTATACAAATTAATTATACAACAATTACAAGTAAAAAGATAAGCAAATATGATTAAATATTATAAAAAATATTAAACATAGTTAATATTATTAATTAAACTAAATAATATAATTAATATTATTGATCAAAGCTACACAATAATCAAGTATATAAATTACCTTTTGTGGATTTCTGCAGCAAGAATTTCATTTGGCAAACATTCACCACCTGTGTCACCTTTAATTAATTCATGCCACATTAGTCCGCTTTCATACTTGGTTAGATCAATTTGCAATGTGCCTTCTTTATACCTCCAAGTTGCCATATTTTCTTCTAATCTATGCTGGCATTCACCTTGTATTAAAATCTCATTGCCTATTGTAACAGATAACTTTAATGGTTTAACATTTATTTTAGGTTGTTTAGTGCTATGTTGCTTTGGTATTTTAACCCAAACAGTGAGTGAATCTTCATCTTGCGACCAGTAATACTTTGGAATTTTTATTTGTGAATCACTTTTTGATTGTTCTACCTTTATTTCAGATTTCTGTATGTCTCCTTCATCAAAACTGATATTATCTTGACAAATAGAATGTAAATAATTACCATTTTCTTCCATGTAGGCATAATCTATAGTACCTTGTACTTTTAATATCTGTTTATCAATATAAGCAATATCTTTTACTTCATTTTCTACATACTGTAAGTTATATGATAACAATGTAAGCTGTGTATATTTTTTTGGATCATTATTAGCAATAGTACACATAGTTACAATAATCCTTGAACTTTTTTGTACATATTGCACATTCATGATAATTCCAGGTTTTATAGGATCCATTGTAAAAACTTTTACATTTTGTCCTGTATCTCCTATTAATATTTCTAGCTTTTCACCACCATCAGAAATTGTTGAAATTTTATTACAAGTAAATCCAATAGATGGATTATATAATATTTTTGATAAATCAGCTTTTGTAGTATGTAATATATGCATTTGGTCTAAGGAATTATGTTTATTGAAACGCCAAACAGTCCAATCTTCATCAATAAACCAACATGACATATCATATGCATTTTTATACAAGTGATTATGAAATGCGAATAGTCTTGTTTCCAACCAAGATTCTTGATTTTGATTTGGCTCTAACCTATATACATCTAAAATATCATTTTCTTATTAAAAGAAATGTATATTTCGACATCATATTTATAAAATGTACATTTAAAATGACATTTTATCATCATATTTATCATATTTATAAAATGTACATATAAAATGACATTTTAAAATACGTTAATATATGGATTGAACTTACGCTTCTTTAGACTGATTTCAGAAATTATAGAAATAACATCGGTACAAAACTGATACTTTTCAAAAGATGAGTTTATCAAATTTTTATCAGGACGTAACTCAATTATTTCTGTCATTGCAACCGTTTTATTTGCAAGAAATATTAATTTAACATTACATAAAAAAATCAAATTTGTACACACGAATGACACTTTTTAACAAGATAACCTGCAACATGCACTCGTTCCCTCTCTCTGTCTCCTTTCTCTCTCACCGTCTTTCTCCCTCTTGCTCTTTCTCTCTCTCTCTCTCTCTCTCTCTTCTTTACTGTCTGCCTCCCTCTCTTCCACTCAATATTAGCATTAATACACCAAGTATCTGATAAAATCAAAATAAAATGAATTTCTATTTTTCGGTAAACGCTATTGTTCGGTAAAGACAAGAAATCTATCCGTTCCTGAGAAATTTCTGAATAGTATAATAGGTTAAAGTGAAAAAAAAAGTATATATTTTATTTTTATTATACTTACTAGTTCAGAAGCTCTTCGAAAACGAACATATCTAAAATATACTTGTCTCAATTTAGCTCATTGCACCAGTGTGTACATCTATTCAGAAATTTCTTTGAAAAAAAGCGAATTTAACACTGCGGCTATTTTCAATGGATCAAATATGTTACTAATGATCGATAAATGATAATAAAACTATTCTTATATCAGATGGCACGATGATCACAGTGTATTATATAAAAATTGCCTATTGCAAAAATATTCATAAAATATAAAAATGACTTTTAATTTCCATTTCAAGTTACTGCAGATAATAAAATGTCTATTATATGTCTATAAAAAATAATTTAATAGTTTTTATAATACAATGGAATATAAATTTAACATATATCAAATATTTGAATAGTAACATTTTGATATAAACATACAAATATATATATATATATAATGTATATAAAATCGTGTTTACTTTTAAATACAAATACCTTTTCCTAAAAATTAAAAATAAATTTTCCTTAATTAATACTATCTAACATGTAATAAATTTTCCTTAATTAATACTGTCTAACACGAGAAGTTCTTTAATATTTACTTAGTTTCTATCTATAACATAGGGAAAATAATTCATTATATCCCTTATATATGTACATGCGTATAAATTCAAGTAGAAATGTATACACATGAGGCCTGTTTGTTTTGTCTGCAATGCTGAACTGATGCATTAAGTTAAAGTGAGACAAACGTAGGTTTTCTCACTTCAACTTGTTGCAGCAGTTCAGCAGTACAGACAAAACGAACAGGCTTATGCACTCACATTTATTTTAGTCTATATATTAATTTTATGATATATATATCAAGTTAATATTTTCATTTCCTAGAATTCTTTTAAATTTCTTTAAATTCTTTGTAGTTCAACCTCGGATATTTTTTGTGTAGTATTTTTGTTTGATATGTAATACATATATATAAGTACAACTTCCGAGTGTAACACAAATAACATAATTTTTCATTAAAAATCACCTATGGCGGCAATAATATTCGATAGTGCTTTTCTAGCATCACTTTCTTCAAATACGTTTAAAGCTTCCATTGCTCTTCGTGAGTGTTCTTTCACGAGTTCTTTAGTTAGTTCAATGCCTGGGCCAGCTGTGACAATTTCAAGTACCTACGCAAAACATTATTTATATAATATTTCATTCATTAAGTATAAATAAAGACAATGAAAAATAAAATCGATCATGTAAATTATACAACATATTGTCTCTCATACTTTCATATAGTCAACATTCTCAACTGATTTGAGTCCTTTGTCGAGTTCCACTAAGATTGATGGATCATGTTCCACATGAAACATAATTGGTGCAGCACATAAATTATGTAATATTGCCTCGTCTTTATTAATGCATAAGGCTAAATCCAAGTAAGCCTGTAAAATGTTATCAAATATAAAGTTGTTTATAGAATTATTATAAAAATATATTAAAATGTATTTTCTCAAATGCCATTACCTGCCAAGCTAAAGAAAGATGCTGACCAAATTTATGACCTTCTTCCTGTATTTCATTACTGTGTCCAGCTAATTTCAATGTACCTTGGCAACTTTTTCCAAGTAACGATCCAGCACCATAAATATTTAGAAGCTCCCATTCTTCCAATGCATAACCTGTACGATCTTTAGGCGGTATGGATGGTATAGGATAATTCTGATTATCCCTGCGTGCTACAAATTCTGCTTGAGCTAAATCTGCCAGTGCAGATGATATCAGGAATGTAATCTGAAGAGAATAACATATTTATATTTATATATTAAAATATTTCTATAAGTTATGAGACACATATATAATTATACACATGGTTTAATTTATATGAAATACTTTGCAAACACAGAAAACAATAAACATGTATATATAATACATACATCCTGATTTCTAAGAGCTGCCAATTCAGCACAACTATTGCTAAGCAAATAATCACCGCTTAACAAGGCTATTTTATTGCCAAACGTCATATGGTCCATTTCTGAAGCTCCTAAAGATCCATTTACATCTATATTTACTAATCCCTTATGTATCAAACCACTAGTACGTATCATCTCTGTAATTTCAGCCAATGCTCTTTGGCTGAAACATATTCCAAGTTCTAATGTTGTAATTAGGTGTAATTAGATATTATAACTCTTATATTTTAAACTTTTATAGAAATATTTAATTTAATCAAACCAAATATTATAATTCTTGTGTACAAAATAATATTAATAGTGAAACTGAATAAAAACTTTTTCTTTCAGGACATAGATATAGTGTTGTATACTTCCATCTAATTAACACCATTTTTATATTATATATATTATATATATTATTTTTATATTATTATATATATTGTACCTGTGTAATACACCTGCTGATTTATCTTCTTCTATATGATTCACGTTCAGATGACCAGCAGCTTTGGAGATTAACAATACAATAAGACCAAATGCCTGTATGTTGTTATGTCCATTAAAAATAATGTTTCTACAATATAAAATAAAATACAAATGAAATCTTTTATTTTTTAAAATATATTATCAATTATAGCACTTACTTGGCTGTTTTTAATAAAGGATGGTTCGATCCAACCAACTTCCTTAAGTGCAAAGCAATATTTGCAATCTCATCACTCAATAGCCATCTTAAACTTAAAAATGATGTTGGATATCCAACGATTTTTTCTGCTTCTGACATAGCTCTATTCCAGTCTAATTTTTTATTTGTTGCTGTAATTGCTGCTGCTGCTGCTACTTTATTCTCACTAAGGAGAAATCTCTTTTGTGCAGAAATACTAATTGTTCTTTGGATTTGAAAAATATTATGTATCTTCCATAAAGCTATAGGATTACTTTTCCTCCAAAATTTCAGTATAGCCATATTAGCAGACATTATTAATCCTATCTTTTAAGCTTGTGCTAGCAAATAATCCACAAAAAATTATATCAAACGACTTCAAATTTAATAAAAAGAAAAATAATAATAACAGAAGAGATATCAGAACTTTCTCTTCTGACCTAATTTTCTACCATTTTCTCATGCAACCATATATATCTTACTCTCACCTTAAAAATGCAATGCATTAAAAACATTTAAAAATCTCTATCAAAGATAAAAAGTGTCAACATTGAATTAACATCTATAAAATGTAAATAAAAATTTTACATGAAAATTTACTTAAACATGAAATTACTATGTTAATTCAGTGATTTAATCTAAATCATGAATTTTGAGAATGAAATATTTAATAAAAAATAAAAAATAACTGACATATGCTGTCAAAATCAACTTTCAAAAGAATTGTTTATTCATGTCGCGATAAAAAATAAGGTCAAATATTTGATTTATACGGTGCATGTGTAAATTCATTGCATCTGATGATTGTAAGTAAAATTATATTTTTGTTTAACTTGTCAAGACTTACCGTTTGCTAGATGAATTAAATGATATCACGGAAACGCTGTGTCTCTTGACACTCGTTTAAATCGTATTGTGAACTGGAATGTTATTTGTGTATGAGATTTTTGTATACACTCCCGGACATAATTGGTCAGTTCTTTTTAGCTGCACTACTGAACTGGTGCGATAAGTTAAAGTGAGAAAAAATATAGTTGTCTCATTTTAACTTATTGCACTAGTTCCGCAACTGAAAAGAACAGACCAAAGGGCTGCATTCAGAAAACACAACGGTTACACAACGGTTGAGTAATTCGTCAACGTTATTGGTCTGAGTGTAAGGATCTAACAGTAAAGACCAATAGTTACTAAGCGCTCAGTGAACACTTAGTAACTATTGGTCCTTACTGTTAGATCCTTACACTCAGACCAATGGCTGCATTCAGCAGACTCAATACTTGGACAACATTACTAGATTTTCCATTGAATCTCGCTCCTGATTGGTAAATACTTCTGGGTCTATGAAGAATCTAAAAGAATGCTCCAATCACAGACAATAATCACTAAGCGCTCTCTGATCACTTCGTTCTACTGAACGCGGCCAATAACGTTGACGAATTAAGCTAAGACTCCATGCATGCGGTGAGCTCCGGCAAACGGCTGCGGTGACCAATCAGGAGACAGACGCATGCCGGAGTTTGCCGCAACCGGACTTGCGCCTCCCTCCTGATTGGTTATCGCAGCATTTGCCGCAGCTCACCGCATGCATGGAGTCTTAGCTTTAGCTTTACTCAACCGTTGTGTAACCGTTGTGTTTTCTGAACGTAGCCATTGGCTGCATTCAGCAGACTCAACAGTTGGACAACATTACTAGATTTTCCATTGAATCTCGCTCCTGATTGGTCAATACTTCTGGGTCTATGAAGAATCTAAAAGAATATTCCAATCACAGACAATAATCACTAAGCGCTCTTTGATCACTTTGTTCTACTGAACGCGGCCATTGTTACACATGCAGAAAAATAAGCCAATCACATAGCTACATAAAAACAGTGATTCGTATCGGATACATAAATGGTCAATTCCTCTACGTAAATGTTCACGCATATGGCTGTGATGTCATACTGTGTTTGAAATTTGACCAATCAACAAAAATGAACGAAGTAGCTGCTTTAAGCCAGTGGCACACGGTGCTTGTTTTCGTGCTGGATTGCTTGCTGGATGAAAATACTGCGATCTGATTGGTACATTTCCGAAGATGGATAGAACACAAGCAAAGCACGAAAACAAGCACCGTGTGCCGCTGGCTTTAGAGCGCTCTTAAGCCCCGTCTACACAAATTGCAGAACGCAGACCAAGAATCGCAAGCACAAAAATTGACCAATTACAGTCGAATGTGAGAAAATGATCGAGAAAAAGATGATTGGTCAATTTCTGCATCTTGCGATCTATGGTCTGTGTTCTGCGAGCTTTGTAGACAGGACTTTAGTATGCATAATTTGCAAAGATGGTAGGGTATCATAAGTATTATGTGTTTCAGGCCTCATCTGAGAGGGGTTATATATGGTTATCACGATTGCATGATCGCTACACATGTTGACTCGTAATGATATTTATTTTAATATTTAATTAATATTTTATCTGAAATCGTAGAAGTCCGAGAAGGAAGAGAAAAATGCTAAGCATATTGTGCTGCCGTCTACAATGCGAAATATTACGAAATAAGAAACTATGGATAACAACAAAAAATACATATTCCACCAATATTTCAACACGATTAAGATTATCTAACAAATTCTACGTTGCTGATCGTAATCCTGTGTTCCCTCTTCTTTATGTGCGGGTAATATATTCTATAATTATATATACTTAAATCTTACACGTTTACTAATATTTTTAATATATTTTTATTCATATCTTTAATTAATTTTGTAAAATATTGCAGTTATCTTTTATTATATTACATCTACCTTCATGATTTTATACGTTTTATGTAAAAAACTGAACGAATATACAGTATAAAAAGTAATATGTAAAGATCGCTGTCGTATTGCTTCTACAGATATAAATCTACTTATATATATAATATATATACACAATGGGTCGTACATCAAGGAAACGTCACCAAAAGAAGAAGTTGAATCTTACAAAATTGAATGAAAATATTGATGAGTCTTTAATATGTTTACAGTCTTGGCTTTTGGATGAAAACTGCTTGATGATTCATCATTTGATACCAGAATATTTCCCTATTACAGGCAGAGGCTTAAAAACATTAAAGCATATAAAGAGTAATGAAATATTGATACAATTGCCATTACAGATGTTGATAACAACAGATGTGTTATTACAAAGTAATATTAAGATTTTATTTCTTAATAACACTGATATTTTTAGTTCTCAATGTATGCTCTCAGTGTTTCTTGTATATGAAGCTCATTTAGGAATAGACTCAAAATGGTATCTTTATCTGAAAACTCTGCCACAATCTTTCACAAATCCAGATTTCTGTTCTAATAAAGAAAAAGAAACATTGCCAAACTTTATTTTGGATTCTTTGCATCAAGCGCATGAATTAAAAAATGATTTTATTCTGCTAACAAAAGCTATAAAAAACTTAAATGTAATTAATAATAGTCATTGTACACATTGTAATATGCATATGCAGAAGATAATAACATTTACAAAATACAAATGGGCATATTATGTTGTTAATACAAGAGCAATATACATTGATAGTAAATTGTGCAAAATGGATACATTTAACATAAAACAGCCTAATAATTTGGCTCTAGCACCATTCTTAGATTTATTTAATCATGATGTAAATACTGCTACCACAGTATCTGTTATCAAAGATAAGATTGAGAAACAATTTTATCAAATTATTACTTTGAAATCTTTTGATGAAGGATCTCAAGTTTTTATTAATTATGGTTCGCATAATAATTTGAAATTATATGTTGAATATGGATTTTTCATTCCTTGTAATCCACTAGATGAGGTTCATTTTGATATTTCTGATGTACAGAGATGTTTGAATATTTCAAAGAATAAGCTGGATTTTATTATATCTAATAATTTCCACATGAACATGTCATTTATACATGATGGTTTGAATTATAATGCAATAATGACATTGTTCATATCAAATACAAGATTAGAAAGAAATCATTGGAAAGTAAAAATTTATGGTGAAATGTTTGATTCGGATGAACAATATATAATTAATAAACTAGGAATAAGTGTCTTAAACTTGAAAAGAATAAAATATATATATGCTTTAAATAATATGAGGAACATCAAATTTAAAACTTCGAGTTTTGTAATCGCAATTGGTCTTGTAGAAGAATATATTAACATTTTAGATATATCACTCAATGCAATGGAAAAAACAGTAAAATCTTTATATCTAAAAAGCAATAATTTATAGCTTTTCTAAAATAAACTCATATTATTTATGTGATATCTAAGGTGTGTAGTATAATATAGAAATGTATTTTTATATATATAATTTTTTATTAAATATAAGATTGAATATATCATTAATTTTACAAAAAAAAGCTGTATAATAATAAATTATAATTAAATTATTTTTTTAGTTTTTCTTTTATTGACTATCTATCAAAAGATTAAATATTTACGATTCTTTTAGAAATGTTGATTATTTTTAAACATGAATTTATCTTTCAGTGCACCTACATATTTGGCAAAAAATAAATTTGTTAATGTATATTTATCAAGCTTCCTCTAATCATATCATTTAATTTGTTCCAAATATACTGAGATGGTATATAATGTAATGTAGACTTTATTGTTCTACAGTGTTGCAGTGGTAACGTGATAGAGCGTGCTCAGAAAAAGAAAAATGTACCGCAATCTAAATCTATCGTGCCACCGGTGAAATTCACGTCGGTTGTCGCTAGCTTAACTGGATCAAAACCTGGTCAACAGAAGAGAAATTGTTTCCATCCCGGTGTGTCAAGTTTAAGTAGAGATGCGATCGATCTACAAGATAAACCAGAAATCACCAGCACAGACATGCTCAAAGCTATGCTCAAATACATCTGGCCGGAGGTAAGTGATATAAAAAATGATATGAAGATGCTATTGTGCACAATTATTCATAATACAATTCTCATTGCGTATAATTATTGCAGGATGATCCAGAGATACGAAAGAGAGTTAAGATAGCGGTGGGTCTACTTGTAGGAGCCAAAGTTTTAAATGTCATTGTACCATTTACTTTTAAGTATGCAGTGGACTTTTTAAATACCCACAGCGTAGCAACCACCGGTAGTGCTGTAATAGGTTTAACAACTGCACCCGCGACAGTCGCAACTGTAGCAACATCACTGCTGGTAGGATGTAAGAACTTTCATGTATCTTATCCTCCCTGATTACCTTGGTATTTTAACGAAGAAATTTGTGATACAAATTGTGCGTCAAATAATTGTGATCTAACTCTCGTTTTGACAGATGGAATAGCGCGAGCTGGAGCAGCGGGCTTCAGTGAACTCAGAAATGCAGTTTTTGCAAAGGTCGCACAACATTCCATTCGTAAAATAGCGCAAAACGTTTTTCTACATCTACACAATCTCGATATGGCCTTTCACTTGAGCAGACAGACCGGTGCTCTGTCGAAAGTAATATATCTCATTTAATTTATTTTCTGCTCCTTTTTCTAGTTAAATCTGAATATTGGAAAGAACTGCGCTCTTTCATGATGCATTTTCTTTCTTTTCAGACGATAGATCGCGGTAGTCGTGGTATCAATTTTGTTTTGAACGCCATGGTATTTAATATTGTACCCACAGTATTTGAATTGGCATTAGTTAGTACAATTTTGGGAATAAAATGCGGGCCGGAATACTCAGCTGTAGCGCTGAGTTGCGTAGGCATTTATACTGCCTTTACTCTGGGCGTTACTCAATGGCGCACTAAATACAGAATTCATATGAATCAAGCAGAAAATGAAGCAGGCAATAAAGCGATTGATTCACTCATCAATTATGAGACAGTAAAAGTCAGTACCATTATAATAGAATCCACTTGATTCCTTTTCACAGGGATTCTTTTAACAATTTTTTTCTGTTTTAGTATTTCAACAATGAAAAGTTTGAAGCGGAACGATACGACCAATCTCTGAAGAAATATGAAGCAGCATCCCTCAAGACCAGTACGAGCTTAGCTCTGTTAAATTTCGGTCAAAATGCTATTTTCAGTGGCGCATTGAGTCTCATAATGGTGATGGCAGCACAAAACATAATGAATGGTAAATATATCACGTAATCATATTTAAATTAATTACATTTTGTTCATACATGCATTAGAATTTAATCAGATTTTAGTTGATATTTGTAATAAAATCAGCATGTATGCGTTATATAATATCTTTCTATCTCTTTGTTTCAGGTACCATGACTGTTGGAGACCTTGTAATGGTGAACGCTTTATTGTTCCAACTTTCGGTCCCGTTAGGGTTTTTAGGTTCAGTTTATCGCGAAGTTAGACAAGCTTTCATCGACATGCAAACCATGTTTACCTTAATGACAACAGATACTGTTATCAAAGTAAGATTAAATGCAAAGTATTAAGTGCTTTGTCCAGTATCTACTAGTAAAATAATTCTCATAATTTGTATATCCTGTGAATAATGAAACGATTCTTTGTCGATAGTCAAAGGAAAATGCAATAAGATTTTTCGTAACGCCAAATTCCTCGGATATCTTGTTCAAAAATGTAAATTTTCAATATATTGAGGGAAAGTCTATCTTCAAAGACATATCATTCACTATACCAAGTGGTAAAAAAGTTGCTATCGTAGGAGGATCTGGTTGTGGGTAAGGTATTGGATATATAAATTACATTTAATATGTATTATTGAGTATAAATTTTAATAACGAGTACTCAGTCATATTATCTATAATATAATTATTTTTTACACAGTTTCTTATCTTTCCTTTGTAGCAAAACGACAATTGTAAGATTGCTGTACAGATTTTTCGAACCACAGAGCGGCAATATTTATATCAATGGCCACGATATTCGAGATATCGATCTAAATGATCTTAGAAATTGCATTTCAATCGTGCCACAAGTATGAAATGACTGGCATTTTTTACATTTACATTAATATACAGATCATAATATCAATCAGCATCTTTATCTCAATTTATTACGGATTGCAGGATACTGTACTTTTTCACGAAAGTATATTTTACAATCTACATTATGGTAATTTGAGAAAATCGCACGACGAAGTTTTTGAAGCTGCAAAAATGGCAAATCTACATGACTCTATATTAAAGTGGCCAAAAGGATACGACACGCCCGTGGGAGAACGCGGTTTAAAACTAAGCGGAGGAGAAAAACAAAGGGTTGCCATCGCCAGAGCGATCTTGAAGGATAGCCCCATTCTTATTTTTGACGAAGCTACTTCCTCACTGGATTCTATTACGGAACATGTAAATTCTCAAATCACATGTTTCTCATTGTATTACGTAAAGGCTTTTCTTTAAGCCAAATTAAAAATATTTCTTTTGATTTGGATAAATATTTCGTTTGCAGAACATACTCGACGCTCTGCGTAAAGCAACGGAGAAACGGACATCGATCGTAATCGCGCATCGTTTAATGACGGTTATGGATGCCGATGACATACTTGTTTTAGATCAGGGTAATCTAGTCGAAAGAGGAACACATAACTCTCTACTGTTAACACCAAATTCTCTATATAGCAAATTGTGGGATACTCAACATTTTGGCACAAAGAAAACTAATCAAACACAAAAAGAAAGAACCATGAATGAAAAAACTAATTAAAGACACGGTAATATAGGTAAAAATATATTTATATAATACCGAAAGTGAAAGTCTTAATCTTAATATGAATTCAATGCTTGAAATGTGTTCCATGATTACTGAAACTCAGCAGATACAAGAAACAAGTTATTTCAGGTGATAATAGACAGTAATTGCAGTACTGTGTATATATATATATATATATATATATATGATAGACAGTAATATTTATTTTAAAAACAGTGTACATATTGCAAGTAATATTAAATAGTAATAGTAAATAAATTTTATACATTTGGTTTAATTTTTACAAATAATATATATATACATACGTCGTTATATGAGTACCTCATTACGAATGACTGGAATTAAATAAACTGATTATTTTGAGAATAATTTATATATATTTGAGATTATAATAGTGCCAACTGCTATCATTTGTACAGTCCATTTGTAAAAATATAAATTGCAATAAATAATAAACAAGATCTCAGAGAAGTGCGACAAAAAGTATGAGAAAGTATGACAAAAAGAGATATACTACTGTGATCAAAAAATAAGGTGAATTTGTTTATAAAATGAAAAATTTTTATTCTTCCAAACCAGTTTCATCGCCTTCAAAGTACTCCCCGTCCAACACAATGCACTTATGCCAACGTTTTTTCCAATCCTCGAAACAGTCAGAAAAGTCTTTTTCCGGGATGGCCTTCAATACTTTTTTCGATTCGGATTTTATCTCCTCAATCGAGTCGAAACGGTGTCCCCGGAGCGGTCTTTTGAGCTTGTTGAACAGCCAGAAGTCGCACGGTGCTAAATCAGGCGAATACGGTGGTTGTGGAACGAAATGGGTCGAATTTTTGGCAAAATGTTCTCGAAGAACCAATGCAGTGTGGGACGGTGCATTATCGTGGTGCAAAAACCAAGAATTGTCTGCCCATAATTCTGGCCTCTTGAGGCAAATAGCTTCACGCAAACGACGCATAACACTCAAATAATATACCTTGTTAACAGTTTGGCCTGGTGGAAGAAATTCATAATGCACAACACCGCGATAATCGAAGAAAACTGTCAACATGACCTTGATTTTTGAACGACTTTGGCGCGGTTTCTTCGGTCTTGGTTCACCTTTTGCACGATATTCGCTCGATTGGTCGGTTGTTTCCGGATCGTATGCATAGATCCAAGTCTCATCTCCCGTAATGATGCGTTTCATGACGTCCTGATAGTCAGAAATCATTGTTTCACAGATGTCAACGCGACGCTTTTTTTCCAAAAAATTTAGTGTTTTTGGAACCAATCGAGATTTGACGCGTTTGAGGCACAAAACATCTTTTAAAATGGTTTGGGTTGATCCAAATGAAATGCCCGTAGCATCAGCAAGGTCTCTAATTGTCAATCGACGATTTTCGAACAGTAAATCTTTGATTTCCTTGACGTGGCTTTCATCGGTAGATGTTGATGGTCGTCCGGGGCGCTGTTCGTCTTGAACTCGTTCTCGGCCTTCTTTGAAGTCTTTGTACCACTTGTAAACATTTTTTTGCGACATAGCCTTATCACCAAAGGCCTTCTGCAACATCCTCAACGTTTCCGCGGCAGAATATTCATTCCGCAAACAAAATTTAATGCAAATTCTTTGCTCAACAAAATCAGACATAGTAAAAATCGAAAAACTCACTTTTGTATGTTTACAAAAACACGTATAGCTCTGCAGCAATTGAATATATTGACATGAAACTCTGCATAGATGCAGTGCTACCAACCCACCAAAAAATAATTTCATGATTTTATAATACCCGCGAAGTTTAAATGAAAAATTCACCTTATTTTTTGATCACAGTAGTAGATACATATTCCAAAGTTAGGATACGTATACAAGAAAAACATTGATTACTAAATGCTTATATAGATGTTACCTTGACAACCATTCGAAACAGTAATGGATGCCGACCAGACTGCAATGAATTTGGCAGTTTTATGACAAGTTGATATTATAAAAATGAACCGCACGCAATTACAATGCGAGTTATAATTTAAGTACGAGGATAAAATGCAAACTGAAGCATCTACCTTGCCAGTAGTACAACTTAATGTGCATAAAAAATCTGATAGGTAAATGAAATTTGTTGAATATCCTACTGTTGCATGACGTGCGAAAATGAGTTAAATTATTATTTAACATAATACTCAAATAATATGTATGTTGCAATACAAGTCATAAATTAAACTTATTCAATATAATAAGTATATGAATTGCAGAAAATCAAAATCTAATTCAAAAAACTCAACGCTGGAATCTAAGATTTCTCCTTGCAAAAATACATTATTTACATCAAACAGAAAATGCTTGAATCCTTTGCTTGGTTTGTATAAGAATTTAATAGAATATTATTGCTTCATAAGACTTGTTATATTGTATATATATATGTATAGGTGGACCATATAAAAGCAATATCAAACAGCAATCATTGTCTGATGAACCAAGATCTAATAATAAAAGTTTTCTTGGACAAAGGGTGATGTCAGCAAGAATTCTTCGTTTCAAACAATTACAAAACCAATTGGCTGATGCACATTACCATCTAAATGTAAGTATTTATGATCATATCAATATCTACTAAATACTAAGCTTGTTTATGTAACGTAGAAATAATTTTTTGCAGGAACTTGCGAATGAAAACAGATTATTAAAGGCATTGCAAAAGAGGCAGGATTCTGCACTTAGGCGTTATGAAGGGACCAATGCAGAACTACCAAGAATTATAAATTCACATCATGAAGAATTAAGAGTACTTCAAACAAAATATAAGAAATTGAAAGAATTGCATAGGGACACATGTAATCTGCTAAAAGAGAAAGAAAATGAACTTTATACCGTGAATGTAGGTAGCTTTAACAACGCATTCATATAATGAAATATGTTATAAATTTACATACAAATTTAATTTTATAGTCGCAAAATAAGCATTTACTGCAGCTCAGTAAAGATCGAAATCTTGGGGAAAGGGAAAAGTTACAATTACAAATATCCGACATGAATCATGAAATGCAACAACAACAGGAAACTATACAGGTAATGTTCAATATATGTTTAATAATAAGCAATATAAATTAACCAATCATATAAAAATGTGAATAATTTAGTTGTATTTTATATGTAAGTGTAATTTATAATATTTTATTCACAGCTATTACACAGGAAGCTGGCACTTGAAACTAAGAGCATGAAACATCAATTACACATCGAAATTTCTAAACATAAAGAGACACAGAAGAATTTGCAAGAAACAATAGAGAAATTGAAAACTTTAGAATGCTTATTAGACAATCGAGAAAAGAGATTATATTATAATGGTCAATTACCAATTTATAACAAAGAGAAGAATCTAGATAGTCATTCTTTCACAAATCTCAGCGATATCAGGTATAAAAATCATACCCTATATGTACACACATCATACACATACACACACGCACACCCACACCCACACCCACACACGCAACACACACACACACACACACACGCACACACGCACACCACACACACACGCACACACACACACATACACATTTTATTATATATATATATTTTGTTTATATTTAATACATTTTTAGCACCTCCAATGCAGTTAAAGTATCTGGCAGAAATAAAAAGAATGAAAATGGATTGCCAAAAAGCTTGGTGAGAATAAATATATATATTACAATTTTTTTACGAACTTAATTATTATTAATTACAGCCACTACTTGAATCTCTGGAGCCTAATGATGATACAAAAGTATCTAAAACAAATAGTGCTAACCATTCGGAAAATCAATTGAAATCGGAGACAATGGCGAGTTTGTACCAAATACGAAAGTTTCGATTACAAAAGTCACACATGCGTAAACACGCTCATTCTATGAATGATTTGAGGTTCAAGTTTAGAGATCCAGAAGTAGAAGTAACCGATAATGAAAAGATTACAATCTATCAAAACGGATCGGTAGACTTTAAGTCAATGCCAAAAAGAAATAGCCTTAATGATAAAAACGAAAATGGCAGATTGAGAAAGTTATTTAATAGAATAAAAAGTCAAACTTCGCAGAATTTACAAAAAGAAATGGAGCTTGAATCTGATTATTTCTTTGATGATGGAGAAAGTGATAATGTCAGTGAACATAATATCGAATATTGCTCAACGAGTAATATGCAGAAATCTAGAGAATTATATGCAAGGTACGTAATATCAATCACTTTTTTATGTTATATTTGTTTTTATATATGTATATTTTTTTGTGCTCATGAACAGTCGACAAATATAATTATGGGATTACAGCCATTCTGTTATGTCTGTTATAGATTAATTAATGGCATAGACGATACATCTGATACCTTAGATGATATAAAAAAAGTAGACATCCATTATAGTGATGGTGAAGAAAAAAAGGAATTAAGCACGCGTCTAGTGAAAGATTTAGCTTTTCAAAAATTCAACTACAAGAGCAAGTCAGATATATTGCAACATCATAGAAATAAAAAATTTGATGACAGTGACTCTGAAGTTGATTCTGAAGAAAAGATAGATAGAAATGAAGAGTACTTTTCTACAGAATATGAAGCCGATGTAACTAAGTATAGTAAGGAACAATTCTCAAAATCTTGTAATGATACTACTCATCTAGGATACAACACGTCGGAAATTAAGGAACCATTCGAGCTGAAGAATACAAAGCTACAGATGATATCTAATGACACTCTAGATGATATCTATTCACAAGATATAGAAGTTTCTGCACAGATTTCTGAGAAAAAGCTGAAGAACAGGCCGGAAGAACTTTCGGAAAATAATGATGTAGATAATTCCTTTACAGATATAAGAAAGGAAGAATATAAGAAGGAAAAAAAAGAATATTTAGAAAAAGAGCCAGTATATACTGATATATCATATAATAATGTTTATAAAGATATGTTTAAACAAAATAATACGAATGAAGAAATTAATAACCTGTTAAGTCCAGAAAAAGAAGTTCAAGATAATTTGCAACAAGCACACGAGGAATATAAAACAAAAACCCTCACAGAATATATAAAAACTGAAGATTTTAGAGCAATATGTAATGAGGACAAAGCTGTGCTACATCATCCTGAAGAGAATGATTATTCCATGGATAATTTAATAAAAGAATATCATAGACTTCGAGTAGAGGAAACACCAAGAACGAGAAATTATAATGACGAAGAAGAAACATTAAAAGAAGATGACTTCAATGTAGAAACAAATAATAGGTTGAATGCTTTATCAGAGGCAGAAAATATTAATGCATTATCTAACATTGTACAAGCATCACATCATGCTAAACAGGCTAATGAGATAGGAGATGAGATAATAGATGTAAAACACACAACAGACACAAAAAAGAAATTAATTAATTATAATAAAGAAAAGCTGCTGGCTACAATGAAAGCTATAGATGATAACGAAAACATTGAGTTTCTAAATCAGGAATTTAAGAATCATAATGTAGTAAGCAGAATGCAAATAACACAGAATCTTTATCGAGGTGTACCTACACACTCAAAACCAAAACGAGATGTAATTAAAGATATATTTGAAGACAACCACATAGAAAATAAAGTCAGAGGTACTTGCAGTAAATCCCATTAAAAGTTTGGGAGAAACCACTGAAGATAGTCCATAATAAATAATATAAAAACTGCTTTCTACTTATGTTCTTCAATTTTACCAAACTTTTAGTGTAAACACAGCTGAAAAGATATCCAAAAAGAGAAAATGTGTGCATTATATTTTTTCTAGTGTATTGAAGTTTTTATCAATTTGTCCGAGTATGTCACTGAATATTAGATATATTTTATTCAAAATAAAAATCATTCAAAAAACAAACACATCGCCTTAAGAAATTATTATTATAATTATAAGGAGCCAAAAATCATAACAATTATAAGTAAAAGCTAAAAAAAGCGCTTAATTCTTGATCTTATGCTTGATAGTTCTATTTGCATGTGAGTTAGCAAATGACCATTCCATGCCAGGTTTTTTATGACGCAATATATTTCCGATGAGAAGAGGTAGTGTTTTTGTTTTTCTTTGATATTTCTTGATATTTCTGTGTTGTGCTTCTAATTCATGTTGGGAAACATCAAAACATTCCGTATCAGACTTCCATATTTAAACATACGTTAACAATGTAAAGAAGAGTTATTTTTGCATTTCTTTGTCAACAGTCTCGATAGCACCTGTTTAGTTATTCGACCGTTGAGAATTAGTATATAACTAAAACTCCGTACCAGAATTTACTTTTCAAGACGCGGCACATTTGCCGCGTCCTGTGTGCAACCGACCACAGTCTCCAGTACGACCTGCCATCTACTGTCACCTTTCTTTAATCAAGATTCGAACATGTAGTACGACTTAACAATAAATCAGACGGACTTTTTACTTTTGAATAATACGGCTAACGACAAATCAGATTAATTTTTTATTTTTAAATAGATCTTAATAATCGGTTCAAGAACTGTTTTTGTTTTTAATTAACACAACTCTATAATAAATTGGATGAACTTTATATATTCAAGTAATACAACTCAATAATGGAGTAGGAAGGTATTTATTTTCAAAAAGTACGATAAAGTTTTCAGAGGACTTTTTATTTTTAATTATATAATATCTAACAAAATTGTGCAATTTTTAGTTTCCATTTAAACATTGTATAAATAAATTCGATAATGGTTTAAACAAACAATTGTCAGCTACCGCTTAGCGTGTTGTGCGTCATATTGTCAATATGTCACGAACAGGAACAAAACTCGATGCTAAGAAAGTGGCAAGTATAATATTATTTTTTCTTAATATATAGAAAATGTTGCTTTCTTGATAATAAAAGTTATATATTTAATCTTTTTACATTTAAGTATAAAACATGTTCGGGTTAGAGGTTATGGTCATGTGTTATTCATCTAAAATGCCAAAAATCAATAATTCTTATTCTTCGTTATTTCCTTGTGTATTACAGAATTCTGAGTTATTTACTTTAACATATGGTGCACTTGTGGCCCAATTGCTTAAAGACTATGAGAATGTGGAAGATGTTAACAAGCAGTTGGAAAGAATGGGATATAACATGGGAATTCGACTGATAGAAGACTTCCTGGCACGGACAGGTTCTGGGCGATGTTATGACTTCAGAGATACTGCCGAGAAAATTCAAAGTGGATTCAAAATATTCCTTGGCATTACACCAACAATCACAAATTGGAGCCCTGCTGGCGATGAGTTTTCTCTATCTTTTGAGACAAATCCTTTAACTGAATTTGTAGAATTACCGGATCATTGTTTAAACTTGAAATATTGCAATATATTAACTGGTATACTCAGAGGTGCCTGTGAAATGGTACAAATGGAAATCGCCTGCTGGTTTGTACAAGATCAACTTAAAAATGACAATGTTACAGAATTACGTGTGAAATTTGTCAAGAGGCTAGAGGATGCGATACCAGCAGGCGAAGATTAAACTTCTATATTACTTTAATATATAAATATTTATAATTTCATGTATTATATAATTATAATAAAATATTTTGTATCTTGTGTTAAGATATATTATAACAATTAGCCATTTATCTTTATTGCTTGTATTCTGCAAATTTCTCACTTAAAAGTAATATATTAAGAATTTTATTTTTACATCACTGCTTATGTCAATGTTGTAACAGTTATAAAATAGATATTATAAAATTTGTTTAAAATATGCATTAAGGTATCTCTCATCCTTTCATATAAAATAAATTATATATCTTTTATTTATTTTTATAATGACATTTTCTGTAAAATTTTCAGACAATTCTCTTTGTGTGTGCGCGGTGCGTATATGTGTTACTCCTTTGAGATAATAGATGGCTCACAAAGAGCATAGTAGATTGGAAACTTGTTAAGGTTATGTTGTTTGGATGTGTGAAATATAAAAGTTGCAAAATTTGAAATAGATTGTGACTAGTTTTATGAAAATAATTTTTATAATTTTGTTTAATTATATATAAATTGTAATTTAATAACATATATATTCAAATAATATGTTATTATTAAAATAATCGTGGTAGAAAATTTCCTATTAATAAATTAATGCTAATAAGATTATGGAAGTGAGATGTAAACATTGTAGTAAACACCTTTTTAAGGATGATTCTATGTTACTCAATGCACATCATAAAATAAAGCAACATCCAACAGATATGGGATGTAAAACAGATGAACACGATTGCTGCTCATACATGACTATGGAAAATGTGCCACAATGGATCTTGATTATCGTCGAACAAGTATATTCTTACATATATAATAGATTTTGTAACACACATTATATTTATATATATATATATATTTATATATATATATATATATAAGATATATATATATACAATTGACAATAATTTTTTTTTATAGGAATCTTGGACCAAAGGAAAACTGTATTGCCCATATTGCAATAGTCGTTTAGGGACTTTCAATTTTATAAATGACCTAAAGTGTTACTGCAATGAATATGTAAAGCCTCCCATAAGATTAGTCAATAGTAAATTAGACATTTTATATGGAACTAAAACAGTAGCTATGTATAAATAAATTTCATTTTATGTTAATTATAATTGATATATTCATTAAACTATATATGAAACTATAAAAAGCATATTTCTATAAAAAAAGAAAACTGATTTTCTTAATATTTATATTATTGATCATTCTATTATTTTGATTAATATCCTAAGAATTATTTTCTAAATTATTACTATACTAAATTATTTTCTATCAGGTTGTAATATGATAATATAATAAAAAAAACCTCTTATTAGTTTATTTCTCATTTGTGATTTTTATATTTACATAATTTATATGTATATATATTTATATATTTAATTACATCTTTTCTAACTTAGGTATATTATACTTATTTATTTATAATGATGAAAACCCATCACAGAAACTATATATTAACTTACAACGTCTCTATGTATATTTTTTACATAGTACAAGTATATATTAATTACAAATAACATTGTTAACTAGTATTATTTTCTATGAACTATATACATAGTGTAAAATACAAGATATCGAGATGGATTATGTACAAAACTCTAGACAATACATATGATGTACAATGTATATCAAGTTTAGATGGAAGTATATATGTTACAAAAATTTAATACTAATTCTCCTATTTTGTAAATTATATAATTTGTAATAAATTTTTGGATAAGAGAAATTATCAATATTCACATACAAAATATTGTATTGAAAGCTCTTAAAATTCTTAGGTTTTTATATAAATGTTTAATTAAAAATTTATCGTCCTATTTCCTAACTTATAATAAGATAACACCGGGTGTAAAAAATAAATGCGTGTATGAAGAAGAATGCTGAATTAAAGATCAATGTTAAAGAGACTAATATCAGCTGCTCTGTTCCTTACATTAATTTTTTATTTGTAATAAACTTGCAAATTTTGTAAATAATATCTATATGTATAAGTAATATTACAAAAATATATAAGTGGCATACATTTTCTTTCACCACTGTGAAAAAATAATATTAAGTACTTTTGTAGTGACAATTCAAGATACATAATTATTTTTACTAAAAATGTTAAATGTCTAATCATTATATGAATATAATAATTCATTGAAAAAATTGTTATTAAAAAAAATATTACATTTTATTTATATTCCGTTATGCACTATCTATCAGTATTCATATTATCTAATATTGCCAATATTCTCATTTATCGTCATTCTATCGAATTCTTAGTTCATCACAGTGGTTGAAAAAAAAAATAAAAATAAAGAAAAGAAATAAGCAAAAGTAACTGGAAACATATATCAATCTTTATGTAAATTAATAAGAAATGAAGTATTAAGAAAATTCTCACATAATAGACTTGTATTCAAGGCACATATGGTTCGCTACGTAACATTATGTAAAACAGTTCAGAGCTACATTAGAATAGTATAAAAGTTAGTTGATCCGCTCCATCATGATATTATGCGACGAATAAAGTCGAAATATGGTAATAACGCAAGCGTTATTTTAAGTGTAACATTTGGATCAGCCACAAGAAGAGCATAAACATTAATCATTCAACAGTAAAAGTTAATAAAGGCAATACATAATACAATGAAATACATACTGGATCAACCAACATATTGGACGTGAGAAACAACCTCCTATTCGCATTGATATACAGTACATCCTTTCCTAGAAGCTTTTTAATAACAATCGAAACACTCAGGATATTTATTACAGTCCAATAAGTAAGCTTAGTTGCTACAACTGGAACATTTCATCTTGTTGCTGCTCAAGTCTTTGTAAAGAAGTTTTTACTCTTCTTCCTTGCGTCATAACTACAGCAGTTGGAAAGTTATGCATATCACTAGAAGACGCGGGTCTGCTGGAGTCAGAAGGACTATTCGACGTAGTGGAGTGAGAGTTTCGTAATTTAGCGGATGCACGACGTCGTTGTACGTAAACGTCATTGCTATTGGTACAGAATCTGCAATAAGATTATTTCTGTGTTTTGCACTTGATCTTGAACTTATGCTATTTACTGATAAGGATTTACTGATAAGAATGTATTTCTTTTAATGTCTCTTTAAATAGTGATGTAACGCGTTTGGGCTCGAATATATTAAAAAAACACTTTGCAAAAACTTGCCTTAGTCTATAGAATCTCTAAATTATCAGTTAAATCAGACAATTCGATAGTTAACATCTATTAAATTTCAGATGTACGTTAATTCTATTGGAGATGCATGTAAAGCGCAGAAAATAACTTACTCACTGTTCCCTTGAGCACGTTTGACTTCTTTCTTGACATTAGCTATTGAAGTATCCATCTTAGCTAAGAAATCATTAACTGAACTCTCATCATCGATAGATGATGATATAGAAGAAGGACTAGATATCTACAAAATATAATGCATGTTTATAAAGATTGCCTATTTTTAATATAAAATAAAATACAATACCAATATATCTTATGGCCTTTTTCCACTTTTACTTACATTTGGAGGTACATCATGTTCCTCAGAAGGTACTACTGGCTCATCGTTATATACAGAGGCAGGGCTATCAGCATTTACAGGAATAAGCAAGTGTTCTCGTAAAAATAAACTATCTGATGCCCATAATCTATTGACCCTCCTTATTTGTTCCGTCTACAAGACAGAATGTATTGAGCAACGAATATCATATAGTGTTATCAAACAGCATGAGTTCAAAACCAAATGCAAGGTACAGAAATAAAAGTGCAATGTATACAAATGAATCATACCGTAACACCATACTTGAGAGCAATTCCTTGTAGAGTATCCGAGGCGGATATTATATGTTTCACCAAGCTTTCAGTCCGTGTCATGTGTTTAGCTGTGCTCCCATACTTCTTCAGAGTCCTCCCGGTATCTCGAATACATCTACGTTCCTCCATCTCTCTGGCGCCGTTCCGCTCCATCGTTGTAGGCCTTCAAAGTGATGATATGCGCCAGAGGACAGAATATACCATAACCAGTCGTCGTTTATTTCAGAGATCGCGGGGACTCTGTGTCATTTCATGATCGCGTCTTCACATAACCTAGTAGAGAATTTCGTGAGAGATTTTAGTTGTTTTAAAGGTTGACAGATTCCTGATGAAGCGAGCGAGCGAGCATTATAACTGCGTTAAAGATTCATGTTATTTCGTCGATTTCGCGTCATTTCGTCTTACGTTTATCTTGTGACACATGCACCCGAGGATGGTGATGACAGTGATGACTTAAGGAGTTAACACTTACGAAGCAGGTACAGGTAATAATAACAACGAGCAATTTAAGAGGCTGGAAGCGTTATTATCGTGTTTGGAGCGGCGTGCACGCGTGCACGAAGTTTCACCATTGTTCTGGAATCATTGACAATTCTCGTGGACGTTCTCTCGTGATATTTGACACCGAGCGAACGAATATCACGAGTGTGTCACTAGTACCGATTCGACAATAGGTATTATGTGTATATGCTATGGCTGTCGTATATGATCAGATCAGCGCGAACACGACGAATATGATGGAATATTTTACATATACGTACTTAATTATAGCGGATCTATCGCTAAAATTGACCGCTAAAGAGATTCACGTGATGCGAATGAAATTGTTAACAAATCCGGTAGTCGCGAAAGGATGCGACAGTTGCTAAGACAGTAATTTCGAAAAGCCCCGCACAAAGCAGGAGAAAGAAAATTAATTTCGGATACTCTTCGTCGACGCGATATTAATACGTAAAGATTATCTTCTTCTCGTGAAGGAACAAGTTTCAAGACACACCTTGCAGCTAGCATCACGTGCGATTGCATAAAAAAAGAAAAGAATGCGGCGCGATCATATGACCGTACGTAACTTTCGGCGGAGAATGCAACTTGCGAACAACTTTCACCTCGACGGATTTGGTATTTATCCGGGAAACTCAAATCTACGACAGGCGTAGATCAAAAGGCAGAACACTCTGGATTCGGATACAAGTCTTGTGGGTGTGTAAAATAAGAAAATAATGGAATGAGATTTTAATAAAAAAATGTTCATTATAATATACGTTACACAGTTATCTATTTTTAAATACAATATATTACAGAGAAACACACACAATTATAATTTATTGTTATTAATATTTTTATATCTATTATAATTAGCTTATGATTAATAGTATTATGTTATTACTATATGCTAGCCTCGATGAATATATAAGGCAGCAGGAAAAATTATGTGTAATGGGAGACTAATTAATGCATGTTTTTTTTTGTTTATTAGGGCAACTTTATCGTCGATTATTACGATTGTATTAATCCCCAGTAGCTGTGCAACAGTAACGGCGATATTGGTAATAAATAGTTAACGTAAGGATAAATATTACGCTACCGCGGCAGTGTATACTTCCTGGATTCTGGGTAAAGGGGCTTGTTCCTCTAATTATCAGGACTATATCGACTAATATTCTACATGATAGACCCCCTTCCCGCTATTCCAAATAGTATGGCTACTTAATGATGATAACACATCAACAAGCAGCGTTTATAATTATTTAAAATTATTATTTTCCATAAACTGTGTCACAGATAAGAAGTTACAGATAAACTTTTATCTTTACGAATACCTACACAATCGCGATTTGATTTCCTTATAAACCTTTCTCATGAAATAAACAATAGGAGAACGATCAGAGTTACAACAAAATTGGAAGTGTAGACACGTAAAAGTTAAGGCTATCTAGAAAAAAAATACGAGTACAAAAACTGCTCCGTTTGATGTAATAGTAGAAACCATTATTTTGATGTGAGTGTATCTTGATTTACATTTCACACAAACACTTTAGCAAGAGCGTCCGCGCCTGCGCTCGCTATAAACGGTCGTGATGGGTGGAACGCTACGTCTAGAATACTTTCGTCGAACTTTTTCCGATGTGCTGTTATCTCCTGAACACAAGTCTTGTTATCCATGTTCCATAATCTTATACTGCAATCATGACCTACGCAATACCAAGTGATGTGTTAGAAAATGAATATCATCTATGACTGTTAGGCAATTCCATTAAAATTTAGACCAAAAACTCGAACAAATTGTATCAATACTAGATTTGATTGATCGATCCGTAATATTATATATATTTTTTACACTTACTGCCTGAAAGTAAGTATAGACCATGAGGATCTACAGCAAGACTAGTAACTGCGTCCAAGTGTGCTACCATCGCATGAGCGAGAGTGGCTGACCGGTGATCATAAAATCGAATATGCCGATCTTCGTGCGCGGTTACGACAAGCGGTAACGTCGGATGTGCTACAACGCGATTCACGCCCTTCGTTTCGTTTGCCTCGAGTCGCGCCACGATCGCACCAGTCTCGGTGTCAAACACCACGCAAGCTCCTTCATAAGCCACGACTAGCTTGTGTGGCTCGTCCCTGATAAAGTCGACTGAGGTCGGTATGCCGTCTATAAAAGAAGAAGAGGAAAACATTAGGAGGATCGTATCGCAAAGTTGTAAATCGCCTGAGGATGGAGAGAAAACTTACAGCCAATCGATATTTGCTAGATAAAGCTTTCTGCGAACTTGAGATAATTCTCATGTTATTTTATTACAGTACAATTGGCGTTATAATTGATTACTCATTGTCAGAGTTGGACATTGTTCAAATAAATTTTAACATTCTATCTTATTTATCCTATAAGCACATGCTCGGAACTAAATTCTAACGAATAAGAAATAAAATTTTATTCAAATAAAATTTAACACGAATATAAAAATAAACGATAGAATTATCTATTGTTAATAAATTTAATTTTGAATAAAAATTTAATTTCAAATCATACGAAATCACATCTGTCCAACTTCAGTCATTATCATTATAATTCGTACCAATATCGTATCGTATCGACAGTTCATTAGACTTACTTCATATGTGTTAGATAGCGTCTGCTTACCTTGTTCCGAAACATACGTATTGAGAAGAGGTACTGGTGCCTGCGGCGCCCATAATTTTACAGTTCCGTCCGCGCTAAACGATAACATAGTGGGACGTACATGATACATGCTCAAGCCCCAGACAGCATTTGTGTGCCCCGTTAACGTATGACTAAGGACACTTGGTTCGTACGAGTCGTATGGATCAATGTTAGCCGATGGTAATGTCCAACAATGGATCATGCCATCTAAACCACCGCTGTAACATCGATTGCCCGTACTACACATGGCTAGACACAATACAGGTCCAGTGTGTGATCTGAATGTGTAAAGTGGTTCTACATCTAACGAAGCTGACCTAAAAGAATATTAAAACATAAAATTATGATATATAGTATCTTTAAAATGAAATGTTGCGGTTTATATTTTATATATTTTCACAGCATTAATCGATATTGGATTTACTTTTTTGCCGGTACAGTCTTATGAAGATTCCACAACTTCAGTGTGTGATCATCGCTTGCGGTAATAAGAACCGGATCTGCGGGGTGGAAGACGAGTGCTCTAACAGCGTCAAAATGCGAACGTAACGTATATTTAGCGTTCCATGTTTTTCTGAAGGTCTCCTTCGTGGTAGAAACCATCTATGTCACAAGAAATAATACGTTAAGAATGTCAACAAACTGTAACTCTTACATAGCTGAAAAAGCGACTCGACTGAAATAAAAGGGAAAATTCTTGGAACTTACATCGTACGATATTTCTGCATCATTGTTGACACATAATTGTTCTAATTCTCCTAATTCCAGCGTGGAGTCACCGCCTTCTTTATTATTTGGGCGTCTTGGATCTTGTTGTAATCCTCTATGTAATAAATCTACAGGCATCGTTAGATTATGTGATTATATGTGACAATAACCAACAAGACATCTATTATTGTAATAGGTTAATATTTTATCTTAAAGTGCACGAACAAAAAGGGATTTACTAACCCCATTTTGAAGAATTCATTTCCAGATGGATAGAACCAGGTGGCGATTCTTCAATTTCTGTGAGGAGATTTAATTCATTTAATACCTCTTCTGCCTCTGCATCTGTATCAACATCTTCCGCTAGAAGAGGGATAGATGCCTGAAAAATAAGAAACTATGTTAACAAGTAGCGTGAATAATATTATTAAAACACAAGATGATAGTAAACATTACTTTATTTGGTTTGGTGTCTGTATTTGTATCATAAATTTCGTCTTCCCCGTCTCCTTCTTCCTCTTCCATATCCATATCTGTGTGTCCCAAAAATTCAAAATTGGCTATAACAGCAGCTTCGGTATCTAATATCATAGCTTCTGCTATAGACGATGGTTGTTGCTGAAACAACAAATCACATATAAATGTATAACAGAATCGTAACTATCGTAATGCAGCTTAATTCTCTTAATTAAGTTCATATTGTTTTAAAAACATAAACATGTTTATTTATCTCTACCTTTTTCGGATGTTTCCCCCGGAGTATAAGACTTACATCGGATGATTCTTGTCTATCCTGTGTTCCTTCATTTCCATTTAATGCAGGGGTATTCATCTCATCTGAATCTGTATTATTATTCAAGCCAAGCAATGATCGCACTCTGTTTGATCGTACATCTATAATTGTATCAGTATATCCAATCTCTTGTAAATATCTGCAATAAAACAGTTTCTTTTATATTCTAGTTTTGTACAATGAAGTTAGATGCTTGTATTTCTTTCTACATTTCCAAAATTAAAGCATGTTTCACATACTGCCTTAGAAGTTGACGACCTTGTCTCCAACTAACATTACTGACAGATGTAAATGAAGCTTCTCCATCTCCTCCTCCTCCTCCTTCTCCTGTTCCTCCTCCACCGCCACCACTACTTTCAGAGATATTGCATGTGGTGCCTTCTTCGTAAAGAGGCGGTTTAACATCTCCTTGCATTACCAAGTCTGTACCATATTTTAGTTTATGATACCTTGCTCTATATAAATTACAGAAATTATTACTATGAGATCAACAGATCATAGATACTTATTATAAATAATATTATACAGTTCAGTAATATTATACAGTAATTATACAGTTCAGTGATTCAGAGAATAAAGTAATATTAATATCTAATTTAGGTACAGTAAGACTAATAATAAATTCCAATAAAGTTCATCTGTGATTTTGCATTCAGATAAATTTAAGAGAGAAATATGACTTATCAAATTATATTCTCTAATATATTAAATAAGTAGATGAAAGTGCAATTATATAATTTTACAAAGATTATATTAAACACACACACACACACACACACACACACACACACACACACACACATATACAGAAATAGTAAAATATAGAATGTACTAGAATATTATATTTAAGATTTAATTGTACTTCAGATTTTATTAAAAAAAAGAAAAAAAAAAAAAAGAACATAGTTATCTGCTTTACATGAAATTACTATATGATATATAAGTAGTTATTGATTTATTATTTACCTTTCTTGCTTAAGTGCATATTCTAACATTTTTATTCGCCTCACTAGATCATTCTTCAAATTTTCCTGTCCTTTTCTTTCACCTTGAAGAAAAGCTATCCTAGCCTACGTAACAAAGTACCAAGTTGAATCAATCGCTGTTAGTATTTGATCATCTCATAGTAACACTGATATACTTATTAAATATTATATCAACAACCTTTGTATATGCATGCAACTTTTTCATATTTTACAATATGTAAACAATGTCCTCCATCAGTATGCTCAAACAGTTTGAACATCAAAAGAAAAGGAATATTCCTTGCTTTCGACAACATGTTAGGTTCAAAGCAGTATTATTTTTTTCACGAACGACCATACATTAAAATTACAAAATTCGCGCTGCTAACACGATCTGTCGCGGATATCCGCGTTGTCTCAGAGCCTGTGTCTGTCGGACCTTATGTTTTCCTTCATCCTTCTGTCACATGACAGCTGAGATGACACGCAAGGCGGATAATCGTCGCGTGTTCCCTCGTGCATGTTTTGCACGTACCGCGTATGCCGAGTCGTGTAGCGTACCTGAAATTCTGCCCTGTCCAGCTCCCACTGAGATCTCTCGAGCTCGAAGCGGGCCCACTCGTGCTGAATGAAGTGCAAGATACCAGGCATTGAGTACTGCGGCCGTTGATCCTTAGCGTCGCCGTTGCTGCCATTGTCACTGCCCTGGATCGTTTTGTTCACGAGGGAAACGTTCGCGCCGCCGGACAACTGGCCGTTGTGATTCTGGGACGCGGGGCTGCAACTATCCTCCATTGTGGCACCACAAAACTGGCTCGGCACCTTCATTTCATGACACGGCGGCCATTACAGCAACTTCCCTTTCTTCGCCGAGTACCCCGAGAGCGCTCTCCGGTCGGACAATGTATTTCGATCGGGCGAGTCGGAAAAGGAGACAATTATTACGCATGCGGACGCGTCCGGGGCGCGTGTGTGCGAGTCGCGCGAAGAAAAAAACCCGCAGCCCCGCTGCACCGCCACTACAAAGCTCAGCCCCGTGTGCGCCGCTGCTCTCTCGCGCGATGCTCTCTTCCGGAAAAAAGCGAGGCGGAATCGCGGTGGATCGTTGCTTCCTCTCTACTACTGCGTCGGCTCTGCTCCGTCCGTCTCGTCCGCTTCGTCGCACGTCAACGGGTCAACGGGTGAAAGTTATCGCACGACATGCTTCGCAACCAGCTGCAACAAGAAGCTCGTGCACCGTTCGCGACCGAACCGGTCCGCGCGCATCGTCCATCGAATTAACTACGATCTGACCTTTGACGATCACACCGGCGACATTCACCTATCCTCGCGCGGCCGTCCCGTTCGTCGTCAGAGCCGACCGTCCGTTTGTTTTCCTAGTCCTGCTACGCGGCGCGTTATATGCTTCACGTCACCTTTTATTGGCCCGCCCGTCTAGTTACGAGTTGTCCCGTTCCGTCTCTGACGTGCGCAGACTCGCTTCATTCATCCGCGTCGTGCCGCGATCTGTATGTGGACCAATAATGTGATGTGGCGTGCGCGCTGGCCGAGTAAGATAGCGCCTAACAGCATGTGTGCCGAGCCTAAGGTGCCACCGTACTCTTCTCGTATGACATACTGCCGTTGCGTCACAACGATCGACGGATTTCGATCCGACGACGGCTAGATTACTCGCCGGTTAAATAAGGTTTCATTTCGTAATGAAATGACAACTGACACTTGTTATCATAATAATTCATACCGGGATAATATTTCGTGTTTGAAATGTGCGGCTTGTTGATACGCATGCGCAAAGTCACATTATTCGAAGGTACTCTTCGTACAGTCTTTATCAAAATATTAACCAAACATTATTTTCCACGGTATAAATTTATCAATGCGTTAAAATTCTTCAAGTCTGATTTTATAGAAGCTTTAACATGATTTTCGAACAGCGGAAGTGTCACAGTGTTATTTGTTCCCTCTATAAGTCTTGTTGGTTTGTAATAATGATTAACGTTCGGAATCTCGTGAGAAAATTAAGGTCGCAATTTTAGGATTTAACATAAAGTTGTTAATACATATAAAAATAATAATTTCTTAATTCGATTCTTTAAGGTTTTGCGATACTTGACGTAGAATAATGCCGCGCGCCTCGCGATTCCATCCCATTGTATAACACATTATTATTTTTATATGTTTAAAATAAAATGAAAAAAGGTTATTTCCGTAAATGGAAAGGTCATCTCACCTACACATCGGAAAGGTCTGTAAATGTCGTTACGCTTGGACCGCTCAAGATTCTAAGCTCGCAATTGCACCAACAAGAGGACACATACCGTGAATCATTTGTGTATCGATTTCAACGATCTACGATATAAAAAAATGTAATAAAAAATAGAATCCTCGTTTACTCAAAGGTTATACGTAAAGAGTATAACGGCTGTTTTGCCGTTTGTATTATATTTGTATTTGTAATATTAGATTTATGATTGTATTTGTATTTGTTATATACATAATTGTATTTGTTATATACGTATCAGTATCTCGACAAAATAATGTATTACCTAAAGCATGCTTACATATCTCTCTGATGCAGCTCTCAATGTATGTTAATTTACAATTATCTTTTCAATTTGCATACAACTTTAAATTGCTCGTCTAAATTATTATTCGATTAATTATTTAATTAATCTCTTAATCATTATGTTCGTCGAGTTGTTCACGACGATATAAGTCGAGATTACAATTAATAATAATTAAAGAAATAGTCGTTATCGGACTTGAAATATTACTTTATTCACTGCCTCAATCTTTGTTAAAGTATTATATATATAATATTGTTTGTAAATAATTATACATAATTCATACGTACATACATATACAACAATTTCGTTGAAGGGCAACAGAAATACTTACATCGCAGATGCAATGACGAGACGATTCACAACACGAAACAGCGACTATACTACTACTACTACTAACCGTGACAAAAAAACAAAATGCTAACGAGCGACGGTTTCGAAGTTCACTGGGTTTTTCATAAGAATCGGAGAATAGCAATGAGACAGGTTGTATCGTTGTATATGTTTCACAACATGGATAGCAGCTTAACCGCGAAGCGCCCCTTTGCCGGTGTCAATTGGTAGTACTATGTCAATACATTTCGTAAGTAGTTACTATGACTTCTGCTTAATAATGCATTGTACGCGATAAGTATACAGCACAACGTGACGATGCTAACAATGAATATCTTTTAGTTTTGTTTTGAAACCATTGCAAACAACTCAATTTCGTACAGCGATTTGGATAATATTGAATATTATTAAAAATTGAAAATTCTTAGTAATTATGCGAAAAAAAACGCGGAAAAACGAAACATTTAACAAATCGTGAAAGTCTTGAATATTTACATATGTTGATAATGGATGTACGTGATTATATCACATACGTACGTGATGTGATCATCACAGAGTTACATGTGATAATATTGTGCTGATAGTTGACATTTTCTGAAATGCTCTACATATTCGAGACGTTGGAAGCATTTCAACGGATTCCCAGAATTTCCCAGAGTTTTAAATTTCAAACAATAGTCCAAATGAACTGTTGCTTTTGTTTCATACCTGAGAAGTGATTCGATGATTCTTGAGTCCATCACTATGCGATCTCTGTGCATTAATCTTATCGTATTTACGAAATTTATATTAACAACCAGTTCATATATATCGGCAGCTTATGCGTTAATAGCAACGGGAAGAATACTCGCGATATAAACTACTCGTTAAAAGAAAAGAGAGAAAAAGACAAATGCGGTTGTGCTAAAATTATTAGTCGGGAATTTAGGCGTAACGGCGCATGCGCAGCGAGCGAGGTTACGTATAGACACAATTGGTACGTCGATAACTTTTACATATGCTCGTTATACCAACAATTTGTGAGTTGTAATAACTTTCACTTCATTATCTCGTCTCCTGTAAGCTTTGGGCTAGTTATGTCTCCTCGACTTCTCGTAATTTTATTTCTGTTTTCGAAGTTGATATGACACAACGAAAGAGGTGGGACGTACGGACGGTAAAAGTGGCAACGCTGCACGATTCACTTGTTTAGTTTGCGATGTTGCAGTTACTCGTTGGTGGGGTACCAAAACGTAAGATATCTCCGTTCTTTCTCGAACATTATTCGTAAATATAACCTGTTTTCACGCACCGAGGAATGTATGCAGCACTGCTTTAACACTTTCTGCACAATATCGTGACGTAAGTTTATCAATTGATACCTTCATAATAGTCTTATATGGGCTGGGGTCCACACAAGCAATCTTCACATAGGTCCCCAATCGTTAGTATCAACAATCATTTCGTCGGAATTGTTATACGGTACTTATTATGAAAAATACTTTTCCATTTAAGAATTGTCAATATATTGGTATTTTGGAGATTTATCGAATATGATGTATCTCTGAATTTAAGTTTTGTTGTTTACTAATGAAGCCATTTTAACCTAACCTAACCTAACTTAGCTATACGTAACTAACCTTACCTCACTTTTTCGAAAAATACGACGCAATTGATTATATGACGCACAAAATATCTCAAAATTGGGACTTAAGGCCCAAATTTTCGCGTGAATGTACTGCTACTATAGAGATGCTTTAATGTAATAAGACTCCATTTTAGATATTCTACGCCATTTTGTTGTTATTTCTTCTAAACTATATGCTGCTGCGTAGTTTCATTTATTTGGAATCAATAATACATTTTTTATTGTGCATGAAATGCAATTCTCGCTTGTTACGTATCGCAGACTAGTATCAGAAATCAATAACACACATTCGCAATTCCGTGAATTTATAGTCATATTATATAGTTTGTTTTGCTTTATAGCTAAATCTAACCAATTACTACCGAACAATATTATTGCTTAATTCATCTCCATTGTTTTCCAAGATCATTGTAATTAAATATATTAAATTATATGTTTGTCGCTGGTCGGTAACATAATGACGTAAGAGCGAGATACGACCAATCGATTCGAATACATTTAGTATAAAATTTAGTATAAAATTATTGGTTCCTTTAAATTATAAATACAAATATAGGGCAAATTGTGTTTTGTCGTAAATTTACAATTATATTTTCACGTACATATTCATATACAAGTAAGACGGAATTTATTGATTTTTCTAAAACAAATTACATTTTTATAAATGTTTGTAGATATTGATACATATAATAATTTTTTTATTTTCAATTTTACAAGATTTTTTATGCTTGAAACAAAGCATACATAAAAATTAAAATCTATTAATGTGTCACCGGAATTTTCAAAAAGATTAAAACAAAAGTATATATACGTGATAAGACAGAAAATAATTTCGCGGAATTTAATAATATCATATGACACATTGTCAGTTTTATCTCATTAAACTAAAAATAGCAATAGATGGCGCTACTTGTTCAAATCGGGTTATCTAGAAAACTATTGTTAAGCACATTTTACACTTTTTTCATATCTTTAAATTTTTAATAAATGTTAATAATTCAAAATTTTTTATTATATTTATTAATTTGCTGCAATTAGATTGTGACTTTTTAAGCACTATTTAATAATTAGTTGTTTCTTGAATCATTTGTCTTATATATATTTTGTATAATTATCACATATATTTTAATAAATGATTCAGAATCATAACAATTTTGACAAGATCGCGGTTTTTGTCAAATTTTTTTTTCTATTATGATATGTAATATCATTGCCCGAAATTGCTACAGAAGGAAAGTTTACGAGAAAATGGAAAAGGACGAATATTTACGTTTATGTATTTCAAACTATTAGTTTGTAGTTTCGGAGTTACGAGAACCGTAACTACTTCAAGCGTTCCTCCAATCACTGGCCATGGTTAGACTGAACCAGTCTATATCGCACACGCATCTTTGTATTAGTAACCGCTCACTTCTCGCACCGTACTGACGCTCAGAGTAAACGAAAAATATAACTGTGCACGCGATTCACCGAGAGCCGCGACCGTTGCCACGATTCATTATATCGGCAAAACTTTAAAACCCGTACAGTTCAAAAACTCCTGTCCGAAATTTCAAAAAATGGCAGATGCTTGTATTATTTTTTTCGCGAGCTTTTCACCTATGACGACTGTGAGTGTTGGAACGTCGTGTCTCCTGGCAAAACGCACAAAATATAGTTGCAGGTAAATAGTTTTATTGGTTTTTTTGCCAAGGAAAGGTTGTTCGGAATGTGAAGTAGCAGCAAGGCCGTAACCAGAGGTCTAATAATCGTCAGTAGGAGTACAAAAAATTAACAAACTCATAATTATTTACAAATTAGGTTAGGTTAGGTTGGACTTAAAGGTTAGTGTTGAAAATATTTGAGCCAGAGGCGCCACCTTCATATCGAATGATAGACACTTTGTATTTTTTTTATTTCACACGAATTTTTTAAATATAATTACACATATTATTTTTATAATTTTGTCAGTAAATAATAATTTGAAGGAAGATACTCGCAAATTTTTAACTTGTTAATCTATCAGTTTTCTTCTCTTTTGTGTACTTTGACAGAGAACAGTTTTTCACGAGACAGGAAAGAAATGATAATTGTTGTCAACGACATCACGCAAATTGCTTTTAATCTTTTACTTAATTTTTATTCGCGACTTAATCTAATAGGATGTAATCTAACACAGTTGCGACAATGAAACTGTTTTATGGATTCAAACAATTTACCGATAATAGCGTATACTTATATATATATATATATATATTTCTTTTAAATAATTATCTTTAATTAATCCGAAATTAAATATGCGAAGTGAATTATCTATTGTTCACATAATTAAAAATCGACATCTCAATTAAAATTGTACATTGTTTTATTGACATCAACTCCTTTATTGACATCACTTAAAACTTTAGTCTTGTTGAAGGTCAAGATGAAAATATCTTTTTATATATGTATACATCGACTTCAATAATATATAGAATTAGTACAGGCATGAATATATTGATAGACAACGAAAGGAAAATCGCGTTTTGCTCAACTGTTTCTCGAGATCGAAAGTGAAGAATCCATATCGCTGCCGCCGAGTACTGGATTTAAGATCGAAGCAAAGCAACGAATCGATCGTTTTGCAATACTCGACAAAGAGAGTTGCGCCATTTCTCCCACTATAGTGACAGTTATTGCTGCTTTGGCGCACACAGAGCCTGCTATTGGTGCATCGAGCAAAAAGGGAGGGGAGTGCTGTTCATCAGCCGCTCAATAAAATCCGCAAGATATAAGGATTTTATATGTACTACGAGAGTAAGCCGTATGAACAAGTGAATATGATATTGAATATCACTAACAAATCGAAATTAATCGATTGGGCCCGATTTAAACAAGGGCCGTACCATACACATACGGATGAATAACTGCACCGTAATACAAAATAATCATACAGACGCGCAACTAGGCACAGGAGAAGCTGACACGATCGATAAGACGTACTTTATCGCCAGTCAAACGTCTATTTTATATTCATGCAAAATTATAATCCAAAACGGAACGAAGAGCCTGGAAAATTGAAAGTCAAGGGAAACGATTACAGTGGCTAAAAAAGGGAAGGAGCAGTCATGGACTGTATCGTCAGTGAATTTTGACACCCCTCCGAACGGACGAACGGATGTGTGGGATCTTTTACGGATAATGATCGCCGATATGATTCTGGATCTGTGTCCGTTGGAGGGAACAAAGGTTCCTGCGGTCGCTCAACGAATCGCGACGTCAGTTTGTGCCGGCATTTTCCGATGCTTCGTAAGCGCTCGGCCATCTTCGGGACGAATGTCGGGGCCTAAACGCAGTATACCTCGCGCTCGATGCGCAAACCCGTCCTGTCGACGACATATACCGAGATCATGCGGTTCGCGCGGTACCTTTAATTCACGTTCGCGATATTTGAAGATCCCGCGACTCGCAAGAAAACGCTGATACTGATACACGTGACGTCTGCAGCTGTTCTGTAATTTGCGATCCGAGTGCCGCTATTCGTTTCGTAACTTCGTGATTCTTCCGTCGACGAATGGAGCGGTTACATTCCCTCGTGAACGAATCCCGTGCGTTCTCGATCCCCGCAAACATTTTCGACGATATGATAACGTGAAACGTTTCTTTTTTATCCTCTTTTTTTTAAACGACACGATTTTTCAAAGTGACCACATCTCCAAAATCGCGAACAGCGACGAATGAGATTTCTCGGGTTTCTCGTAGAGGTCGAGTATACATCACGATCAATTCATATGTCGATGACGTTAATGCGAGGAATGTTAAGAATGACAAGCCAACGAGCTTGGAAATGTAAAAGATAAACGGCTCCGAACGTGAGAGATACGCCGTCACAACTGTCATGAAGAATGCATCCTCAGACCGCCATCTTTTGCCTCGATGTGCCAATGGGCCAGCGGGCCTTTGAGCTGTTAATAAAGGGGCCCGATCCATGCTACTCCACGTCCGCAGATAATTTGCGCAACAATCCGTACACATTCGTTTTCGTCCGAGGCTCACGAGCGCAGAAAACTACTCGGTTCTAGTCCGGACACGTCAAACTTATGCGTCGAACAGACATCCAACAAAGTGGTGACCTCGTGCGGTGGGCATCGATCCAGAATGAGAGGCACGCGCGCGCACTTGTGTGTGTGTACAATAGGCGTCGAAGGACGGTAGGGATGTTTTCCGTTGTATAGGTAATCCCTACGGATTGATCGCCGCACAAATCAAGGACGATAAAAAGAGTTTTTGAGACGTTAAGTAAAAAATAATGCCATATCGCGAAAGAAACGAACATTCTCAGAGGAAGGAAAGATAGGAAATGTTGAATGTATGTGCATTGTGAAGGAGAGTGGGGGGAGGTGGGGATAATTTTAAACACGTCCATTTTCGGCGCCATTGAACAAAGTTTTAACGCCGCTTTTTCTTTCGTGTTTTTCTCTTTCGTTATTATTCGTCTTCTGGCTAATTGGCTATTATCGGTAGACACTCGCCGTCAAAAAATATGCTTGTCTTATATCATTTCTGTCGTAAACTCCACTTTACCTTTTAACATATAATTGTATGATAACGCATGTAGCATAAATGCAACATTTCATGTGTCAAATAAAATTGTATGATTACATAATTACTACACGTTTCAGTTTGATTGCAATTATTTGTGCGTGCGTATTGATTTTAAAAGTAGTTTTTATTTACTTATAGATTGGAAAACATTTAATTGACAAGTTAAAGGAAGTGAGATTTTATTGTACAATTTCATCATAATGGAAGCTGTACAAAATCAATCAGTGCATAATACAAAATCTAATTCTACAGTCTCGTGCATTAATGAGACTGATACTGATGAATTGTCGAAGGAGAAAGATGAACTTTTATTTGGCGTAGAAGAGGATGGTGAAGATGAAGATGTATTGTCCGATGACAGTTTGCGATTAAGATTATCTGACGACGAGGATGCTGAACAAGAAGATATTACGAAAAACTATACTAATATTTCGGAATTTAAATCGCCAAATAAGAATATCGGTATGTAATCATAATTTCGAGGTATAATGTCGAGAGCATTATTAAACAATTTCTAGATTTTTTAAATATATATATATATGTATATGTATATATGTATATGTATATATATATATATATATACACACAGGGTGTCCCAAAAGTAACGGACCATCCTAATAATTCTTTAGTATTGAAGTTTCAAGGAAAATGATCTGAATAAAAGTTATAGGGATTTAAGTGAGTTACCTTATGATGACCTTGATTTTGACCTTGATCTCTATTTTCAAGGTCATTTGAAGGTCAACTTACGTTTTTAAAATGGGAACCCTTATTTTTTATGACACTATTTTTTCCTACTAGTTAATTTGAACAACTTTTGTTTAAAACATTTTTTTATTTGTCTAATATTTGTTGAGATATTTGAGGAAAACTTGATAACTTTTTCAATATTTAACTTACGATATCTCGCTAACTATTTGTCGGAAGAAAAAATGTTACTAGACTTTTTTATTTTATTTAGTCTTAAGAATATATTGTTACAATAGCGCTTTGATTTTTGTTAATTTGATGATTTTGAAATTTCCAAAAGTCAGTAAGTCATTTAAACCCCTACAACTTTTGTTCAGATCATTTTCCTTGAAATTTCAATACTGAAGAGTTATGAGGGTGGGTTACTTTTGGGACACCCTGTATATATATTGTATGTGTGTGTGCCTGTTAAATAATGAAACTAATAAACACTCTGTATAGAGTTTAACAGAATATTTAATTATAATTATGACCGCTAAAATGTACTCTTTCCGATGATCTGTATTTTGTGAGTGTATACTTTTAATATTTTTAATTTTACCACCATTAAATAATAACATTTTTATGCGTGACAATATTTCCGGCATGAAAAATATACCAACATATAAAAAACTGTGATTATCTGAGCTGTTTGTACTCCGTTTGATGGGATGGGCGTTTCCTGAAAGGTAGCAAATCACTGAAGGATAAATACCGCCCAGACTGACCGGTTTCTGCTCAATCCAATGAAAACGTGAAGAAAGCTCGTGTGATTGTGATGCACAGCGAGCGAATAGGCATTGTGCTGTCCACTGAACTTCTTAGATTCGGCAAATAGACGGCCGGGGCCAAATCTTTGAAAGAGACTCACACAAAGGAGTCTCTTCGAAATTTGTCTGAACAAGAAATACACTGAGATGCGTGATGTCGCTATTTCATCAGCTTTTTTAGTCAACGTCATAACTTAATTATAGAAAATTGTGCCTAGTGATGAAATTTGTTGTTTTCAATGTGATTGTGTGTGAAAGAAACATGGAGTGGTGCGTAACGGATTCTCTCTAGCAAGAAAGTCAGATTGTACAAATTGTATGCCGAAACAATGCACTTTCTTTGAATCGCAAATGGGAAATTATACATCTGGAATTTGTACCCGAAAGCACTACAGTGTACAAATACTATTATTTAGAAATAATGAAATGTTTCTATGAGCGCATGCGCTACATCAGGAATAAGCAGTTTCGAAGTAACAGCTGAATACTGTTGCACGATGCACATCCGTCTACTGTGCATTGTCAGAATGCAAGTCAGTTTCTTACTTCCGGATCAACTCATGCGATACATTATTCGTTTTATTCTATTTGGTAGATTTTGCATCGATAAATGTTTTCTACTCCCGAAAATAAATCATGCCCTAAAAAAGAAATAAATTTCGGCGACATTAGCGACATCCGACGCAGTGTGATTAGATAACTAAAAGATGTTTCAACACAGTAATTTTAGCGCGTGTTTAAAAATATGCATAAAAGAATTCAACATCGCGTAAAGTGGGGAAGGCACTATCTCAGAGATAAATGTTTCATGATAAAAATTTTGGAATATGTATATTTGTTTTCTTGTAATAGTTTCATTATTTAACTGGCACACTGCAGGTATATATTGTTTTGTGATCATTTTAATATGATATAATCCAGAGTGTATATATATATATATATATATATATAAAGAGGTTATTCTAATTTAGAAATAAGATATTGAATGTAAAAATACATTTTTGTAAAAAAATTTGAATGAAATAAAATTTTTTTACCTATTGAGGTATTTGATCCTTTCGTAGCACATGCATATAGATATTAACATTTTGTTTACAGAACCATCTAAAGATATAATTACAGAAGAAAATTCAAGTGTTGATCCACAACAGGTTGTGGAAGAAGCAGCTAAGTCTGTCGCTGAAGAACTAACACTGAAAGAGGCGCCTAATTCAGGTAATATTTTTATAACTGATGAATTTATGTAAATCATAATTGAGCATTATATTACATTATTTTATGTGACATGTGTTACATGTGTACATGTAAAATATAGAGGAAAGGTTTTGAATTTTATTCATAATCGCTTTAGTTATATATGATACATATTGCATGAATTACTTCCCAATTCCAAGATACAAAGAAGAAATCGTCCACTTCACCAAAATTTGTTACAGCAATAAATGTTCCGGAAAATTCAGCATTATCCTCTGATGAATTTACATCAGAAAATAAATCAACGCAAAATAGTGTATATAATTTGGAGAATGATACAGCTGTAACTGCTAATAAGTATAGTGACAAATGCACGTTTAATATACGTGACAATATAAAAAGTGACTGTCATGACCAAGAAATTTCCCAAGTTACCAATAATATAAAAAATAAAATGCAATTGAATCACGTCGATGACGTCGCAATCGATGATGATAAAAGTACCGTTGAAGATAAAGCATTAGATAACAATCTTGAAAGAGAAGACAGCGTAATAAAACGTACTTTTAATTCTATTGAAGATAAAGATTTAATAACTACCGAAGTGAGCAATGTACATAAGAAAGAAGCATCAGAAAATATATTAGAGAATGATCATCTATCTGTCGAGAATCCTGCAGAGATAAATGGTTGTCAACATGCAGAGATAACGGACGACAGTGAAGGTAAACTAAAAGAAACAGACAACATATGTAACAAAACAAATTCTGCAGATACCTGCAACTCTAACAACTTAGATACTACAGACAAAGACATAAATTCTGTTCAAATTAAGATTTGTAATAATGAAAAATCATCTACAACTACGATTAATTCTGACAATGATAATTCAACAATATTAAATGACAATGTAGTAGAAGAAGAAGTTATTACTCTGAACCGTCCATTAACCGAGATTAATAATGACGACAATTCGACAGATGCAATCAGATCCGATAGTTCTGCAGATACGATTAGATCCGATAAATTCAATACGTCTTCATCTTTTAAGTATTCTAAACGTAAAAGTAAGATGGAAAACTTAGAACACGAAAATATAACTCAAAATGCAAATACACCAAAGATGCAATCCGTGAATCGAGAAATGAGTACTACGTTAGCAGAAAATCAGGATGATTCATCTAATATAACAGAGAAGACGGAAATAACGAAAGAAGACTGTAATGTTAAAAAACTTATAAACGAAATAACAAATAAGAATTCTATATTGACAAAACTCGTCTCACAAGAATCAATTAACAAAAAAAATAATAATGAGAATGAGATTAACACAAATGTACAAAAAAGGAAACGATTTAAGAAAAGAGAAATGTCAGATACCAATATAACACAAGATTATACCATTGAAGAAGATACACAAGGTAGGGAATATTTTATGAAAATATGAAATTCTATCAATACCTATAATAAAGGATTAAAACGAAAAGGAAAATGAAAAATAAAACATGATCTTTAGCCCATAATCTGTAACGTTTAATACAAATCTATTTATATATGTGTCTCATAAAGCGACATTTGTTTTGCACAAAAAGGTTTGAGGACTGAGTATTATGATAAGGTACTTCGACATTTATAAGTATTTGTGATGCATAAAAATATAACAGGATTATAAATTATTAGAAATTATTTAGTTTTAATATTATTTAATTTTATAGACATTGACTAAATTTTTCCAAAGAGATAAAGATTTTGCAAAACATTATCTCTAAAATTTCTCTTGCTGTTATGTATGAAATATTCTGATTGATTTTAGTATGTTTGTTATAATTCGCTCATAATTCTTATATTTTAACCATTTAACTCGGAGCTTAGTTCTAAAGTCAACAATTTCACTGCGCCCGTTATGCAGCGCAATAATATTGACTATTAGCAACTAAGCTAATTTTTATTATATTCTTACGGTTATATTCTTTTACAACGTATATAATCGTAAATAATGAAAAGTAATTTAAAAAAATTTAATATTTCTTAATTATATTTCTTAATTTTCTATCTCACAAGAATTACACTATACCGATATATCCGGAATTAAAAATTTAATATATGTATGTTTTGTATTTTATTATTACAGAAATAAAGAGCAATGGACGACAGAAACGAAAAAGTGCGAAGAACGCGGAGAAGATGATTAGGAAAAAGTACCTCGATAGCGACAGTGATTCTATCGATAGCGACAGTGACAGCGAAGAATCAATTATAGCATCAAGCTATAAATTGAATCAGAAAATATCTTCTGCGTCATCCGTTTCATTGAAACGTAATTGTCCAGATTATGAAGAAAGTGTTGTCTTCAATGGTACTGTTAAGAAGGCGAAAATGAATGCCAAATCTGAAAAGGTCAATACCACAAAAAATATCACGAAACTCACCTTCGTCGAGAAATTCTGTCAGAGGAATATAAAAGAAAAACTACCAAAGCTTACGCAGGAGGTAAAAAGACGTTTATATAAAGATTAGATAATTTTAAACAGTATATCATCACACTTAAGTAAAACCCAATTAATTCAAACAAAAAAATAACGATTGTTTATACACCGTTTATATAATTTTCGCTACTTTCCTAAGCAACTGGAAGAACTGCTCATCCAAAAAATTGTCGAGACAATGACAATGCGTAGTGAAATTGGTCTGCTTCGAGAACAAGCTCGTTTATCGGAAAAGAATCAGGAATCAACGCGACTAAAGCTGCAGCAACTGATGAAACAAGTCAAGGATTTTGAAATGGTTCTGAATCGCAATGCAGCAGATCGCCGTATAAACCCTGACAAAGTTGTCACGCCTATAAAAATCAACAGATCCGTGGGCCTACAAGTCAATTTTGTAACGGTATTTATAAATAGCCATATATTCCGATTAATGATCGTAATTTTCAAGGAGGTTTCGAAGCTCGAGTATTTTTTTTCGCATTCATTTGCAATTTTATTTGTGTCTAATGTCAATTGAATGTTTCTACTCAATAGGAACACGGAATGCAGAATTTACGACAAATACAACAAACCTCCCAGCAAAAGATCGCGAACACTCCGACGACCAGTGTCAGTACTCCGGTTTCTGAGTCAAATAACAGTACGGCTTCTTCAAGTCCAAGACGCGGAATTAAGATAAGATCACCTCGGCGATCTGAAGTGTCCATGACCCCTTCTACTCCCACGATTTCGCAAAGTTCGACACAAACTTCGCCTCTTATTTCCACTGTGACACCGGCGGCGTTGGTTGTCGCCAAACCTTTGGACACGCAACAAACTTTAACGCTACCTAGTCAAACTAGCACCATCCAACAAATCTTAACAGGAAATATGGTAAGCACAATGATATTTGAAGTCCTTTAAGTCACGTTCTATCACAGTAGTTTAACATTAAATTTTCAAAAAACGCTTGAGCTTATTGTATTAAAACTCTATAATCAACATTTGTTTTGTTTCGCTATATTTAATCACCTGAATTTGGTAGCCACAGCAACAGGTACAATCACAAGCTTACGTTCTAAATGGTAAGATCTCGAATCAAATAAATCGTCCAAATACGGCTTTGATAAGTGCTAAATCAAGAAATAACGATCTTATCGATCTTACGGACGAAGAAGAAAAAAATAAATGTAAGTTTATGCACTTACCTAAATATAACATTTCGCACTGCTGTATGTATATCTATGTTAAAAGGCGCGTGTTTACGCTTTTCATTTATGCGTAAAATTCGTGATATCAGTCAAAAACATGGAAACTCTAATTTTCTCTTCTGTATGTTTGTTGAACCTCGAATTTTATTGCAGCTGCGAAAATTTCTGTCGCATCAACACCTGCTTTAATCGAGCAACAGCTGCCAACGACTGTTACAACGAAACCAGTACAATGCTTCTCAAGAGTAATACAAACGATACCGACAAACGTAGCGATTACGACACAAGCAGCTAGTATAAGATTGGTACAGCCCAACCAATCAACGCCGACTGCTACTATTGTGGTAAATATTTTCTTATTTAGACAGATGTACGTTACTACAAAGTATATACAAAGTATACAAATGATACAAATATCTAGCGATTTTTATCACACAGATTTCTCGGCCAATTCAGAATCGAATTTTTCTCAATGAGAATGTCAAGATCAATGTAATTTTTTTAAGTTGATTGCATAAATATTTAATACTAAGAATTAGCAAATTACGATAAATGATGAAAAAATGACTTAAAGTCAAATAATCACTTAATCAAAATTATGACTTAAAGTCATAATAAAATGATACGGAAAAACGGGTCATCCTATATATCGTTTTTTTTTCTTTTTATAGAACGGGGCACCTCCCAGATTAGCATATGTAATGCAGAGTAGTGTAGGTGCAAGACAATTATTAATAACGTCGAATGCTAACCAGCAGGTATATTGATAATATTTATAGTTGTTGCAATTTGATATGAATAATGATAAGGTCACTTGGTTTTATTATTGTTTCGTATTGAAATAAGAAATTGGGTTTTTATAGATACGACCAATAACTACATGTAGAGTAACTACATCGTTCCCAACTATGACATACAAGACAGGTTAGTAAATTATATATTAAAATTTTTAACAAAATATTTTAAAAGATACATTTACTTTGGAAGGAATAGGATCAATGCCTATTTCTTTAAAAAAATGTAGATATATGGTATTTGTATGTATCATTTTTATTATATATATTTTTACTATATATATCTTTCGTTTTAAAGGAACGTCAACGATTGCAAATGGTACAGTACGTGTACTAACTACGCCAGCTGTATCAAATGTACAGATAAATAAGGTAAATTTTAGGAGCAATTGTTCGCATAATTTCTGCATCGATGCTTTCGAAATTTTCATTAAAATAAAGCTTTTTATAATTAATAATTTTTTTAGAGATAAAACTTCAGTTATGTAAATTTTTGTATTAGAAATAATTCTGAATGTTTTATCTCAAAATATATATATAAATGTATATAAAATATGTATATACTAAACACATAGTTATGTTCATGATTATATGATTTACTTTTATTTTAGCATCCTGCACCATTGCCAGATACTCCAAATTATGGAATAACTCCTGGCTGGAAGCTTCCACCGCCTGCTCCGTCATTAAAAATGACTAAAGTCCCGAATGGTAAGTCACTATTATTTAATTAAAATTCTAGATAACATTAATATCTGTTTAACTTTTCCTTCTGATGAACATCTACAATATGGAGTACAGTGCTACTTTTATATAACAGCAATACTCTATTACAGGTATAGTATTATCGTGGAACATGCAGCTTACTGATAAATATGCTGATATTGCTAGTTACCAATTATATGCGTACCAAGAAGTCACAGGTGTGACGCCGAGCACCTCATTGTGGAAGAAAGTGGGAGATGTTAGAGCACTGCCGTTGCCTATGGCATGTACCTTGACTCAGGTAAATCTGTCGTAATAGGATCGCATTATCGACACTAGTTCACGGTCGAAAGATAACTACTTCATATACGGCATTTATATTCATTGATTTATTGGGTATGTTATGATAATAATATTCTTGTTGCAGTTTTCTGAGGGTAATAATTATTATTTCGCAGTCAGAGCGGTAGATACACATTCCAGAAAAGGACAGTACAGTATACCTGGTAATATCTCTTTGTAAAAGAGGCAGGAGAACGAAATTTCGAAATATCATTCAAACACATTACATCTCTTTAAGTTTCTTTTTCTTTGTGTACTTTCGTGCGTAATTCGATGTGTGATAAATTGTGATAAATATTTGCTATCTGACAACAAGCATACAATATTTTATTCAATTCTCTTTAAATATCTTGAATAATGTTTGTTTTACGATATCAATCTCGGATCAACAATAAACTCATTTAGAAAAGTAATAAGTGAAACAATATACAGGTTTCTATTATGTCATATTTTTATATTTGTTATAATGGCGTAGAAATTTTACAAATATATCTCCATGTGCACAGTGTTTAAACCAGTAGAATAAAATTGATTAAAAAGAAATTTAATGCTCGATTTACAAAACGATAAAATTCTACGCAAGCCATCATCACGAGCGAAATACAAATTGAACAGTTGCTAATCGCGCGAATATCATTTCCGTAAATGCTTCCAACTATATAACTGCGCACATTTACTATTATATCTTTTTAACATGATTTTGTATATTCTCCTAAAGTAAGCGATTTATGTTACGGTAAATTTACATTCAGTTGTAATTTCTCAGTTATATATTAATGAATATTGATAGAATTGTCTTGACACTCAATCTCTATCTTTGTTTTACATTGTTCATGATATATTTCATAAATGCTCGTAGCGCATAGGACAAAAAATTCTAGTCAAAACATTTTGACAGGCTTATGAACAATTTTAACTGATAGAAAATATTACACACAAAGACTTACTACGGAAGCGTATTACGGTCGACGATATAAGAATGAATATTCTCCGCAAAAATATCCGCGTTCTTTGCTTGCGAAAGCTACATATAGACGTACTAACTATGTATAATTATTAATTCGCTCTTAAATTCGCGACGGTATTCAATGCTGGTACTTTCCAGCAATTAATTGTACAAGTAATCTGTTAGATTCTGGATAATTTGCTCAATTTTTATACAATTTTGAATTCAGGAACGTATTTATAATTACTGATATATTGTAGAGCAGTAAGCGAAATCAAGATATCTCGTCGAGACAAGCTCGTATGTAAATATCAATCTGTATTAATGTACTGCAAATCATTAATTGTACTACATAATTTATAAGCATATTTAAGATATCAGTTAATGCACTGAATTATAATAAGCTTTAGTTTTATTTGTCGTATTGTTAGGTATCAAGTTGTCCAGGAAATAGTATATGTCGATTTTTAGAAAAAAAAATGCGGTGCGAAATTTTTTATATGTAAGTATAAAAAAAAATATATATATATATACATATATATCTTTATTCATGACTGCGTATACGCGCATCATTATCTTTCGCAGCCTTTTCTCGCTATTTTTTAATGTAATTTAAAGGTTTTCTTTTTTTGCTAAAAGTTCGTGGGTTTGTCCGTAAGATTTCCCAAGCATGGACTTTTTAAAAGATTCAATACAATAATAACATTAGTCTTGTTTTGTACTTGTATGAGCAATAAATTTGTGAACTAATTTCCTCTTAAATGCAAATTTCGCGACATTAAACTCCGTCTGTATTATTCTTCTCTTCAGTATAACGTAGATTGGAATTTATTGTCGTACAGATCCAATCAATTTATCATAGATCCATTTTAATGTTATCATAAGTGCATATTAGATTATAATTTACATGATATATTTATTTAATAGCAGTTTGTAGCCACGCGATGTGATAATTCAAATTTAATTCAAACGATCGAAACAAAATCGATATTGACAGATCGAATGGCTTCGAGAAACAAAAATTTGAAACGAACAATTTTGAGAATTACGTTCGATGTCACTAGTTGCGATTAATTAGTCGTCACTAACGCCACCAATAAGAAGTGGAATCCTCTAGTGATGCTTCATGAAATGCAAGTTATAGAACCCAGCTATATATTTATGAAAATAAATTAATAAATTAAATAGCACTTTTCTTTTCTCGATTCCTTCTTCGCTCTCGACTTCGGGGGACACCAATCAATAGGCACTTAAAGTTCTAAATTATGTAGTGCCAATATATTCTGTAGTGTATCTGTAGTGTATCAATTATGTTTAATCTTGTAATCGAAGGTTCTGACCGCGCATATATAATTCTTTTCAGCTACGGACAGTCTGGCACACGAGAGAAAGAATTATCTTCACCATTAAATGTGTCACGCTAAAAAGTATGCAGCAGAAATCGATCGCGCAGAGCACCATCCGGTAAATCTCCGGACAACTCGATTGATTTCAAACAAAGGTAAATTGATCGACTCGACATTTCGGTCGTCGATTACCTCGTGCCGAAAAGATTGCTTTAGATAATTATTTTACAACGCATATAATTTACATGCGACCGATATGTCACGTGCGATCACCTTGATCGAGCGCTCATTGTGCACGTTCCTTTAGCTGCACTTGCAATTGTACTTGTATTCTCTGCTAATTGGCACTCTCTCTTCCGCTAATTGTTAAAAAATAATAATAAGTATTAATTGGACGGTTGCAATTGCAAATTGTTAATTCACTCGTAAAACGAACTTCTACATTCTGGCTTTGGACAGATAGAGATAGAGACAGGTAAAGAGAGAGAGGGAGAGAGAGAGAGAGAAGGAGGAGAGAGAAAAGAGAGAGAGACAGGGAGGAGGAGGAGAGACGGGCGAGGTGCAGAAAGCGCAACTAAAACGACGAAGCTTCGAGTCGCGGGACGGGCATTCGTGAACGTCATTAATCGTCTCTGAGAGTCGCTGCTTTCGTAGGTTCGCTCGCTGGTGCCTCCGCTTTCTACCTCACTCTGCATCCTACCTTCTCCCAGCATTCTTTGTATATATGCTCCAAGTGAGTCACGCACAGGTCGTAATGTTACGCCAAAACAAAAACAATAGCATCGCCAATTGCGAAGACATCTCTCTCGCGATCATATCCAGCTCTCTATCTCGTTGCCACGATCGTGCGCTCGGTAAGAAAAGCAAATGAGGAAGCGGGGGCGGAAGCGGAAGCAGCAGCAGCAACAGCAGCAGCAGCAGCAGCAGCAGCAGCAGCAGCAGCAGCAGCAGCAATAGTAACAGAAGAACAGTCTATCGGGTCGGATCGGAGGTAATTAATGAAATGCGATGCGCTTGTGTTGGATGTGCGTGAACATGTTGTGTATACAACGGCGAAGGTGAAAATGTTGCCCGGAGATCGTCGCGCGCTTACATAGCTGACACGGCGAAATAGAGTGGGACATCGTACGCCACGAATAACAGTGAAAGCGTTGGCGGTGGTGGCGGCGGTGACGACGACGACGACGACGACAACGGCGACGGCGACAGCGACAGCGACAGCAAGTGGTGAACGATTGTGTATGAACGATCATTAGTGGTGTGTATAGACGAGAGGAAAAGCTGCATCATCACGATGTCCGCAGCGTGTTTACATCCCGACGGCACGACACGAGAACGACGACACACGGCGTTCGTCGTCATGTTTGCACACTGGTGATCAGGTGCGATTTTCCTTCGCTCACGTCACTCGCATTCTCCGCGCGACGATACGCCTCGCGCACGTCGACGCTCTCTTTCTCTCTTTCTCTCTCTCTCTCTCTCTCTCTCTCTCTCTCTCTCTCTCTCTCTCTCTCTCTCTCTCTCTCGACGGCCGATCGTGCAAGAGCAATCAGCTGTTGCGGCCCGGGGATCCGCGATGTTGGATCACCGTCGGTAGAACGTAGCGTCGACCGAACGGCGAGAGTGGCGACGGGCGGCGAGGAGGAGACGCTTTCGCGTCGAGCGGACTACACCTATAGAAACAGAAACGTGTCTGATAAGGTGCCCTCTTGTGTTTTCGTCAGCCTCGACGCGCGCGCGCGCACGCAGGAGATATGTGCAGGAGGTAGCAGGTACGAATAACGAGGATTATTATGACGAGCGGCGCAAAAATCCATCAGCGTGCGTGCGACAACGGGCTGCTGCTGCTGCTGCTACTACTATTACTGCTACTGCTACTGCTACTGCTACTGCTACTAAGACGGCGACGCTATGTGAATACGCCATGTACATATGATCATCCAAATTCATGCGTTCCCCTACTGTCAGCGGTGAGCGAACGTCGAGGGGCGCGGACGGGAGCTCTCCGCCGGGCGATCGGCGAACGCAGTCCACGTCTGTAACCGGCAGCGATATTCAGGGGATGCCTAGTCTACACTCGCTCGTCTTACGACGAGCCCCGCTAACGGATATGGGTGCCGCGACTAGTTCGGTCACGTCCGTTAACCCGCCCGCTAAGATCGCGGCTGCTAATCAGAAGAAGATCGACAAGTCCAAGTTCAGGCTGCCCCTCATACGCAAGGAGGCTAGCGTGGTGAATCTCTCCTTGACGGAAAGGGCCATGCCGGGCAAAGAGGCGGACGCGCCTCTTCTACGGCCTGAGAGTAGCGCCAGTCTGGAGGCACGCGGTGGTAGCTGGATGAGTTTGGGCCCGGGTGCACTGAGAAAGTGCGAGACCGCCGTGGGATTGAGTACTTCCGCCCTGGAAGGGAGACCCATCAATCGCAGCAGGGTCTGCTCACGTTGTTCCAGCTTGTTGTCATTGGCCTCCAGCTCGCGTTACAGTCTGGCCGCTGGTAATTTTGTTCCAGCTAGCTCCCAACAAACAATCGGACGGATATTTTGTAAGCTGTGTCTTGCCGACACGTCTCTCTCCAAGTCGTTTAAGATAGAAGGGTGCGGTTGTTCCTACTGTAAGGATGTAAGTCAGACTTACCTGTATTATTATCACATTGGAGATATACATTCGGCTGTGTGTACGCACAGAGATAAAATGTCCATGTTTTCATATTTTCATCGTTTCTAGTGCATGCGTGCCTATGTAGAATTCGAGATCGAAGAAGGCGCGTATGAGATTAGTTGTCCCGATGCTCAGTGTGATCAAGGCGCTATACTTTCCCTGAAGGAGATCTCCAACCTTGTCAGCTCAGAGCTCGTGGAGAAACATTGCAAGTTCCGTTTGAATAGAGGTAAGCGATTACATTTGTGTGTCTAATAAGTTGCATGTTTCTGCGAGATAAAAGTGTGTTTACATATTTGCTGAATATATCACCAATATGATTCGTACACAGATGTATCTATGGACAAAGGACGCGCATGGTGTCCACGTGCGGGTTGTGAAACGATATGTTCGATAAACAGCAACAGTGGAAGTGGCACTCCTTTAGGTCCCGTACACTGTCCCAACTGCTCCACGGATTTCTGTTCTATATGTCGAGAGCCTTGGCACAATGGGCCTTGTCCGGATCTCCCATTAGGGATACCGTTCGATAGCGATCACATTAAATGCTGTCCCATGTGTTCTGTGCCGATAGAGAAGGACGAAGGTTGCGCTCAAATGATGTGTAAACGATGTAAACACGTGTTTTGCTGGTATTGCTTAGCATCCCTAGATGTGAGTATTATTCACATGTTGAAAGGTACACAATTATCACTCCACACAAATGCTTCCATTATGCTTACTTCACGTTTAAATATACGCACGTGACTAACGTCGTTAAAATGTTGTTACACTTGATATTGTAGGATGACTTTCTATTGCGACACTACGACAAGGGACCATGTAAGAATAAATTAGGCCACTCACGCGCGTCCGTGATATGGCATCGAACGCAAGTTATTGGAATCTTCGCCGGTTTTGGCCTACTTCTACTCGTCGCATCGCCCTTGCTATTATTAGCGGCGCCTTGTATCGTATGTTGTAAATGTCGCGTTTGCGGTTCTTCCAGGCTCGAGCAGGAAGAAGGCGATACGGCGACATAGGAACTTCCAAATCTCTCAGCTAATTCTTGCTTAATTATTTCCTTATCAGCTAAAAATGAACACTTTTCCTAGACTTCCACATATGGGAGGTAACAACACGGTCGGCAACTTATATAGATATACATTGCATTTCCTTAAGTCTATACTCTGTCCTTGCGTCGATAGACATAATGTTGGAAAAAGAGAACGCATGTCTCTTCTCAGTCAAGCATATTGTGATTAAATCTATACACATATATCTATATGCATATATATATATACATATATATATTTATATTTTACTTATAAACTATTCAAACACAGGGAATGAGAAACGTTCACTGCGGGTGATTCGTTTAGTCGTAATACGATTTATTTTTTTTTTCTGATGTACATTTACTTTACATAGTCATTTAATGACTTTCTTTTTTTAACGATATGTACTAATCGTGATTGAAAGAGATCTAATAATTTACAAATACTCAACGAATTCTTACGTAGGGGAACATTCCAGAAACTCTTATAAACTTTGTAGATCAGATTTATTGTACTGCCATGGAAGGACATATTACGTCTCTGTTTTAATTGAGTTCCGGGTCAACAAATTTGTATTGTAAATTACCGTCAGGTTTTCGTTAATTTCCATTTATTCAGATGCGAATTCGATCATTTTTTGAAGGAGTCTTTACAAAGTTGTGATAATAGCATGTTGATTATTTCATTATATGGGACGTTAAAATATTAGATTATAAACTAACTAAACACGCGTCTCGCACTTTCTCTCCTCTCTCTTTCTCTCTCTCTCTATTTCTCTTTCTCCTTTTCTTCCCATGAAAATGTAAATATTATCAAGTTAATATATCTTAAAAAACAGTGTATATCTATATGTGTGCCTATGTCGAACTATTGCAAGGCTCAGCTCTACATTCTCATGGAGAGAAACGAATCTTGGAGTATTAGATTGTACGATATTCTATCCCCTTGTTATCTTTTAATTTATGGGTGCTTTCACGTTTATTTTGATGGTGATTTATTCGCGTGTGTACATTATGTATACATTAATTTAGAAGGAATATAAAAAATGAGTATCACGTGAAGAAAAGAAAGAAAGAGAGGAAATGTCTTATACAATTGTGCATTTTATCAATGAAATTGAAAGAATGCCGTTGTTACATTATGTATTTAACACGTTTTTCGTCTGAATATGACGTACTGAGTTGTAGTGACGTACAGCTAAGACTTGACATTCAAAACACTATCAATCAATATGTGCCATGTGATTGTTACAAGGACTCCGTAGAATATTCTCAGTAACTCGATACTTGGAGCAAGTAAGACCGCGAGAAACGTATTAACTACATTCGCGCTGATTCACCCTATTATGCATATAAATGAAATTTAGATTGTTAAAGGTCAAAAATATGAGTAATCGACTTTGGACAATAGTTATACGTTATTTCCGAAAAACAACTTCTTATTGATAATAAATGATATGGAGAGATATCGAGAAGATAAAAAATCATATATATACATATATTGGGTTATTCGATAAGCTTATAAAAATATTTTATGAAAAATTCAAAAGCGATACTTTTGCTTCAGCAATCCTTTTTTGCTTCCATTTTTTTTTTGGTGACCTGTCATCACTAAGAAAATGCAGACATTAAATAAAATTATGCGTAGTTACAAAAATATTGGCTTTAAATTTTTCATAAGAATCTTTATAAATGATCCAATATAGATATATAATATGTAATAAATATATGTGGTATTTTGTACATATAATATGAATGTTTAAGACTAAAAATAGGATGGCGTTATGTTTAAAGGTTCGACAAACTATGCATTTCTCACGAGCAGTGCTGTACAGATAATTGAACGAACGATTACATTACGATATGCATAAATTACCGCGTGGTCGGTTTTCACTATTTTACGTCGCAATTGTTAAAATATCTCGTTTGTTGTATTATTAAGATTGTATGTAAATAAAAGTATACATACACGTCGGCACGTGTATGCACTTATGCATTTGAGCATGCGTGTACACTCGTGTGTTAGAAATAAAAGATGGTGAGAACAAGTGTATGTCTGTGTGCGTATGCACGCACACACACACACACACATATATGTATGTATATATATATATATGTACACACATGTATCTTTATATACTTTCTTTATATGTTTGTTTCTTTCTTCGAATGCTACAGTGCAAAAAGAATAGAAGACGCGTAAAGTTCATCCAAAAGATTCAACAATTCAGCATTAAACTCTCGAAAAAAGGATTCGATAAATATTAATGAACGCACTTTATCGCACAAGTTTCGCAAAATAAAGAAAGAAATTATCCAAGGTCTACCGATCGATAACGATGACGTCAAAATCGAGAAATGCGGCATAAATTATTCCCATAGTTCTCACACGGCTGATGTGCAAGATTTCAAACGATAATAGCTGCTCGATGCTTTTCATACGTTTAGCAGTTTACGAACCCTTCTCACGGTCGGAACACATCGCCCTGAGATCATTTCGTGAGCCGTACGTTAGATTTTTGTGTCAACGGTAATGCCGTGACGTTAAAAACTGTCCCGTTAATTTAACAGACCTGTCCGACAAGGCCGAAGGCGTGAGAGGTGGGAGTTGGAGTTGCCGAACTCTTACCGCGTTTCTACTTTTCTTCTACTGTGATATTTATCTTGTGCAGACCCGCCGAGAGCTGGTTCGGTTCCCGCATCACAAATTGTAATTTCTTTAGGCAGTCGAAAAAAAGATGGCGGACTATCCGAAGATTTTGACGCGAGATTGTATTTATGGGGGAAGAAAAAGCGAACTGCTGTTGCTGAAAATGCATAATAAACCAGTTTTATATGTATTGAGCGCAACAGAACAGAATGTCCGTGTCTTCTTTTTAGGCCGACTGTAAATTTGCATCTTTTCGGAGAAGAATCGGTGCTCGTTTCTCCAGGCTTTCCGCAGCTTGTATGCACTGTGAAACGAAAATACATCCGACAGGAAATGCCTGTCGCTTTTGTTTATTGTACCGTATGACTTTGCAATTTACATGTTTCGAGCACGTGCATTCTCGCATTTCGTGGGAGCTGACCGATGTATATTAAATCCATGATGATTTCCTTTATTGGAGTTGGTAGCACGTAACTAAAACGTCCAATATGATACTAGATACCTAAATAAGAAAAATTTAATATTATTGAAAGGACAAAATAATTTGGAATGAAATTTTACGAAGAATACTACAGATCGTAAATACGTCTCATGATTTTCTTCATAAATTTTATTTCGCGTTGCAAGTCCGCCACTTCGTTTTTCAATTTTTCATTAACTTCTGTCAATTGATGTTCTTCAAACTGTATTTCTTTAATCTCTTGTTTCTTTTTTTTGCCTGTTAAACTTAGTATATTAAAAGATTCATGTAAATGCTAATTGTTTTAAATGTTATCGGCTACGTTGGAATATCACATCTAAATTCTCTTTTGTTCGAACGATGATGAGAGAGCACTGCATCGCGGCTGCCCTCGACTCCGCTTAGTTATTTTTAGCCTGCAAATGTATTGAAATCAATGAAAAAGAACACATCATCCGTCTTTAGACTCATTTATTTTATACTTATATTTTGCTGTATGAATGTATAATAATGGGAAAAACAAGATAAAAATTGATCGGAATGAGGATTCGCATTGGAGAGAGAGAGGTACGTTAGATACCTATAAAATATGCAAGTATATATATATAACGATTTCCCAAATATATTTTTACAATTATAAAGTCCATGTGGTGTCAAATCCAGGTTGTGTACAACGGTCGTTTTCGCTGTCAAGCAGGCCACGGACTTTAAGATTTGTTAAGATATGTTTAGAGTTTGCACATACTTAGCAATTCCGTGTTATCTAACGTACCGTACATTTACCAATGTCAGTAGACTATTGATGTTAAAAAATAGTACGTATATCACTAACGACGACAAGCCTATAGTCTTCCTAATGAACTATGGAAACGTTAAAAATAGCTAAACTTAATTAAATACATATAAAATGATGTGTATATATATATATATATATATATATGTATTATTTGTTAAAAAGTAAAAAGACCGGATAAGTATTGATAAAACATATCAAATCTTTATTGATAAAAGATACTAAATGGTAAAATAGTCGTATATGTTAGTTTCTCGTAATTAAAACGTTTAATATAATATTACGGGCCTAAATAAGAAAAATTTAATATTACCCAAAGAACAAAATTATTTGGACGAATAAAAATTAACGAAGAATACCATGAATTTTAAATACGTCTCTCATGATTTTCTTCATAAATTTGATCTCGCGTTGCAGGTCGGCCAAATCATTTTTCAATTTTTCATTAATTTCCGTTAACTGATGCTCTTCACATTGTATCTCTTTAATTTCTTGTTTCTTTTTTTGCCTGTAACGCGTCGCCGCATTTTTATTTTGTTCTTTCTTCCGCACTTTCTTGTCCTCGATGGATGGCCGAGAGCATTGATAAGGTTTAAGATGATGTCTTGAACTCGACGGCTTCCGCTTGCTTTTCTCGCTCTCCACGCTCCAGTCAGGATCATCGACCAAGTCCTCTGCCGAGGTGCAACTACTGCCGGAGCTAGTGCACGGGCTCGACGGTGATTGTACATCCTTGGTGTGCGAGCGAACGTACTCGTCCGCCACCGCCAATTCGTCTCTATCTAACGATTCAAACGATTCGTTTTCGACGGCGGTCCAGTGATCAGATGGTGGTGCCCTGTTTACATATGAGTTCTCAACTGATGATGCTATCGTATTGTAGACCGTTTCGGATTCGTTGCTGATGAACAACGGTGGTTGCCGAACAGGTTGCAGAGCAGTCAACAGTTGCGTGTTTACAGTTGCAGTCTGTTGCCGCGTTTGCTGCGGCAATGGCGATTGCGGAGGAGTTAACGAGCTAGTCGGTGGAATCTGATGGCAAGCCTCGACATCTTCCAAAACTGTCTCGAATTCTTCTAAAAGACTTTGCGTATTATCTTGTTGTTGCGGTTTCAAGATATCCGCTTGATAACCAATCTCATTGGTTTGACTTTCATCCTCGGTTGGAATAGGCAGTTCTTCGTATATAGGTATTAATGTTCTCTGTTCCATCCAGGCTGAAAATGGTTCTGCAAGAAAAGAATGCAAACAGATCCCATTAGACTCGGAGGTTATTACTTGCGCGCTTTGATTGCGATGACGCAGAATCCGGCACGATTTGCGTGTATAATAAGCAATATTGCGCAACTCTTAGCAAGTAGGGTCGCGATATGCGCGCGATCGGCGCCACGAAGCTCGTCCTATTTCTAATCGAAGTTGACGTATCGACTCGCGTCGGCAGCGTTCGTTTGTGAATGAATCACATTGGCGATTGTTATTATTTCCTGGTACGTGCACCGTTACCGCCTGACAAAAGACGCAATTCCGCGGAGGAACGCGTCAACGTTCTAGCTAAATCCCAATTATTTCTGCTTATAGTTAGATTTACTCATAGCGAAATTTTCATCTTCTCTCAAAGAATCTAAATCTAAAACAACATCCTGAACGTGCAACGTGCAACAATTTCTCAACGAGTATATTTGTGTCTTATGTTTAATGTTTATATATTATTTATACATTATATCGGTAAACATACAGTGCGTCTCGATCTTTAAAAATTTCGGAATTCGAAAGCTAGGATAATTTCTCAAAAAGTCATAGAAGTCGAAATTCGAATATCGAGGTAGTATATTCGGAGATACAATTTTCCCAAAATATACAATTATTTTAAGGAGAAATTATCACCCTGCAAATAGAATACCCAGATATATTCATATCTTGATACATTTACGGAAAAAATTTCGGTGAAATTGTTTTTCAGGAGATTGCTGTAGTATTTCGGTGTTGTAACTTTTCGAGAAATTCTTGCTTTTTAAATTTCGGAAATTAAATGAATTTTGGATTTTTCAATTTCGGTATATTTTTTTGAGGTGATATATGTCTTACGATATTGAATTATATATCAATCACATCCTGTCGACAATCAAAATACGGCTCTTTTTTCCTCGTCTGTTTTTGCATGATAGTGCTTATAGAAGATATGTGTTAGTATCTTCAACTTCGGAGGAAGATAAATTTTATGCGATTATGTTCCCGTTCATACAAGAAAGAAAACGAGGAAAAGCTGTCCTGTGCCAAACACGTATCGCGCGATAATGATATTTTTGTGTGTATATACATTCATACAAAATTTTATATATATATTAAAAATTTACATATATATATATATATATATATAATGTAAATTTTTCATACATTTTATGAGCTAAAACAAGCAAACAGTTAATAGTACTTGCTGCGGCGTGCACAGACAATATAAATAGGTGTGGTTGATATATATATGTACAATTTCATGGACGTTGCTGACTTAACTAGGAAAACAAGTTCCTCATTTGCAATTTCCTCAACTCATAATGAGATCAATTCCTTTGCTATCGCAGTGTCTTTATTCCAAATGCTACTAATGCACACGCAAATGTGTGCCTGTGTATGTGCCCGAGGTGTGTGGAATGTTTTTGAAAAAAATATTTTCTTTTTTTCATCGCTAATGACCGGCAGTATCCTTGTGCAGCTTTAATAGTCGAGTACGTCGAGGCGCTCCCGGTTTTCTCAGACTACAAAACGTTTTCTTCTCACAGAAAGACGCCGCGCGACCGAATAACGATCTCAAGTGCATTCTCAGATAATGCTGCAACAATGTTGTAACAATATTTTTGCCTTGTCTAAAATAGCCCTGACCCATTTTCCGCGGAAACTTTGATCGCCGGACATTTGATATCGCTTAAGTTATCTGTACTTAAATGCAAAGGCCAGAAGGTTAGATAAGAACACTTCTGTGCTCGAAAGTCACAAGTTGTGTATGTGTGTACATATATGTGCACATACATAACACGCGGAAAACTTTCGAGAAAGCAGACATTTGCTAATGGAATTTTTTAACCGAGATTGTTCGCGTGTCGCAAAGAAGGAACGCGCCGAGAGAACATTGTTCATTATCGCTTCTTTTTCTCTTCTCATACTTTCCCTCTCTTCGCTGAAAAACCGGAGCGGCTCTGCGGGAGTGCGCGACGTAAAAATACGCATCGTGTAACGTTCTAACAAATCTATAAATCGGTCCATGAGAGAGACAGCGTGTGTCTGTTCTCACCCCGTGATCCTTCTAACGTACTTCGCGAAGTATGACGGTCTTCGCAATCAGTGAGTTAATCGGACAAACATTGTGTTAATGGCGTTCGTCGAAGTCGAAGCGGATCGATCGATGTGTAGTTGTATAGCGGCATACTATTAATTGCCAATTGAGACATACAGAGCGTGATATTCTAGGAGAGAGAGAGAGAGACACAGATATTCTCTCTCCGAGATGTGCTCACACATATGCGCACGGCACTTGCCGTGGCTCGTATTATCGAATGTGCGATTTCGCGAATATTATCTTTTTTATTTTCGTTCCAAACTGGTAAGACCGTGCGAATTTGTGCTGTATGCCTGTTTGTCTGTTACTGTCGTCAAGAGACACTAAAAAGAGAAGTGGGAGCGAGATACGCAGATGTGCGCGAGCGAAACGTTTCAGCAACAGGTCGAGAGATGTGCGAGATCCGTCGAGGGGAGAAGAAAACGTCACTCATCTGGTCGGAGAGAAATTCTAGTTTTTTTCTTCTTTCTTTTTTTTTTTTCGAAGAACTTCTGTATTGTACTAATGCAATAAGTTAGAGTGAAGCAGATATATCTTCTCTCATTCTAACTTATTGCAGTAGTTCAGTTAGTCGCCACGTTTTCAGTTTTTCGATAAAAAAGAAAAAAATCCTTAAGCTCTCAACATCAAACGAGCTTAACTCCATTAAAACGGATTTTCAAGAGGAAAGCAGAGGAACCGTCCACTCGGGAATACAAGCCCTCCTCATGACAGAAACAGATGAAGCGTCGCAAGGATATCCTTAGTGGCACGAGGCGACAGAATTATCTTCACAAGTGGAATTCTCCACGGAAGAAGAATAGATTTGGAAGGTATATCCTTTTGCTTGATATCGACCGGGTTTTGCTCGACAAATTATATACCGACCACCGTGCGATAATCGTATTAATTAATCCGCATTGTTACATTGTAACGCTCGCAAATTACACGACGGCCAGATAACGAATCCTCCCACCAACAGATCGAGCAAATTTCGCGGTGTGCTTGCGGCTCGATTAGCAAACCCGGAGCGATACTCGCCGAGGTGTGCAAGCGGTGCAGCGGGTTAGCGGTGGAGGTAAGAGGGGTAAGGGAAACCTACCGCTGAAACATAGAGCAGCCATGGTATGTGTTGCGCGTTTTCCTTATTAGAGAAGATACGTGAAGGGTGGGAGGGAGCGTATTTAACGTGGATGCCCGGGGAGAGCCGACGATTCCGACACGATCGTTCTCCCGTAAGGCCGACGTGGTGTGACCAAGTGGCTCGATGTGCGACGAAGAAGATCGCGCGTCCTCCCACGTGTCGTCGCCACGTTTTCTGCGAATGACGCAACACTCAACGTCTTTTGACCAGTTTCTGGGAGTTGACGATGATCTCTCGATTCCACGTGTAGCGATATGCGAACTGCATGCTATTATATAACATTAGCACGCTCCACCATCGAGACGCCGGATCGTTTGCTTGGGTCGACTGTTGAGATGCCAGTATTGTCGGGTTATCGGCGCACCCGCCTTCGCTCTTCCTCCTCAGGCTACCGTATGTGCCATGAAATTAATTCGGTGCGTGCCACTGTCGGCCAGCCGTATGCTTTGCCTCCGTCGCTGCTGTGTCACTTCTAGACAATGATAATTCGCGCGATTCGCACCCTCGCGCGGGGTCCTGTCGCCCCACTGTAGATCGATGTTTGAGATTAACGGTGCAAGCCTCAAACTCTGATTTCAGCTTGCCTGCGATACTGCTTTGCTGATACGTTGCTCTACAATCGTTTCTCCGGTACGTGCTCGCTTCTTTCGCTCGTGTGCCGTGTCCTCCTTGAATTTTTGCATTCGATAGCGCGGGGGGAAATGTTGAAGAAGTCGCCTCTCTGCTCCTTCGATGAGGCGGGCTCGCGGCTCTCAACCGCAGAGAGGAATCTTATTTATCGCGGGATGATCAGCTAGAAGTGTTGCTTGTTTATCTTCCGACGATCGACCGACGACACTTCTCGTGAGACCAGGCGGGATATACAATTTTCGACGAGTATACGCGGTGGCGTACGTGCGAACGAGAGGACGAGAGGACGAAACCAAGGCGCGATATTCGGACACTGACGACGAGCACAACGCTCTGTTTTGCGTGGCCTGGTGACGGCGAACAATTAGATACTGATGTAGCGCGACGGCTCGGCGAATGGCGATCGTTTAAATCGCACTTGGCTGGCCTGTATACTGTCGCGGAACCACTCCTGCTTATCTTTGGACTTTCCCCCCTATCTCCCCTACTCCCTTCTTACGATCTCTCGCCGCTGACACCACGTCGTCCCTCTATCGGCCTCCAAACTCAAGCCATTTGCGTAGAGGTTAACCAGTTTGTCCCACTCTCTTTTTCCAGAAAAAAGGAGAGGACGCGGGAACGGCGACGAGAGAGCAAGAGAGAGAACCAGAGCGGGAAAGGGGAGAGACGGCGAGAGAGAGAGAGAGAGAGAGAGAGAAACGAGCGCACCTAGCACCAGCGGTGGTATCAACGAAAAAGAGCGAAAGCGATAGGCAAGGATATGAAACGAAATCTAACGAAAATACCAGTTTTCATATTTTTTTCTACTTCCTTGCACGGCGTAGAAAAAATGCGAAAAGTAGTTCTCAGTTCTTAGTCAATATGCATTCACGCGTGTCTTGTACGTGTCCTTTACTCTGGCTCTCCCATTCTTGATTATATTTGTGCGCGCGCACGCACGAGGAGATTGTGAAGTATCTCCTCGGCGGCATAATGCAATGCAATGCAATGCAATGCAATGCAATGCTCGCTCACTCACTCCGGGATACCGAGATACTGTATCGTTGATTTATGACGGCGCGACGAATCGTATTTGTAACGACGCTGCTTAATATACCGACGAGATTGAAACTTCTCCCGCTGTCAGACGTGATAAAGCGTCGAGTATGACACATAATTGACAACTTGCAAATTTGCACAACTCGCCTATGCGCAAAAATTTCTCATAGCATTCGTGCTCACAGCGGAATTATCGGCTCAATCTGATCTTATTAAAAAACCTTAATATATTCTACGTCATCGCTATGAAGTTAGCAAAGCATAGTTATACTGTGTTGGATTAATTTTTGTATCGGTATTTACACATGCCGGTCCATATGCGAGGCGAAGAGAGAAATGACGAAGGATGAGTATGATGTAAGGATTAAATTAGTTAATGAGTTAATATTAGTTATTGTGTTAATTGTTCACGTTGAATACCGTAACAATCACTGGTGGCCATCGACACCGGTGATACTATCACTTTCTTAAGCATACGTGATGTTATTAATAGCTTTTTTATATTTCAATATAATTTTTATATTTTAATATTATATTTGATGTCAGTCATTTTAATATTATATCTGAAAAATTAATTAGTAAGATGTATTTTGGAATTATTTATATTTGTATACCTGTACAATAGGAATTATTTGCCATATATGCAATTATGTAAAAGTAATCAAATTTATATTATATGAGCTTTAAATTGGTGGAAATTAAGGCGGCAATCAACGTGTTGTGTAAGTCGATTACAAGATGATTGTGTTTCAAGGAATATTGTCACGATATAAGAAAAATATAAGAAAATAGCTACATCAATGCTTATCTAATATGAGAAGAGTAAGAAATTAATTTGATGGTATCATCTTAGTTTTTTTACAATAATACAGAATGAAGTATATCCTTTTGTTTTTGGAAGATGTTCCAAAAACAAAAGAAAGAAATCACGAAATACGTTAAAATCAGTAAAGGCAAGAAGATTCCTTACGGCTGTTTCTGTTTAACATAATTATGAACAGAATAATAAATGCAGTCAAACAGCACGAAGGATACTACATAAATGAAAAAAAGAAATTAATAAATATATTGTGTTACGCAGACGATGCTATTTTAATAGCAGGTAACAAGGACGACCTGTAAAGGCTATTATATCAATTCAATATCACTACAACGTCCTATAATATGGAAATATCAACTAATAAAACAAAAAGCATGATGATAGCTAAAAACCTGATAAGAAACAAGTTAGAATTAACAAGCTAAAATTAAGGGAGAAGATCATAGAAGTCATGTCATTTAATTATCTAAATGCGGAAATAACGAGCTGCAAGAACCTAGGACAGGAGGCAATAACCCAAATCAATAAAGCAATGAGAATAGCTGAAACGAAGAGCTGAAATGAAGAGAACCAAGCAGAAAACAAGAGTAGCAGAGATGAAAGTCTTAAGGTCAATAGCAAGCATATCACTAAGAGATAGACAAACCAGCAAGAGTATAAGGGTAATATAAAGTACAGGATATAGTTAAATGGTCCAAGATGAGGAAGAAGCAATGAAATGAGCACATGAGTCAAATGGAAAAAAATGAACTAGCTTTAATTTGCAAAAACGACCCAGACGACCCAGAGGTAAACAATCACTAAGACGACTGTCCAAAAAATAAGCTCAAAGCTGATTCTCATCATCTACAGAGTAGGCTAGACAAACAGGGAAACCTAGTCACTGGAAGAAGAAGAAGAAGAAGAAGAAGAATGCTGACTAAAGAAACGTTTGTACTGATTTATCCAAACATGCAGTAGATCGGAATATGTCTATCATTCTAGATGGAATATCAATCTCTCTCTTTAATGTAATTCGTCTCTCTGAAGAATTATATTAAATATATATTATAGAAATATGTATATGCACACATGCACATAAATAAAATAAAGAGAGCATAGACATATACATTTCTATAATATATATTTAAATTGAAATTAGGAAAATTCTTTTACAACCTTTTATCTTAAACATTTACTTGAAAATTCTTAAGAAATGTTTCAAATGTGTATAAATGCCCTTATAATATATTTAAATTCTTATAATATATATTTAAGATAAAATTAGGGAAATTCTTTACAAATTTTCCCTTTATCTTAGATATATATGGTATCTTTCTGAAAATCTTTAGGATTTTAAATATATATAAATACACCTATACATAACAATGAATTAACCCTATAACAAAACTTATAACAAAACCCATAACAAAATAAACCTCAAACAAATTAAATCCATAACAAAATAAACAATCCCATACATAAAATTATTTTTCCATTTCATATAAAATAAATAAAATATAAATAAAAATATGCTTATCGCAATTTCCCAAACAAGAAAGAACTCTTAGAATATCACTCTCATGTGAATTTGATATTTTTTTTAATATGAAATATCTATTTAATATATATTTAATTATTTGTTATTTTAATAGAAATATATTATAAGTATTAGTAATTATTAATTAGTAGAATTACCTTCTTTAATCCATTCATCCATTTCAATTTCTTCTAATGTTTTTGTAGCTACTTGTGCACGATTCAATTTTTCATCATACATCATAGATTCCGTAACATCATTTGGAAATTCTATAAGCTTATCGTCAAATATATCCCAGTCATCAAGTCCCAATGACGGTGCCCTACTAGGGGACACCGGCTCGACTTTCCACTCCTGCATCTCCTTGTCTTGGTTGAATTCCATCTTCAATGCGAATCCGACAAAATATTGGCAAAAAATGATGAAAATAAATTTTTGTTGGCTTGGTGATATAGCTCACAAGCGCCATATTGATACTGGAATATATTAAAAAGTCTATATTAGTTAAAACATTGAGAAAAAAAATTAATATTTTGAAAATAAAAAAATTTATTTAGATTTTAGCTATGAAAGTTATACAATCTGCATGCAAAATATAAAGTATATTATAATGTTAAGAAGTTTTATTTAAGTTTAAATAATATTTAGCAAATAAAATTTGGTTTATTATGCAATATAAACCAAGTGAGGATCTTATAGTTTGAGGTTATGTAAAATTATTATTCAGTGCAGAATGTTAAACTAAAAGAAATATATAACAATTAAATTAATATATATTGTATAAATCACAATATATGTGATTATATATGTGACAAATTTTGTTGAATATTTTGAATTCATTAAATGGATATTGATTTTCTTTTCCAAGATGAAGAAAAAGATCAATGTCTATCAATCAATATTTTTCCCATTCATTCAATTAAAATTTATTTATATTTTTTTTCTAAATCTATTCTTATTAATGATAAATTCAATAGTACTCCACTAACTTTGAGTCATATACATATTTTTAAATGACGAGACATAAAACTCGAAACCTAAACCAACGATCTCAAACCGTTACAATAAAAAATATCTCACGTGGCACGAGAAAATTCTGCCATCATGCGGAAAAATTTTTCACTGTGACGCACAGGACCGAGTTATGTCGTGTCATGACGCAATGCTGGACTATCATTTGGTAAGATCTTGCGACGAATACAAAGCGAATATTACGGTTTGAACAGGAATATTTGCGCGATGCACAATGTAATATGCAAGAAAAGAAAAGAAAAAGTGTGAAAAATACAAAGAGAAAGGGCAACTCATCATAAAAGAGTGCGCGTCGTCACGTAAAGATGACTCATATCCAAGATGGCTAAAGAATCATTACGGGATATGTGCAAGTTAGAAGGACTAAAATACGAATATTCGAGACAAAATGTAGCGTTACTTACTCCATGATTATTTAGTGTTTTCGGCACACTTGCGTGTGCAAGTTCTTCGGTGAACTAGATACTCATCTTGACCGTATTTTGGAGCGAAGAGAAAATTCAGACGTCTTCCTTGCTTGCTTCATGGATATCGAATGAGCGTCACGCGTAGCTTCGATCGACAGGAATCACGTGATACATTCTACCACCCAGTATCCTGTATATATATATACACATATATATCCAGTGACTTTCTTTTCTCCAATCTTCAATAATATGATTTTCAATTTTCAACATCTAGTCTGATATGAAATTTTGAAATTAGATAAAAGAGTTACCTTTCAGTTAAGTGCTGCACCGTAATTTTGTTTCGTGCTTTTCAATTCTAAATTATATACTGGATTGATTCTAAAGTATAATATAATTTAAAAAGAGCAGAAACCTAAGAGAACATAACTAATATATTGTTCAGTCGCCCTACTGACAAATAAAAACTAGCTTTAACTAATATTTCTCGAATTGCACTGGCTGGTTTAAAAAAACACAACGGTTACACAACGGTTGAGTAATTCGTCAACGTTATTGGTCTGAATGTAAGGATCTAATAGTAAGGACCAATAGTTACTAAGCGCTCAGTGAGCGCTTTGTTTTCTGAACACAACCACTATTTCGGCTATGTTCCGATATTCACTGCCAGTACTGAAAATACATAGTTTATGTCACGTATACTATAGATTTTCAGTGATGGCAGTGAATATCGGAACGCAGCTTTAATAAGTATCTCTGACTTGTCAATGGTTGCGTTCAGAAAACACAACGGTTACACAACGGTTGAGTAATTCGTCAGCGTTATTGGTCTGAATGTAAGGATCTAACAGTAAGGACCAATAGTTACTAAGCGTTCAGTGAGCGCTTTATTTTCTGAACACAACCAATGACTGCGTTCAGAAAACACAACAGTTACACAACGGTTGAGTAATTCGTCAGCGTTATTGGTCTGAATATAAGGATCTAACAGTAAGGACCAATAGTTACTAAGCGCTCAGTGAGCGCTTTGTTTTCTGAACGCAACCAATGACTGCGTTCAGAAAACACAACAGTTATACAACGGTTGAGTAATTTGTCAACGTTATTGGTCTGAATGTAAGGATCTAACAGTAAGGACCAATAGTTACTAAGCGCTCAGTGAGCGCTTTGTTTTCTGGACGCAACCAATGGCCGCGTTCAATAGAACAAAGTGATCAGAGAGCGCTTAGTGATTATTGTCTGTGATTGGAGCATTCTTTCAGATTCTTCATAGACCCAGAAATATTTACCAATCAGGAGCGAGATTCAGTGGTAAATCTAAATGTTGTCCAACTGTTGAGTCTGCTGAACGCAGCCATTGAGTTATACTTTGTAAATTCTCCAGAAAAATAGTGACGACTCATAGCGGAGAGATGTTGGAACTAATAAAAGTAACGGACCTAACAGAAACGATTTTCCTCAAAAGATGTAAGAAGATGCCATAAATGATTCATTAGTTCATATGATTCATAATAAAATAATTCATAATTCATAATTAGTTTATAAGAAAAACATAAGATGGCTCCAATCATTAATTTGTTATATATAAATTAATATAGGATATTTTGTAGAAAGGGAAATATATTTTATAAAAAAATTTGAATATGTAGATTTTAATAAAAAAAGTGTAAAAAGAAATTTTTCATTTAATTTTCCATAATTTCATTTCAGTATTTGTCGGTATTGATCGGTATTTTGTTTTATCATTAATTTCATTGACCTTTATTTAAGATTCAGAACGTATGCAAAATATACATGTTCTGCAATATATAGTAAACATACATAAAGCCGTAAATATAAATAATTCGATATCGCTAGAAGTGCGAGTAGTTTCGGAAATATTTATAAATAAGGTTTATATATTAGACCTCTGTTTTACATGCCATCAATGGGTCAAGTTTATAATATAATATAATATAATAATGTAATAAAAGTATAATGAAATACAGTTTTGCAATATTTTTTATAATGTTTTATAATACCAAGTCAACTATTTAACTCGTTCATCGTTCAACCTCTATTTTATTTAGCATTTATCAATATTAATCGTGACAGAAGTTATTTTTATCATCACCAAGCTTATGTATGACATGTAGAACGAATCAAGTATCTCATTCGGCATACACACACATGAATATATTTATATACTTATATATTTCTATATTTATGTGCATATATATATATATATATATATGTATGTACGTATGTGTATATATACCAAGTTTTCCAAAAGTAACGGACTCCTCCCCTTATCTCAGAATTTATGCATTATAGAGAAAAATGATCCGAACAAAAGTTTTAGGGTTCATAAAGTTCTGTTCTTTTGTGACCTCAAATTTGACCTTGACCTCGACTTTGAAGATCATTTGAAGGTCAATTTGCGTTTTTTAAACAGGAATTCCTATTTTTTATTACACTGTTCTTTTCTACCAATTAATTTGAACAACTTTTGTTTAAAACATTTTTTTATTTGCCTAATATTTTTTGAGATATTTGAGGAAAACTTGATAACTTTTTCAATATTTAACTTACGATATCTCGCTAACTATTTGTCAGAAGAAAAAGTGGTACTAGACTTTCTTGCTTTATTTAGTCTCAAGAATATATTGTTACAATAGTGCCGTGATTTTTGTTAATTTGATGATTTTGAAATTGTCAAAAGTCAGTAAGTTGTTCAAATTAATTGGTAGAAAAAAATAGTGTAATAAAAAATGGGGGTTCCCATTTAAAAAATGCAAGTTGACTTTCAAATAATCTTCAAAGTCGAGGTCAAGATCAAATTTGAGGTCACAAGAGAACAGAACTTTGTGAACCCTAAAACTTTTGTTCGGGTCATTTTTCCCTATAATGCATAGATTCTGAAATAGGGAGGGTCCGTTATTTTTGGAAAACTTGGTGTACATATATATATATATATGTATGTATGTATGTATGTATATGTGATAAATATATTCCATAAAGTATTTTTGTATTTTACATGCAAAACTTATGATATATATAATATAATATAAAGTTACAGAGTATCTGTGTTACACAAATATTATCTTTGTTGAAGATTGCACGGGAAACATGACGATAATTGAATATATATATGTATATATATATATCTATGTATATTCCTTCAAAAATGCGTGTCTACACACAAAAAGAAGAAATCAAATATGTATATACAATGTAAATCTTGTTGCAATTCGCGATATACCCATTAGTCTGGTGAGATTCCACCGTTACGACACATCATGAATGATCGCCGCGAAAAAAAAGTCAATTCTACGCATTTGTGCGCGCGTTAATCGTCGGCAGTCTAGAGATAAATGTAAACTTTGATTTTGCTTTGTTCAATAACAACATGCTGCACGATTGTTGTAATCCAACGGCTATCGACCTGGTAAATGATGATCGAAGGGTAAAGTAAATCGGAGTAAAAGAATATTCTAAGCGATAGCCTATGAAACATAGAAAAGAAATATAGAAAAAAAATGTAGAAAAACGTCACAAAGTATGCAAAGAACAAGAAAAGACTTAAGCTGTACGAAAACGCCAGGAACTAACATATAAAGTCGGGAAATTAGGTTAGCGAGAACGTACAAATAATACAATATTTTCCGATTATATTATAGGATAACAATTTGTTTCATTAACTTCGTCTGACAATAACTTGAAATAGACTTTTATTTCCATTGTCTCTTTCTCTAGAATATTATCTATCTTTTGTCTGTTGTCTATCTTGTTGTCTATCTTTTAAAAGCTTCATTCGTTCGATATAAATGCTAGATTCGGATTTACTAGTACATCAGACAAGAATACCGCCGCATTTCGAATAGAATGCGCGGTGAGATAGGATGTAATCAAGTATTTGGAGACAAGATATTGTATGCAAAGCCATGTATAGAATATGCATGGTTTATTAATAAGTTCGTGAAAAACGATCATATATTCGAGAACTTTAAAATTGAGGAAGGACGTGTGGAAGATCTCTAAGAATAGAAGATTCAGTAGATTCAAGGACTCTTCATATGAAGAAATTAAGATCCGAGAGGAAGAAATCGTTTGCAAATCCAAAGATTTGCTTCAAAATATAATAATTTACATCCTATTATCGTCGTAAACAGACGTTTGTTAAGTAAACTTATTAACTTTACCGCAAACTCTTCGTATTACAATTCGATCGGTAGAAATGACAATCTATGCTATCGATACAGTTTTGTATTTCTAGTCGTTTTACCTTCATTACATTTGACTTTTGCTTGACTTTTGCTGAGTTTTAGAACCCGATACTATGGTCGAGTTTCATTCAGTTCGCTGCACAATAGACACGATTATAAACGTTTCTTCCGAAAGCAGAGAGCAACAATCACGTTATTAATATACCGTCGGCTCATAAGATTATCAATCGTACTTTAGTTTTGCAATACAGTTCGACCCTCTTATGTGAGGAAATGCGTCATCATTGTTCAATTCCGTTCAATGATTGGAACAACTATCTTTCCTAACTTCTTAAAAATTTCTTATTATTGTGAAATATATTTCTCATCACTTTCGGTTTTTTTTTCTCTTTTTTTATAAGTAGAGTCTAAACATAGGACTCTGCTAGTAATTCCATATCTTTCATAATCTCGTCGAGACCTCGTGGATTCTTTGAGATCAGGAAACTTACTGTATTATTTTTAATTGTCATTTAAAGTACATTCGAACACACATTCTCATATAAGATCAAAGCGCACGAGAGAATTATAATTATTCTATAACAACATGTTATCAGGTAAATATATCCTAACAAAATATTAACTTAACGAATTTTTTGTTCGAAAGGCTTCATGGCTGGAACACGAATGTAAATTTTAACATCGATCAACTGCGAATGTTCAAGTGAGGATTGAAGAGATCAGCGCAAAGAGGACACAAGTCTATAATTCGCAAGGTTTGGTTTAATTATGATGCGATTTCACGAATAATAGACTCGTTTGATCTTTCCCATCGAGGCCTCCGATTAAAATTCAACTGACAAAATGACCAGCTGCCTCGATTGCAATCATTTTTGTGTTGCCATTAAGTCGTGTATGTTCATTAGGGTGGTTATTTTTAAAATTTAAATTTTCTTCGTGCTACCCCGCTTCCCCGTTTGGTTCCATTTTATGAAAAAATAATCTGTGTAAAATTTCAGCTCAATCGGATAAAGGGAAAGGGTGAAAGAGACTTTATCCCAGCGTCAAGATTTGTAGTATTGAATAAAAAGAAATGGTTTTCACATTTTTCTCAAAAATTGTTAATCGTACGAAAAAAAATGGTACATGATAATATGTGCATTTTTAATAGATTTACAACTTTTATATGATACTTTTTTGCATATAATTAATATTTCACAAGATAAACAAATAAAACTGATTTTTTCTGTGATTTTATGATTTTTTCGATTTTCAAGCTCTCAGAGGCACCCTTTCTCTTTATCCGATTGAGCTGAAATTTTACACAGATTATTTTTTCGTTAAATGGAACTAAACGGGAGGGGGGGAGTAACGTAAAAAAAGATTCCCAAAAAATTTTCACCAAGAGTAAATAAAAACCATCCTAATGTTCATGGGTTATCGCTAGCGACGTTTTCCTTTTTGATTGTACCGTCGTTGCTGCTTGCGCGAATACCAAGCCTAAGCAACTTGCTCATATTCTGCTTTGTTAATGATGCTAGCTAAGCAGCAGGCCAGGAAGACGCCCACTAGCGGGAAGAAGGCCACACCGATGGCCGTGCCGGCTACCAGACCGATGTTGGCATTCAGAAAGTCCAAGACACGATTGTAACATCCCTGAACAAAATATTTCTGCTTAGCATTTTTATTTTACAATCAGAATCAAAGGAGAGAGATTCGTTTCTTTTTTATTCGGTCAGACCCGAGAAAGTCTGAGAACCGAACCAAAAGCTTCACTTTCATCGTCATCGAGGTGACATCGAGGTTATTAGGATTTATCATTGCGTATGATTGCGAATAGAAAGATTGACTGATTGAATTTCTTATGTTGATTTTAGATGAAGGTGCATCTGTTTTGTCCAATGGGAGAATTTGTTTTTTAATAGAAGTATTGCCCTTTTGCTGGGCAAGACAGATATATTCTGTCTGAAATGTCTATCTGAAATTGAAAACTACGAGTAACTTTTTGATCTAAAATCATACCTCCGTATAGATATTTTCCATGTTGCTCGTCTCGCATTCATCCTGGGGCACCTTGCAGCAGGACAGAGGAATCTCCTTGGGAGGATACATGCGAAGCCAGTCGGTGTAAGCACGACTGCCGCAACAATGCAACTGAAATCATTCGTTGACTTTGTTAAATGCGCGATTTTGCTGTGGGATCCTCGAAAGAATCGATGTATCTTAATTATAATTCTCCGTTTAGTCTCGTCAACGAAATATTTTTCATCGAAATTCTATCGTTCGAATGACTCAGCTTATATGCAAATGGAATATAGTCAAGACACTCACAGTCGTCTGCATAGTGTCGATATGGCTGCTCTTGGCGTAATCCTGTGCGTAGGTTGCCATACTTTCATTGAGACCTTGATCGAATCCTTCGTTCAGGCTTGTGCAGTAAGCGTAAATCGACGCACCCGCACCAAGTTCCAGTAATGCTACAACGGCTAAGAATGCGCCGTACTGGCATCAAACAAAAACAATTATTCGTCGCGAGATACCAAGGAGAAGCTTCGTGAGCTACAATAAGGGAGGACGAAGTCGTCCGCACGAATTCGGGGTCTTTTGAAAAACTATTTAGGGAGTGATCAGATGTTGCAGGAAAATTGTTAAACGCACAGCTCAACTATTCCAATTACTCAGCTCAATTTCACTTTATCGTCGACTAACAGTCCGATACCTACCAAATACAGCAGAGCCGGATGACCGCGCGCGGTGCAGCAACACGCGAGCGTCGCTGCGAGTGCCAACACTGCGCCTAAGCTCGACAGACCTAAGAGAGCCGCACCGCTGTTCTCTGTGCTTAGGTACACGTAATCTCGCATCTGGATGCGCATCCATATGCCAATGCACAGCATCAGCACTCCGGACGCCTGTAACGAGACGATCTCGACGTTATTTGCAATTGACAAAGTTTGTACACATGAAATATGCAACGTTCATAAAGGAAACAAATAGTTTGAGGGGTGAAATCGAGGTCATCATCGAGTCCGACGAATAAGTTATTCATCGCTTGATCGTTGCTTCTTCTTGTTCGTTCTCGTTCGTATTTACTTCGACAGAGATGATGGTCGCGTTGTGTTGGAAACGATAACGGTATGCATACACAACGGTACGCATACAATCACGTGGCTTGCAGATAAGTCTCAATTAAAGAGCTCGAAAATTCTCTCAACTGACTCGAGGGTTCAAGGAGAAACGCGACGTACAACGACGTGAACATCAATGACACGTAGAGATCGTAACTGATTTACAATTTTTCGAGCTCGAGTGAACTGGAAGATATATTTGAGTGATCATCCTGGTGCGGTCAAGGTCATTCAAGATTCATACGCAATTACCTCCGTACGCCATTGACCAGTTGGCCGATCCGATTCCGTTTAATAGGCTCAAAACGGGGTTTCATCGTGACGTCATTATCGCGTGTATCGTTCCAATAAAGCTCAAGCATATTCGATAACTATGACGTTACGAGGGATTGCGCAACAGTTGGCTAATACGCGGCTCAGGATGTATCAAGAGGTTCCGTGAGCAACGTCAAGGATCGGCGATGTGTTCCCTCTCTTTTTCTCGCTTACCCAGAAGACAAAGTTGAAGAGCATCAGCAGGCTTTTCATGCAGGTCATTGTGGCAACGGTCTCCATTCGCTTGCTCATCTCTGTTTTCTCACGTCTGACTTGTCCGCTGATAAAAACAAGAACCCTCTATCCGGACTATGCAAGGATATTACGCACTGGCAAGTCTCACTTTGGCGACGCGATCGATTTGCAACAGGATTGCGAGTAATACTTACGTGTTGCGTGCGTGGCTCTTGCCCCTCCAACTGGTGCATGCGCGCTACCCCGGAGTACCATGGTACGATAGTGGGAACTCCCTTTATCGAAGCACTTCTCCATGTACGGACGAGCATCGTGTCGCGGTCGACGCAGAAATGGCAGGCGAAGACGCTCGAAGGATCCTCGAGACTTTCCTCGGCGACCTCTCGGAGTTTCACAGGATCAAGGAATCGAATGATTATAGCTAATAGGCCAATGTATCATTTTCCATAACGTCCATTTTCGACGCTGGAAATTGGTAACGCGATAAAAATGCGCGGAGAAAAGTACTCAGCACTGCGTCCGTTTCGTTTTTGCGAGAAGGATAAAAACAAAAACAGACAAATAAATTAATAAATAAATACAAGATGCTCGCGCAAATTGTTCTCAACGCACTCATGACACTTCTTCTTGCGCTTGATCGAAATCGAAGAAAGTAGATTAAATTGTCAACAGCGTTTGAGTTACGAATAGAGAAAGCCGTCACAATACTAAATATATATGTATGTATAAAAAGTTTTTTTATTGGTGAACAAAAAAGTCGTCACACTGTATCGTAGGATATTTACAATATATTGAAAGTCAGCCGAAACACTGACACGTAAATACTTATCTTTGACGACCTTTATTTTTACTGATCATGCGGTGAACTGTTGGCGACGTCGAAGCTGTTGGTATAATTCAGAAGGACGCCGGGCCACACGACGTTGTTTTCGCCAACGATCGGCGCTCTCCGCATGTTTCTGGAGGACCGTCTGCTTTTTCGAAACGATCGTAATGTCTTCATTCTCTCGGGAGCCTTGGGACCGTCCTCTCGATCGTCCTTGTCCTTCCACGTCTTAAGATCCGGAGACTCTACTTCCGAATTATCCGTGTTGTTGTTTTCCCAGTGTTCTTCGCTTTTTCCTTGACCGTCCGGATCAGTCGAACGAGAGAGTCGCGATGTCTCTGTCAGATTCAAGTCGAGTTTAGCCAGATCTACGATCGGCCAGGCGTTCTGCGTCACCCGGGTCGTTTTTGTCTCGACGGTATTGAGAATGGCGTTATTGCTCAGATAATTGTTGTTGCAAGTTTCCTGGACGATCAATTTGTCCGCTAAGAGGTCAGTGAGCGAGCTGGAGTCCCACTCCACCAGCTCTTCGCTGCTGATGGATACTCTGTCCACGTCGTGGCTCCCGACGTTCTTTCTGTTATTCTTGATGTCGCCGATGGTCTTGAAGTAAATGCTGTGGTCGTACCGATATGTCTCCAGGCAGTTGCTATCCAGCTTGCTATTCGACTGATAATTGAAAGTACCGCAACAGTTAATCCTGGTCTCTTCTGGTTGCACTTTCTGTCGGGATCGCTCGAGATTGTAGAACCGCGGCGCACAAGTCGGCTCGTCGACGCCCGACTTTTGGGTAGACGAGCCCCGATGATGCTCCTGTATTTGATCTTTAGACCGTTCCTTGGACCACCTTTGCGATCGTAGACGATTGTAACCGCGGGCGAAGGCGGCCCACCGCTCGATCCTCTGGAACACGTACTCCGTCTCTTCGCTCCACCACTCCGATAAACCTTTTTGAACCACTGTATCCCTATCCTCTGCCACAGCAGCCATCCTGGTAAACGGGAGTCACAAGAACGTCGCAGGAGCGTCTCTGCGACGTTTCAGCGAACCGGCAGTATGCAAAGATGCGGTTTCTATAGTTGGAAGAGCGATTCGACTTCGGAGGATGAACCTGGACTGATTTATAGGATCGGTAGGAAGCACCACAAACGCGGAAGCCATTGGTGATCGCGCGAATCCGTGGCCGTGACCTCGCGTGATGGTGCGACGCTGTTTTACCACATTAGCGGATACCCGAAGATGCTACACGTCTCTTTGTTTCTTTCTTTGATCACTTTGACAACTCACGAGCTGAAACAACAAATCGAAGCTGTTATGCGTCAATGTACATATACTCTTGCGTCTTACGCAATTAGATGATTATACCAGTACCAGTTGCGGCAAACGTCGATTGCTTTCCCCCGACGCGTTAACTCCTTGATTAGACGATGTCGAGAGAAGCTACTGTAAAACTCGGTGTAAAAGCAGTTAACGGACTGACAAGCTTGCGCTCATCGTTATTTATAAAGCTATTCGCGAAAAGAAAGACGTACAGTACATCTTTCTTTTCGCTAGAAGATTTTAACGTCTGATTTTACTCGGCCGCTCGGAAAGGAAACAGAAGAGCCGGGACGTGACATCAGTAATGCGTTTAGCCGGCTGGCTGCCAATCATCGGCGGCAGCATCGCGGAATATTGAGCGACCTGCGAAGGCGTTTTTGTAGCGAAGAAAGAAAATTGTTTATCAGTGCGTGCTGGTGGTTGTGGGTGAATTAAAATTCAATGCCCCACCCGCGACTTCACAGCCCCCGGTTGCTCCCGGGATTGAGCGAAGGCGAGCGCGTATAAAAAGCCACGTGCAAACCATGCATACCGTACACTTCACCGTCGATTCTAGCACGCGTAGGTAAGTGCATCGAGCAGCCGGTGTCTCCAGGTAGCACCGAGTGTCTTCTTTCACCGAGTTCGCGGTTTCCTCGGCGTACCCGCGAGTAATTTTGCCGAGTCGCGGTCTCCGTTAAATCTTTTAAACGAACGAACGAATGAACGCGTTTTGTCGCTCTTGCTTCTCACGTTCCGTTGGAGCATCTCAGAGGTAATCGCTCGCGACAAATAATTATTGTTATATTACAATTATCGTATTAACTCATCGTTAACACACGATTCCACGTCGACCTGATGTTCCGTTTCGAATATTTCCAACGAGAGTATATAATTTCTGTTGGTACAAGTACGGGACGAGTTTGCATATTTATAACTGTTCATATTACCGCAAAGAGTTCACACAGAATGTTAAACATTCAGTAGTTTTATGATTAAACGGATGGACTGATTAAGAACTAATTAACTAGCGGAAAGCTGTTAGCTGATATTTCGACTTGTAATTTTTTCGTCGTCAATATTCGCTGTATTCTTATGATTGCAGAAATGAATTTAACCCTCGCGTTGGCCTGCATGATCGCAATCATGTCGCTGCTCTGTGGAAGATGTAAAGCAGCTCCAGGAAGGTTAATCGCCAGCCGTCATAATCTGGAGAATCATCCACATATCCACGGGTAAGTGCGAATATTCTGGCTTACTATTCGTAAATTCTCTAATATGCGTGATCATAGGCTTATTCTTTTTAGCTGAACTTTTATTCTTTTGTTCTTCCCTGCATAAAATGTCGAATTGAAACATATTGAAAAGTATTGACATTTTGAATACGTCTGAATTCTGCTTTCTGATCCGAAGAAAGGGATTGAAAAGTATTAATTCCCATTAAATTTCACCGCGCTAAATGCAAGACAGCAGTGGTGAATTCTTCGCATTAAAAAGGATTCAATTCATTTCAAATATGCCTTGCATTCAATCGCAATCGATAATTTTCAAATGCGAACTTTCGCATTGAAAAGTATTCACTTCTTCTCCTAATTGTTTTCGGATTCAGAGGCATACAAGATTTTCACGTTCTATTCCCCGTCGCATTGAAAAGTATTGGCCCGCGATTACTTCCGCAAAGCAGAATTCACGACGAAATCTCGTGAATGTGAAACAATATTTTTAAATACGACATTTTATACAGGGTTTCCTTCAACGCTAAGTTGTACACTTGTTTCTCTTTAAAGGCAAAAAAGTGCAATCTGACTCAGCTAAAAAGAACAGATCTCATTTCACAAAAACAGTTAAAAATTTGAGAGGTAAAATATTGCTTAGTGTATATACTGGTAAAATAGTGCTTAGAGTTCGGATGTTCTTTACTTTGCTATTACGTTCAATTGTTCGTAGGCACGCCATGGAGGAACTTATGAGAGACTTCTTGGAGGATCTTGTCGGCGAGGATGAGGATGGTTTGCGGCTGAGTAAACGCCAGCATCTGGGCGATTACGATCACATGAGATTCGGCAAGCGGGCCAACGACGACGACGAATACGGGCGCTCGCGATTCAGCAGAAACACCGAGTGAAAGATTACCGCCGGATTCTCTTAGATCGTAGACGTGATCGCACCACTCACGTCTCGCTCGCGCTGGCATACTCACCGCGTTTATGCGAGATGTAGATAGAATATATTTTACATTGCAGCCATATCACGACTGTGTCTCGTTATTTTTCACCTCCTCCAGTTCTCTCGCGTTTGATTCCGATCTCGCCACAAAATAATCCGTAGCTTTTTAAAAAATATTCTGTTCATTATCGACTATATTTTCTCTTATTTCCACGAATAAAGAGAAAATTATACATCATGTTTACATGCAGTTTCTCATTGCGACTCCAGTTTCTCCAAGACGTTCCAACGAACATTCATCGACTGCTAAACGAAACTCTGCTGCTCTTTATCCACTATTATTACCTCGTATAGTTTGCCCCTTTTCGTTTTCAACTCTGCTATTCTCCGATGAAGATCCATGTCGTCGTCGAAGAACATGCGGTATCCGCGACGATTTTCCAAAGCATCAAAACTGTAACCGATGGTGCGTCGATTCAACAGCCATGGTTCCGGCGGCGGTGATGGCGGCGGTGACATCTTTCTTGGAGGATAAGGCGATCGATAATCGCTATCCATGGTGGTGCGATAGTCCATGTAACGAATCGCCCTGGGATCCATGAGCAGGTCCTCCAGTTGTAATTCCTTCTCCTCGTATTCCTTTCTGGAAAAAAGATTTTGTCTTTACATTAATAACATTTAATTATTAGTAAATTACTCATTCATATTCTTCAGAAAGATACATACTCTGCCGAAGCGAGCGATTGCATCATGAGTAGGCTACGTCGTGGATAGACGATCGGCTTATACTCGTCTCGCATTTCGATCTGCGATAACATAGCGTGCGTCTCCGAGACACCGGTACCTTCGTCGTCAGGTCCGATTCTTCGATATGATGACTCGTGAAGATTTCCTTTTGGTGGAAATATGTCCTTGTTGTCTCTGGGTTCCGCCAAAGTTTTTATCTGCCTGTTGATTGTTTGTTGGAATAATAATTGAGAAATAAATCTTTAGTGTTTCAATCACCTACTAGCTAATCATAGTAATATGTTTTTGTCTGTTAAATGACACGCACACACAAAGAATTTTCAGCAGGTAATCGATTGATGAACTACTTTTATTTCACTACTTTAATTTTAATGATTCACGATAAACTCACTCCTTTAGTTTCTCTTCTGAAAACGATACAGATCTGTTCTGTGATAAAGTCATTTTTTCCTTATATGGCTCCATGCTTACTATTTCGATCACATTGTTAAAATTGCTTGTGCATTGTATTGAATAATGGAATATGAAATAATGCGATATTCTTATTGAATCCCTAAAGTAAAGCGCGTTGCTAAGACTAACAAACATGTGGTTTCACCAGCGACAACTACTCTTCGCGTTTCCACGTGAACTACAATATACTCGTATATGTGTATTTTCGTTAAGATTTATTCACGCACGTATATGCTATTAATAATTAATTTTTTCTTAAATATAAAATAAAAAATAATTAAACTATCATTATTTCTGAAATAACACCGTATGTCACATTAATTAATAAATATCTGCTATTTTCTTTAATTTATGCCTACGTTTGCTAACGTCGATTAAACCTTAACTTAAGTTTAGTCCTCTGAAGATAATTTAAATTCAAATTAAGATTTAATCTACGATGTATAATTTATTAGATAAATATATAGAAAAGGGTACACCTCATCGGTTTTTTCATTTTGGAATATGTTATAAAGGATGAAATTCTCAGAAACTATAAGCGACCCCCATATAATTGTCTTAGGAAAAGTCACTCAGAATTTCATCCTTTATAACATATTTCAAAATGAAAAAAATCGGTGTACCCTTTTCTATATATTTACCATTTATTATTTCAATAAACGTAAATTTAATTTAATATTTACCAATTGTGAATTTTGACTTTATCGCCATATATTGCTGGAACGTGAAATACAATAGATTCAAGATCATCGTCTTTGTCATCACAAGTCGGGAAGATGGGCTGTAATGAGTATTTATACCAAAATTAAAGATCTCAAAACATCAAGTATTGATAAATTTCTTACAGTACGTTTATCTTACATTGATCTTATTTTTATTGAACATTTTGCAATTTTGATTATATGCACGTATTTTGGAAAAATTGGAAGTGAATCAAAGTATCAGTCATTGATATAACTCAGTCAGATAAAAATCCCGTGCTAAAAATTCACAATCTAATGGTTCAAAGAGCTATCATGTCATTTTCTAATATTACATGAACGTAGCGGCATATCATCGGTGATAAGAACATAGTTCACTGTTGCTAGAGAAGTAGAAAATTCTATTCTGAAAAAATATGGGATGCAAGATACGAGAATTAGACATAAAAAAATTACAAAAAGAAATTCTATGCAAATGCGGAAGAGTAGAGTCCTTGGCTTCTTGCTATAAAGAAGCAGACGATGCATGCCAAGAAGACCCACGAGATGTAGACACATCTTCGATGAAAGATGAGATTACGGAGGAATTGCCATTTGACGAAATATTGGCCGAGAAACGCCGCAAATACACTGCTAAAGAAGAGTTTATCTATTTGTTATATAATGATATACTTCCGGCATTTGTTACCAAGTAATTGTGTGTTCTTTTAATGCGAAACAATTATTCTTATACTATCAATTCGACGATTTGATCGGTGCAGATGGGAAGGATATGCCCTGCGAAAGAAACCATCCACAATGCGTGAAAATGATACGGAAAGCGACGATATCGATGAAAGTGCAGAGACAAATAATCGTTATGTTAGCGATGTTTTGCTCATCAAAGAAGGAAAGAATGGGAAAGAAGAGGCTCACGTGCTATCCTGGAAACTTTCATTGCCCGATGAATTTGCCAACATTAATTTTTACAATGGCAATTCCTATTCTGGTCGCATCAGTAGGAAGATGATGGAGGGCGAAGGAACGTACATGTGGCATAACGGTGTCCGATATGAGGTACCGGGAAACGCATATCTAAATTAACATATAATACGTAGTCAGCTGATGGAAATCGGTACATCATGGCTTGGGATTAGGAGAAAATAAACGAAAGTTACCGCGTGCAGGGTCAATTCGAGCAAAATCAGATTCAAGGAAAAGGTTTTTTGAAGTGGAACGATGATTGTTGGTACGAAGGTGACTTCCTGGATGGTATTCGTCACGGCGAAGGTGCCATGGTAGACAGGAAGCATAATTGCATGCATATCGGTCAATGGCGCATAGGCAAGTATAAAAAAGTGTAAGAGAGAAAACGAGAAAAGGAGTTATCGCTTATTGTTACGACGTTTACAAATATTCGTATTTATTGAAATATGATTTGTTACGTGTAAAAGAAATAAATCTGCAATAAATAATGTCACTTAACAAATAGGTCCATGATAATATCGCTTTATATACCCTCATTTCATACTTGGCGCGGGAGATGTTCCATGCACTGCATTAGAAACTGCAACATGATGCAACTCACGATAGGTTAAGCAGTGCGTTAGATTAAGTTAGGTCAGCCAATCTAACCGCCGGACAAACGCGATAATCGACCAACGAAAGGACCGTCGCTGCCCACTCGTTGAGCAGCGATTGGCGAACAGACATGGCAATAGGTGCCAATCGGAGTCGCTCGGTGTCGGTCGTGCTAGCAGAAGGATTTCAATATTGACGCGCATTTGACGCTCTCGCAGCCGTCGTCGAAGTGCGCGAGAGCGGTGTTATTCACGAGTGCGGAAGAATCTACGATTCTGTGGCAAGCGAGATATAGCTTATCGACGATTGCCGGCCGACAAGGGACGCAATGTCAGACGCGATGATGGATGAACGGTAACTTTCTCACGATTGACAATAATTAGCATATTGGTATTGATAGCTGGGACATCACAGCTTCCCGAAATTCATGACGCTGCACACAGGCCGCACGAAGTCACGACCTCCCTGAAAAATATTCACCGACTGACTTGGTGCTTTCGCTTCTCACCTATGATGCAAATCTTGCTAGTTTTGCCAATGATACCTATACTTTTGCCATTCTATAATGTATATCTATATAAACTGTTATTAATTATAATATACAATTATTTTATTCTTGTTTTTATTTTTTGTTATAATGTGAATATATTTTACTTGGACGATATTGTTAAATGGAAAGTTTGCGTGTGAAAAATTAGAAAGTAAAAAAGTAAATATATTTGTCAGCTTGTCCATTAGCCTGAATGGAAAAATGTATACGAAAGTATCTTGTACGTATATGGATGGTCATATGTGTTCTGATAAAAGCTTAAAGCTTAAAGCTTAATAATACTTTAAATTATATATAATGAAGAATAAAGAAGAAATAGAAGAAAAGAAGAATAGAAGAAAAAGTTTGTTTTGAAATATTTTATGCATTGACCATCTAAAATTAAAATTACATATATGTCATGATTATTCTAATATTTGCAATGATTTTTATAGGGTAACTGATGAGATTGAGGCATTAAAAGCGATCCTATTGGATGATGAGCTTAACATCAAGGAGAATGACAGGTATATTATTATATAAGTTTTTTTACAAGAATTTTTATTTCTTGGTAATTTTAGAATAAGATACTTATAAATTATAATGATTATTATGTACAGTTTAGACTTTTAATAGAGTTATAATAAAGTTTTAAATTATTTAAATTCTTTACCAGTAGAAATTTTATTTGTATATTTTTTATATTCTAAATATGTTAATAGGCACAAGTTTTAAAAATAAAACGAATCTTGTATAATTTATAAAATTCAATTGTAATTTATTTGCATAGATTTATATAGATTATTTGTAAAAATGTACTTGTAAGCATGTTAGCTTGCAATATTAGTAGACTTTTTATATGCTGCTAGTTAATTCATATTTGCACAGAGGGGAACCAGAGTACATCGAGACAATATTGTTTCCCTCAACGGGTGAAGATTCACAGTCGCAATACGTCTGTGTGACATTGGTGGTGCGATTGCCTTCAGGATATCCAGATGTTTCACCATCTATTAATCTTCGAAACCCAAGAGGTTTGGACGAAAACACAGTGAGGTTGATGCAGTCTGATGCAGAAGCCAAATGCAAAGACTTTATAGGTCAACCAGTTATGTTTGAATTGATTGAGGTAAGAAATTACCTTATTGGTATTCCTCTTTTTACCAATTATTTGATTAAGTCATAATACAATTAATATATGTAATTACAACAATAATATAGTTAGTACGAGAACACTTGACGAGGAGCAATCTTCCCACCGATCAGTGTGCTGTCTGCTTGTATGGTTTTCGGGAAGGGGATGAATTCACGAAGACAGAATGTTATCATTACTTTCACTCCCATTGTTTGGCGGCACATGTTGCTGCTGCTGAAAAATATTATAGAGAAGAGCAAGAAAAATTGCCGCAATGGCAACAAGATACTACGAATAAATTTCAGGTACATTTATGTTATAACTGTCCAAGTGAGCTATTTGAGCGAAATGTTATAAAAAATAGAAAGATACGTATTTTGTAATTCTTATGACTTCTTAGGCCATATGTCCTGTTTGCCGAGAGTCGATCAATTGCGATGTCGAGAGCTTGTGGTCAGCACCGCCACCGATCGACGTCGAAGCTGCCACCGATTTCTCCGTCACTGCTGAGCTAAGAGAACTGCAGAAACAAATGGCAGCTCTGTATCTGCGTCAGCAACAACGAGGCGGTATAATCGATCTAGAAGCCGAAGGCGTGAAGATGTTGGTGAGAACAGAAGATGATCCTTCCGCTGCCACAGTGGAAGTTAGTCCACCTGGCACGAGTTTGAACGCGTACTCTAATACCACTGTGCAGCCGGTTACTCAAGTTGTAAGTCGATGTTTTATTGAATGTTCCTCTGTCTTTTCATTTTTAATGTCCAAGTCGTCCTGTTTCGGTATTGGGATCCATTGATAACGTTTTCGATTTCTACTGTCACAGCACTCCAAACAGACTTCAAATCAGGCGCAAAATCACCACACGCAGTACCAATCTCGCCAAGTTCATCACAATAATCACGGACACAACCACAATCATGGCAACCGACATCGTGGTCGCGGCCGTGCCCATTACCGACGCCACTTTGACAGAGTCAGACAGGCGGAATCTACTCCCAGATGACAATGGGCTCGAGACAAGCTTGCCACCGTCATCTGGTCGTCCCTCGCTCCTTCGCTAAGTGTATACAATATTCTGATTAGCATCAGTAGTATAATCGTCGGTGTAATATACGGTGACTGTCTATCCTCGAGTAATCTCACCGCAATAAACTTATAGGTGTCGTTGTTCGGCAGCATCCCCGTCGTCGCGACCATCGCGTACGTGACGATGGGATGCGTGGCGATCTCCCGTCTGGACTGTCTACGTAGACCGAAGCCGTGGTGCTCTTTCGAACGATCCGCAATCGTACAAAGTAGTTGATATCATTTTGCTTTAGTTCTTTTTTCTTATTCTTTATTTTTTCATTCACGAACGATCTCGTGACATTAGATTCATCGATTCTCCTCGTCTCTCATGAGCGTAGAGTACGATAATAATTATCTAAAATAATTATTTAAAATGAAAGCGGGCTTTTGTGTCGCTTTTAAGTATATCTTGCAAAATATATTTTTAATTTCAAACTAGCATGTTTGAGTTTAGGTTTCAATACAATTTTCTTCTTTATGTGGTTATTATCGATACCACTGCTAAATGGGAAAGTTGTGTTATATTAATAAAATAAGATTAATTCAGGAGTTAACCATATAGTTTCGATAGATACACACAACGGGTATTTTAGTTTGCCTTCGAACAGACTGCTCGAAATGGATCGTAACGTTTGAAATTGTTGTTTTCCCTGATGATCTTATGAGAGAAAGATGAGGAGGATCGATGATTCCAATATCCTTTGTATTACCTTTGTATTCACTGCCGCGAACACGAGAATCTTATTCCATTTATCCGCGATGATTATCTTTTTTTAATTTTGTCGTACTTGCCGTGTCGATAATGCGCGCAAATGGACGCTTAACTTCTCAACTCTTTAAGCGTATACAATCAGACGACAATATTGAAAAAACATAATAGTGCGAATACTTCGCAACTCAGTCTCGTGCGACAGTGAGTTACGAGAGAAAACTGTGCAATCAAAAGCCCCATCGAAATGAAAATATTTTATACGTTCGTATAAAATTAACGTAATCAAAATTGACAGACACCATTTATTACGCTTAGCGTACAATGTTGCGTGACACGCTTCTGATTGTAGTTGATACCATTTCAGCGAGTTCAGATTTTCGTGCTGTAATAATAGATATTTTATGCAATTGTAAGAGTATGTCATGGCTGCATATATTTGTTTTACATCTATAGCATGGAAAATCGAACTCGATAAGATTGTGTCAATTTCAATAACCGTCTAACAGTCGTATGAGTAATTAATAATGATTACCAAAAGTGTATGTAGAGTGTTCTAAGAGTCATTTTCTCGAAATTATATTAACGAGGAAGTTATATTCCGATATATCGACATTTTTCCTTTTTCCATTTCAGTTAATTAATTTTATTAATCAAGCCCACATTGACGTCTAATTTTTTATCAAGAAAAAACATTAAGTTCGTTAGTAGTTAAAAGTGTTTCGCATCATTATCTTGGAAAATTATTCAGGCTTAACAGGCTTGGTTTTTTCTTAGCAAGTCCCAGTTTTGACGAATTAATCTACAAATTTTTAGCCGAAAAGTATAAACTATACATTCATTATCACTGGCAATCATTTTTAGTAAGATTATCAGCATTTTCCGCAAAGGTAGCGGAACATATTTGCGCCAATTTTAGAAGCGATCCTTAGAACACGCTGTACACATTAAAATGTGCCATTTAACACTTGTTCGTTCACGAAGAAAGTATATGGCATATCTGAAAATTCTTCAAAAACATTTTGCAAATTGATACGCTTTAGAGTAACATACATTTTTTAGGAAAGACCCGTTACACATTACATTACGTCGCTCGTAGTTCGAGTTTATAGATCGAAGTGCCCGCGATCGACAAGCATAGAGAATTGTGATAGAAAATAAAAAGAAGCGAAGCATATCCATCGCATCAAATTTGAACAAAGCGTAGAACAAGTTTCGTAGACAGCTAAGAGAAATAATATTTTGTTACTTTAAGTTATTTCTTCTTGCGTAAAGTTCCTCACGCAGTCGCACCGTACCGCTATAGTTCGATTTATATTTTGCGTAAACTCGACTCTATAATTTTAAGGGGACGAAGGCATCGTCTATTGTAGATACTCCCTCAACGTATATGTATATTATATCGAAAAAAATTGTTAACAACCTTAAACTCTTCCACATGAATGTGATACTTACAAAAGGGTAATAGGCTAAAGTAAGGAAATTTTAGACGCATTTAAATTGATTTTACGCTTTGGATTATCCGTAAAGTTTCTCTCAGATTTTTACTCAGATCAATCGCTTAGTCCGCTTAAAATCTCGGAATTCGCCCAGCCGTTTCATTCTCCGCCAGAGAAGATTTTTAGATTTTTTATTATATTTTCTATCTGATGTCTCTACTGAAAGCAGAATGCAATACAAAATTCATGAAAAAACCTTATCGATGATACATCTAGGATATTTTATAGAACGTACATCAGACATACTTGGATTAGATATTGCAACATTCACATAAAACAATATACTATTAAATGCTTTTGCAACAATTAGTTTTAAAAAAAAGAAACAACATAAGATCAAACAAAAAGCATCGAATTGAGAAAACTTCGCGACACATGTTCTGCTTTCAAAGCGTTTCTTAGAGGAATCTCTTCTCATTTAATTAAAAAAATTAATTATAGTATTTTTGTTTCTTGTGGATAGGAAAGAAAAAATTATAGTAATATATATAATTGGCTAATTAATCGTGTTAACGATGGTCATTATAGAAAAAGAATAAAAAGAAAAAGGAACGATCGGAAATTATTGCACTATTCTAAGAACGATATTAATATTTTTATATTAATTGTATATGTTTTCGTTGGTATATATATTTCGACATATTTTGCGTATAATATATTAAATTATTCCAGGCTTAAGACGCGTAATTAACCGCAAAAAGGATCTATTAAATGTTGAAAGTGCGTCGATTAAATTTTTCTATGACTATCGAAAAATGTTTTTGTTTCTTATATGTACATACATATATATTTTCGAGGATATCTTTAAATTTATTCAATATATGTCGTGTAAATTTGTACCTTACTATAAAAATATGTAAAAGCGCATAATTATGTAAATAGTCGATATTCAGTTCGAGAGAGCTTTCCTACATTGAAAACAGAACTTTTGCAGCTCATATTTTCTTCCAATTTCGATGTATTCATTTTTCAGGTCTTTCAAAAATATCTTTTCAGATTTGTTTAAGGATACAAGTGCGCACCATGTTTTGCAATTAATATCTTTGCGGATATGCAATAAGTGTGAATAACGCTCGGACCGATAATTTAGTTTTGAAGATTTTTATATATTATAAATGGGAAAAAATCACTCTATCCTTATGTGCTGGATATGATAATATGCGTTAAGTTACTCCTGCGATCTATTTCTATTTGTAAGTACCAAAGAATGTCGGATTATTAAAAGGAAAAAGAGAAAAAAGAGAAAACGAAGAAAGAAAACAGGGATTGGCTTTATATATAGGGAGTACCTATTTACTCCTCTCTTACGTTTTACGCATGTCTGTGATATTTTAAAGAGCGATAGTTTTATTTAGTTTTTTATTACATCACTTTTATGTGTATGTGTATATATATATATGTGTGTGTGTGTGTGTGTGTGTATACATATACACACATCATATATACATCACCGTGTTGCAAGCGATACTTGGACTCTCGAGAGCTTGCTGAAGTATACGTAGCTTCTGTATAATGTACGTTATTGCATAATTTCTGATTGAAACGAAAAACAGGACAAGAACTGTGTAACACACGTACATTAAACTCTTATTTGAAAATCTTTCGTTTTCTTTCGTTATTTATACGTCCGTCACGTATCTAGCATGGAATTAATACGAGGCTGTTATCTGGTTTGCTCAATAGACTTGTATTTATTACCGCACTTATATATACAAACTGTGTTACAAAACTCTCGCAACGTTGTGAGAGAGAATACACGCGTTCACCTTTATTTCGTTTGTAGCTGTAAGTACAAAGTATACATCAGAATCGGACGTTTCTCCACAGCGCGAAACGACGTGTCGAACCGTAGCGCTCATTATCTATCTTACTTTATATTTCATCATGGACTTGTTGGTAAAAAATATTTACACAGTTCGCACATGAAGTTCCGCGATAAATACTCTTAAGTTAATCTCTTAATCATTGCTTATTAGATGCAGCAACGCTACATCGCTTCTCTTATCATTTCTGTAATACTGTCATTTGCATTCTCACGCTTTTCACTCATTTTACAAGTTATACCAGTAACAATTACAAATATGACTATCGCACTTTATGCAGTTCTGCTATTGCGATAGGTGTTGCTTTAATTTGTTTACAACATTCGTTTGCAAAATACAGTTGATTTGGATTTCTTCAGTTATCAAGCCATGTTTCTTAATAATCCTCTATTATGAAAAGCGAAGGCCGAATACCGAGGCAAGAATAAATATCAGATACGATAACAGTTATATAATATGTCCAAAAACGTAACAAATAAATATCAACTCGCTATCAAAGCATTTTACAACCTTTTTTCATACTCAAGAACTAATGATACCTTTGGTATCATCAGTAAACAATTCTCTTTTTTTTTGCGCATAATAATACCTAAATTCAATGAGTTTTATCGATGATAACAAATGAAACTTGATCAAATGATGTATATGCTAATTACTAAGACTATCTCTCGTTCGTATAATCACGAATAGAAATAGTCCTTGAACTACTTGGAATTTCTCGGTGGAATTACATCGTTGACACTGGAATGAAGACTACTTCGCTGGTTCAACGTCTCACACTGGTCATGAAGTTCCTCCAATTTCGATCGAAGAGCATCCAATTGTTCTTGCATCGGCGAGCAAAAGTCTTTGCTTCGCGCGAGAACATCGGTTGCGCTATTCAGTAATACTGAATTGATAGGAGACGGCGAGGGAATGTCTAGTGAAACCGAGGAGGTATTACTGCTATCACCATATCCTTCATCAATACTCTCGTCGGCTATTCTAGTTGCAGACTTCGAGTCCTGCAAATCCTGTCAAGTGACAATAGTGTTTCAATCATGTGAACACAAATTCCCATAATGTATGTTACATCGAAGCTAGAATTACCTTTTTCGACAGAACCTGTTTTAAACATTCTCGTAAGCAATGTTCCGTTTTGTTTCTCTAAAAGATGGAAAGGGAAAGTTTAAATCCAATGAAATTTTCAAATGTATTAAAATTAAAAGAATAGTAGATGCAATTATAACGATGCTTTATCAATTATTAGGAAACAAGATCTGCGATTTGTACATTTTTTACGTTAATTAGCATAAAATATATATCGATATTACCATATGACTGAGTTGACCACTCATCCGCTTGCCGTAAAATTTCTGTTCCAGACTCCGCATTTTGGCCTTCTCCTCTCTAAGTTTTCTAAGTAGAGCGCTGTTCGCCTTATACGACATGGTCTTCAAACGTTTGTTCTCATCCGTGAGATCTTGTATGGTATTCAATTTCTCTTCGGATTCCGCATTCTTTGTCTTCAGCAGCTTATACTGCGCGATCATCTTGCTCAGCTGTATCCTCAGATGAGAAATCGCGTCCTCTACTTGACTCTGCTCTCGCTTAGAATCTAACAGAGAAGTCTGCAGTATCTCGTTCTCAGAACGCAATTTTTGTATCTCAAATTGCGTCTTCCTCAACAAATCGGCCGTTTCGTTCTTCTCCGTCTCACATTTCTGCATGTTTTCTTCCATGGATGAGATCAGAATGCGCTGTTTACTAAGTGCATTCTCCATCGACATCTTGGCCGCTTCGTTGCCCAGAAATCGCTGCTCCAATGTTTTCAGTTCAGTTTTGGTATTTCGTAGCTCGTCCTCTGTCGCTTCTAGCATCATGGACACGTCTGCTAAATTGCTCGCTGGAGTAATGTCAAGTGTATTATGTGCCACGCTAACAGATTGGACATGCAATTGCAGATCCTTTATTGCACTCTGCATTTCACGCTTTTCTCTCTGATACTGTTGTGCAAGCTCAGTATAATCGGTATTGAGCTGTTTGTAGCTGGCATTTATTTCTGCTATTGCCTGTTGTCTTTGCTTCAGAATATTCTGGTATGTTTCTATCTCTACCTGTAGACTTTTCTTGCTAGCCAACAGGATGTGCACCTGTGATTGATACCATTTTGCAGAGGTTTCTGCAGTAGACAGACGATTTATGGTATCAGTTAGGGTATTCTGCAGCTTCTGCTTTTCCTGCTGCACTGTTTGCATCTCGACAAACAGTTCTGTTATCTTACCCTTTAGACCCTGATTTGAGGCAATTCTGGCGTTAAGATCAATCCGTACATTTTCTAGATCAACACGTAACCGTTCGTTCTCCAGCTCCAGCAAAGCAACTCGTTTAGACAGTTCGATGTTTGAGACATCAGGTGTGGATAGGTGTCGCAAATGAAATTCGTCGCTGATCAATTGAAGAGAATCTGTGGAAGTTACAGAGTCTAGCTCTCCTCGGAATGAATCTGACAGATTGTCCATTGTGGATCTTGCAGCTTCTATATTCAGTTATGCGAAATCAACCATCCTACAATGCATCAAATTAAGATAACGATTGTAACAATTTAGATTTAAAGACAGCAAATTTCTTTGGAAAGCGATTTTTTAGGAATAATAAAGAATTAATCGCAAATATAATCAATATTGATATCAACAATTTCGCTGTTGACAGATGTCAATAGTATATCCTACGTCATCTTATCGTAAATATAAGGTGATACGAAACATACCTCTTCAATAATTTTGCTTTCTTTAATTAATTATAAAAATAGCTTGCAAACTAGTTCATTATTTAGCGACGTTGGGAACTGACAAGTGCTTATGATTAGCAACAATTAATCCTTTAAATATTATCGTCATAGCGTGACGCCATTTTGAATGTGTCTCTAGTTGCACCTTGAAGCCTCTTGCACAATGCCAGGAAACAGGCAAAAGAATAAAAATAGACCAATCACAATAGATTATTCTTGTAATAGTCGATTGTGATTGATCTATTTTTATTCTTATTGCTTGTTGTCTGGCATTGTGCAAGGGGCCTTACGTATGACACATTTTGTAAAATTCTGCTCGAATCTTTATTTTTTTAATAGTTTAGTAATAGTATAATTAATTGTCGAGTAAAAAAAACATTTCTTTTATAATATAACACAAAAGTTTATTTGAGTTGCTGCCCGGGGATTATATTGAAAGATAAAAGTCCGACTTGTTGTTATGTCTTAAGCCAGCAGTACCGCGATTCTGTAACTCGTTATTGGAGTTAACGACACTTTCGTTATCGTTGCGCAGCTTTTGTATACCGTAGAAAAGCTGCGCAACAATAACGAAACTGTCGTTAACTCCAATAACGAGTTACAGAATCGCGGTACAGCACACGGTGCTTATTTTCGTGCTGGATTGCTTGCTGGATGAAAATACTGCGTTCTGATTGGTGCATTTCCGAAGATGGATGGTTCACGCTTACTTCTTACTGCTTACGGCCATTGTAGACCACGCTAGCAACGCTTTAGCAACATTATTCTGTCCTTATTGTTTATAAAAAGATGAACGAAGATAGACTACACTGGCAATGAATATAGAGAAAATATAGAGAGAGTTTTCTAGGGACTTTACGTGATAACATCAATAATTGGCCGCGTTCAGTAGAACAAAGTGATCGCTTAGGCCCAGTTCCACAACTTGCTTTAAACGGAGTTTAAAGCTAAACCAATAGTTAAAAGCAATAGTATATGCGCATATACTATTGCTTTTAACCATTAGTTTAGCTTTAAACTCCATTTAAAGCAAGTTGTGGAACTGGGCCTTAGTGATTATTGTCTGTGATTGGAGCATTCTTTTAGATTCTTCATAGACCCAGAAATATTTACCAATCAGGAGCGAGATTCAGTGGTAAATCTAGTAATGTTGTCCAACTGTTGAGTCTGCTGAACGCGACCATTCTCATCGTACGAAAAAGTTCGTCTGAATCCAACTTTTGGATACGATAAATCATGTCGTATTATATTAAGTGTACAACTTTGCTTCCCCCGTTTTCCTATAGATGGCTTTAGCGGTAAGTAGTGGTCGACAGAGAGTCGAAATAAATAGATCATAGGGTGTATTCAGTACTACAACCGCTCACTGAGCGCTAAATGAGCTCTTGCATCTGATTGGTGTATATTTTTAAATCTAAAGGTATGGGTACTGAATGTACCCATAGACGTCATGCAATAAACTTGGGCATCTGTCAACATAACCCCATAGAAACATTAGTCAATTTGTGTCTGCATCGTAAAGTTATTCTCGATTGAAAATGTCAGTTTACGAACCAAATTCTCGTCAATTGCGGGAGTTTTAATTTTCTGCTTCAATATGAAGAAATCTGCGGCTGAGGCTCATCGAATGCTCTCAAATACTTATGGTGAGGCCGCTATTAGTGAAAGAACGTGTCGTGAGTGGTTTCAACGCTTCAAGAACGGTGATTTTCACGTCGAAGACTGGCATAGCGGTGGAAGAGAGAAGGTTTCCGAAGATGCAGAATTGGAGGGATTACTTAATGAAGATTCGTGTCAAAGTCAAGAAGAATTGGCACGATCATTGGGAGTGACTCAACAAGCAATTTCAGAACGCCTCAAAGACATGGGAATGATTCAGAAGCAAGGAAATTGGGTGCTGTACGAGTTGAAACCGAGAGATGTTGAACGGCGTTTGTTTGGTTGTGAACAGTTGCTTGAAAGGCAAAGATGGAAGGGATTTCTGCATCGCATTGTGACTGGGGGCGAAAAATAGGTTCATTACGATAACCCCAAGCGCAGAAAATTATGGGCATATCTCGGCCATGCTTCCATGTCGACGGCCAAACCGAATGTTCACAGCTCCAAGGTCATGCTCTGTATTTGGTGGGACCAGCTCGGCGTAGTGTATTATAAGCTGTTAAAACCGACTGAAACAATCACAGGCGATCATTATCGAACGCAATTAATGCGTTTGAGCCGAGCATTGAAAGACAAACGGCTGCATTACAACGAGAGACACGATAAAGTGATTTTGCAGCATGACAATGCTCGACCCCATGTTGCGAAAGTGGTCAAGACATTCTTGGAAACGTTGAAATGGGAAGTCCTACCCCACCCGCCGTATTCTCCAGACGTTGCTCCCTCTGACTATCACTTGTTTCGATCAATGGCACACGGCCTGGTTGACCAGCACTTCCGGTCTTATGAAGAAGTAAGAAATTGGATCGATTCGTGGATCGCTTCAAAAGATGACCAGTTTTTTCAACGCGGGATTCGTACGCTGCCCGAAAGATGGGAGAAAGTAGTGGCCAGCGATGGACAATACTTTGAATCATAAATGTATAACCAGCTTTTTACAATAAAGCCTCGAATTTCGGAAAAAAAACGGCGGGAGCAAAGTTGCACACCTAATATAAAAAATAGTATAGACATAATGGATATAACGGATGATATAGTAAATAAAGATATATTGTTGCTATCATGGGAAAACCTACTATGTGCATGTTTTAGTTAATTGAAGTTATTTATATTATGATCTAGAATTCAATTCTATATATGATCGCATAAATATCTTCAATTAACCGTACATAAGAGATTTTTTTCATGACAGTGACGAAATATACATATTTTTTAATATTATGCAAAAGATATAAAATATAATTTTAACATAATTTTAGTTTAAAATTATGCATTTTAAACTTATAATATATAATATATAAAGATAATTATTTAGATTAGATTATGTTTAATGTTTGTTTTATTTTATTTATATATTATTAAATAATTTACATATTAGTAAATAATCAAATTATATATAAGCATGTTATGTTTTTATTATAGCTTTGCGCAGACTGTGGCAATATAGTATCTGAATTTCATATCTGCATAGAAAAGAATGATAATGATATACTTCATACAACAGTTGAAAACATTGAGGAGCTTATTAATGAAGTTTTCATACGGCCAGTGCTATGGGATAGTACATTACCATATATACAACATGGATCATCAATAATAAAATATCACTGGTTAGAAATTGATAAAAAACTTAGTAAGTTTTTTAATGATTATTGTGTGTGTGTATGTGTGTGTGTGTGTGCGTACGTGTGCGCGCGCGCGCACGTGTGTATTTAGTCTTATGAAATTGAAGATTAAATATATAATGCTTTTCAGATTTATATCCTAGTATTGTAAACGCCAAGTGGCGTAATTTATGTGATACCTATGTTAGAAAATTTAATGAACAAAAAAAATATGTTCCAAGTGGAAGTGGAAGCTAAACCTACAGTAGATTCATGGCCATATTTTGAATTAATGGGATTTATCCGACCTACTGTGACACGTAGAAAGTTTGTTAATATTATACATATAGTATTATTCGAATTTTAATAGAAATATATTATATATATTGTAATATTAATTAATTTTCAGGACATTTAGTAATGTAAAACCACAGTCTTGTAATAGCAATATGAATTATGACAGACATGGAACAACCATCAACTTCTAAAAGCAGTTGCAGTGCCAACGGTAATAACATTTTTATAGAAAAACAAAGGATAACTCCAAGTTCTAATGGAATTTCGGAGAGTTCAGTACAAAAGTTATAACTACGAGTAACATAACTTAACACCAGTAATTTGTAATCATTCACAAAAACGAATGCATTTTAATTCAAATATGAATTTAGAAACATTCAGAAAAGCAAAAAACATGTATTTAAACAGCCCCAATAATAATTTATCCGTAAAGATTAATGCAAGTATGAGTAGTTTATTTAATAATATTTGGCAACATTTTATTTATATTCCAATATAACATATGTTTATGTGTATATATATATATATATATATATATATATATATATATATATGTACAATAAGAGTATATTAAATAAAATTAGGATAGTTTATACTGTAATATTATTAACAAGCAAATATTTGGTGAAATTGGTTGCCTAAAATATGTTTCTTGCTTTTTAGGTTTGCTATTACAGACTTAACTAAGTTAAGCAGTATATCAAAATGTTCAGGCATCATTCTTATATAATTGTAATATCAAACTAAGTCTCCAAGACGTATTTTTTGTACTAAAGTTAATCCTTCACCTCTGGTTTCTCGTGCAAGAATACATTTTCTAACCCATGTTCTTTTATATTTTTTATTTAGTTTAACATTCTGATGTTTACATATTATCAATAATAACTTCAGTAATTTTTTTTCTTTCGCAACAGTGTTAACATATCTATTTTGCTACCAACAAATACAACTCTTTCACTGTTATATTGACTTCTACTGTTATATATGATCTGCTTTCTGTAGCTGCACTAATGCTAAACTAGTGCATACTAGTGCAAGGACGTCGGACGTCGTACGTCGGACATCGGACGCAGTGTGAATCCTCCATATAGGCCTTCTACAATAAGCTATTAGTCATAAGTTGTAACCAAATTGACCAACCACAGTCGATTATTTCAAAAATAATCGACTGTGGTTGGTCAATTTGGTTACAACTTATGACTAATAGTTTATTGTAGAAGGCCCATTAAAGAACAGCGATGAGAAATAGCTATCGAACGACCACACTAGAATCGAACACGTAGTATAACTCAACAATAAGTCAGACGGATCATTATTATCGAATAATACAACTCAATAATAAATCGGACGAAATTTCTTTTCCAAGTAACAATCTTTTTTTAGCTGGTTTTTATTTATTCTTTGTTTTTAAATATATAATTCACATATAAGAAATAAATAATGTTAAATAATAAACTTAATGTATTTCTTGTGAAATGATATTTTAAAAAACAATTTTGTGTATATGCTATAGTCAATAAGTTGAAGCTAAAAAAAGAAAAGTAAAGTGATTATATTATTAAAATTCTTTGTACATACATAGTGTTTGATATAATGTGATGGATCTAAAATAAACTCGTATGTCTGATAAGTGTCAGACATATTTTTATCTCAGAACCATTTTGTTTGACAGAATAGATGTTCTTCGTCAATTTTTCGCGATTATAACTAAAACGCAATAAAAAATCACAGAACACATTTGCTATAATATACTCAAGTTATAAATTATTACGGCGGACTGGCAGTTTCTTCCATAGATCTGCACAAACAAATTGAAATATATAGGAATTTTAGACTTTAGTTTATTTTGTAAGAAAATCACACGATTGAATCTCTATATAATTTACAGATTTAATACAACACATGTGTATCTTCTTTTTTTCGAATTCTAATGGAATTGAAATGTTCGATACGCATTTACTTACTTATCGAGATTATTTTTGCTAGGAATATCACTTGAAGAACTTTCTACAGCCAAGTCTAGGACAGTTTTTTGCGCTGTAAGATGATACAAATGTCTTTCAATGCGAAAACAAAACGATGAAATATTAAGACGTTAATCTTTCACGTTTGAACGAATATTATTTACCATGCGTATGCTGATACGATGCCGGCGACCAGCTGTAATTATGGAGACTAGGAACGTTGTCTGCTGTTACCGTCGCGCTTGCACATGAAGTCGAGGTACCTTCCTGTGTTAACGAGAGCGCAGTGGAACTTCCATTAGAGGTGCAGGCATTATTCTTCATATCGGATGAAGTATTTTTCCTATGAATTTAAAAATGAAATCGAATTTGAACATGCTACATAAAGCATTCTACTGGCGCTGATCCTTTGATCATTAGTTCTACATTTTTCCTAATAGATTTATCTCGGCTTTTACCTCGATTTTATGTTGCAGGTAGCAGCCGCATTTTTCTGCGTTCCTGAGAGTATTTGGATAGCTTCGAGTAAATGATCTAACTCAAATGTCTTGCTGTTCTCGTCATTTATTAAATTCAAACTAGCAGACGAGCACGGAGACGATTGGCGCCGAGACAGCAGGTGCTTCGACATGACTTTATTGCTGTCTAAAAGTACTGAAACGATATTTTATTTCTTTATTCTTTCATGTGGATGGAATGCTTCTTAACTATAAATTAAGAAAAAACTATATATATATATATATATACAGGGTGTTTCAGAACTTTGGGACACGGGCCCCGTAGGGATATAGAACTAAGTGAAAGGAACAAAAAAGTCCTCTGCCATAATGTGAAAATCGTCGCGCGGCGTCAAAGCGCCAAAACGCCATCGTGATAGTCAGTGCGAGACGCGTTATCGCTCAGCCTCTACGCATACAGCTTGTCGCGGAGCGTCTATAGGCCGCGATGGGCGTGGAAAACGCCAAACTTTACGCGGTTATTACTAAAAAACTATTACGATTTTCACATTATGGTACAGGACTTTTTTGTTCCTCTCACTTAGCTCTATGTCCCTACGGAGCCCGTGTCCCAAAGTTCTGAGACACCCTGTATATATAAGAATTATCTTAGAATCTATAGAACAAATTGAACCATTTTTCTTCAACAATTTATTTAGCGGTAAGTTTGCCTGTATTTTCTTGAAGTTTATTTTGTTCTCGTTGGCATATGTAGTTTGATTGTGCGATTTCACTCACCGTTTGGTGCTATTAGATCTGATAACCTAGATGACTCCACATCGTGGTTCGTTTTATTAACTACTGGCAGTTTCGGCAAGTCTTTTTCGCAGTCTATCGAATTGGAACGCGTTGCTGGCTCAGACCGGGTCGTGTGATTACTGGAAGGCGTCAACGCAGCCAGCCTCGATTGGCAAGTATTTGGCAGTTGATTCAAGAGTCGAGTCAATTCGGTCACTCGTTGCCGGGAATGATGAAAGGTGCAATTCGGGTGTCTGTCGACACCACTTGGCTCGTTACACGTGTCAGGCTCATGATGTTTATGCGGGTATGCCGTGGTGGTAGGTACCACGTCGTTGCAGTCAAACGGACTGGAATTGTGACGCCGTAAACATGCGAGTGAGCTCCGTGAATCGCAGTTCTCATCCGCTTGCTGCCCGAGACACAGAGTCCATGAAGAGTTCATGTTTTGCATCTCGAATAAGTTTAGCAACATTATCTCCCTGAGCCTAATAGATATACGGTTATAAAAATGTATCTATTTTTACTCTTTTGCTTTTGTTAAAATAACTATAGTAAACGCACCTGTGTGTATCGGGGACAGAATCTCTGTTTTGTTGTTTCATCCGTTGCTTGTTTTGAGCCCAAGGTGTCAGGGATTCCGCAACTTCTACATCGTTTTCTCCTAAAATGATACACATTTCAATCACAGAAACATCTTAGGAATTATATAGAAGATAACAATTATTTTTATTGTAAATTCCAGTCGTTTTCTATTAATTAAGACGTTATATTGATAATAAAAGTACTCATAGTTGAAAAACTTGACAAGTCTTTTTACATAATAATTACATCAAGAGAAAAAACAATCTCTTTAATAAAAAATTTTGAATATGCTAAAATAGTCATAAGTAAAATAGCTGTACTACAATAAAACAATTGTGACAGATACCAATTTTGATACGATTTACATATTCAAGCCAATTAGATGAAAATAGTTCAATAATACCGATAATTTAGATATGCTTGTTAATTATACAGTCAGGGATATTTTTGGCAGTTTAAAATATTATACAAGAATTCACGTTTTTCACTTTCCGTTTTCCGAGAGTTAAGCTTAATATGAATTTAGATACTAAGATGAGAAGAAATATGCATTTATGATTCTATGGAGACAATTCCAATTCTGTGGAACAATTGACAAAAAGTTTTCTTTCACTCATTCTTCATGTTGTCTTTGGTTCGTAGGTATTTCGCTTTCCACGTCTTTAAAGATTGCACCTGTTCGTATCTCTCGTTCGTTCCCGGACGATTCTCTGTTCGAACTAGGACCTAATTTTGCAATACATCATTTAATCTTCTAGATAAATGTCATTTCAGCCAATTCGTTCAAAAAATTAAATTCGTTATTTAATTTCCTAGACAAACGTTATTTATAATATTCAATAATTGTAGCTGTTTATAATTTCAAGTGACATCGAACCACAATTATTCCTGAAGTCGTCGTTAATTGAGTTTCCTTTTGATAATATAATTGCATATATTATAATCTATTGGTAATATACACATTCGCATTATACTAAGCGTAACATTGGCATACCTGACATCGTTTCGTCGTCCACGTCGTTCTCGTCATTCGTCAGATCCAAGAGTGTGACATTGGGTTCGTTGTGTTCGCACTCATCTGCATAGATGTCATGTTCGCTCAACTCCTATATGGGCACGAGAAGTTCTCTTGAAATTAAATGTCTAGATCGCAAGAAACTACTATACTCACGCCACTATCGCTGCTACTGCTGCTACTGTTAGACGAGAGATTGGTTGTTGGCGACAAGTAGAATGACGACGGTGAATGAACTCCACCAGCAGCCTGGCACTCGCCTGGCGACACGTCGTTGGTGCAACGCTGCGCACTTTCGTTGTCCGCGACGCTCAAACTGTTCAGCCGATGCTGCTTTATACTCGCCATTGATGACAACGCCGAAGCGCACAGTAGGGGGTCGCTGTTGCTGCTGCCATTATTGTTGGTTAGCAAAGCTAATGGTTGTTGATTCAGTACACTAGGAGATGAGTACGAAGATGAAGAAATTGGGTGAATTCCCGTGACTTGACATTCTCCGAGTGATACATCGTTGGCGCGACGCGAAGGACTCTCGACTTCGACGACATTCAAATTGTTAGCACGATGTGACTTCAGTGACGCTTTCGACGACAACGTCAATGTCGAGCCAAGAGGATGTATGCCCGAGATCTCACCCAATTCATACATTGGTGTTAACTGATCGCCCGGTAATGTCGTGCCGCTGTTACCGGGAAGCATACTCGGTATCGATCTATTGAAAACAGGAATGTTTTATTTCATTCGTAGGAGCCTATGAGGTTCAGTTAATTCGATTGAGTAATATATTACCTTGACATCCCACTCGCAGTGGCATACGTGTCGATGGTCCGTGTAACATTTGAACAGGATGTCACGTCGTCCTGCTGCTGTTGTATAGATAATGGTGATGTATTCGCAGTTGATCCACACATTGTATTACCGCTCGTAGCTCTAGTGGCTGCCACAGCATTACGAGAAATTTCTATCGCTAATCTCTGCAAGAAACGAAGGGGTATATTTACTTAAGAAACGAGATGATTTTATGATAATTTACCTCCTTTAATTCGTTAATTTGAGTAGCGTATTGATTTTGGACCGTCACTAATTGGCTGATACACCATTGTTGGTCTCTGCAGCGTTGATAAAATGTCGGCGGTCGTACTTGGAATCTGTTAACGTAACGTTAATGTTTTATATTAATTTAACATTAATGTTGCAATGATTTGACATTATAAATGTTTAATCCATAACTGTACATATTATATAACGTAATTAATAAAACGTTGAGGAAGTTAAGCTTGAATGTAGAAGATATGTGTAAAGACGTACCTCAATATAAGAGTATCCAATTCTGTATTTAAATAACCTTCTGTCGCAAGCAGATCTAGCCGAAAGAATCGGTTGTATCCCCAACATTCACCGATCTCAAAATCGGACGCGAATTCACGAACGATATTTTTACTCGTGTCACGGGAACCTTGGTGAATCATCTCGACTCTATATTCATACCTACAAAAATGTTACATTTCTTTTTTAAACACACGTCTTTCATTTCGCTTCAGATATATGTTTAGTAATATTCATTATAATTTATATCATAAAGATTACGTGATAAATTCACGTACTTCGAAGTCTCTGGTAATCCAGCACTGAGTTCTAGAAACACTGACAAGTAATTCCCACGTACTACTCCGTTGCCATCCGGGTATACCTTTAATCTCCAACATAGTCCATTTACGTGTAAGGGAGCAGAGTACACTGGATCAGCCTTCAGTTGAAGCTGAGTGAAATTTTGCATGGCGAACGTCGCACTATCGTAACCTGGTACAATCTCGCTGAAATGGAAAAACTCGTTGCATGATATTGAGCCAACATGTAATAATCATTTCTTCCAATCGTTGAGTATAATTCTATATACCTGTGGAAATCAGCAGGTACTGGAGCAGTAACGAAACTCGTCATCGGTTTCTTGCGAATTTGATATATTTTTCGAGACAATTCGGAGCTTTTGGTGATCAGTTCAGAGTGTGTGCTACTCTGCAACTGATACTCCACCTCTTGCAGTAGAGCTTCCAGCTGTTCAGTTTCCAGAGTCAACGAATTCTTCTGTCCCATTAAAGTCAATAGCTTGGCTTTCAACTGAGAATCTAAACGAGCTATCATTAGCTCTATCGCGTTTCTGATTTCTCTAACTCTCTCATCTTTTGCCGCTCTCACCGATTCAACATTTCTCTCCTGACAAGAGTTAAACATGATTAAATCATAATGATAATATATTGATAGGCATACTTTGATTACATGTTGAATCTTTTATTAAATTTATACTAAAAAGGAGATGCTACAATCTGCAAAAATGATTTCCAAACGAGTCATATCTCGTTCGATAGCTTGTTGATATGTAGAGAATGAAGACCTTAAAGTGATTCGGGTGAATAGACCTTCGTTTAAGAAAAATGCAGAGCAAAGTTAGACTGACGGAACTGCGTCGTTCAAGAGTAGAAAATGTATAGACACAAGTACCAAGGCGGTGTAGTTGGGAGAACTAAGGCTCCTGTCCGGTGCTTTTTGCCGTCGACGACGATTTTTTATGTTATTGTTTCTTACTTTGCACATGTATGTGTGTGTGTGTAATTAATGTTTTTAACTTATAATTAATATATTATATTTGTTCCATTTTTATGCAGATAAATAGGCCAAGGCCTAATTATTTACATAAAAGTTTTTATTATTGATTCCTGAAGAGGATAAAAGAACATTCACACATACAACGAGATCTTCCGCGATGACAATAATGACAATAATGACCAACATGTGACTTGCAAATTATACCACTGAAATGTATCAATGTGCCAGCTTTGTGACAGAGATATTTACTTTTATAGGCAGATTAGAATTATTAGAAAGAAAATTCAGAACAAGGATATGGGCAACAATGAAAATAACAAGCAAATGGAGAACAGAGACATTGAAAATCAGTGAAAGTATTAGACAAAGAGATTCCTTAAGCCCGTTTCTGTTCAACGTAATCATGAACAGAATAATAGATGCAGTCAAGCAGCATGAAGGGTACCGCATAAACGGAAAAAAATTAATATATTGTGTTACGCAGATGATGCTGTTTTAATAATTTGCATATAACGAAAACGATCCACAAAGGTTAGTACATCAATTTAATATCACTGTGACGTCCTACAATATGGAAATATCAACCAACAAAACAAAAAAACATGATAGCTAAAAATTCGATAACAAGTTAAAATTAAAGGGGAAGATCATAGAACAAGTCATGTCATTCAACCATCTAGATGTCGAAATAATAAGTTGCAAAAACCTAGAAGAGAAGGCAATAGCTCAAACAAGGCAACGAGAGTAGCGGGATGCCTGAGAGACACAGTTTAGAGGAATAAATAGATGATGTTGGAAAGTGAGAATTTACAAAACAATGGTACGGTCAATCCTCATATATGCCACTGAAACAAGAGTCGAAACGAAGAGAACTAAACAGAAAAAAAGAGCAGCAGAGATGAAAATCTTAAAGTCAATAACGGATATATCACTAAGAGATGGACAAACCAGCAAGAATATAAGGGGGGAAATACGAAATACAGGACGTAATTAAATGGTCCAAGATAAGAAAAAAGCAATGGAATGAGCATGCGAGTCGAATGGAAGAAAATGAACTCTCTCTAATGAAGCTCTAATTTGTAAAAACAGACGATCCAGAACGACCATTAGATGATGACTCACTCAAAAGATGAGCTCAGAGCTAGTTCTCATTATCTTTAGAATAAACCAGACCAGGAAAACCTAGTCAGGAAGAAAAAAAATTCAGAACTGTATAGATTTATTTACAAGTGATAAAAATATATGTTTGAGCACTCAAGCTGATGCGATTCACATACAATCGTTCATTCACTACTTATTATCACCACCAGGATTCAAATGTATGCTGCAATGTGCTTAGCATGCGTCCAAATTAACAGAAAGTCGACATTTTTTATAACATTAATCAACAATGCTTTCCAAGCAACGTCCCTAATCAAAAGTGCGTTTGTGAACAACACAATTCTTTTATCACATATATTTGGCACAAAAAATATTTGTTTCCAATGTTTTTATACAGCTTTTCATTCTCAACATTGCGACATGTATACAATTTTGTAATATGTAAGAAAAATATATTCCACTTTAAGAACCGCAAGTTATGTTTCTATTTTATATTTTACATTAAAAAAGCCTAGAACTTACTACTTGTCTGTTGATAAGTAGGCCTTGATAAGTGGCCTACGTATCTGCATAAAAATGGAATATAAATAATATATTAATTGTAAATTAAAGTCATTAACTTCATGTACAAAGTGAGAAAAAAAACATGAAAAATCATCGGTAGGACCCGAATGCTCACTGCCGGTGCGTAAAGTGCCTGACAGGAGCCTTAGTCCTCTCAGCTATGCTGCCTCGGTGTTTGTGTCTGTATACTTTCTGTTCTTAAATGATACAGCTCTGTCAGCCTACAATACTTCAAAATTTCTCCTAAACGAAGGCCCATTCACCCAAATCCCTTTATGGTCTTTCTCCTCTACATAAAAACTCGAGCAAGATAACGTTTCGAGATTAATTTTTCCAGATAGCATGTCCACATAATGGAACCTACCACTTCTTGAACGAGACTTATTAGCTCCGAGAGTCGTCTATTTAATTGACCCACTTCTGTTTTTATCTGAGTAACATGTTGCTGGTAAACATCATCCAATGGTTTGAAAGTATGTCCTGAATGAGTACCACCCCATAAAGCACACTGATGGCAGATACACTTGTGACAAGTCCAACAGTATACAGATAACTTTTCATGATGCACCGTACACCTGTAGTAAGAATAAATATGATAAAATCTGTATATCACAAATACATATTTAAAAATTTAGATGTACGAAGATGGTAGAAATGCAAAAAGAAGATTGTACATTATACAGACCTGTCTCTGTTGGAATCATCATGGCGAGAATTGGATAAGCCAACAGCTTGCAATGTATCTAACTGTTGCGTCACTTCCTCAACCCAACGACAATTTACTAATTCATGCAAGTGAAGCGAAGCTCGGCAGTGAGGACACTGAGAACGCTGTTCTGTTAACCATCTCCTAATGCATGTGTAGCAGCATAATTTGCTGCAGTGTGGACAAAGATGTGCATCTCTCAGCTTTTCCATACAAATAAAACATCGAAAAACTTCCGCCAGTGTCTGTATTCAAAATAATCAGTCAATTATATCTAGTTTTATGTTATGAACCCTATTACAGAAATGTTTGAATGCATCAGCCTCGGTTGGATCGTTTGCATCTTCCAAATACAACAAATGCAGCTGAAACAAATTAACGTGAATAGAGAAAATTGCTAACCTCGACACTATGATCATCCGCGGTTTTGGAGACAGACGAATCCCGGCTGGCCATTTCTATTTGAAATATACGTTAAATAAAAGTAATGCTTCCGTTACTTCCGATGAATATCGATCTCTTCGGTATATATTCTTCAAAAAGCGTCCAGACGCACTCGTAACTAGATTACACGTGAGACAAGCGACACACTTCCTTTAATATGTTGCAAAAATGCGGTTTCGCTGTGAATGGAATGTCGTATTTCTCGCACGTAAAAGAAGGACATGTGTTGTACGAGAGAGCAGTCTCGCGAGTTCCGTTATCGTTGAAAATCTTTGCAAAAACCGTTACCAGCTCTTGCCAGTTCCTACATACTTCGTAAACAGTACTTCCAGTCAATAGCGCCCACCTTGGCACACTTAGTGCTGCTAAACCTTGAAAAGCAGAATCTAAAGGCCCATCCACAATGGCTGTAAGAATGAGGCCTGTGGTCTACAATGACTGCGTTCCGTTTCATGCATTATGCGCGCATTTTCTACAGTATACGTAATATGAACTATATATAAATGCGCACATATGCGTGAAACGGAACGCAGCCAATACGTGTCGTAAGTTGTAAGCCGTCTACAATAGAAGTTGTAGAGTCGTAAGTCGTAAAAATTGATCAATCATAGTTCGGTAAGAGAAAAATAATCGACCGCGATTGGTCAATTTGTACAACTTACGACTCTATGACTTCTATTGTAGCGAGGTATAAAGGCTCGTCTACATTAGCTGTAAGAGTAAGGCTGTAAGGTTGCAAGACACGAAATGAAATATTTTCATTCGCTGACAGCTTACGTTACAGCCTTACAGCCTTACTCTTACAACTAATGTAGACGAGCCTTAAGGCTAATATTACATTTATCGTAGGACAATCTTTTCGAATACGTTGATTGGTTAACAAACAGAATATTTCTAGGATTGCTTCGCGTACGTCAATCAATTGGCCGCGTTCAGTAGAACAATGTGATCAGAGAGCGTTTAGTGATTATTGTCTGTGATTGGAGCATTCTTTTAGATTCTTCATAGATCCAGAAATATTTACCAATCAGGAGCGAGATTCAGTGGTAAATCTAGTAATGTTGTCCAACTGTTGAGTCTGCTGAATGCGGCCATTGTATCCGAAAAGCTTGTCGTACGACACATGTAATATTAGGCTAAGAATTGGCGAATCACAGTCGATTATTACAAAAATAATCGGCTATAATTGGTCAGTTCTTACGGCTTACAGCTTACAATATCTATTGTAGACCAGACCTGAATCCTCCATTAGGGCTTTATTGATCTGTTCATTTTAGGAGAATGGCGTATGGGTACCTTCTACCTAAAGCCATATACCGAACTGAACTGGTCTGTTCATTTTAGCTGCACTATGGCAACTGCTGAACTAGTGCAATAAGTTATAATGAGACAAATATATTTTTTCTCGTTTTAACTTATTGCACCACTTCAGTAGTGCAGCTAAAGAGAACAGACCAATAGATTTCTGTTGACTGCGTTCCGATATTCATTGCCATATTGAAAATTTATAGTTTATGTCATGTATACTATAGATTTTCAGTGCTGGCGGTGAATATCGAAACGCAGCCATTGTAGACCTCCCTTAAAAAGCTTAGGGCTGAATTTCATTGTTACACAACGTTGATATTGTCCAATGCTGATTGGTTGTGTATGTATATAGCATGTTTAAAATCCATTTTTTATACTAGTCATGTGAACGACTCATAAATCAACGGCATTTTATAGGTGCGTTCCGTTTCACATATATGCGCACATTTTTTATAGTATACGTGACATAAACTATAGATAAATGCGTGCATAGCGTGAAACGGAACGCACCCTATTGGTCTGTTCTTTTCTTCTGCACCGCTGCACTGGTGCAATAAGTTAAAGTGAGACTAAAGCCAGCGGCACACGGTGCTTGTTTTCGTGCTGGATTGCTTGCTGGATGAAAATACTGCGTTCTGATTGGTGCATTTCCGAAGATGAATGGAAATGTACCAATCAGAACGCAGTATTTTCATCCAGCAAGCAATCCAGCACGAAAACAAGCACCGTGTGCCGCTGGCTTAATATATACTTGTCTCACTCGAACTTATTGCACTAGTGCAACGGTGCAGAGGAAAAGAACAGACTTTATGATACATGCGCGATTCTTATCCTTCCTCTCGTACGTCACGTTTTATTTTTGCGTTGTGAAATATAAAATAACGTGTTGTTTGTTATTCATGAAAGAACATACGTAAAACGAAATGGCATTGTTTCGTAGTTTGCCGACCAAAATCGGCGTGACATCGAAGTTCCTTTCGCGAAGCGTTCCAGTTGTTTCTTATCACGCAAAAGTAATTATGTTTGATCGCATGTTCATCATTGTTATCGATTTTAATCTCTAATCGAATCCTAACCTTGAGTTGAATCTTATATGATATTTTAACACTTATTATTATATTAAACACATCAATTTTTAATCGACAGTGTATATCTAGCATCAAACGTACAATTTAAACGTAATAAGCACTGAATGCAATTCGATTCTTAAATTTGTTGACCTTGAATACTGTGTGATTATATTTTTAACTTATTTTATCAGGTGCCAGATATCTGCTGTAAATACATTTTGTTTGTAGAAAAGAACTATTTTTGTGAAATTTCGATGTTTTGACAATTGCTACTTGATTGTTTATGTGTCGTAATATCGCGCAACTCATATTGATCAATACAGATTAATGTCACATCACGTGATATATTATTTCGGTGTTTTTGTTATGAAGAAAAAAAATTGTCATCTTAAATAAAATTTGGAGATATGTGTCTCAAATGTTTGGAATATGTGAGAATTAAAAGAACAATTTTAATTCTATAAATTTTGTGTGTACACATTATAATGCACAGTCGGCACGACAGATTTACTAAAATATCACATTGTACATAATTGATCTTTTTACAGGTAATAGATCATTATGAGAATCCCAGAAATGTTGGTTCATTGGACAAGAGTGATGAACAAGTTGGTACTGGCCTCGTGGGAGCACCAGCGTGTGGAGATGTAATGAAACTTCAGATCAAAGTTGATGAAAATGGCAAAATAATTGATGCTAAATTTAAAACTTTTGGCTGTGGTTCTGCTATTGCTTCAAGTTCTTTAGCTACAGAATGGGTTAAGGGAAAGACAGTAAGGCATCTCTTAAAATTGATAATTATATACAATCAACATCTCTTATATAACATTATTATTATCTCTAAGGAAAGTTTTGTTTATTAATAAAGATTTTTAATATTTTTATTGACACTATTGATTAGGTGGATGAGGCGCTGGCACTGAAGAATACTGATATTGCTAATGAACTTTGTCTCCCGCCAGTCAAGATGCACTGTTCAAGTAAGTATACATGATGCTAACTAGAGTATCCTTTTCATCAGATCTATGGATAAATATATTCTAAGATATAGATAAAAAATTCAACGAGATATCAAGCTAAGTTTAGTATTATGGTTTTATGATCTTAATGTGGCTTTGTAAATTTCAGTGCTTGCCGAGGATGCAATTAAGGCTGCTCTGTCAGATTATCGTATTAAACAGCAATCAAAGAAAAAGGAAGAGGCCTCCAACAGCATGACTTAAAATTGATGATTCAAATTATATGATAGTAACAAAACTAGATATGCTATCTAGCTTAAAAACATCTATTCTTTAAATTATCTATTCGTAAGGAATTATTATATAGTTGTAAAACTGGATGTAGCATAACTATGGAAATAACATTCCTTAGGCTACATATATACGCATTACCTTATGCTGTAAAAACGATAACTTACTAACAACATTACATAACTTGTACCTGCATTAGGTTATCTTGTCCAATGAAATATTTGTTTAACTGAATCTCAGGAGGAAATTCGTTATTTTAAATGCATAATCGTACCGCAATAATATAGAGCGGCTGGTCAACATCCATCCTTTCCTATTGCAGAGAAGTACATTGTTGAATGTCGTTTGTTAAAAGAGATTAGAGAAGCGTGGGCTGTGTTATTACGTCACGTAAGCAGCAATAGTGGCGACTACGGCGGCTGACGTACTTACGCAAGGAATGGAGTGCATTGACGCTGTCGCTATCAATGGAGAACACTTTAGAGCCACGGGAAGCCACGTGACGACCTGAGTAATTCGCAAAACACGCGCTTTGTAGACGCGTGTGTATCTTGTACGCCGCCGACTGTTCGCAACTGCGACGGTCTGTATCTACTTTATCCTCGTGTTTCTAGAATGTCCTCCGCGTTACATTTTCTTTTGCGTTGTGTGAGAACTTTGCTTTTTTGTCACATATACGGGATATTTGAGCGTGTCTGTGACGCACGTCAAACGTATTTCTTTTCGTAATGAAAATGCACCAGTTCCGTTCCACGAGCCAATTTATCTTGCCACAAAGTAATCAAGGACGTTTTTTCTTTACGTTTTTTATAATTTAAGTTACGATGATAAGCCGAAAGTCAAGTATCGCAGATTTGAATCAGTGTGACGACGTACTCGATCTAATCGCGAATAATACCCTGTGTATTTAATGATTCCGCAAGGCGATACAACAAGCTCGTGATTTTGCAATAGATAATCCGTCACGATAACAGCTGTCGATGCGGGAAAACCTATATTTATTGCAGATTATTTCTAGGAACAACGTAGTCGGTCTGACGTAAATGTTGCAAAAGAGTCTCCTCCGTAAGAGAACGCTCATTCGTACGGACTTCAAGGAATTTCAGGGGCAATCCTGGTTAATTAACTCCAGCCAACAATTATCTTGCTGACTCACGGTTGTAGATGTTAGAACAGGAACAGTTTCTTCTAATCTGTGTATATCGGAAGAAGGAGAGAGAATGCATTGCATTAAATTAAATGAATTTAATTAAATAAAAGATGAAACACTATATCCTCTCCACCACAAGTATGTTTATTCTCTCTTAGTTTAGTAAAATTTATTTATTAATTCAAAATTCTATTCTTTAACTGATGTCTGAGTCCCTATTGGACGTGCGGTCGGACCATCGCGCGTTGATCAGTGTCTGGGTTTCATTGTCTTATAATTGTCATCATAACACCAATTGGTGCTTAATAAGAACGAATTTATGATAACTGGTACGTTGTCGAGCGTGCCATGTACAATTGCGCATTTCCACTTGATTCACTAAGAGGAACGGTTAATTAGTTAAGTCATAGTATCCTCACACGAGAATGTATCTCTCTCGTCAACAGGCAATTCACCGTCATGGTATCATTCCTGTTTATCGGAGTCATGCTTATCGAAAGAGTTTGTAACGAACGTAGTCAACGAGAAGACATTTAATTTGATGTTAACTGAAAAATTCACGACGCAATTAAAAATATACACAAGACACTCATTGCATATAAAGAATGTTTATATATAATAGAAATATAACGCGTGTCTCTCTCTCTATCTCTCTCTCTCTCTTCCTTTCTCTTATTGCGAGCCAATATACTTACAAGTTTATTTTTTATAGATAAAAAATCGCCAAAATCGAATATGAAGCGCATCGAATGATACAATCAAGAGGATAATTAATTAAGGAATTAATCTGATATATTATCGATGGCCATCAACATTCAATGAGAATGATATGCTAATTATAACACGCAATCGGTGCGCACACATTTTCAATTATCGGCTATCTTCGAGAAGACTTTATCGTAACTTTGTAGATCTAGTACAGATACAAATTGTACGATACAGATTACTGTTTGGATATTTGTTGCGTACTACGGTCTCTCTTTAGCAAATATAACTCAATTCTTTGACAAACTGTACTCTTTCGTCAAACTGCACATTACAAATCTATTATCGTTTATCATTCAAATACTATCAAAATGTCGTCATTATACTTTTGCTACGTTATTTTTGATATACTGTGACGGAGAATATGTTAACTATATCTAATATCTAGCAAGTAACCCAAACGACACAAATGTTTAAAATATATAGGGAGTTTTTGCAATACCGTCTCTCAGATACGGTAAACTTAAATCGTGAACGTTATTCGCTCAGAAATAATGTCACAATGTCCGCGACCAATAACATTCACGATTTATGTTTACCGTATCTGAGAGACGGTATTGCAAAAACTCTTCTAAATCTTAGAAACAAGAGATATTTCAAACAGATAGAATATCTTTCAAATATTCTTTAAGATATTCTTTAAAGATATTTATGCTGTACGAGAAATATATCTACTTAAAAAGTAAATGTAATAAATCTTTATCTAACCAAAGATAGTTAAAATATCTAGAAACTAATGAATTGAAATAATTTAATGTTATGAGTAGTTTGATGCATTTTTCTTCATTATTTCGCTATGGGTTATCTACTTATAATATACGTACGAACCATGTGACTAAAGCACGATAACATTATCTCGATCATACGAAATGCAAAGTTCGGCGTACCGTGAACTTTCATATTCGAGCGACGGAAACTATATAGATATTGTCATGGAATAATACGGCGTTTCGAGAGGCGTACAAATATGCCGATTGCTCGAAATCAATAGATTAGTACAACTGCTCACGATTAATCATGAATACTTCCGTCGTATTTGCGAACCAACTTCGGATAAAAAAAAATAAATACGTTCATACGCATAAACTGTGAAACCTTATTAAGAAGAGCAAAATCTTCCTTCGAAATTTGAGCATACTTTACAGCACGTCTCATTATTCTAATCTCTTTTCCTCTTCTTGGACTTACAGTATTTATCTTAACTATACGAAGCGAAATATCGTTGTATACCGATTGAGGAGGCAAACCGAGCTCTCGTGTTCCGTTTGTTTCCTCGTTTGTGAAGTAGGACAGTCGCCGCGATAAATATTAAATTCGCGGGCGTGACGGTGACAAGTGCTACGGTGTGCGAAATCCAACGCGTCTACTGCAAATTTTCCATTCCAGTCCGTTCTGTCCTCTCCTTTCTCTCCCACCACCTCCTCCTCATTTTTGCGGCCTGTGGACTTGGCAAGGTCAAGCAACGACGAAATCAGGTCCAGCTGTCAGAAACACACACGTGGTAGTCCGGAGATGAAGGTTACACGAGGTTCTTTTGGCACACGAATGTCTTCGTGGATGTTCACTTATTGTTGAAGAGATAAAATAGTATGATCGTTGTTTGTGTGTAACGATATCGAGGAACGTCAAGATAAAGATGATAATGTAAAAGAAAAAAGTAGGTTCTATTAACATTCAACGAAGGCAATCTCTTAATCTCTTGAAGAAAAAAAATAAAGAGAAATCGAGAAAGACGGCTTTTATTTTGTAGGTGAAGAGACTGTGTCACCTTCTTTAGGTTATCTCGAGTATTTTTTTCGAACGAAGCGTCAGCTATAATTCTTTCTATATGATTTTAAATCACTTTAGATTTTACAGCGTAATTCTCTCTCTTTCTCTCTGTCATGTCGTCACATTTTTCTTTGAAAGCACGCAGCGGATATCTTCGCATTTAAGTATTCAAAACATTAAGTTTCATAAATGCATATTTTGTTAGTGCGCTCGAAAACTCACGAAACTCTCTTTCTACGTTACCGAGCGTTATCTTTATCTTCTCTCTTTTATTTTTCTTGCTAAAAATACGACCTCCTGTTGTATCCATAATTAACGACATTTATCAACAGCTAATTATCGGTAAAATTAACGTTTTAACAAATTTTTAGCAAGAAAAATAAAAGAGAGGGAAGATAAAGATAGCACTCGATGGTGAAAAAAGAGTTTCGTCAGTTTCAGGCTAAAAAAGATATGCATTTATGAAAATTGACGTTTCGAATACTTTATATAGATACTGTTGTATATGATTATTGAAATATATAATGTTCATACCACGTATCATTGGTCGTTTATTGATAAACATTTTCACCAGATGCGATAAAAACAAATAAGCAAAGCAGTATTTTCATATATTTCATATAATCGCGAGGTATCGCTCATTGCAGATTCGTAACGAGATCTCGATACATTCCTCATCGATTTGTCCCTTTGACCCTCGAAACGGGAAAATTATTACATTCTGACCCGGAGTCGAGACGATTGCATCGTCAAGGGAGATAACGTGTGTCTCGCCCTCTTTGCTCGTGACATAGACGAGAGTATAAGAAAAGCCGACGGAAGGAGACAGTTACTCCTGCGAGAGAAAGAGAGGCGAAAGAGGGAAAAGACCGACAGGCTCGCTTGTCGAGCGCGCATTTGCAGAGTGGGGTGCGCCTATCGATAAGAGAGGGAGAGAGAGAGAGAGAGAAAACTCTAACCTCTTCTCGTTCGGGCGCAGGAGGAATTCGCACATTAATTTGTTCTATAGAGCTATCCGCTTTCTATACTTAAAATGAAACGCGTATAAACGAGACATCGGGTGAAAGGAGAATGGAAAGAAGACAATTACGAGAGAATGCGGAAAACGCGGGTAAAAAAGACCAAGATCAAGCTGTTTGATTGAGCGAATGAGAGAGAGAGAGAGAGAGAGAGAGAGAGAGAGAGAGAAAAGCAGAGACAGAAAGTACGGTGCAATAATGGCACGTAAAGGGGTAGGGAGGAACGATCGAGTGCTGCAGAGAGGGGATGGCGCTACGATACGGTGGATGAGAGAAAGAGAGACCTGACGCCCCTGTGTGACACACAGCTGATCAGTCGGTCTGCGACGTACGGACGTTCGTGAGTGTGTAGGCGGTGGCGGTGCGCGCGTTCACGCGGAATGATTGTGCTCTAACGACGGTGAGTCGAAGAAGTTCATGTGTGCGTACTGCTGTCGCTCCACGTTCTCTATGCGCTTCGACGACGACGACGACGACGACGACGACGACGACGACGACGACGAGGACGAGGACGAGGACGAGGACGACGAAAACAACGACGGTGACAACGGCGAGCTTATCTGGCGAGGGTGGACGAACGAACGAGCGTTCAGGTCGATTGACAGACCGACGGGGTCTATGACTGGAAGGACAGCAGCGAAGAACGGAGGTCGAAGCCGAGGGGAACGAAGGTGGAGGTCCGACCAACGATTCAGGCTCACGACGAGTGTGGCCTACCTCCTCCTCCGGAGTCGATCTCGCTAGCATCGACGCGCATCCCGTCATCGTCGCGCGGCACATACGACCGTGAAATATAATCGGAGGCACGCGCGCGCACGCCCGTGCATACAAAGTGATAAGAAAAGCGTCCCAAAAGAGGTAGATATCCGAACGAATGAGAGGAAGCGCAGGAAGAACGGAAGTAAGGGAAGCGCGACGGCTGTTGCCCTTTTTCCCTCCTTCCTCCGTTCCTCTTTCTCTCCCGCGCGCGTCTCTCCGCGCCGCATCGCCTCATTTTTCATTTATCGTTTGCAGTTCTCTCTCTCTCTCTCTTCTTCTTCTTCTTCTTCTTCTCTCTCTCTCTCTCTCTCTCTCTCTCTCTCTCTCTCTCTCTCTCTCTCTCTCTCTCTCTTTGTCGTTACCTCTCGTTCGTTCGCGTTACATCTATATATGTGCATATTTATATATAGATATATATACACCCGTGGCGACGATCGGCCCCGACGTTTTTATCCGCCAGCCGTGTGCACGGCCCGCGTGTGTGGTGTGTATGGTTGTGCGCGCGTGAGCCGTGAATAAAGGTCGATGACGATGCAACGGGTTCAAGATCAGGACAATGGGATCAGCATCAAATTCGGTCCGGGTAAACCCCGGAAGGGCAACTACAGGCTGGTGTCGCAGAGCTCCGACAACAAAGGCGGCTTCAACGGGACCAATAAGTTAGGTGAGTGTGGCCGATGGTTATTTAAAACACGGGCCTGGAACAAGCGAATCGTTCACTTCCCCTCCCGCCGGTCCTTTCTAAGAAAGTCGAGAGAATCACAGCTTCCTCTTTTTTCTCTCTGGTGCTCGATTAACTTTAATCTTGGAGATAACATCACCGTCGTCAAATTTTTACTCTCGTCACTCATTGGGAAATGAATCACCGTTGTCTCTCATGTTCAGGATGCAACGAGAGTCAAGCGTAATGATTTCCTTTTGACTCTGGCATTCCAGCTGATGTTATTGATAATCTCGGTCACGGTTCAGGGACGTGTTATTTTTCTGTTTGGATTTGCATGTTTTTTTCACAATGCTTTTTTTTTTACAGACTTCAGTCTCGGTTAATAGCGAACTCTAACATTGTTTCTTCGGTTTTGTGTAAGATACGCATATCATGTCGTTAAATCACGTACATTAAGTAAGTGTTAGTAAAGGCGGTCTTTCAGTTCGAAATGTCGAAAAAGCAATGTAAAGCCGTGTACTATTCTACGTGAATCATACTCGTTCTCATGAATTGAAGATTTGATTATTAAACTTACGTATGTCATTTTCGTAAGTCATTAGGAAAGTTTTCACTCTTATAATTTTCGTGACTTTTATATAAATGTAGATTTTTCTTTACATACAGATTCGTGTTCTTTTGTCTCTTTCCATTTTTACATCGCTCTATCTTTCGTTCTTAATGATCGACCGTTATAGACGGGACTTTTATAAATAGAAGAGTCGAATGAAAAATTGGCATGCGAGCCAAGAGGTAAATTGAGTGAATGTAAAACTGACACACACAAAATCACAAAATACTTCGTATGATGCCAATGTTTGTCGCTACAATATCCTGCACATTAGTTCGTCTTCTTCGTTGATTTAATCACGATTATCAACAAGTGCATTATGTGTACGCTCGAGAAAATTTCTCATTATTGGCGATCTTCCTAAACGCTGAAATGCTTCGAGTAAACTCACGAAAAGCCATTAAGAGAAGGTCGCGATATATATCTAATAAATTTTTAGAAGAAATTTTTTCTCTTTGTTTTGTGAATACATACAGTGATATGTCAAGTTTTAATATTTCGAAGGTTTCTAGGGAGAGGGATCGAAGCGATCTTTTCTTCGCAGAGGCAAGAAGAAAATAATCTCGAAGAAATAGAAGTAGAAGATTCCGCTTGAAAGGAATTTGATTACGTTAATTAGATTTTAATCGATTCCTTTTGAAGCATCTATTATTCGAGCATTCACATAAAAGCAAGTCAGACGTTGCGTTGTAACGGATATGACTTCCGCGTGTGAGGTGGCCAGCATTGGCGTTACAATGTCGTCGATATCGATGAATGTTACTCTTTGTTCATGACGGGGGACATTGCAACAGTTTCCATTGTCCGCACACAAACAAAACATATCTGTTATTTTGCCCTTTCTCTTTCCAACGCGCGAACTAGCAACATGGTATTACTTTTTGTGCGTTCGTTACACACGATACCAGTGACTTCCCTTTAAAGAAATATTGTCAAATGAGTTTCAATTGTTTTCGCTTATAAGTCAACATACGAGGAAGCTAGAGGAAACTTGGCAACTCATTAGCATACCTATTTCCATTTCCTTATCGTCGGAACAGGTTTCCATAGAATACACATAGTTATTATCTGTTCGTTGTTTGGGTAATTGCTGTCGTTTGCTCAGCTTTCCCACGAATAGCTTGCATAGGATTATTAATATGCAAACTACTGCTATTTTCCCGTATTCCGTTTACAAATGAAACGGCTACCCGTGGAAAACCCGATAGAACCGAAAAGGACTCGCAAATTTTCACTTTCTTATGATATTCTATTTTTGTTATTTTCATAGCCAACGAATTTTTCAGCATAAATCACGAAACTTATATATAAAAAAAAAAATTATTCGTTCTTTGACATAAAATGTAAAATATTGCATAAAAAATTTGAAATACCTTCGTTTATATTTACAGAGAATGATGTGAAGGTAGAAGAAGAACAATTAGTCCCACCGGACGGCGGCTGGGGATGGCTGGTGCTTCTGGCCTCCGTTATGGTCAATCTCCTCATCCCTGGCACTGTCAAATCCTTCGGAGTGCTGTTCGTCGAATTCCTCGAGGTATTCGACGCGTCACCGGCGGCAGCTGCGTGGATACCGGCGCTTTGTTATTTCTTGTACAGCTCACTGGGTAAAGCTTCGGATTTTTTTTCTGAGATCTTCCTCCTCGGTGAATTCAGGATTGAGCGAGGATTTCTCTTCGTTTCAGGTCCACTCTCTAGTGTACTTTCGGTCAAATATTCCTACCGCACGGTGACTTTGATAGGAGGAACATTCGCCGCGGCGGGAATGATGCTGAGCTATTTCGCTAACTCTGTGGCCTTCTTATGCGTTAGGTAATTTAATTTTCTACCTTTTTTGAGATCGTGATTAGCGAGATCGTCGCAGGATATGCCTTCAGGAGGAATCAATATAGCAACATAAATAAAATTTTTTCCGTTCAGGGCATATAACTCGTATCCGTCGACGTACTCGTTCAAGCGTATCCCGGAATATTCATTGCGTAATTTGTTGCTATTACGCAACGGGTGCACGTGAATATTTCTTACGTAATTACCTGTCCGTTCCTAGTTATGGTGTACTGGTGGGCACGGGAGCAGGACTGGCGTTTCCTCCGACTGTATATATCGTGACGTCTTATTTTGTACGGCTACGAGGACTCGCCAATGGACTCTGCATATCCGGCAGTGCGCTAGGCTCGATATTTCTTCCGCCCGTTCTGGGTTTTCTTCTAAGAGAGTACGGTTACAGGTAAAGCTCTCATCATGGTTAAAGTACCAGTTAATCTCCAGTTAATCTTTAATCATTCTGATTGATCTGATAAAAATTCGTAAATTATCAGCTTACACTGTTGCGAAGTACGATACGACCAATTATCTTTCGTTTGTTCGCTTGCAGAGGCGCGGTATTGATTATGGGCGCTGTTACGTTGAATGTTTGGGCGAGCGCGCTCCTATACCATCCTGTGGAGTGGCATATGGTGCCAGTACGACCATTGGCCGACTATCAAGAGCCCGATAACGGGGAAACCGTGTCGGTAACAGTCACCAGCAGCCCCGAACAAGCCGAGAACGGTAACAATCAGCTGCTATCGTCCGATAAGACTAATGAGAAAGCCGCGCCGATCGTACCGAAGAGCGCGTCAAGCGTCGCCCTGGAGTATTACAAGAATACACCGGTGCAGGGTCGTACGAGGAAGATCAGTATGCCTACCGGACGTGAGATTAGCGGCCAGATGCACAGCACGCCGACGTTGCACACCGTGCCAGAACGCGGGAGTGTTGTCGACGCCAGCGGTAAATACTCCAAGGCGCGCTCGCCGCTACAATCGCCTAGCACGTCGTCCTTCAACTACGTTAGTACACCGTACCACGGCAGCACGCTGTCAGCGCTGCACCCAGAGCGTGCATCCACGCTGACGTTGAATGCAATCTCCAGCACATTCTCCCGAAAAACGACGACCGAACGTCGTAATGAGAACGATGACGAAGACCGCAACCAGAATAAGTTCTTCGACTTCAATCTACTCAAGGATCCCATCTACCTCGTCATCCTCATCTCCAACTCCACCAACGCCGTCAGCTACACCAACTTCGTTATCCTACTGCCAGCCTATGCCATCTCTCTGGGTTTCGATAAGAGTGCCGCGTCTTTGTTATTATCCATTGTCTCTATGTTAGATTTGGTGGGTCGTATTGGCGGTTCTGCCCTCTCTGATATCAAAATCATGCCCAAGCACTGGTACTTTGTGGGCGGTTTACTCGCCTCCGGTATTTCCTTGGCTATTCTGCCGACGTCGAACACGTACACCATGTTGTCCATCTACTGCGGCTTCTTTGGATTAGCATCCGGGATCTACGTCGGCATCACTGCGGTCATCATGGCTGACATGCTGGGCACTGAGAAGCTCACTTCGTCCTATGGTATTTCGCTGTTTGTTAACGGCGTCATTCAGCTAGTGGGACCGCCAATTTGCGGCCTAGTGTTCGAGCAGATCGGCAGTTACGGACCGATCTTCAGTATACTCGGCATTATTCTGGTGGTGGGTGCATCTCTGTGGGGTACTGTGCCGTTTATCCGCAAGAGGCAAGCCGTGTTGGAGAAGTCCGCCAGAATAGACAAAGTATAGTAGACCAAATAAACGAAGCACAGTATAGCCGTAACGAGTGACTGCTCGATACACTCGGCACTTGGCGCACATGAGCTTAAGCGCGTGGTGGCTTAGAGGTCGCCATGCCAATAGTGTGTATGTGTATGTATGTGCGTGTATGAGAGAGGGAAGAAGCAGTAAGATGCCCGAACATTAAACTGTGATGTTAACGTGAGTGTTATATGTACTGAATACGACACGGCGGAGTTTTCGGACTGAGCGGGTTACCGGCGAAGGGAGGCTTCGTCAACTCCGGAATGCCGATAATCATTCGGACATTCTATCCAGTAATTCCTCAGTCCTAAGACTTGTCACGCAAATCGTCTATGATTAGCGCGATCGACCGCGTTGAATCATTATTAACCATAGCAATTATACATTTATATCGCCAAACAAAATGGTAAATGTGACAAAATCTTATTACATCGAACACTCTTGTATCGATCTTGTTGTACCGATCGTCTTGAGTAATTCTACATATAACGATTGTATTTATGTAATTATGTTGATTGTATTCGAAGGAAGATTGAGGCTTTATTTCCTTTTACTTTTCTTCTAGGCTAGTACATACTTTTTTAGTTAATTGATTGGCGAGAATGACTCGTCGTGATTCTCTTATCACGTTCATCGGTGACTATTACGTATATAGAGTGGGATAATTCTATTATTTAAGATCCTTCTCTTTTTCTCGTGACATAAAACGAAACACTACATATGTATTTTTATAGCTTCACAAAAGGACTATAAGATAAATTAGAATAAATCGTTTCATTTTCACGCAAGGGCGATCTGTGATGTCGCAAAACGAAATCTAGTATTATTATATATACATGTGTACTATCGCTTTGTGTCAGGTTTTATTTTTCTATATGCTGTATTAACAGCAGTATCTTTTATATCTAATGGTCGTTCTACAATGGGGCTGCAAGAATAAGGCTGTATACGTAAGCAGTAAGAAATAGCTTAACCATAATCGATTATTATAAGAATATTATAAGAATAATCGACTATGGTTGATCTACTTCTTACTGCTTACGCTTATAGCCTTATTCTTGCACAATCATTGTAGAAGGGCTTTACGGTGTCTCCTGTATTAAAACAGGATTGAGACGTACATAACGATATGAAAATGAGAGATGCATTTAATGTAAGTCTATGTACTTAGAACGGTGAAAATATGAGAAGTACTTAACAAAGTAAAATTTTAAGATACGTGCCCCGATACTTAAAGTTCCTTCCGTGTATCTTTAAGACCGAATATCTTGGAAGATATTTATAGTCTTATTGTCCTTTGGAAAGCGTACGAAATATAAATGTAATGATTCATTTTATGTTACTAGAAACCGAGAAATTTTGGCTACCAAAGTTGGTCTGCGCTTTGTATCAGCAATACACACAACTACCGATTTCATCACATTTATCGCGACATATACGCTATTGAAGTCGACGTAGAAGATGCTCCAATGTATACATCCCCGTACGTCGCGAGGTGCATTGTAATGCGCTTTCAATAAGAGAGCGGATTATTTAGAGAAATCATTTTCGAGATAACTTTTTTAGACACTGAAGGATACGGAAGTTTCCTGCCTCAAAAACCGAAAGGAAAAGTAAAATCTCCTGCCTTATACTCTGGATGAAAGAAAGAAAATTATCCTCTCTGAAAGTAAAGTTTTTCCAACGGTACGAAAATCATATATTCTACTTTACTTTGAGTACTTAGCGAAAAATGAAACAGCAATGCCAGTTGTCTTGGGAAAAACAACTATGGCATAATTTAGCGCACCAATTTCGTCTCTAATAAATCTAGGATAAAGTAAATCGCCATATATTAAATATATATAGTTTCCTTTTTTTTTTGTTAAAGACTCGGTCGTACGTAAATACGATCGTGATGACGTAAAACGATCGAAAGTAGACCTCATCTGCCGGAAAACCGTAATTTTATTTGCCAAAATTTTATTTACCAAAAAAGGAAATATGCATCGCGCCTTTCGACAGAGGCTGTTCTTTTCTCGCAATCTGCACCAAGAATATTAAGTAAAAAGTAATCCACATGAAATGTAAGACTTGTAGTCATATGAAGGAAAAAAAGAAAATAATATATCTGACAAAATGTAGGCTTTAGCCGTTCTGGCGTTAACGCCGTTTTCCGGCGCTCGGAAGAGATTCGATCAATTCACTTGCCAATTGAGCTCTTTCGAAATCCGTCGGATATAATGCCTTACAAGTACATTGTAAGTAGCCTTTAAGTAATATATAGATATATATAATATATATTATATAATATATATTATGTTTATAACTCTATACAAATACGTAAAATAGAAAAAGGAAACTGCAGATGAGTTTTTTGATATTTTCCTATCAGCTTCTCACCAGTTAACTAACCTTATTAATTATTGGTTAAATAAATCTCTTTTTTCTCCTCTCTTTTATATATATATATATTATATTATTATATAATATATATATTTATATTGTAACGGTTATATATTTTACACTTACTTTCTTTGACTATAATTATAATCTAAGTAGTCATAGTTACTTCTCTTTTAAAATAGGTTCAGCAGCTGGTGGAGCATCTCTGAAATTGGGAAATTGTTCCCATGGTGCAGCTAGTTCAAATTTACGGAATTCTTGAGTTAACTCCAGTGGTTCGATCACTATTCTTTTATGTTCATCATCATATCGCACCTGTAATGAAAAAACAGTTGAGTGTTGGAGTAATTAGAATAACAGATGTATCATGTCTTATAGTCGTATTTCACAATAGCTAAAGAAATTAATTAAATGAAATAATCACCTCAACATAACCACTGAGTGGAAAATCTTTTCTGAGTGGATGACCTTCAAAGCCATAATCTGTCAAAATCCTACGAAGATCAGGATGATTCGAGAAAAACACACCAAACATGTCCCATACTTCTCGTTCATACCAATCAGCAGCCTTGAATAAATTGTAGATGGAATCGATGGGTGTCAATTCATCAGTATAAGTTTTCACTCTGATACGTGAATTATACCGCAATGATAGCAGGTTATAAACAATCTGTAATGTTATATTATATTATGTTAGATATACTTCAATTATATTTGAAATTCAACATTATTTCAATTTGTATCAAATATACATGCCTCAAATCTGAATTCTCTACTGGGTACATCTAATGCAGTAATATCTGACAGATTGACAAATTGTGTATTATGATGATTTTTCAAAAATGTTAATACAGGGGTAATGCCATCAGGAGCAATATGCAATTCCAATTCATCACCAGCAGTCAATTGTATTTGCTGTATATATTTTGGCAAACAATCACCAATATAACGGCCAAAGTTTATCAGATGTTCAACATCAACATGACTTGGTTTGCGTACTGTAGCTGCGATAATATTAAAGCAAAATAAAAATACTTCAATTATATATATCTCGAGTATATGTATATAGAAAAAGAAACTTTTTTCTAAGGAAACATAAAGCAAAAGTTAAAAATCTACTAGTGTTTTAAGTAAGCTATATCAGATGTGTAATGTTCATTTTTGAACATTACACATTTGTCAACCTGGTATTTCATAAAACTGGATGTCATAAAAAAAAATTATTATACGTACGACGAGACTCCGTTTCTTTAGTGTTTTCACTAATAGTGGTCGTGGTGGTATTCCATCGCATTGAGGAAACGACGGCATAACCTGTCGAGTAAATGTATATGTTATTATATAATTTGTTAGAAACGTTGTATGTGCAAGAAAAAATTCATTATACATTTTGGGACAGCGATCGGTAGATTTCGTGATAATTTCCAACAATTCCTTAATATCGACGTCATCTTTTGCAAAATATTCACTGTTAAAATATAATCACAAACACGTCAGACCATATTTTGGACTGCTGTCTGTTCCGTAGCAACACTATGTCCATCTAACTTTCACGTATGGTAACTGCTCATTTGCAAAACAGAAAATTTTTTTATCGACAAAAGCAATATCGTGCATTTACTAGATTGTAAAATAAAAAATTTTGCATCATATATTGTTAGATATAGGTTTTTACATTACATTTTATGTCAATAAACAAGTTATAACTTGCTTTAATATGATATACATTATATATCGCAATCAATATCTCAAAATAAAGATAGCTTCGCATTAATAAATTGGTTTATTACTCTATTAAGAATGGCAATGTACAAATCTTAGAAATATTCGATAACAAGTCACCGTTTTTGTCATTATCAGCTGGAATGGATAGTTTTAAAAATGCTATGCCGTTCTAGTGTTTGCAATTCCATAAGGATAGTGGCTATAGTATGCCTCAATTGATGAAACTTTGCCAAGGATAGTTCAAATGTTATACATTCTCCTGTATTGAAGATCCATTCTAAGATAATGTTTGGTTCTAACACTCTATTTAATATACTGCAATAAAAAATACATGCAGATATTGGTTTATATTACAATCATTAAACTATTTTGTAACAAGCATCTAGTTAAAGTTTAAGCTCTTACTTAGAGGAAATAGTAATATCCATACGCCATCTGCATGATATCAATTGTGGATTAAACTTTGTCCTCTGAATTAAACCTGATACCAAGTTTGACTGTTTTGGTCCATAAATGACAGAAGATAAGTCTTCTATACAATCTGGCGCCAATCTATGCAAATACAAAGGATTATATATATATACATAAGATATTGCAACTTATATAGGAAAGAATTTTATATAATTCTTATTAATATGTATAATTAAAGATATATTCAAATAAAATAAGATTTAAATATATATTCATATTACATAGAAAAAGATATAAATAAAATAAAACAGCCAACATACACTTACTTTAATTCTTCCAAACACTGTTTAAACTCTGTAGGTTTAATAGTATGGCACTGCAAACGAAGATATGTTTTCAAAATTGCAAGAATAGCAGCATAATATTCATCTACATGATCTTCAGGTATATTATATTTCTTGCTTATCCGGTCCAATACACCTTCTTCTATGTGTTCTAGCTCTATAGCTTTTACTGCAACTGCAATTTTTGAGATCATTAATATACATAAACTGTGTTTAATGAAATATATATTTGTATTTAATTAAACTCATATCTAAGAAAATCAGTCTGTTAAACTCACGTTGTATTAATGGACGAGCAAATGTTTTTTTTAATTCCATTAAATATTTTGTCTTGTTTCCTAAAACACTCAAAATCTGCGTTTGAAACAAAGTTGCCATTTCTATTTTGACATTCAAGTAAATTAATAGGTATAAATTGATTTCAATCAAACTTAACCCTAATATAAATCAACTAAATACAATCCTTAATAAAGATGGGCGATGTAATTTAGCATTTGATCCACTTTTTTCAAAAATTTCATTATCTCGATATTCTTAAGGTTCTTAGGTAAATTTTTATTTTTCGTCAGCAGATAAAGACAAAGATTTATACACCCACTATTCAGTCGTATATATTGAAACTTAAAACTTTGGCTATCTTATCATCGAGTTGTACTACTTGGAAATATAAGTTCGTTCTGATAAATTTTTCACAATGCCGCTAGATGGTGCTAGGTAGATGATCATCGCGCTTGAACGAGCTAGTAACGTACTAAAAATGCTGCGTTCTGTGTGGTGCATCTCTAGTTGTTCATTAGCTCACATACGATTTAAAATTACTTTTTTGAAAACACCATCGACGACAGCGCGCTCTAGTCGGTGAGACGGATTTTTGTACCCTTGAACTAGCATTTTTTACTACACGGCTGATCTCCTTCTCGGGGTACTCACACATACGTCATGTGTACGACTTTACATAGGTATATGTGTGTGTGTAATATGTGTATACACAGCGTTTTCTACTAGGCGATAAACGTCTTTCGCGTAATCGGGAGCACAGAGTCGATTAAGTTCTTCGTTCCGTAACAAAACCCACAAAAACTCGGCCGCTTTTCGCGCATCGTTTAACTTTCGTTCCACGTGCACGCGACGGATATACATATATGTACATACGCTCGAATAGATCGTATATATATGTACATATATTTTTACAAGCTTAGACTTGGGATCGCGAAATGCTTTTACCCGCGATTGATTAACGTCACTGTCTACTTGTGCTCAGAGGCCGAATGTTGATTCGACGTTGCCTCGCGCACAGGTAAGAGCGAAGGAAGTAGAGCTGAAAAAAGTGGAGGATTAGAAATTTGTTAGCGAAGTGTTAGTGTGATTAGTGCGAAGGGGAATGCTGCCGCAATAGCCGCTGTGCTTTAACGCTCCAAAATGATCTTCGACTTTGTGTGGGCCGTCTTCACACATTCGGAATTATGAGAAGGAGCTTGAACATATTTCGTCCAAAATCTCAGTGCCGTTTTGAAGAAGGAACGATTGTAAGAGTCATACGTACACCTGACATGGTTCATCGAATCCTGCATATAAGGTTTTACAGAAAGCACAAATAAAACGTATGGATCGTATCATGAATGTAAGTACATATCTAGTCAATAATTCTCTTCATGTCATTATTAAGCAACTTATTTTTACCATAGTTGTATAATATATAAACATGTATAATATTTTTTGTATGCCTCGCAATAAATGACTGCATGTTGAAGATACAATATTATTCTTGCAATATTTACGTTTGCTGTCATTTTAATTAATTCTTTTATATTTTCCACAACTTGTAGTAATTGTATGCAAATATGGTTTTAATATACTAGTTTTAGAGAAAATACAGAATTAAGTTGTGATAGCAATTATTCGCTGTCCTGTTTTTTTTTTTATATAAACTTTTCAGAATATTTCATTTTATATTATTCTGGTACACAGTAGATGGCAATTTGATTATGTAACTCATGTTCATGGATTATTGACCTGAAATCTTGGTAAACTTTTTTGATGACGTCGTTGGAGTGTAATTATATTTCTCTCTATTTATTTTTGGCTTTAAATGTTAAATAATGTAACATTACCTTGACTGACAAGAATGTTTCCTCTTTAGCTGTACTTTCTTGTATCTAATACATGAAATATACAATTCATATTCTGAAAGAAAAAGAAAAGCATATAAAAAACTTTGGAAAATGCAGCTAAAAAGTATAATGTTGTATGATGTTGATGGTATATGTTTTAACATATATAATTTTTTTACTTAAAAAAACCTTTTTTTAGAATATAATTTATATATAAATAAAAAGTAAATGTGCTTTTAAAAACTTCTTTTTGAAAACTTACTAATGATTGACAGCATTTATAGTTTATTTTGTTTTAATAACAGTGTGTTGTGTGGATATCTTTATAAATATTCTATTGAGATGTATGAGCTTATAAAACTACTGTGTGCTGTTTTATTGATTTTAAATTAATCATTGAACTTTATAAATATTTGCACAAAATTTAATGATTATTTTAACTCTTAGATATTATAATTCCAGTATAGTATACTCTGAATTTTATTATTATTATTATATTTATTCCATTTTGCATTCTCTTACATGTGCTTGTAAAACAAAGATAAATTGTAATCATATATATTATCCTGTATATTTAATTTATCAAATTAAAATGCATTGAATAATTGTTTTCTATTTTATTCTTAATACAGGTGGTCAGCATAGCAGAGAGGTGGTGTCGAGAAGGTGGTTGACACGCCTTCGTATATTTGAAATGATTGAAAGTGTATCACGCAGAGCGTTGAGTGGCTCCAGTGGGAGCTACCACGTTCGTGGCGCCGAATTAGCGAGAAATCGCAGATTAAAGTCTTTATCAGCTACTGTTACTTTTCTAGATGACACACAGCATACATTTCAATTAGATGTAAGTCTATAGAATGCTTTTTTATGTATTTAATAATTATATTTGAAAAAATATATTTATATTACAGAAACGAGCAAAAGGACAAGTTCTACTGGACTTGGTATTCCAACATTTAGAACTTATTGAAAAGGATTATTTTGGCTTACAGTATGCTGAAAATGGAGTTAGCACAACTATTCCTACATCTGATATGATGGTAACATTTCTTAAGCAGTTGTGAAATATTAATAACATTCAACATAATTTAAAAAATGTTTTTTAAAGGTAACAATACATTTATTAATCTTTACTATGGTAATTTTCAGAGATGGCTAGATCCGTCTAAATCTGTAAAAAAGCAATTAAGAAGTAAGGGTAAAGATCGTATTTACTTAAAAAAGAAAACAAAACTATTTATATTATATAAAAAATAAACTTATAATAGTTAAATTTATAATTATATGCATATAAATATGCAATAACCTTTATTTGTTTCAGGTGGACATTTCTTTTTCAGAGTAAAGTTTTATGTATCTGACCCTAGTAAGCTACAAGAGGAATATACCAGATATCAATTTTATTTGCAAATACGAAGAGATATTCTTCAAGGGAAACTTCAATTGCCACCTAGTACAGCTTGTTTAATCGCAAGTTATACCGTTCAATGTAAGTTCTAAGTAAAAATAATTTATTAATTATTCGTACATATGGGATACATATAAGATATCGTTTGATACATGAATTATATATCTCTCTTATTTAATATATATGATATATTAGCTGAATTAGGAGATTATCATCCAGAGGAACATGGACCAGGATATCTTTCACAGTTGCAGTTGATACCTGGGCAAACTGAAGAAATGGAGAAAAAGATATCGGAATTACACAAATTGCACAAGTTTGTACATTTTATTATCTACGCGAAATTTATTCGTTTTTAAATCTTGTCTGTAACATCAATAAAAATATATTTTTTCCCTTAGAGGACAGTTACCAGCTGATGCAGAATTTAACTTCTTAGATCATGCTAAACGTTTAGACATGTATGGAGTGGAGTTACACAAAGCTAGGGTACATTATGTGAAATAAAAAATTTTTTCTTAAATTAAAGACTGCGATATAAACGGGTATTTGTTTCTTTTTTTAGGACTCGACAAACAAAGAAATACAGTTGGGTGTTACATCAATTGGTTTGGTTGTATTTCAAAATGGCATAAAAATTAATGTATTTTCGTGGTCAAAAATTGTTAAAATCTCCTTTAAAAGGAAACAATTTTTTATACAGCTTCGACGAGAACAGGTAAGTTCGATTATTTGTTGGCCACGAGTTTAATACACGACTTTTATTAATTTTAGGATATACAAATTAACATGTTTATTATTGTAGTCCGAAAATTACGACACGCTGCTGGGTTTCAACATGCAAACTTATCGCAGTTCAAAAAATTTATGGAAAGCCTGCGTCGAACATCATACATTTTTTAGGCTTCACAGTCCAAAAATGCGACCGAAACGGTTTCCTCTCACTTTAAGCAGTAGATTTACATACTCGGGACGAACGGAATATCAAACAGTCGAAGATGGAAAGCATAGAGCACGCGTGGAAAGAACATTTATACGGTAATTAACAACAGCCAAGCATTATCAAAAATATAGATTTTATTATGTTATTTATATTTATATATCTCTAGGGTTTTCTCTCACATAAATTTTTTTTTTTTAATACTTAGATCACCTAGTAAAAAAATAGCCCATACTATCACAGCGGCGCCTGTTACCGATGACAAAGGAAAGTTAACAATACCTCCTGGAAGACCACCACGATCTTATGACAATAAAGTTCAATCTCTCGGCTCTCGCGAACCTCGTCAAGCATGGGGTGAAGGAAATCCAAGTGACGAGTTAGTTAACATTAATAACATTAATATCGTGCTTATCACCTTTATATACATTTTATACAATTTGTATGACTTCATATTTATAAAATATAGCGAGAGAATATTATTTTTGAAATTAAGTTTATATATTTATATAAACTTAATTTCAATTATATATTTATATAATTATATATATATTTTTTGTATATATTTATATATAATTTATATAAATTTATATATTTTTACTTAGCATCTTTAGTTTCATTTATCTTCTCTTATAGTGAAGGTGGTTTTTTATCTTTGAGGGAAGAAATAACAGGAAGCTACACGCAAGGTGGAGCGTTCTCGCCGGCCTTAGGATCTCGAGTATTCAGTTACGCGGATGACGATACAACCGCTGAAAGAAATATCTATGATCTACCGGACTACAGCGAACCTACCAGTTCACCAGCTCCGCAAGTACGTTTGTTCATGCATGTCAGATAATATGAATTTTTTTCAGCCTGTGAATGATAGCTAGGCTATTCTATAAGCACTTTTTATTGTTTTAGATACTAGAAGATGGTTTAGTAACTATATCTTTAACACCAGATGAACAAGGTCGTTTTGGATTCAATGTGAAAGGTGGATTGGATTTAGATATGCCAATCTTGGTGTCACGAGTAGCTCCAAATACTCCCGCTGATCGTTGTTTTCCTAAATTAAACGAAGGAGATCAGGTATATACTTACTAAATATATAGAACGTTAAATGAAGTTGAGAGAGATTCAGTCATCTTATACACTAAAGTCCGAACTTGTATCTTGAATTATTCATATTAATAAAAAGATTATATTTGGTACTTACTTAAAACTCTCAAAACTTCATAAGACAAAATATCTCTTTATGCAGGTTGTCTACATCAATGGAATTGACGTGAGTGGTTTATTGCACGAGCATGTGGTCAATTTAATACGGCAATCACGTGATTGTGGATCGGGAGAACTTACATTAACTGTTAGACCTAATGCGCTATATAATGCTTTGGCTGGTACTGATGAGACATCCGAAGAAGAGCCACCTTATAGGTATGTCATATTTTACATGTTATATAATTTAAATTTTGTTGCGTTTAATTCATATCTGAACGTAATTAATCACTAGATACGTGCCTGATGCGCCTCACGCGGCTATTGGATCCGATGCACTAGCACAATCTATGTTGCTGCTTGCGGATGGTTTAGCGAGCGGTGCTCTTATCGCGCAATATGAACAGTTATATAGGAAAAATCCAGAGCTCACGTCACTCGAATCCAAAAAGCCAGAAAATCAATCGAAAAATCGTTATCGGGATATATCGCCGTGTAAGTATTGACTTTCTCTATGTAAAAAGAAATTTTACTATTTTCTCTTTTATAACAAACTTATAAATTGCATAAAAAGAATCCGTGTACAGAAGGAAAGAGAGAGAGGGGGGGGGGATGCGGTAGTGACACATAACAAAACAACCAGTATATATTATTATAACATAAACATATGTATTGTTGTAGATGACGTCACTCGAGTAATTTTGATGGGATCTGCAAACGGAGATTACATTAACGCCAATTACGTGAATATGGAAATACCAGGTTCGGGCATCATCAACAGGTACATCGCCACGCAAGGTCCTTTGTCTTCCACCGTTGCAGATTTTTGGCAGATGGTTCTAGAAGCTGGCAGTACGTTGGTTGTTATGCTGACAACTTTGGTAGAACGTGGCAGAGCAAAATGTCACCAATACTGGCCTGCGTATAACGAGACCCTTACATTGAGGAATCTCACACTTACATCGACCGCAGAAAATGTCGAGGATACATTTATTTTTAGAGAATTTATACTTCGTGATGTTAACGTAAGTTAGTGATTCGCGTTATCACGGGAATTTAATTTATTTCTTTATACACAATTTCTTTATACACAAATGACATAGGTCTTAGCAATTAAGAAAAATATACATTTCTGTTTCTTTCCTCTTAACGCGTATATTTGTATCTTTACAGACTGGCGAGGAAAGAGATATAACGCATATGCAATATTGCGGCTGGCCTGATCACGGAGTGCCCAGTGATTGGCGACAATTTACTACGTTTACAGAGCGCGTTAGGGCAGCTCGTACTGGAATAGTCGAACCTGCGGTTGTGCATTGTTCTGCTGGAATAGGACGTACAGGTGTGTTGGTTCTCATGGAAACTGCTCTGTGTTTAATCGAAGCTAATCAACCGGTATATCCACTGGATATCGTACGCTCTATGAGAGACCAGAGAGCAATGATGATACAAAATGCTGTAAGTTGGCAATTTCCACAAGTATTATGAACCTTATCTGGAAGAAAATGATGTAAAGCGTTGTTTTATAATATGTTGTTCAATGTACTATCTTTCAGAGTCAATATAGATTTGTGTGTGAAGCGGTTCATAAAGCTTACAACGAAGGGATAGCGAAGCCACTTCCAGAATTCAGTAGGTGAAAATAAAAATTCAAAATGGGTAGCATTGTAATTATATCATTTCTTTTCTCACATCTTACGCCAAGCATCATGCCATTAGAAAGTAGTTTTGTACTTTGACAATAACGTATGATATATATTTTATAATTAATTAATATATATATATATTCATATTAATTAAATTATAACATATATATAATAATATATTTAATATAGTATATTTCTCTTATAGAGTAAAATGAATATTTACTGTGTAAAGTATATATCTCATATTGGTGTATAAAACTGACGTCCAATTCTCGTTCAATGTTGCGTGTCAAAAATTTTTGTTTCTTGGATTTAATCATATACACCGAAGACCAATTTAGAATTGTAGTGACCAATTCTATTTCTCTATGTGAAATATTATTTAATAATCATAATATGTATATGTGATCTTGCTTGTCACATGCATGTACACAATTTAATTTTTTACAATAATTCAAACTATATTTTCTTATGGCAAATATCCACAAAATAAAAGAGGCAATGTACCATATGATACATTAGCATTGAATTTGTGTAATGGAAAATTAGATTTATGTACAAGTTCTGTATAACAGAATGTAACCATGAGAGATGATAAAATGTAACATATTCATATAAATTCAATCGCCTTAGATAACAGATTCAGCGTTATTTGAAACAATAATTTATGATTATTAACTTTTTACATCATTTAAAGGAAGTCGCTATTATCGTGTTAATTGCTATTACTGTAATAACTGCCATTACATTGTACAATGTAAATATTAGATCATATTTTACATTAATTTTTTTAGATAATTTAATATCTCCATATATTTTTAGTGCAAAATTTGGAATGGATGTGCATCTCGTATTTATTTGAACTTTCTAAAAAATATATATATATATATAACTTTTTCAAATATATATATAAATTTTCAAAACATATATATATATATATATATCGGAAAATATAAAGTTTCGATAAACGAGATGAACATTTGTATTAAGTTGCATCGTTGTATTAAATAATTATGTTGCTTTGTATATCTGTTTCAACAAATACTTAGAAATAGGTAAACAGATTACATTAGAATCATAGCGACAAGATCATGTAAGATTAACGAGAGAAAAAATAATATTAATTAATGCAGAAAATAATATATTTACATCACAAAGTCGAAGTACAAGTATGAAAATAATGATGAGTGAAAATTTTAGATGCAATAATATAAATATAAAAGGAAATATTACACGATATAAACGAAACATATATAAGTTATGTGAATTGAATACACTAGATATCTATAAGTTATCGCTAAGTTAACTGTCAATAGTAGATCCGGATAGATTTGGAGATAATTTTATTACAAACGAAAGTTTGATAATAGACTGAATTACGAATCTAGTAAACATACTCGAATGAAATTGCGCTATGCACCCATGAACGCCAAATATGTCAAAGAAATTATCATTAATAATTGAGGCGGTAAGAATCGGTTGATTTGAATAATGAATTATGTGCAAAATCTTGTTTATCTTATGTAGAGATAATCATACAAACGCTATTTAAAAACGCACAGCGAAGTACAATCTTCACAATATTGGCAAATTGCGAGCGAAAGTTGCATGAGCAGCTATTCTTTATATACATAAAAAAGATATAAATCAAAAAGTTATGTGAAAGCGTCCCGAACCTTTTTCATTTTATGAAATAAAATAGCCGATCTTGAATAGGATTAATTTTATACTGAAAGAAAGAAACATCTCTTAATCATTTTCAATAATAGTTTGCTTTAAAAACGTTAGTAAGTCACATTCGATAAATGCATATGTGTATACTACCAATATAATATAAAGATTGCTTCAATAAGTAATTATTTTGAAGATATATAACTATGTTTTACATACATTTTTTACTAAATACACGTATATTGATCAAAATATACATAAACTGATCCGTCTAAATCGTAATAAGTATTATTAATCGCAGGATCGTTTTTATTATTAATCGTTTGGAGGACGATAATATCCAGTGAATAATGCAGCTTGCATATTTATTTTTTACTTAGTGAGTCATACTACTACATATCTTTGTATAAACGCTCAACTTTCTAATTAACTTTATGAATGTCATAACTCGTAAGTTTCTTTTTATTCGATATATTTGCTGAACCCTTTAATAGTATAATGCATCATGTATTAACATCAACGCATTTTATAATCTATTTTTGTAATAATACAAGTTGGTACTACAATAAACATTACTAGGAAGATAGTAGTCTGTTCATCTTTCATGCGTGGTCAAAAGGATATAAGTTATTTACATTTTACTTTCAATTTTTCAGATATTTCTTTAACTCTATATTCATTAACTGATGAGTATGATTCTTTTTCCATTTTATTCTCTTTTTAAACTTTTTGTCACTTGAGTTTAACTTGTATCTTTTTTTATAGCGCATGGAAGGGCGAAGGAGAAGGAAAGAGATAGAAAAATAAGAAATGGATGAATGTATGAATGAATGAAAGGACTTATCTTTCCATGATACAAGTCTAATTCGGCAAATTGAAATCAAAGAATAATTATAATGAGAAGAGATTAAGATCTGAAGAAAGCATTAATATATTACAAAATATGTATATATATTAGAAAACAGAATTATTGTGTAAGTGAATTACCTTTCCCCTGTTTGCTTTACAATGATTCTGTAACATAAGCTAACAATATATATTTTATGTACTCATATATTATATAAATCAACATTTTATGTACATATGTATCAAATGTTAACAGTATAAATCAAACTTGATCTTTATTCAAGCAGAAAAAATAATTTATAAAAAGGTACAAAATGCGTGTATATAGGAAAAGACGCGATTTCATATTTCAAATATATTTATCAATTTTTCTTGAAATCTTAAACAGTTGTGCCTTGTATATATTTTTCCAAAGTAGTGGTTTTAAATACGAATTGAAATATTTGAATATGATACTGTTGTGTATAGTTTTGCTTTCAAACATTAATTGCAAATAAATAAGATAACGTTCAACAGTTTAACTTTATAAATTTTGATGGCATATGACTAATAGATGTCTAGTCTCATCATTTATATATACTTTATAATATAAAATAAAACTATTACATAATAGATTTTTCTTTATCACTTTCCCGGATTCAGAATTGTTAAATATATAAAATATATTATTTATATGTGCACACATATATATATAACTTTCAATATATTACAAATGCTCGACTTTCTTCAGTTACATGCAAATTAATAGAAAACTATTTCCTCCATCAAGTATTTGATTAAATTTATATTACACACAATCAATAAATTATGTAATATAACATCTATACGAATATATATACAAGCAATTCAGAAAAGTTGTGATCAGCTATAATAATATATCTAATTTGCTGAAAAAAGTTGAAGTTGCAAATTACAAGAAGATTTGCAAATCAAAAAGAACGGTCCTTCTTGATCAGGCATATATGTTGAAGGAATAATATGATATGTTCCTGCTGGTACATCTTCGAGTTCTAAATATACAAAGCCAGATCTGCAAACAGAGATAAAAATAAATTACAGAGTTGTCACAAAACTTTCTCTATGTAGAAAAAATTTTTAGATATGAAATAATCTAAGTACAAAATAGAAACCTGAATGGTCCCGAGCTTTTTGTTTTAAATGCAGTAGCTGCATTTGCATCATTCAATACAACAGTGTTAATGTCAAAACCTATTTGGTATTGTTTAGGTCCTTTCAAAATAATTAATAGATAGTTGTTATTATGGGGGCTTTCGAATACTACTTGGTATCGCGGATTTCTCATATATGTGGGATGATTGCCACATCCTCCTGCTGTGGCACCTTTCCATTGGCCCGTAACCTGTAAGAACATAAAATCACATTAATATATAAATGTTGAAAATTTTATGAAACATGCGCATGATCTAGACAGAGTTTTGAAAACTTAAAAAAGTTCGCATATAAATGGTATACCTCTTGTTCATATTCATAGAATTGTGGTATTTTCTGCAATGAAAATTGACACGTGCCATATGCGCGAAGTGTATAATAGATTGTATTAGTTTTTTCATATTGAGATATGACTAGAGTATACTTGGAATCGCTATGCTCTCCCAATTTAATCTTGCATAAGTAGTGCGGACTGTTTATTCTCACACCATCAATGTACGGTGGTGGATCATCTGAAGAATTTTTTACGATATACAATCTACTTTAACGGGCGGTGGTTAAAAATGAATAACATAATATTGAATAAAACAGATTGATGTATACTTACGTGGATAATAGACTCTTTTCCCATTATTGCGATATATCAAAACTGTAATGTATTCTTGATTCTGTCGAAAGTCAGCTATATCTGTAATATGCCTCGTAAGAAGTACCCAGATAGCACCACTTCTTTTTCCTTCTACCTCTAATGAGAACTGCGGATTATCACCGATATTATATGCATCCTTAACAGGACCGATACCAGCTTTCCACATTCTGTAAGAATAATTATTTCAAACGTTATTATATATGTTATACGACAAAGCAATAATCTATAATATATGATTATATATAATTAAAGAAGAAAATATTACATACTGATGTATACAATAAGTATGACTAAACAATCCTGGATTCCAGTTTAGATAAAACACATAAAAAAATCGACAAATACTATCGTAATCGATCCAAAAAACACCATTGTCAAATTCAGAAGCAGACTCTGGATCATAATTTAATGCTTCCTTTAAATCCTGAGTCCAATGTCTCATATCGAGCTCGGAATAATTGCCTCTCCATCGCAAATGAGACCATGGATTTTTTAATTGTAATAATCTTTCTCCCTATACATATACACACACATACATATTACTTAAAAAGAGAGAATATAAATTCTTGCTTTTGTCTGTTATTAGAAATCATCTGAAATGACTATTAAAAGTGGATACATTTTTTTATTTCGCTTACATTAATTTTTCTCACATCATGGACGGCATAAGCATGATTTGGTACAAGACCTGTGCGGTCTGCATCTGCATCTGATAACTCTCCTGTGGCTACAGTGACTAGCACGTCACCTTTATGAAGCCGTAATAATAATGTATCAAATAGATTATCCTTATTAAAATCCACGTCATTTGGTCTTATTGCCCATCTCTCAGGAATCCAGCCAGTTAAGGCATGTAAATCTATATTCTGTAAAAACAAACGTACATATAAAAATACTAATGAGAAGAATCATAGAATTTACAATACAGAGCATTTTAACGCTATAAAGAAACTTGTGCTCACACTATTCGATCCAGGAAAATCATAACCACCCATTACTTTCATATAAGCCTTCTCAAGTAAAGAAATCCAAAGCTCCCCGCGATTGCTAGAGTAGGAACAAAGTAATTGGTTGTATCGGCTTACAGGCAAACGGTCATCTATTATTACTTTGCGTGGAACACCATTGATGTGTAGTTTCACCATGTATTTTCCTGATATTATATGTTTATCATTTCTAATATATAATAAATAAATATGCATATTTTTTTATATTTACGTGCAGGACACATTCTAATCGGATAAATAATCGTTTAATACATTTCAGTTATATAGTTTTTGTGTGAGGAAAGATGAAGCCATCAAGTTCAAACATTTAAGATGTATCCATGTAAAAAGCAAAACGCAAATGAGAATACGCTAATTAGGGAAAGTGTTTGTACAAAATGTTCTCCAACAAGAACCTCCTCCATATAGTTTAATGCGAGCATTTACTGAGTGTAATATATAGAATGTTTTGTAAGCAATTTAAAGCAAATAAACTGATTAGTTACCAAATGGATTATATATGGGCTCCTTTTGTTTATTCTTGGGATAAATAATAGATGTTATAAGTCTTCGTCCGAATTTCTTCTCGTATTGAGCACTCACAGCAAGTGAAGCAACAAAGGAACAGTCAGAAATTACCTGAAAATAATAAGATCATCATTCATCGCATATATATATATATATATATATTGCATATTGCTCAAAATATATTTTACAAACCGTTTGTTTTATGCTGTAGTAGTCTACATGGTGACCAATGACTATTTTTGGTTCAGAATACAATTCTTCTGGTCGACACCATCTATCAAAGTCAAGTTTTTGTTTTGGCGCTAACACTAATAATCCATCTTTATCAGTAAAAGGAATAGCATATCTAAACTTTTCAGCAAGATCAATATTCATGAATGGTACAAATTCATTGTCATTTATGTGAGAACTATGGAACAATACTCTTTTTTCTTCTTCAGTATAGTTACTAGTTCCTCCAGTAACTTTAAGATGAGCACTGCTTCCACGATGAAGTTGAGGCTTATTAACATTTCTTGCTAAAATTTAATCGAATATGTGCATAAATATATCACAGTTTTGTTTCCCTTTCTTTATACCTACCAATTGGGGCAGCTGAGGCATTTACCGATGACATAATATCTGGAAAATTAGTTTCTGGTACAGGTGGTAGTTTAGCAAGACTTGTAATAACACTATCATCTTCAACAGGACTTTTGATTCCCTTCAAAGATTCTGCTCGTTCAACAGCAACTCTAACTAGATCTGTCAATTTTGCCTTTATTTCAACATCACTAGTTTTCTGTAATAGATTATATAAATTGAACAATCAACTGAACAAACATATGTTAATTATCTAACAGAAGGAACTACACATACTGTACTAAGACCAAGTTCAGCAGCATCTGTATATAATTTTACTGCAATATCTTTTAAACCCGCTTCGTCTGCATCTAATGCTTGGCTTATGAGAAATTTACATCTTTGTAATTCATGACATGATGGTTCTGTTTTATGACTACGCTGTTCCTCCTTATTAACTGAAAGTTTCAGAACTTTCTATTAGGTATTACATGTATGATACATATTATGCGTTATTATGTTAACTTACCGAGATGTTGTATAAATGATATCCTTTCGCGATAGTCTGAAAGCTTCTGCTCATATATATCGTCTAATTGTAACCTAGTAAGAACTTTTACAGCGATATTATAATAATACAAAGCTTGTTTATATTGATTATTTTTGTCAAATTGTACAGCTCTACGAGCAGCAGTTAGTGCGTCTTCTAATGTTTCCGCCATATCAACAATTTGGGGAATAATAAGATAATTATAAAATATATAAATTTTATATCTAATTCACGAAGCATTAATTGCTTCACTGTCTCAAATTTCCTGCTGCCATTTTATGGCTATTGTATTTGTCACTATCTGTCACTTTCATTACTTCCGGAATCTCCGCTATAAGCCGCCACCGTTCCTACATGAAAATCCACCCACGTAGTATGACTTAACGACAAGTGAGCCATACTTTTTTAAATAGTAAAACTCAGCGAGTGTCATCAGCGCCTGCCTCTAATCAAACGGACTTAGCGAGAGGTACAAAGTTGTCATCTGAATTAGGACCAAATTATTTTGATTTTCTTATTAAAATTAGGCGGAAAAACGAGCAAACAATGCGAAACACCGACATCGATGCTTTTCGTATAATTTATCGAGCGAATATAGAAACCAAGAACCGATGTAAGTTATTCAATTCTTGTATATGACGCCTTTTAGGTTAATGATTTCACTCGAAACTAGTTGACAACTTCGTTATGCCGGCTTTATATCTTCTGTTAAGAATAAGATCTCGTTGCAGATACTAGTAGATGTGTAGCACACCTATAATTGTGAAGATTACGAATAAAAAAAGAAAAACAAAAGTCATGATAAAAGAAATTTCCAAATTCTGTGAAGAAAGATCTTATTACTTCTTATAAAGAAATTGAACACTGATTTCATTGACATCTGTTTTTATTTTTTATAAAATACATTTATGTCAAACTTGGCAAAACATTAATTCTAAATAAAATCTATATTTAAAGTTATTAACTGTATTATAGGAAATAGGAAGTAGAAAATTTGAATAGAGCATATGACAAAAATAAGGATGAATAAAGAAATGCCGTTGAGCTTGGAATGGATGCCACAGAGCACATACATGCACAATTCCTTGGATCATCTGTTGCCAGGAGATCGAAATCAGCATGATTTTGTATATATAAAGCAAGAGACAGAGACAGAGTTTCTTCAAAATACATTGAATACACAATCTGTACAAAATATTGTATGTCTGCATGAAGTCTCGTCTAAAGAGAATAAGGAAGCTAAGGAACAAAATAACTGTTCAAATGTGTCAGTAACAGTAAGTATCCAATCTTTAATTTTACTTTATTCATAATATTAATCTTTTCTTAATATTTATACTTAGAAAAAGAAATTCATTTAGAAAGTTTATTAAATTAAATTTATTGTAAGAATAAATCCATGCATTTGCTTTCAGCATACTGAAGCAGACTGTCTGAATGAATCTCCTAAAAAATTGGCTGAAATTCCTGACAAGTTATACAATAAAGGCCGCGTTGATGTAGTACAAATGCCGATGGATTCAACGACTGACTATAAGGCATATTTTTTTATTTACGAAGATCAGCAGTCCAAGTTTGTTGTACTAAAAGCTCTGCACGACAATACGGCCAAAGAGGTCGCGACGAAACTGTTAGACGTATGGGCGATCTTAGGGGCACCACGAGTGCTACAGAGCGGCAATGGACGTAAGTTTGCTGAAGAAGTTGTATATGAGCTACGCACGTTATGGAACGATTTCCTCATATTGCACGGGGACGTGCCTAAGTGTGAAGTTAGCTGCAGGGATTTTAAGAGCTCGCTCGAAGCCTGGATGAGAGAAAATCCGACTAGGACGTGGCGCGAAGGGTTAAACTTCGTACAGATCCTTCACAATACAACATATCGTTGTAAGAACGGCAAAATTCCCTGCGAGTTGTTCGGACGAAACGCGCGCGATTACTTTTATGACGTCGGCACGAAGATAGGCGCGGAGAGTCTGTGGTCGGAGGAAGAATGGATTGAACATTCGTTGAGTGGAAGAAACGAAGATGCGGTCGCACCGACAGAAGACGTGCAGACAGCGACATCGACAGAGAACGCGCACCGACAGAACATATCAAACGATGCCAATGTACATATATCGGTAAGAAGAAAAAATGATAAATATTACACACGCGTTATTATTTGAAATAATGTTACCGAATATATATTTCTGATCAACTATTCCAATTCTAAATATTTCAGTATGATGGAGAAAACGAGAACACACAAAGCGCACCGAGTCAAAATGAATTATCGAGGAATAACGATTTAGACTATCTCAACCTCATCCATGTGAAGAACGAAGTTCTCGCGAACAGTACGCAAATAACGTATTCAACACAAGCCGACGAAACAATCGAATCGAAAGACGAATTGAAAATCGAGGACGCTCAATCTCTGAAATGCAAATACTGTCAAAAGCAATATATGAAACTGGGTCATTTAAAGAATCATATGAGGATTCACAAAGCGGGACGGGTGTTTAGATGCAAGCTGTGCAGTAAAACATTCAGCATAGCGAGACTGTACACTAAGCACATGAAGCAGTCGCACGGGCAAGATAAGTTATCTGAAGAGGAGGAGAAGAACTGTGGCGTCCGTAGGAGCACCAGGAGCAACGTCAACGTCAGCACGAAAACCGCACGCGACGAAGAAGAGAAAGAAGCTCAAGCGTCGCGCGAAATATCCGCTCTCGATACAACGAATGAACGCGACGTGTCATTGTTGGACGCTGGGGATTCTTGCGGCAAGCCCAAGAACTCGAGCCCGAGTAGTCGAAAGAAGTTGTCCGCGGACAGCCGTGTGTCCAAGATACAGTGTACCCTGCAGTGCACATACTGCAAGCAGCAATTCAGTTTCCGAAGCGTGCTAGAGAGGCACATGCGATCGCACACGAACGAACGGCCGTACATATGCGAGGTGTGCAACAAGAGCTTCAAACAGCTGGGCCACTTAAGCCAACACTCGCTCACGCACCACGACTACCGTTCGTTCCAGTGCATGGTGTGCGGCGTCAAGTTCGAATCCTTGGAGACACTGAAGCAACACACGCACTCGCACCGTGACGACGCAACCACGCCGAAGATTCGCGATGTGTACCGTCTGTTTGAGTGCGACAGCTGCAAGAAGGTGTTCACCACGAAGAGCGTACTGGAGCGGCACATATTCACGCACACGCAGGAGCGTCAGTTCGACTGCAAGGTGTGCGGTAAACGTTTCAAGCAGGCCGGCCACGTGAAGTCGCACATGCTAGTGCACACGGGTGAGCGTCGCTTCCAATGCACCATATGCTCCAAGCGCTTCAGCCTGTCGAACTCGCTGAAGAAGCACATGTACGTGCACAACGGCGAGAAGCCGTACCAGTGCGACGTGTGTGGCGCGCGCTTTCTGGAGAAGCGCAATCTCAACGGTCATCTGTTGACGCACACCAACGAGCGGCCGTATTGCTGCAAGATCTGCGGCAAGCGATATACCTTGGCGGACACCCTGCGCCGACACGTGAGCGCCGCGCACGAGGACGGGCGGACGTATCAGTGCGAGATCTGCGCAAAAATGTTCAAGCAGTTGGCGCATTTGTCAGTGCACAAGAAGGTGCACAACGACGAGCGGCCGTTCCAATGCCACCTGTGCGAGAAGAACTTCAAGCACAAGAACGTGCTGAAGTCGCACTTGGCGATACACGCGAATGTCCGGCCGTTTGAGTGCGACGTCTGCAAGGCCACGTTCGTGCGGAAGACGAATCTCCAGACGCATATCTCGTCCGCGCACATGAACGAGCGCCCGTACGCCTGCACCATCTGCGGCAAGCGCTTCAAGCAGATCAGCCACCTGAACGGCCACGTGGTCGTGCACAGCAACCTGATGCCATACAAATGCGACTACTGCGACCGACGCTGCAATCGGCTGGACAACCTGAAGAAGCACATGCGTCTACATACGAAGAACAAAGAGTAAAGATAAGCGCGAAGACGGTGTCGGCTTTGCTTGACGCGGAGCTGAATCTCTTATCTCTTGGAGATGTACCTTATCTAGGGATACTCGATGTCTCTCTTGAATAAGCGCGTCGCACGCAATGGTCGGATTACAAGCTCGACGTGTTGATCTCTCACGCAAGATAAGAAAAGGTTGCCAAGAGGGTCGTGTAATATTGTACATAATACTTCTCCTTCTTCTGATGTTATTGCTTCCGGGTTGAACCCAGGTTCTTATGAAAGACTATTTGTTATATAATTATTGTCGTGATTTTTTATATGTTAAATTAAGTTTCTATACTTTGCGCTTTACTTCCTCCAGAGGAAGTAACAAATTGAATTTCGAATACGAATTAAATTTTATGCATATGTAGACTGTGGAACATCCTGTCTGAACATGTGTGACACAAGATGTTCCGACATCTTTAAAGGAAACTTATAGAACTCCGTACTGAAAACGGGATAGACTGTTTTTATACACTGCGTGTACTTAAAGCAGACAGATATTTAATAGAATGTTGCATATTACGTAATGCAATAATGAACTGCATCTTTTCTAAATAGGTATGTAATGTATCGAAATTGTCCTGTCTTTAAAACGGATATTTTAAAGAAAGGACTAAACGGCTAAACTAAGAAACAGTATTTCGTCGCAATATTTAATTTAATACTCATTGCTCAATAAGTCACTTCAACGATGATCAAAGCTTTCGAATACATTTTGACGACATCACAAGGCTTTGTGAACTCCCAAGTACATCTGTAAACTTTATCGCTAAAGTATGTCGGAAAAAACATGCACAATAAAAGTAATAAAAAGGCAGTTTTGATATTTTTTATTGTTCGCATTATCGAAGCTATCTCCGATAAACTCGATCTTGGTGCGTGTTATTAAAATCTCATTCCTGAATAACATATTCAAAAGCTTTTACGTGTCGCTCATTTTAATTAATATTAAAAGGTTATTAATAAAAGAAATTTGAACAACGGAGATATCTTCGACAATGCGAACATTTGCTACAGTTTCTTTTTACAAACACCGTGCGTTGACTATATTTCGACTTTTGAACACGAGCGCGAAGTGACCGGCAGGTACAATTTCACGGTTGCGACGTCACCGTTGACCGTTGACCTCGGCCGGTCGTTATCAAATGCCTATAGTTATCGCGGAACTGCGCAGCACTCAAAATGTGCATACACCGTGCAAATACACGATAGTTGCGCGTGCAACGCAACGCGGTTCGCATCGGCAAAATAATGGGGTACAAAAAGGGGTTAGGGTTCGGCACATTTTTCACCTTGGTGATCGTGCTCGTGGCGATATACTATCGTAATACGGACGACGTGCTGCAGAAGCGTCTGTTGGCCTTGCTGCACGGTCTCGAGAAGCTTGAAAACAAGTACGTGATCACCAGAAGACCGCAAGTCGCGATAGGTTATGGTGTTTGTACTGACGTGTTCATCGACGCGAAACATCTGCTGAAGTACTCGGACGAGATCGGCCGACCCGAGCATTTCGACGAGATCAACACCGAGCTTGAATTGTTAAAGAGCTTCGCCTATTACTTTCGCCATGGTGCCGCTGCCGAGTAAGTTCTGGATGTTAATTAACTCCAGACATTATTTATACAAGACATAAAAATCTGCATAAAGTATATCTTTTTGCTTGATGATCATATTCCATATTTGTTAAAGCGTGTTAATTATTCAAGGTATCTAAGTGTTTTACTCTGCGTTTCTATTTTTGCATTGTTCACGAAACACCGGAAATTCCGTTACAGACGTTACATGGCGAATAGAACTCTATTCGACGAGTTGGTGTTAAAGGCACGTTCCTTTCCTTCGTCTTACTCGACAATCGGTGGGAATGCAGCGGTTATGGCAATGCGATTCGCGAAAGAGGGCTGTGACGTGACGCTTGCGGCTAAGCTGACCAATTCCCTGCATCAGATGATCCCACAGATAATCAAAGTCGTAGGTGGTGAGGTAAAGCGTGACGATATTCATCTCATCATGGAATATAAGCATGGCGAAATCTGGGGTCCTTATTTCAGTGCAAGAGCGAACAGGTACTGGACAGACAAGAAATATTTCTCTTGTACATAATCATGTAAAATAAAAAATCAAGGCCCATAACTTTATGCTTTTTCCTTAGGTATATCATTCACAATGATGTAAATAATCCAATGATCAGTTCACTTCAAGCCTTCAATGAAGTTCTGTCGACCTACGACCCTGATTTATTAGTAGTCAGTGGCCTCCAAATGATGGACAACTATCCGTTTCGAGAAGGTAAACTTCTCTCTTCATCGCTAAACGCGTCCTCTTGATTCTGCGTTAAAGCAAGGATGTTTGAATTATGTTTTGGCAGACAAGCGCAAGAGTATATTGATGAACGTGAAGCATCAGATGATGGAACGGTCGAGTACTACAAGAATTCACTTCGAAATGGCCTCATTCGCCGAGGACAAGCTGTTGTTCGAGCTGTGCGATTTGGTAGTTCCATTTGCCGACAGTTTGGGTATGAACGAGCAAGAAATAGCAAACTTGTACAACACCATGTATTACGGCAACATCTCGCTGGTTGCCAACTCGACTCCACGTGTCGCCACGGTGTTGGATCAGATGAGGACATTGTTCAAACTCATACGTTTGAGAAGCAAGTCGATCAAGGATGCCAGAGAGCTCACAAGAATTCATGTGCACACATTGGCGTACCAAGCTATATTCACTGTCAAAGATTCTATTTGGAAAAATACAATGGCTGCTGCGGCCAAGGCATCGCTCACCGCGCACAGACACGTGTGTGCAACGAGTAACGTTAGTGTCATTTGGACTTGGAATATATAAAGAGTGATGGTTTATGAAAGGGATTTGTAGATTGCTAACGTAGCTTGCTAATTATGGGAATTTTTGTAGTCTCTGACAGTTAAATTTACTGCTTACAATTTCCAACATTTGAGAAATCCAAAATTACCACTGTCTTCAAACGAAATGTCAAGAACTATCAATTTGTTTCACGTTATACAGGTCGACGTGAAGAAAGCGACGTTGATCATGGACGACAGCTTTTCCACATCCATCGTTGATGGCACGAGAATAGCGCTGAACATCGACAAGCCGGTGTCTTGTTGGGACGAAGTACTGAAGGTAGAACAGGAGAACATTCATATTCAGGTGTGCGTAGCGCCTGTGTTGGTTTGCACGCAAGCTAGTCAGACAGCGGGCGGCGGTGACAATATCTCTAGCGCAGGTCTAGTACTTCAGATCTGAAGCACGAACCTATCGCCGATCACGACAAGATTGCCATATACATCGACGTTATCGCGAATTGTCATCTCTCTCGCTATCGTGTACACGTAGATGAAAGAGACTTTTTAAGCAGGCCTCTTCTTTGCGTTAGCAGCACGCGTGGATCGTATGAATGATCGATACGCATTCCTCACGGTTTTCGCATTCCATTCTACTAAAATAGGAACTGAACTGTTATATATTTGCTCTGAAGTTATCACATCGTTTATAGAGTTTAAGTAGTATGAAGTATTTTTCTTCATTACCGGTATGCAATTGTACGCATTTAAAATTAACGAACACTCTGCCTATTACGTGTCATGATAACGATTTGGTACTAATCGATATCCACGAATATCACTCTCACATTGACGTAGACTGATTAACTGTGAACAAAGTTCATTCCGGTACTGTAGTACGGTAGTGTGACTACTGTGTAAGCTGCTAATCGCGCAGCGCTGTAGTAGTTTAAACGATTTTGTGAAACCACAAAATGACCCCGGAAAATTGCGAGAAACTGTTCTCAAGCGCCCGAGGACTTGAGTGTAATAGCAATAACTCCGATGATTTCGAAGCAACAGAGATTAAATAGGTACTACATACGTCGACCTCGACAAAACAGTAAGAGATGTGATATTATTTTAAGAAACCGATCGAAAGATATCCAAAGCGAAGAGTAATGAGACAGAGTGATTCCTTAGAAAAAGAATATTTTAATTGGAGGGTGAACGTCATCTGCAACTTTCTTCGAGCGCACGACATTACATTCCAATGTTCGAGCGACTACCACATGATTCTTCACGTACGAAAGTCGCAACTGATAGGACGAACGTAATGACGTTTGTTTTACATTTAAAAGTCTGGTATTGTACATATATGACACAGCTTGAATGTGTTACGGATTTGCAATATAAATTAAAGAATATATAATATGTTCGAGTGACACAATGTGGCATGTGTGTGTTCTTTTTATTGATACTACATACTTATCCTCTATATCATCCGTTGTTATGTTGTAATGTTTTCAAAATATAACGGTAACAAATCATAAAACTGTTATCCGCAGATTTATCCGCAAACGTTTATCAAACTTCTGTAATCTTATTACAATTCTTGTAGCAATATGAAAGAAAAAATTCCACATCACCGGACATTATATTATCGTGGTAGCGGATAATAAAAATAATGCGATACGGATATTAATTGCACAAGGGTGCGTCGTGAATACCAAGAGACAGACAAATTCCATGAGAAACAAAGGAGACGATAATCTTACGTTTAACAAGTTAACAAATGTTACAGTCTAACAGAAAATTCGTACAGAATTTCATATGTATCGTTAAGTAATTTTTACAGAGCCCATGCACTCATTGTGTATGTATATACGTGTATATGTATATGAATGTGTGTTAAGTATGTATACTCACAGTATCTCACAACCGTCCTGAGTACGGTCGTTTCTCCTCTTCCTTTCTTGCTTATCACATGCTCGGTCTCAATGTACGAAGTACATAATGAACAGCCACTGTATGTGTATGTGTGTGTTTTTATGTGTGTGTCAGTATATTTGCGCATCACTTATCGCGCAACAAGATATCATCAAGTGTACAATAAGCATCTGTAAGTCAATTAATCGCTCTATCGGCCGGCGGAGATAGGAAAACCGCTAGTATCCGATATGTGCGTACGCCTGTGTCTCCCTGGAATTTACAGGATCGTGTCTCCTTCATCTATACCTAACATGCGCAAATCGTCAGGTCCAGGCTGAGTGTCCGCCTCCGCTTCAGCCTGCATGATCTCAGGCGGCGGCTGATCCATGTATTCAGGCCCGTAACCCACGCATCCGAGCATACTGTACATCGAGGAATACATGACATTGGCCTCCTGGTGACTCTGCTGCTTGGTCTCTGCGGCCTCTTCCTTGGGGAAGATGATGTTGAGAGCTTCTTGCAGATCGTCTGGCAGCGGAATGCTAGGATCCGCAGGTCGTTTCTCGCTCGGTTCCGGTATGTCGGCCACATCAGAATGCACTGCGCCCTCTACCGACGGGAGAGGCGGTGGTGGTGGATTCTGATGATTTGGTACGAAACCGGACGGAGCATTCGGTATCTGTGGCGGTGGTGCTGTCATGAAGGCTGGCATAGCCTGGTTAGTCGGCCGCACAGGCTGATGATGAGGTGGGAATCTCGGAGGAGCCTGAACAAATGGTGGCGGATTAGACATGAATGGTGGCGGCGGACGATTCGGTGTGAATTGTGGCGGCGTGCTTTGCACAGGTCTGTTCTGCATCGGTTGCTGATTCACCGGTGTGTAGCTGGGCGGCGGCCTGTTCAGCGGTGGTGGCGGATGTGGCGGCAGCGGCAGCTTCGACACACTCGATGATTGCTGTTGCTGTTGCTGCTGCTGCTGTTGTTGTTGCTGTTTCTGCTGTTCCACTATCGGTTGTTCCTCTATGACTGTTTCTTCAGACTGATCGTCGATTTCCATGTCGACCACCTGCTGCGTTGGTTTGCTCTCGTTCAGTACCGGCGGCGGCGGCGCCACCAAAATCTTCATAGGCTGGTTGGATTTATTTGTTGACGGAGTCACGCTGTTCAAACTTAGTGGGGTCGCTAACTTGGTGATGTGCGCTACACCCGGAGGATTGATAATCTCGTTGGGCACCTTTGGCGTATCCTCAAACTTGCTCTGCTGATACGGTAAAGGTGTGAGATCCTTATCCGGCAACTTTGGCTCCTCGACTTTCTTTTTGAACAACGGTAATCTGCCAATAAATGGTAGCTTGCCCTTGGACACCTGTGGAGTGGACTTCTTCGCTGGGACAACGCCTTTCTTCGACTTGGACGCTGATTCGTTCGTTTTCTTCTCGAACTTGGACTCGTCGTTCGATGAATTGTTCTCCTCTCGTCTGTCTTTGCTGTACTTTTCGTAGTTTCTCTTGGGACTGTCGCGCCAGCTTCTTTCGCGCCTTGGCGAGTCGTTGCTATCCCGTTTACGACGATCGTCGTAGTAATCGCGATCTCGATCTCTGTCTCGATCTCGGTCCCTGTCCCTATCCCTATCTCTGTCCCTGTCCCGGTCTCTGTCTCGGTCCCGTCGGCTCCTTCTCTCGTACCTGTTGTACTTGCGATCGCGATCGTCCTTGTATCGATCTCTATCACGATCCCTGTCCTCCTCTTTCTCCACCGATTTACTGCTACTCTCCGGCGGTTTCACCGTCATATTCACTTGCTGCTTTGTCCAGAAACCCATGTGTGGTTTGGGCATCTCTTCCGGCTTCGGCAATTCGATCGGCTTATTCACAATCTGCGGCTGCGGTTTCTCTTCGTCCTTCTTTATCCAGAACGGCTTTGGTGGTTCCTTCGGACCCCAAGCCTCCAGTTCTTCCGATTTCTTTGAGAAATTATCCTGCTGCAAGTCCTCCTCGTCCTGGATTGGCTTCTCGATTTTGCGACTGCTTATGCTCTTCATCTCCTCTTCCTGTTTGGCTTTCAGCTTGTCCCTGATAGAATTGAGAAGCTGCCTATCGTCCGGCTCCGATGGGTGTTGCTCGGGAGGCGGCGACTGGCCTGTTTGCACAGCTGATTTTGACCAGTGGCTCTTGAGCTTCAATCGAGGATAATCAATTTCCTCGTTCAAGATCGCCTGTGTCGAAGCCTTCATTTTGTTTCGCATAGCTACACGTATGCTCTTGGTGGTATCCTGATCGGACTCTGTGTCAGAATTGTCAGACTCGCTAGACGTCTCGCTTGCGCTACTTCTATTCCTGCGTTTTTTGGCTTTCTTCGACTTTTTCTTATTCTTCTTAGATTTCTTCGACTTCACTGGCGGATCGTCCTCCTTCTGCTTCTGCAACTCCAGTTGTATCTGTTTGTGCTTCTCCTCGGAGAATGCCTTCTCACGATCGGCCATCCAGTCTGTTTCCCAATGTGGATTTTGCTCCACGAAACGCTAAAGATCACATTAATGTTAATTGAGGCAATTCGCGTTTCCAAGTGTTGCTTTGGGCAAAGTTACAGATATGAGAATATTACTTACAGAAAAATTCTCAGAATGTCGCTTGGATTTCAAGTGTAAACTAGCGCAATGAAGATCCCCGATCCACGAATCACAGAGTTTGCAGTACCACGCCGTCGCCGCGCTGAAGAATTGCAGTCCTATAATCAAATATACGTGCAGTTAGCATTATTTAAGCTTCGAAGCGGGTAAAAGCGTTATAAGTTCATAGAGAATGACCTTATGCTCTGCCACGACACATTCATGTCACTGAAAACAAAAATAATATATTAAAAGATATCCGGAAAAAATGGCCGATTATATTAAATTTCCTTGCATAGTCCCACGATGATCTGCAGAACAATAGATGGAAAAAAAGGGAGAATCGGTTTTTTATTTCTCACACAATTGTTATCTACATGGTACAGAATGTTAATGCATATAATACATTACTGCATGTGTAAACGTAAATTACATTTTTATCAGAACATATTGCAGTCGCTCGTTGTTTTCTCTCGATCAACTTGAGAAATTATTGGAATCTTCACACATGTGACTTGACTGTAGCACCAAATCTGTCCGATTTGCACGAACAAGCGCTTGCAATATATTTTACAAACGATTTTATACGATATACAATTTTTGTTTATACTGTAAATAAATAAATAGCATAACTAAAATCATAGCCGAGTAACTGTCTTCGCGTAACTTCACCAAACTTACACATATGTGTATATGAATATATACATCTCATTTATAAGCATGACACAATATACTTTATATGTCATTACTTTATGCCAAGTAATGCACTCCACAGTAGATCAAATCTTGATAGATTTAATCCTGAAGGCAGTTAAACACCCTATAGATGATCGAGAGCTGAGTAAAATTTGTAGTGGTGGAAAGTGAAATTAGACACACGTGATTACGACAAAGTGATACATATTGCCTGAAAGTCTCGGAAAGTGCGCTTCTTGAATCCACTTAAAATCCAATGCATCGCTGTGGTGTTTGTGACATTGCTTGAAAATATGCCGCCGACTAAATTATCGATTGCACGATTACACGCGTGTCACGAGTCGCATTTCCGACATATGCCAAGACATCATCAATATCATTGGCTCTAATGCCACTAGGCACGATAAACGCGGGGGCAGACAAATTTTCGAGCAATTCATAATTATGTTGATCTCTTCAATACATACCGAACACCACAGTTATCTGTGCACAAGCTACGGAATCATATTCTATTAGTAATTGCCCACTGTAATTGACCATACCTTTGATGGGTGTTCTTTTCGTCGGCAGTCCGGGGTAATGGAGTACTTCTTTTTCTGTCCCCTCGCCATTTCGTTCATGCCAAGGCATATCAACTATCTTGCGTTCCTGGCATATAAAAAGTCAATATTAGCAAGATCGGCTTGACACCAAACGTAAGAAACTCGGTACTTTTCGTTTCTTTTTCGATAATAAATGTTGATATATGGTACATCAATCATATTCATGTACCAAGTACCTGCTTGTTGATTATACTGTGCAATATATCTCATCCACTTACAAATATATAGTTTGAACTACAAATACAGATAGTCTTAATTATTAAGTCCGTTTGTTCTCTCGCAAAATAACACACATGTACACAATCTTTTTTTTTCTTTTACCTGTCTAGTAACTAATAAGCATTATTTGTAACAATCTTCACACAAGAGAGCCTGTCTAAAATCTAACTTTCACTAATTTTGAGCACTTCAGACTCAATATGGTTTCTCCTTAGGACGAGCGTATATTGGTGGAAAATGTTACTTACTAAGCATGCCTCTTTGTGCTCATTGCTATGTAGATGATTTAAATATTCCTTTGCTGTCTTAGGAAAGATATCGCAGACTTTACACCAATGCATTTCGGGGTCATAGTGCACGAAATTGTACATTGGCTTATCCTCCGACGATCTTCTCTCTCTAATATCTCTTTCCGTTTTGGATTCTTTATCTGAATCAGAAGCAGAGGACCTGTCGGGTGAGGGAGACTTTCCTTTCGGGAAGTCTTCTTTCGGACTTCTCGAACGTTTTAATTCTAGTTTAAACTTGTTTTTCAAATCCTCCATAGTGACTTTGTCACCGATAATGCCAGTGAGCATGTCGATGACATTATGAATGGATTTCATTTTATTTTGTATCTCGATCTGCAAGCATGTTTGGTTCGGATAAATATTCAAGTTGTATAAAGTGGAATATACGCGATGAGAGATTATGTGTATTACTCACTTGCAACTTTTGGTTTTCTTTTATGATACGATTGTTCTCGCGTCCACCTTCTTTGCCTATTTCGTCACACTGTTGACGTAGGATTTCCAGTTCACGTTGCAGTGTTGCTGATTTCTTAACATATTCCTCACGTTGCTTTGTTAGTGTTGCTTTCTGTTGTTTTACCTCAGCTGCGATTGCTGCTAGGTGTTCAATTTGGAGAATTTAAAGATTGTTTAAAAAATCGTTAATTTATTTGTATTGCATATCATAAAATATGCAGAGACTAGCATATTTATCGAGGTAATAGTGTTGTTAATCTGGATTTATTATATTAAGAGCAATGCCAGGAAATTTCTTTCTGTTGAAACGTACCTTCCTTTTTGACATCCTCTGTTCTTGTCAAGGATGTCACTAAATTCGAAGAACTGCTATCAATCGGCCTTGATGATTCTTGCTGTGGTGTCAAAGATGGAGGTGGTGGTGCTTGTTGATTGTTATACGACACTTGACTTCCTTGCCAGTTGGGTGGCGGATAATCCTAACAGAATAAGTATATTTAATTAATTTCAGGTATTACAACAGCATTCTTATCGACCCTTACCTTCGTCGGACGAAATTCAAATGTGAGGACTTTGGCTAATACATGGAAGAGTCTTGAAGATGTAACATCTGGTCAATATTACCGAGCTTCCAATGCCGATGCCAGTAAAATAAATAACGCGAATGTTATACTTACTGGAGAGAGGGATTCACAATTGCGGTTCAATATAATGTAATGTCTTGGACGGATATAAACGCTATCGAATATAAATCATAATCGGTAGCAGAATGGTACAGCTATACTTTGCATAACATGCGTACAGTTTCAAGAACCCACAAATATATGCTCAGTCTATTCAACTACGCATTATTTCGATACTGTAGACGATTCTTCTCAGACGCAGAATCGTTCAGACAGCCACCTCTTTAAAAATCCTTATGCAAAAATTATTCTTTCTCTAAAATAAAACTTACACTTCGATAACCGGCAGGCTGCTGGTAACTATAGTCATAGCCTGGACCATAGTTGTAACCATAGTTGTTATATCCCTGGTTGTACGCTGATATAGGAGGAGGTGGTTGACTTGTGTTTGGTGGAGGTGCCTGTATATGAAAATACAAAGCAAATTTATGCACAAATTGTACAAAAAGCAGATAAGTCAGGTCAATTGAACAAATTACAAATTAACTGAACATTTTTCATTAATATTTAAATATAAATACCTGGTATTGATTGTGTACTGCTGAAACGTATCCTGTAGAATTGTTTGGATTGGAGACAGAGCTTTGTGACTGAGACGGTGGAGCTTGCTGCTTCCAATCTTGAGATCTACTGGAATCCTTTCTTCTTCTATCTCTAGAACTTGAGCGAGATCTTCTGTCTCTGGATCGAGACCTACGATACCTGGCTCGTCTAGGAGATGGAGATCGATCATACTTCCTTCTTCGTCTATGCGAAGAATCGTCTGAATCAGCGCTAGGGCTTCTAGGACCCTTGCGCCTTGATTCCTGGTCCATGTCAGTTGCTTGTTGTGAAATCTATGAAAGATTTCAATATAGATTTACAATTTAATACTTATATTTGCGAAATAATATTTCTATGTATTTTACACAATAGTCATCTCACATGTAGTGTTGTAAAATTCAGTTAGGAGAATAAGACGAATTTGTCATTCGAAACATCTATTTTTAGATATATATCTTTGTGCTTAAAGCAAACGAATTACAGTCTTGATCTTCTATATATTTATAAAAAGTTGGGATCGAGGCTTATCTCGCGATACGCAACAGATTCGAGCGTCACGTTGCAGCCATTGCTATCCTTTTATCGCGTGACGACTTGATATCGATGAAAGCAATTTACCAATGCTATTTACCTTGGATTAAAAGTCCTTGATAGATTTTGTAAAATCTCTGAGTGAAACGATTAGCTAAATCCAACGTATGGAAAATTGCTAGAAAAAGACGACACCCAACATGCTTCGCGAACAAGATCATAAAGTTCTTAAGTAACCGACATTGGTCGAAACGCGATGGCCGACATGTTAACTTGCAGTGACAATGTATAAACTAGTTGGACAACTTGAGGTAGGAATTTCTACATCGTAAAAAATTTACCAATTACAAGAATATAATAAAAGGTCTGTTTTTATCGCTGAATTAGTGTACACTCAGGGAACATAAAAAGAAATAGATATATATCTACGAGTTAGTGAAAGGGAGAGGAGAAAAGAATAAGTACAAGCTAGCGCAGCCAATTTAGCAATAAAAAATAAACCTATAGGGCCAGAGCACAGACTTCTGCATAACGCATAATACACAACGCATAAGAGAATCAACCAATCAGAGTTCTTCATTTCCCTCCTCAGGACAGAAATGAAGAACTCTGATTGGTTGATTCTCTTATGCGTTGTGTATTATGCGTTATGCAGAAGTCTGTGCTCTGGCTCATAGGCTGCGTCCAGATATTCACTGCCAGTACTGAAAATATATAGTTTATGTTATATATACTATAGATTTTTAGTGCTGGCAGTGAATATAGGAACGCACCCTAAATTAGTCTCAAGATAGCAAACAAATTGACCAATCACATTCGATTATTCTCCGCGGTCGAAAAATAATCGACTGTGATTGATCAATTTGTTTGCGACTTTGCAATTTGCTACTAAAGTAGACTTAACGTTTTCGCTTAAGTCGAGTCTACAATGGTGATTTAAGCTTTAAATCATAAAAAATTAACCAACGACAGTCGATTATTTTCCTCACATTCAACTGTAAAGCGTCGTCTACAATGACAGTAAGCAGTAAGAAGTAAGCGTAAGCGGTAAGAAATAAACCACTCACAGTCGATTATGACAAAAATAATCAACTGTGGTTGGTCCATTTCTTACTGTTCACGCTTACTTCTTACTGCTTACTGCTATTGTAGACGACGCTTTAGGCCGGGTCTACAATAGGTGATTTAAGCTTTAAGCTATAAGAAATTAACCAATTACAGTTGAATGTGAGGAAAATAATCGACTGCCGTTGGTTAATTTCTTATAGCTTAAAGCTTAAATCACCTATTGTAGATCAGGGCTAATTGGTTAATTTCTTATAGCTTAAAGCTTTAATCACCTATTGTAGACCGGGACTAAATTTTATGGACCAGTAAATCGTGGTTTAAGTCTTGACTAAAAAAGTAAATTTTAGCTAAGATTAAATCATAATTTATCATCTTCCGTAAATTTAGCCTAAACACGACCCACTTTATTCGATCATTTTACCTTTCATAAAATTTTTATCTTTTATAAAATTTTTACCTTCCATAAATCCTTTTTTATAAACTTTTATTTAATAACAAGTCTAGCGAATTATTAGACCCGTTATTTCTTCCTTACAATTGTTAGTTTCAAAGTTTCCGCTAGGAACCTCCACTTTCTTCAGCCAAGAATAAGGTCGAAGTATGAATCGACAATAAGTACAACTTACTAATTAAATAGTACGAATTAATAATGATCTCGATAAATCTTTATTTTCAAAAAATACGACATAACAGTAATTAATTTAATCATTTGCATTAATTAATTGTTTGATTTATATCACATTATCTCTTTTATTTTATATATTTAATAATTATACTTTTGTTATTATATATTTTTATACATGGTTGTTGTATTAATTTATTAACTTTATCTCATGTAGATTTAGCACATTGGCTACATCCAGGAAACAAAGTGCTCAGTGAACGATTATAGTGATTATTTAATGTTAAATCCTTACATTTAGACCAGTAACGTTGACGAATTACTCAACCGTTGTTCAACCGTTGTGTTTTCTGAACACAGCCATTGATTGCAGCCATTGGGTGCATTCAGTACTACAACCGCTCACTGAGCGCTAAGTGAGCTCTTGCATCTGATTGGTGTATATTTTTAAATCTAAAGGAATATACCAATCAAATGTAAAAGCTCATTGAGCGCTCAGTGAGCGGTTGTAGTACTGAATGCATCCATTGCTTGTAGTGTGGAAAGTACATTTGAAAAGAATAGCGCGAGCGAGCAGCGAGTTGAACAGACTTCTGTCTCAAGCGTAAAATACACAAAAACGTAAGTTTTGCAATGAAATAACAAGCAGCCTCTGTGCAACTTCCAAATTTACTTTGTCTCATCTGGAATCGAAATTGTCCGACAGTACGAGCGATGTTTTTCCTGTATCTCCACAACTAATTTGACGTTTCGCATACGGGGCGCTTCGAAAAATTTGAAAATGTCGACGGACTCGTCGACAAACTCCTCTGCTTCCACCGACAGCAGGCGGGAAGACGAAGCAAGACCCCGTAACAGATGTAAAATCAAAAAGCGATTGAAAACACTGTTTTGCTGCATCAAACCACGTGAATCACACGAAGAGGTAATTGAATATGATCCTGACGAATACGACTATATTATCGAGAAACTCGTGGTGAAACGCGTGCCGCTTGCGTTATTCGCAATTCGTGCCGATCTTCTCGACCACCGGCACGGATCCGACGTGACGATGACGTCAGAACAAACTTCGCGATCAGCGTCATCGTCCACCTTCGGCAAGAGAAGCAATTTTGCAGTAAGCACCGTTGCGCAAGGAAGTACCTCGATGAAGACCACAACGGACAGCAGCGTGTAGGCCCGATTTTTTTTATTTATAATTCAAATAAAAACAAAAACGAGAATACATAAATATATGATTAATATCAACATGTTTCTTCACACACACACACACACACAGCTTGAGTCATCGAACTAGGTCCTCGGCATGGCGAAAGGAGATTTTAGACAAATTCAGTGCCCTGTATCCCGACTTGAAAGAATCCGAAAGATTATCCAAAGATCCGCTGAATTCTCCGCAAAGTAAACAATCATTTACGGGGAACGTTTCTGGAACGTCCAGAACAGGGACCGACGTCTCCTCCGAACAAATATCCTCCGCGGTCGTCAAGGATAAATCTGTTCATCGCGGTAGACCCATCTTTGGATTCAGCAGCAAGAGAACAGAGAAGAGCGATGGTTCCAGGCAACCACGAGACGCGTCCTCCGAGAAGGATCGGAGCAATTGTTTCCCTGGAGTAAATCTAAGATACGTTGTATTGCCGTTTCGAGTGCGAAGTGGTTCTTTCGATCTCGAGAAACAGGAGAAGGTCCATGAAGACACCGGAGTGAATTGCAAGTCGCTGATGCACCTCGGGGAATTCGTCGAGGATAAAACTTTGCAACCAGTTGAAGCTTCGAAAGACTACGAATTGCCGAACACGGCGGTCAGATGGAGAATCACCATCAGACGACAGCGAGCAAACGCGGACTCTGATGCGGTCGCTCCTGAGGTGATGAGAAATTCTCAAAGGGACAATGAAAATATTTAGTTATGTAAACACATAGCTATGTACATATCGCGCGTTATTGCAGTTATTATTAAAATTAATTTCTTCTACTATATTTTTTCACAACTTCTTTACCGTTCTTTGCGGTTTCTTCCATCGTTCCTCGCCGCTGTTTCTTTCACAATTCTTTAAAATTCCACCGCTTCACTTATTTAAAATTCATCGCTTTAAGCCGCGTCCTCCGGGAGGGAGAACGCAGCCGTGAACATATATAGTTGCCTACACATATCTGCGGCAGTTCACCTGCATCTATATGCTCCTGCACCTGTGGACGTTGCCGCGGCAACGAGCGCGATATCAAAATGGTAGCGATCGAGATCTTTTCAAGCTCAGTCGCTTACAAGTACAAAAGCAGAATATACTCCTTTGCCTCGATCGTCGTTTTCCTGTTCATCGTGCTGTCGTTGATCACGCCGCTTTTCATCGTCTACCATGCGGGAGGTAAGCTGTGGGAGGTAACCCTGGCTCGTCGCGATCATCGTCGCGTCCCTATGCGCGTGTCACAACGGTGACGTAGTTGACATTTGAAAATTTCCAGGTGTCTGGTTGAGAAATCGGATGCACGCGGAAAAGCCAGACGTGCACTTCGAATACAAGTATTTGCTGCTCGCGGAAGTGGATCCTTACGAGGAGCCCATCGTATGCACAACGTTTACAACGTATAAAGAAAACAAGATCACGGATCAATGTGCAATGATCAAGGTAATCTTCTCGCTGTTGCGCATCAACGACATTGGAACACGAGACTCGAAAATATCGTAATTTTTTCAAGTAAATATCACTTGTTAGTTTATCATTATTAATTACCTAATATATTTAAAATTTTTCATTCCTTCAGGTGCGAGAAAATGATTTAAACGGTGACGGGGAGAAAGACTCGTTAAAGTTCGAGGCATACTTCTACACGGATAGGCCGGTGAAGTCCATCAAGCTTCTGTTGTTCTTCAATTTTCAATTGAAGGTACGCATTATGTGTCGTAAATGCAACGCGAATACATCCGTAGTCGAGTTTCATCTGACCTAACGTATCTCTCGCGTTCGACAGCACCTCATACAAGCGTCGATAGAATCTATTGGAGTGTTCGATTACGTGTTGACTCACGAGGCTCAGGAGGTACGATTCTTCGGCGATTTGGAATTGCGGCAGAAAGGGCTCCTACGCAGCGAGGGCCTCTATGAAACGTACAATCGCAGTCTGGAATTGTCCGATTATTCTTTGCACGAACTTTTGCTGTACAATTTCAACCGCAAATGTATGTACGCATATCTGTCCTTACAAGCGTGATACGATATGTATATACGATAACACGCGAATTTTTTATAATTGTAGTGATAACGCGCCACGGGTCAGTAGAGTCTTCCTTCTCTTTTCCGAAAATAGAAAGCACTAGCAAGTGTCGGCTCTCTCGAGCTGCAGTTCGATTTCGAACATGAAATCGCGCGCGCGCGATATCGAGTTATATTTGTTCGTTAAAGTTTCAGCAAACATCGCGAACGAGCGTGTAACGTGGCGCAGCGGCTTCTCCAGCGACGAGACGGTGGCAGTCGTCGGCGAGTTGTTCTACGTGGAGAACTTCATTCACTATCAGCCGAGCGTATGGGAGGAACTCAAGTGGGCATGGATACAATATTTGTCGTGTTTGCTGGTGTTCGCATATGTATCTAAGCACATCCTCGTGTTTCTCTTCACGAACAGATATCTGAACACGTACATTGTTAAACCGTGGGTGAATAAATAGCGGTAAATAAATTTCATTTTTATACGCGAGATAGTGGTTATTTTACACACATACATTATCTCGTGTTACAGGAAGTTTTGTCGCCACTATGTTAAATTTTTTTCAAACGGCAGATTCCCTGAGACGAGTGAGGCTATTCATCCTGTCTAGATTTCAATAAATCGATTCAAAAAATCGCTCGATTGTTTGCGATCAAAACGCGGAGATTTTAAGGAGGCCATTTAGGCGTTCTTCATTCTACTAGACGTCGAACGCCGAGAATAACAGTGCCCGAATTCTCGATGTTCAGTCATGCTAACGCTAATTAGAAGACGCCTGAATAGGGGAAGCCAGTTGAACAAGAAACGATAATTTCGCGAGCTCCACTTGCAGCTCGAAAACGATCGATGCCTCGGCACTGTCGTCGACGAAGACCCGACTTGAAATCACTCGAAAAATCTGCCGATGAAGTTGAATCTGCTGAGCACGAGTCATTCTGTCCAACTGAAGTGCCGTATATTCATATAATATATGCGACCTTTTTCGCTTCTTCAACGAGTTTCTCGTTGCTCCGAACAGCGGAATATCTCGGTAAAGCCGAATATCTTTTTCCGCATTCTTCTATCCATCGCAAACGATATGTTTCTCGCGCGTTCAAGCCGAGGAAATTGAAGCGCCGCGATAAAACATCACCGCGTTCATTCGTTCAGCCGTGGCGTTTATCGGGCACGAAAAAGCGCGCCGCTTCGGCTCTCCGTGCGTTGTCGGCCGATATCGGCCACACAAGTTGGATCGATAAGAAGGCTGGTTGTGCCACCTCCACTCCCGGCGCTACGCTCGGCGGCATCGTCGACGTCGGCTTTCACCCTCTCGCGCTCGTTTCTTCCCGGCGAACAGGCGGCGGTTCAATGAGGGTGGAGACTGCGCCGTGTTCGGCCGCGTTCTCGCTGTTCTTACAGACGCACGCAGCGCGTAATAATCACACGCGGGCGGTCTATCGGCACCGGACCGACGTTTAGAATGGGTGAGTTTTGTTCATGTCGAGGAGGAAGTGCACGGAAACGGTGGTCGAGCGACGAGTCGCGCTGATATAGATGCGCAATTTTCCTCGCGAGCGACGGACGATTCGAGATTCGAGAGGTTGCGAGAGCAGTTCTCAGACTGGGACGGGTGTTTTCAATCGCCGGGATCGGTCAACAATGCCGTCAAGTTCCCGGTCGTCTGTGAAAGGTAGAAGACATTTAGCAAGTATTCTCCGAGTATCTTCCGACATTCATAATTCGGAAGCTCATAATCGTAGGATTGCGAACCTCCGCCGTTCGCGAGTAGTCGTTCATCCCCGAGAAGAGCCAGCAACGATATTGTTATAGTTTCACGCGCGACAACTTTCCGCGTCTTCGCGAGAAGTGTCTCTCATGCGAGTGAAAATATTTTTAAACGCAGAGTAGCGCGAGAATATACGTCATCGGCGCTATGTCCACGAGGTCGAAGGAGAAGGTCGTGGCGGCCTTCCGCAAGCTCTTCCGCTCTTCCGACAAGATCACGGAGCAGGATGGAGCCAGCGGTTCGACCGGCTCGCCGTCGAGGAGGCTTCTGAGTCGTCACCATCGCCCGGATGCCGTTACCCCGGCGGCCAGCTCGATGCCGGAAAATTCGGGTACCAGCCGCGCCGATCATGGCAACTGCTTTTTTAAGTCGAAGAAGTCATCCGGCACTTCCGGACAGGTGCGTTTATTCCCTCCTTCCCTACTGATCCTATAACAAAAGATCATCAGAAGGTTGCTATGCAATGAACTCACCAGATAAACGAGATCTAATCTTATTATTTGCTTTTTATCTACCCTAACCAAGTGACCGGAAAGGTCTCGGTCCTCCATTGTTTGGTTTCAGTTTAGTTCACCACGTGTGATCTTCGTCATCGTCGCGCTCCGAAACATTCGTCGAGTCTTACATATACGATTTTCACGCGCAGACCATGAGTATGGCCGAGAAGGGTTTGCGTCGGCTGATGAAGGAGCTCAGCGAGATCCAAAGGATGCAGCATCACCGCGACTCTACCTTCACCGCGGAGCTGGTGAACGACAACCTGTTCGAATGGCATGTGCGACTGCACAAGATCGATCCGGAGAGCGAGCTGGCGGCCGACATGCGTGAGCTCGAGATACCCCACATACTGCTGCACGTCATCTTCCCCGAGAACTTCCCGTTCGCGCCGCCCTTCATGAGAGTGATCTCGCCGAGGATCGAGAAGGGCTTCGTGATGGAGGGCGGCGCTATCTGCATGGAGCTCTTGACGCCAAGGGGATGGGCCAGCGCGTACACCGTCGAAGCGGTCATCACGCAGTTTGCAGCGAGCATTGTGAAGGGACGGGTGAGCAGCATCTTCAAGTCTGAAAGCGTAAGAATGCAAGGGACGCGTGTTAGTATGATTCTCGCTTGAAAAGCCGTGTTCCTTCTGCATAGCAATAACTATCGACAAATAATATCAGTATTGTTTGGACAAATATTTAGGCAAATATCGATCTCTCTCAGATAAATTCTCACAAAGCCTGTCGTTTTGATAGGGGCGAGTGGCGAGGAAACCGAAGCCAAACAAAGAATTCACTCAGCGATCAGCCGAGGAGTCATTCAAGAGCTTGGTGAAAACGCACGAGAAATATGGCTGGGTGACCCCACCGCTCGCCGAAGGCTGATCGCAGTGTCTCATTGTCGACAGCTAGAAGAGACTCGCGTCTCTCGCTCGAGGAACTGCGCATCGGCCGAAGTGATCCTTTCCCTCGATTCTAACGGCGGCAGCGGCAACGGCAACACAGACGGTGATCGCACTTTCTTTATCCCCGAACGAGCCTGAGGTGTAATTTTAATTGTTATATAATTGCAGTAAGAAGTATGTGTAAGTAGAAGTGCAGTCAAGAGCTCCAGATTTCAACATCGCACGGACGTGCGTATTTTTTTTTTTCGTCATTTTCGCACATTTTTCAACACCTTTTATAATAAATACTACCATGCCAAATTAGCTGTTAAGATGAACGGGACGGCTTCTGCGTTAACAGCCGTTTTGAACGCGGTGGTTTCTTCGTTAATCGTGTATACACAAGGACGTTAACTTTACGCGCAGCTTCTCTCCGATCGACAATAGTTCGCAAGAGGTTCACCTCACACACGTCGAATGTCGGAAGCTCATAAAAGTACTTCGTTCCAGTAGTTTTGAAAAAAAAAAGATTACACATCAGAAGAAATAAGAGAGAAAAGAAAGGAAGAAACTAGAAGAGACAAAAGGTTGCTCAATAGCATATACTGAGGCGTTCGCGCGATTTAAACGTGCTCGTTATTTACGTACACGTATAATTGAAGGACCGACTAAGCATGTAAATATAAAACAACGAAAACAATACACATAGAATAACATCCTTTCTTCGCTCTGTGAACCTTTCAGTTTCAATTCGAGAGCGTCGTTATTTGTGCGACATCCGCGTGTGAATTCTTCCATGGAAACTGAAGTTTCGATTATGAGCTTCTATACGATAGTTTGTCCCTTTCCTCCTGTTCTCCTGTCCCCAATTTAAAACCTGACAATACTAAATGCGTTACGTACGAACGGCTTCAATGTTTCTCAATCGATTAATTGCAGAAGTATTTGTATAGTCGCAACGTTAAACATACACACTCGGACGTGCCAAATAAAACAAGTTAGTTCGCAGTATTGATGTTTTTTCGCCAAATTTTACACCCACGCTCGACCGTCGCGAAAGTTCGTTGCGAACGATCGAGTGTCTCACGATTCGTTTGAGAATTGATTTACGGTGTTTATCACGGGGCTAGATTAACGATAAGAAGTATCTGATTGATTATCCAAACGTACGACTTCAATGTGGTGCCGAGAAGTAATAATATTTGTACAAGATTTTCAGATGAAGGTACGACGAAAGATAAATATAAATAAATTATTTACAAATATATGTGAAACCGGTATTAGTCTTTTTCGACACGTGTTAACAGTACTTTTGGCCTATTTACCATTTACTTGTAGAAGTCGAAGGACACACACACACACACACATGCATACACACATATACACACCCACATCACATATACGGTGTACACAGACAGACAGTTTCCCAACAATCGGATCACACGTTGCGCATATAGAATTTTAGAAAAGGCGAACTGTGAAAAGGAGAAAAATACAGCACGAATGAGCGACAAGCTTATCTCCGTTAACGACTTACAAACTAATCGCAAGTTATTATACTTAGAAGTAATTTTCAACACCGTTTTATCAAATCTGTTTGAATAAAGTTATTATCCAAAAATTCATTATTATGTCTGTATAGAATTCCTTAAACGCGTACATCTACTTGGAATATTCACCGTGATTGGAAATAACTTAGACATTACTTATTTTTTTGTACAATTTCCTAAGTTCCGCTTTACGGAAAAAACATATCTTGCTTACTCACATACAAGGCACACAACAATCAGTCATTCATGAGTGCATTCTGTTCCCGCTATTCGATGACGCTTGAGCAGTTATTTATTATTAGGATGACGTCTAATACGTTCACAGTCTGCATCTGCATATATGAATATCACCGTTAGTACGATAAGAGAATCATGCTAACAATGCGCATATTGTGCTCTCTTTTCTGATCATTAGTGCTTTGTTACCTCCGATGATTTTACTCCCGAGACGAAATTATCGAAGTTTTCATGTTACAATCGGTAAACTATGAACGTCATAACCATCAAATATACACAAGATAGTGGACTATTATCATAACGATCAAATGTGATGAAATTTTATATGATATGATTTTGCTAAATCGGTATTATGCTTAATCTTATATTTCTACGTACTCGTATGTATTGTTGAATTATACACGGGCACGGAAAAAACGTGGCTCGTACATGCGCGGGGATTACGTATCGAGAAACGTTTTTACGTCAAATATTTCCAAAAGTTGAATGTGTCCGGCAGTATCAATAATTGGCACTCAGTTATGCGCTAGAGCTAATTACAATTGTAGCGTACAGGCACAGAATGGTAAGCAATAAATAATTGCAGGCTCAATATGCCATGAGAGTGTACGTATAAAAATTGTAAATCCACCATCGACGGAGTGGCGTCGCTCCATTGTACAATATTGTTAATACTTATTATAACCATCGTCGCGTAACTGACACTCTAATCATACGATCGAGAGGAAAATTTAACTAGAAAGTCTTTCAAATGTACACTGGGCCATCACAGTACGTAACTTGTTTTTGCAACAACCGCAGCGCTTTCTCCAGTACTCACTCGGTCTTGTCCTCTTGCACGCACATGAACAACTTGGCACATATAATATTGATATGATCTGCAAAACAATAGTATTAATTATGTGAAAAATGGATACGATTAGGCGCTCGATTCTAACAAATGCTGCTAAATAATAAGTCTTCAACGATAATGCTCGTGTAACTCACGGGATCCATTGACGAGCCATGCGGGTTTCTCCTTCCAGTGGATGAAGATCAAGTACACGGGAATGCCAGATATTATTACGATTACGCCTACGCCTACTTCCCATGGCGATACGTAGCACGGCACGGTGACCAAAAATGCGCAGATTATGAAGAAGATGATTGGCAGAGCTATCCAAACCTGGAGAATGCAAGAATATACAAATATCAACCCGGCTAAATGAAGGAATAGAAGTTGTCGCGGATACTTTTCTCACCAGGATACTCCTGTCATGACGATAAGAATCGAAAATTGTGCGTACCTTTATGGGACGTTCGAGATCAGGCCTTTTGTAACGCAGCCACAGGAGACCAGACACGGAGAGTGTGGTAAATAGAGCTTCAACGAAGCTGACATAATTTATTAGTGCGTAGACATCCTCTATGATGAGGAGCACCAGGGTGATAATGCACTAGAAACGGAAATTATAGTTTAACGCTTGAAGTGGAGAGTCCGATGATAAGAATAGAAAAATTGCTCCACGCGCATACTGGTGTTTTTAGAATCGATTGTGTATCAACTTCTTAATTGACGTATCAATTCAAACAGATCCAAATTCGACAATAACGCGAAATTTCGAAGTTAACAAACGAGGCGCACGTGAACTTGAGGAATTCAATTTCGGAGGAATTCGCGATGTATACGCTGGTCTTCCGGCAAATTAAAATGATTACTTGCGTTTTTGACACGCGATTAATTGTGTTTTTATTAGATGATGAGATTTTAACGACGAAATTACACAATGCGTAATGGCGTGACGTGACTTCAAAACGCGACAATGCGGTCGTTCTTTTTCTTTCATTCGCAGAAGGAGTAGAGATCGCAGGCAGACTTCCGTTGCTGATCGTCAAAGAGAGATGGGGTTGTCGTGACATGAAAAGGACAATTTATCGTACTCGATTAACGAGTCGCAAATCAAGATGCCAAGCGCACATAGTGCGTCGTCGCGTGTCGACACTCCGACGACCCGGCTGGCTTCGTTTATTTCATTAAAACATCAAGCTTTAATGTAATTTCGTCAGCCTGCTTTACACGTCAATTAATTCTATTCTCCGGGCTGAGCCGAATTATATCGTACGCAAAGCGTAGATTGTCGCGACATCAGTTGTACACTTCGCCCGAAATAATGATCGACATGCTGACTGCCATTTTGGTCCGCAATGACCGATTGTAATATTAATTTACACGTAAAACGTAACACATAACGAATATACGCGTTGTAAATTGCATTTATTTGCCGTGCTTTCGAACTTTTAAGTTGAACAGTGAAACAATCAGTGGAAATTAGTCAGCGGCAGTCAATATGTTGAAAAATGAACGATTTCACTTGAAATTTCGCATTACATCAGTATCGCGTGCAAATTCCTCAGCGATTCCGATTCGAGCAAACAAATTTCAAGATAAATACATTATCGTTGTCGGCTCAGTTCTGATACGTCAGTAAGGTATCTATCAAATATGTCACGTGGGCCGCTAACACGTCCCATTGTCACGATCGCCGGTCGGGTGTACTGGAATAGACATTTCACACACTGCGATAAACTGCTAATAAAATGCTCATTCGTAAGATTACTCGATTGGCGGCCATTAAAGTGATAGGAAAAAAAGATACGTTCCTCTGTTAAGGCGCCGTCGGGCGCCTTTCTCTATCAACGAGACACCTCTAATTAACGTTGCAAAATCAGTAACGCGTGAGTTGTTTGTGACGTTCATTTATTTCATTCGATATTTATCTGAGAAGGGAAATCTTAGTCTAAAATTAGGTCACAAGTGTTATTCGAAATTTGCTTGAATGAAAATCACGAATAAAAAAATATCGATGAAAATATCTTTTTCGACTGTAGTATCGAATATGTTGACAAATTCGATATTGATTTTGAAGAATGAACATTTTATTTTGCAAAATGAACTGGAATCGTTCCTTTTCACAATCGTTTAATTTGGTCGGGGCGCGATACGATACTCACGAGGAAGATGAGAGATGGCATCGGTGTTAGGTTGCGGATGTTGATCAGGGCAATGGCAGTGGGAAGGTGCCCGTTTCGGGCACCAACGAAGAACAGCCTGGATGACGCAAAGATCGCGCCGTTCAATGCACCGAAAGTCGAGCATGCTACGAAGAACGGTATGATCCACGACATAACGCCTAACAGTTTGTCCCCGAAGGTCTAGAAAGGGAAAATTCCGCGATTCAGTGTTACGCTAGAAAGTGAAGCAATATCTTAGTCGCGAGATTGCATAATCTTTCCGCCAAGGCAGCCGCATTGAATCAATTTCATTTCTCGCTGATACTATGGCTATCTCGTCTTTTTTATCATTATCGAAAGATTGCGCTTCCCTCACGTATCGAGCAAATCTCGTCTTTATTTGTTCAATCTTCGGTATTTTTTTATAAACATATTAAAGCAAATTCTTCATGCAAATCGCAGGTTTTGCAAATCTTTTTCTGACGTCTTTGAATCCGGATATAATGTCTGTAAGATTAAGACACACACACACGCGCGCGCACGCACACACACACACACGCACACACACACACGCACGCACACACACACACGCACGCACGCACGCACGCACGCACGCACGCACGCACGCACGCACACGCACGCACGCACGACGCACACATACACACACACACACACAATTTCAATATCTTTATGGAGTATATTTATCCTTATGTTATCATCTCTATAACAAAAGAACACTGACACGAATACGATTATTTGGCATCGAACCAATCACATGGATCGATATCCACGTGCACAATTATTTATGAGCGTGAACTTACCACGGCGACGGCGTTCGAAGCGAGTATCTCGTCTTGTGTAAGCACGACGAAGTAGGCGATGTTCGCGAAGACATAAATCACTGTCACTAATGGCAATGATATACAAATTGCTTTCGGAAGATTCCTGTAAAAATAAGATAAACACAGCTATTATACGGAATCTCACATCTCAAGCCTATCTGTTGAGAATTTGAAATGCTAATTGCGTTTTTGCGGCTGATATATGCACCATAATATCTAACACGCATAAATATAAACTATTCCGTATGTTATCAATTTTTACTAATAGAACGTGTTTCCCGATTAAAAAATAGATAACCAATCCCACTTTACCTGAATTATTTTTTAAATCATTTCTCTCCCTATTATAAATTAATCGAAGAGTCGTGATGGGCGAAAGGAGGATACAGCAATTTTGACATTATTTACTTGTAGGGATCCTTCAGTTCCTCCGTCACGAAGTTGAGGTAATTCCAACCCGAGTAGGAGAATAATCCCGAGTAAACAGCTAAAGCAATGTAACCAGGCTGAGTGTTGGTTCCGGCTATTGGATGCTGGAAGTTTTCCGTGTGACCTTTGCAAAACCACCAGAAGCCAGCCACCATGATGATCACTAGGGCAAAGATTTTCGTGCCCGTGAAGATGTCTTGTACCCTGGTCGCCCACTTGACGTTGTAGCAATTGATAGCGGTCAAGAGACCTGCGAATACAACGGAATGAGAATTAACATATGTCGCTTGTATGTTAATATCGCTGTAGCAAGTGAGACAATCCGATGCGCGTACAACGCTTCCGAGCTATATTTAAAAGTCGCGTACGCAGCGCTCGCGCTTTCATGTTTTCGCGGATTCGCAATTTCTCGCGTGGACCGTGCGTCGCAGCGCAGCACGTGTGTCGAAATATACTTTTGGCCAACAAGGTGAGTGTTCACGATTCGTCATCTGGCATCTATAGTCAATGCGGAGCATCCGTTTCGTAGTATCAAGTGGCTTTATGTGATTAGGAGAGGGAAAGAGAGAAGAGATGGGGTTTACTAGCCAAACAACCTAGGGACTTAATTCGACATAATGGGTCGAAATAAATCAAAATACCTTTTCCAAGAGTTCAACACGTCTGATGTGACTTAAAACGATTTTCTGATTTTCCACTAAGAGGTATAATTTTATCAAACCGATTATAAACACAAATGCTGTAGATTTATTCTAACAGCAATTGATAATAACAACAAACGTTCTTTACCATTACGTCATCGTCTCGCAGATATAAAATATACAATAGAGAAATTGCGCAACCATAACGTAACGATAACAACATTGCCGTTAAAAGCGATTATAGAATAGGCCTACTGGTTTTCTTCTCGACTCTTCTGCTTTCTTCGCCCCATATGCATTCATAACTTCGCGATAATATTCATCTTACACGTGACTACGGCAGCTAGTAGCCGTACTGCCGCATACGGAGGAGTGCAACCTGGCCATACGGGCTGTAGAATGTATTGCGCGAACGTGAGAGCGGTGATGGCATTCCCCGTTGGGACCAGGACGAATAATGCCACCCAGAGGTAGAGGAATGCAGGTAACGGTCCGAAAGCGTCACTGATGTACGCATAGTCACCACCGGATTTCGGGATCATCGTACCTGCGGACATAAAAGGAGGGTTGCCTTTGTACCATCTGTATTCCCATTGAGCAAACATTGCGTGCGTCAGTGCGTGCCGCCGCTGCATTAGTTGACACACACTTTGCGAGCACCGAGCCGTGGCACGCGCATGAGTCGACTTTGTTTTCTCGCCGAACTACCCGTGATGATGAATCCGGACAATATACTTTATCACGCACGCCCATCTCGTGTTTTTCGAGATATCGTGGTGGTCTCTCGCACATCCGCGATACCGCGCCATGTGAATACTGTGAATAATTGTCGCGTCTTCAGTGTAATTGAATTTTTCTGCTTTTTCTTCATTGTAAAGTGATTATTAGCGGAACAATTATGTCGGTTGCGCATCTTCTTCTTTATTAACGCACGGCATGCGATAATTGCAGCCAGTAATAGCGTATAAACGTGCATCACGAAAGCACCGATAATTTGTACTCTCCGTATGTTCCCTTCCCATTAATAATGAATTAATTAGATCCTTTTGCACGCGACGAAACAGTCGCGCAGCCCTTCAACCTCGATTTATCAGCGACATATCTTTATTATTTTATAGATCTTTTCATTTTTACATCTTTTGCTTTCATGCGCGACGATTCCCATGGACATAAATTATTTGTCAATTGCGAAAATAATACAGCACGAAAATAAACATCGATTATATTACTATCATTTAAAAATCCCTATCGAAGAAATTAAAACAATATTTTCATATTTCAACTAAGCAACAAGAGAAATTATGAAATTTATTACGTTCTGCTGGTGCAAAAATTCAACACTAGAAATCATCTTCAGTTCGCGTCGCGTTCAGTCGCGTCGCTGATAAGTTTACTGTCGTTTAATTTCGTAATTATCAGCAGCACGTCATATTTCGTACAAAAACTTCGCTGTTTCATAACAGCGATTATATACTCGAAGATAATTCAAGAATTCCAAGTAAAATATAGAAAATTTGTATCTGCAACGAAAAGGAAATATTTCAAACTTATGTATCATCAAAGATTAATCACAATAAATGTTTTAAAATTTTCCACTCGTTACGTTGAAAACATTCGATGTCGAAAAAGGAATACTGATAATTTGATGTGAGCATTACTGCTGAAGTCATATGATGATTGTGTCGTCGAAATGTGATTACACCGTCATTGATACACTTTGAACTTTAGCAACGCAGAGACATTCCGCACAATCAGTACTAGAGAAATATCGAGGTTATTGTTATACATTATCGAATCATTAATTAATGTAGTAACCAAGAATGCGAATTATATCGATGCACATTATACGCTAAATAATTATATATTTAAATTTCTCGCTCTACATAAGATATTTATATATATGTTAAAGTATTCTAGGAGAAAGGGAAGTAATAACTCGAAATCTCTTTCACACTTGCCTATTTCGGTAACTTGTTGAGCCTAGTGATTGTCACGTTATAAAATTAAAGGGTCCATATTTTGCCAACGAATTCTTCGTAAATGAAAATTTTCGTTATTTGAAGCATAAATGACGGTAATTTTATCCTGAAAAAAGTACATCTTCTATCAGCAGATAAGGAGAAGCTGTACAGTAGATAAAGTGCGAGGGACGAGATAAAAGAGAAAAAGAGGAAACAGTACAAGTGGCAATAAATATGTGCAAATTGATTAACATTCAGAGAATAAACTACAAACTTCCATTCTCTGAACAGAATTTGTGAAATTCTGTTCAGAGTTTCTGTTTCAAAGTTTTCCGTTCAAAGTTTTCTGTTTGGTGACAATGTGTGAGACTCTCGATGAAATTTCGAAATAAAGGACATGCATCCATGAAAAATTCGATGTAGAGCGCAATTTCGCCAGAGCGACTGTCTAAGAATATCCAAGTGTATCGGCGGCGTTATTTCCCGTGATTTTCAGGAGGAAATAGACCCGCGCACGACATTGTGTACTGTTTTGGGTCGTTGATACCGGAATATCTTAGTCATGATACCATATTCTACATTTTGTCACATATTTGTACTGACGATTAACACATTTTCTTCAAGACAAACTTAAGGGTAGAAGAAATTTATTTTTACCCTAAAGTCTATCTTAAAAATAGAAGATTAGAATATAAGTTAAATATCTTCGAGATAGAAGGAAAACGAGAAACGGAAGATGCCACTTTTTGAATAACTTATATATGATGGTCCTATCGCGTCTTTCACTCCTTAATACATACAACAGAGCATTCATTGAAGATATCTATATTTTTAATAGAAAAAAGAAACATCAGGTATTCCTTCTCTATTCGACCCAGATCTTTGAATGAAATAAGCACGTGATCGTCTTGAAGCTGCTCTAACGCCATCTACCGAGCGCGCCAGCTCGAAAACACCGGAAATGTAAATTTCTTTCTGCTGTAAAATATACAACAGATTAGATTACTTACCGAGCTCGGCGTAGCATAGAGCGCCGATAAGCGACAGAATTCCGGAAAAGACCCAGATGATGAGAGCTTGACCGACGCTGCCGCTGTTTTCGAGCACACCCTTCGGCGACACAAAGATACCTGCGCCGACAATGATACCGACAATAATCGCCACTCCATCTAATAGGCCGAGCTCCTTCTTTAGCTTAACGCCTTGGTCGCTCTGTATGTTGTCGTCACTGTCACCATTTGGCCCTATGGAGCTCGGTTGCAGGACCTTCTCTGCTGGCGCTACCTTGTCCGGCATCTTCTCAGGTTTGCGGCCGATGCACGTAGTCGACTGCGTCCCTTGTTAAAATTCGCGCGTGTTACACGCTGGTCCACGTTACAATTCCAGCCGTTATAGCCTGCCGCGTCTGCATCACCATGCACGCCCACGTCTCCGTGCAACGTGGTTGTACACGTAGAAAGATAAGAGCAAATGAGACAGTGAAAAAAATTAATAAGACGGAGGGGACACGCTCTCACGCGGCACCACGTTGCGGCGTTTGCACACCAGACACACGTGCGCGATTGTGTTTCCGCCCGATCGAACCGTATGGCCCGTTCGCCGATACCTCACTGCCCGCTTTTTCTCTGCGCACGCTCTGCCTGCGCGCAATACAGCGCCGCGCTGCGCCGGTACACGCTGAGCTATCACCTTTACCCTCTGCAGCAATGTGATTCGTCCACCACCGATCGAACAGGCGCGACACTCGCGACTACGAGCGCCCAGTGGCGCGGATATGTCCGTGTTGATATGCCGTTGAATCGCCGTAGCATTGCAGGCAAAGCCTGCGAAATTCTTGAGAGCACGATGGTACTCGCTACGTCGAGATCCCACAGTACCTCTTCCCATCCAGCGACGATGCCTGAGTTACGAGCGACTGTCAAACTCGCTCGACGACGCGATCGAAGAATGCAACAACATTCCTGATGATTGCGACAGTCGCGGATCAACCTTTGCCTCTGATGTTCTTCGAAACATTCAATTTTTATCGAACCAACGCAGTTCTCGTTGAGTTCTCTTCCTAGCGTCGTCAACGACGCACAACGAATCTGCTTAATGAGAAAATATAAATGCAAATTTGAGACGACAAGCACGAATCGGAATCGTGCTCTGAAACTGCTGAAAAGTTGTTATAAAGGCAACTTTGACACACTCACGATGTTGCATACGACGACGTTTGCATATACACGTCACTTCCAGCACCGGGTGTCCTTTATTTCGACGCCAATGACCTCACCTGGCTCGATTTTTACAGATTTCGGACATTTATTGCATCATCAATTCGGCGCTCACGGCAAAAAACGGATCTGCATACACATCTGCGAAAATAATGCATTATAAGCAGACGAGCGGATACAGACGATATTTATAGTCATATGAGCGACAGGATTAAGATAATTAAGCGGATATTCGCGAGAAATTGCGAAGATGTGAATGATAAGATCAATGAAATTCAAAAGACGTACGCAAATATTAACAGAGGTGTATTTGTCGCAGCCCGTCTTTTCTTTCCCGGTAATTCTCGCGCGGCATGTCTCGCCGAATATTGACAATGGATTATTTTATAATGTTAAAGCTAATATTTTTACTCTCCCGTTATCACGGCTCACGCTCTCGTCGGCTTATCGTACAATGCCTTTTCCTACGCGCCGAGGAAGAAGAAATCTCGTCGCGAACACCGCTAGTGTCGCTACGTAACGAAAATTCTGCCAAATTTGCGTTCGCACTCGATACGCCGCAGGTTCTGCGGTTTCGTTAAATATCCGTGGATATCCATGATAAGGCAGAAAACCGATGAAAACAAAAACGTGCTGAGTGGACGGCGGCACGACAAATCCACGAAACGCGTTAATCAGCCTCTCGTCTCATCGTCTTATTAGTGGAGTTACGGCGATTTCCCTATAACGAATCGCAGCAAAGAAATCCCAGTGGCTGAATCTCGGCGTGCAGCATCTCACAAAGATTGCCTTATCGATCGCAATTCGCGGCGCAAACCGCCGCTGACGGAGGAGGTTCATGTCGTCGGGATCATCTCGCGCAAAGTGTCGCGGCGCCGGCCGGGAAATCGGTCCTCTCGCGATCTCACGCGGTGCGTGTGCGTTACCGGAGTTAGCGATACTAAAGCGCGTCACGTCCGAGCGATCCCGAGAGCACGCATCACCCTCGGCATTGGCGCGCGCGGCTCCGAAAGGGTCACAGTGAGAATTAACACGGGCAAACGCTTATCCTGAAACTCAAAGACTACAGAAAAAGAGAAAGAGGAATGTATTTGCGAGCGAGATTCTTGAGAAATTATTTACTCTGAAAGAAAGCGACGAAGCCGAAGGTTGTCTTTGGCACATAGAGACTATCGCGAAATTTATCTAGGAATTTCGCTAACAAGTTATAATAATAATATGTATTATTTGTATGATAACGTATTCCGACCAACATTCTCTACGCCAATGTCGCCGCACGTCCGTTCAGTGCCGCGCAACCTTCTCGTCATTATCATTGCATTATCACCTCACATCGGTCGACATTGGTGTGCGTAGGTCGTATGTAGGTGTTACTAAATACGAGTAAATCGCTGTGCCGATTTAATCAGCGGCAGAGTTTCTCGCTGCGTTTCTGTTAATACGCACGGCACCATCCCACTGTTTGCCGACACTGTTTCCGCATTTATAGCAACAAGGTTCATCCTGCTATAAAATTGAGATCAAAATATTAGTTAAATAAACTTAATTTAAATACAATAGTAAACTATGAATGTATCTTTAATGTTTTCTTTCTTTTCTTTCATTTTATACAAGAAAATCTTCCTTCTCTTTCATTTTGTACAAAAAAAGACTTATTTTTAATATTTTAATATTTGGAACTGAAATTTTAACAATTTCATCAACTGTGCTTCTTCTACTTGGTTTTCACACTTTCTATATTTTTATATAACTTTTTTCTTCATTTCTAAAGTATAAATTAAAAAAGACTTGTCATGTACAACATTCTGTGTAGATACATAAAGTTATCAAAATTCTGTATGTGTGCTACAAACTTTGTTGGTATCTTGGCAGTAAGAACACAACAAAATTTGCTAGAGTACAATGACAGATTAACAACCATTAGAAACTAACTAGCATCTACCATTGTACAAATATTTAATTGCATTAAAACAGAACATACAAAAGATTTTCCTCAATTTCTGCAATTTATTGTTTTGTTAACAGAACTTTGCCAGAAGAAGCAAGCTTTGTAATTGCTATTGGATTCATCGCAATATTCTATGCATAATATCATATCTGATAAATAATATGAATTTTAATCTTCGATTACTTTAGTTAACGATGTGACTCTTCGAGAAGAATTCGTTGTTGAGCACCACTGCATGCTAGGCTTCCGCCGCGCATATTTCTCCCCTTTCTAATCCTCCTTGCACGACTCCCCGTGTCCACATAAAAATAATTTTTGACGCCAGCGTGAGATGCATGGCGATTGGCGAAAGGCATTGCTATCGTGATCACTCAAATCTGGAAGGAAACAATTTTCTTAATTCTTGTCGGTTAACAAGTTGTCAACATTGACATAAGCGGCCAACCACTAACGAAATAAGATAACCTAATTTCAGATATCGCCCTTCGAAGACGAAAATTCTCTTCATCGAGATAGCAACTCTATAGCAATATAATAAAATAAACTGGCATTATATTACAGGAAGCATAATATAATATTAATTGCATGATTGCATAATGCAGTTAGCGATTGTTATCACGGTGCTATCTTGAAATGATGAATCGATCGTTCAAATCAGTTTATATAATTAACATTGAAGAACCTGTGCAATCAATTAATTGAAATTCACGTGTTAACCTTTTTAATTCGTTATTATCGTATATTTTCTTTACCTTATCGTTCACACTTATACCTCCTCACTACTCCCGTGTCGTTACGAATAAAATGATCGACTGAGATCACATTCTGATATTCACTGCCAGCACTGAAAATCTATAATATACGTGATATAAACTATGTATTTTCAGTATTAGCAGTGAATATCGGAACGCAATCTAAAAAGCAACTATTTGTAACGATCTTAATTCAAATTTTTCGAATGGAAAGTTTCAAACAATTATCGCGAGATATCGCCACCTACTGGAAATTAATTTACTGCCATCTATGGGCGACATGGAAAATTGCGAAAACGATCAGCTGACTCGACAGTACTCAAATGTCAAATATATTTGGAACGCAGGATCGCAAACGCAAACACTGCTGTTTTGAAATTGCAACATTTCGGTGAGGATGAATAACGTCGAAATCGAGGACTTCTATCACCATGATTTTACTACTGCCTCCGAATGGGAAGTGTTCATCGCGCGATTGGAGGAAATTACGCACGAATGGAAATTGCCCCATACGAAGATCGCGGGTCCTCTCAAACCGGGGGATTTTATCAACTGTCAATGGCACGAGGCCTCGGAGAAGCTGCATTTCGCAGGTTCATGTTTTCAACACGATCGTTTCTGATAGACGGTTTACTGTTATATGTTTGTAATTGTATATCTAACAATGTATAAATTTACAAACTCATGGGTTCAATATGATACACATATGTCAGTAAATTTTACTATTGTGTTAGTTTGAGTCTTAAATGACTCTCCTGTTAACAATTGCACATATCTCAGATGTGGAATTCCTGCTGAAGCACTACAAGCTAAAGAAGGAAGAAGATGAAAAAGAGGATGCAGCTAGTCCTCTAGAAGAACAGGAGGAGGAATGGACGCAATGTCAGAAGGATGCCTTGGATTTATCCAATGATTTTGTGAGGCTTGATGAGAATTGTATGGAAATAGCTCGTTATTATGGTTGTAGAGAATTTCTTGTTTTAATACCAGCGCGGAAAGGAAACTTGATAGATGAAACTCGAATCAAGATCTTGCTTAGTTCACTGACAATTGCAACTAACAATGCGAATTGGTAAATAATCCTAATATGCATACATCAAAATTCTATTTGTGACATAAACTATTCAAATTTATCTATGCATTTTAGTTACATCCCTGCATTCATACAGGTGCAAGAACCTTGGCAAAAATTGTACCTCGGTGGCTGTGCTGGTAAAGGAACTTGTGCATATCTTGACATGGTGCATTTGAAGAAGATTCCATCGCATTGCAAATACCTTACTGGTATGTACTTCTGTATGTTTCAAACTGACCTGCTGCTTAAAATATAATAATTATGTTGTAATTATTTTACAGGTCTACTTGCTTTGTTCAAGCAAAAAGTCAGAGAAGGCTGCTCAGTAAGACTTGATTCTGTGACAGTGTCTGTTAGATTCTCTTACCTGTTAAAGGATTGGACGAACAGCACATGGACGCAGGAACCTCCGGATTTCGATTTCATGCAAGGGGAAACATTAGGTGTGGCCGAATTGGGCAAGCTTCCCTTTGGCGCAACATTCGATCCTGTCGGGTATTTATTAAGCAAACAAAAATTTTAACAAGTTTTGAGACATCTCTTACCACTTGTGACGATGATTGCAGTGAACTTCATTTATTCACCACATGGCCAGAAATGTCGGACAGCGTTGTCGTAGACAGCGAAGGGTTCTCTGATCTGGAGCCGCAACTCGCTCCCATATGGTCGGTGCTAGTAAAAATGGTATCGTCACCGGCTTGCTTGCTCGGCGAATACATGACAGATTTTCTGCATCTCTGCAACAATCAAAAGTCCATGGTAGAATTGTTGGGTGACAACGCATCCTACATTCAAAGTGACGATCAAATGTTAAGCTCCGCCTTTAACGTGCTCACTGAATCCAGAATACCTACGATCTCGACAGTCATGGGCAGGACCAACTCGAAGAAGAGCAAGAACGTAGAGGGCCCGATCTCTGAGGAAATACTGCTGCCTATACTTTACTTTCTCTTTCCAGACGCGGAGGAGAATTCGGTACGTTCAGTTTTCTAGCAGTTTTAAAATTAATTATTGCAAAACATACAATACACTGTTCCCTTATTTTTTTTCTAAATATTTCAAAAATTAAATTTAAAAAATTTTTAAATAATCAAAGCCGCCGATTAATCTTACAAAAGACTCGCTTCAACCTACCAACGTATATATAATAATTATAGATAATTGCATTCTCTGCAGAGATTTCCCTATGGTGACATCAGTGTGTGTAATATGGATGATGACCAATGGAAAGGCGTGAAGACCTGCACGATGGACAGTCTGGTGTGGCGTATGTCGGTCGTCGCAGCGCATTGCACTCATAATTTGGGCGGTGCGACGGCCTTGGCCCAGCTCTGGCACGAATTCGTGCAGGAGATCAGGTTCCGTTGGGAAAGGAATATTCTGATACCAGGGTGAGTAGCGAAGGTCTCTTTATTTGTCGTCAGTGCGTCAGAGACGACGAGAATTGTTCTCGCCATCAATGGCGACGCGCGCACAAGCGAATACGACGTGTGCGAGTATATATGTTATAAAATAAAGTAGAGTCAAGGGAGGCTCCTGAAAAGTATCTCGTCTCGCCGAACGTGCGATCGAGAATGACGTCGTTCTCAGGGTATGTCGGTACGCTTGGTCGCGCGGTGGCGTTTCTTCGAAGACAGACACTTCGACGTCGCAGTCTTTGGGTAGAATCGCCGAGTCCGTCGTGCGAAGTGTCGCGCCACGATTGGTCCGGGAATCGTGTCGAAACTCGAGCCTGCCGAAAGCGCGCTGTCGGCTCGCCCGCTTCGTCGACGATCCGGTAATGAAGTAGAGTACACTTACGTAGGGTTTGCTTAGGGTTTGCTACACAGGGATGTACATATATCTAAGGCCAGTTCTCGACCTGATGCTTACGTTCACGTTGATCGCATATTCGCGCAAGCGTTACACAGTAACGTCTGTCGCAGTGTCAGCGATCGATGGTCGCGAACGGAGCCAGGCAATCTTCGAATTGTTAAGCGTCGAAGAGATGTTTGCTCGAAATATTGAATCTATCTATCTATATCGATCTACCTACCTATCTAAAAATTCTAACAATAGAGTAAGTGCTTCAGCACTTGACTTATTTGATACAAAGTCGTACAAAGATACGTGATCGCCATTGTAATGAACGTTTTCTTGACACTCGACGCGTTTCGAGACTTTCTGTCCTCACAATCAGAGCGGTCGTTGAGATTATTTAGACTTTGCTAGGCGTCTCTTCAGCTTAGAACGTCATGCGGACGAGAACAGTCGCGACTTGGACCAGGTATCTCACTGAACATGCTTGAGCAAGAATGAACGACGAGATCTCGAGACCACCGTGTCTCGACGCGCCAAACTTTACAGTGGCACGAGACCGCTCCTCGTGGTAGGGTTGCGAGCCATGTAGATGTCCATGTCGTGATCGGTCCAGTTGTTCTCGTCATAGTTGTTGAGGGTATGCGTGGAGTCCGCCAGGCTGTATCGGCTGCCGGGTCGCGGCGGGTTCGGCTCCAGGGTGCGGTTGCGTGAACGAGGTCGTTGCCGCCTGGCCGACGAATGCGGTGGCAAGTGGTTGGTGGAGAAATTTGACCGGGACATTCGATCCGAGGCGGCTGCGAGCGACTGGCGCGATTGTCGCAATTCTGTGTGACGAGAGGAATTGATCATTAGCCATTAGCAAACGAAAGTGTCATGTATATATAGACTGTAATTAAGCAGCAAACAACTTACCTGGTCTCGTGTTGACGAGGTTGGAAGCTAACGCAGCGTTGGCGAAATACCGCGTGGAGTTGTTGGAGAAACTGTGCTGAGACTGGCCGTCGGCGATCGACCGAGTAGATACTTTACCGCTGTAGTGTCCGGCTTGGGAGCGCACGTCGTCGATGCAGGACGCCCTGGTGATCGACCCTGAAAATCACGTGATTTCACGTGAATCATAAATTACGAATCATAAAACGTCAGCTGGTCTGTGTCTGAAGTCTGAATGTGTGAAAATACCTATCTTACCTTGCCGATCTATCGGGAAGATCCTTGGCCGCGGTATGCTCCTGTTGCTGTAAGCTGACACCTGGTCCCACTCTTTCTGAGTGTTGTAGGCGCTCAAGGTGGCCATCGACGACAGGGGTCCACCGGGACTGGGTGTCGGGCCCACGTTCGAACAGCAGTTGACAGGCAGACCGGCGATCGGGCCGCCCATCTTCGTCTGGTCGATGCTGTGCAAAGTGTGCAGCTTCCGAGCGCGACGTCGGTTCGCCACCACAAAGATGATGACCGCGACGACGATCGTGGCGCAGATCGCCGCGCTCGCGGCGATCGTGATCTTGTCCATGTTCGAGGTCGGCGAGTTCTCCGTCCTGACTTCGCGACATTGGTTGTACGGCACATTCGCTGGCGTGATGTTGGTCTCCTCCAGCGAGACCACGCAAACAACGATGCACTCCTGTGATACCAACAAGTAGAAAGAGTTGAATCGATTCGACCATGAAATTAGGTTCGCCTAGTTTTCAAAGCATCGAGTTCATCCTGAAAGAATCCACCTACCTGCGACGGCACGTTTTTGATCTTGAACTCTCGCTCGCTGGCCTCGAGCGGTGGCGCCTGCTTGAAATTGTTGTCCCCGAACAGTCGGTAGATCACCCTGAAGCCCAGGATGTTGGTCGCCTCGGTATCCCAGTATATAATAACTGCGTTGTCTTGCCTGAGCACATCTTTGACCACGATGTCCTTCTCGCCCGATTTTGACTTATACAAGGGTGATCCTAGAACCAGCGGTGGCCTTGGTTGATGTTGTTGCATCTGGTCCTGCGGCTGTTTCGGCGGCGATGGGGTAGTCCTCATGATCACGACGTTTCCGGTTCGTGCAGCTGTCGGTCGACTCGTAGGGATGAAAGTGGAAGGCGGCACCGGTGGTGGTGCCGTTCTTCTCTCCTCGGTTGATGACGATACCGTTACTGTGGTAGTAGAGAAGGTTGTGCTCGTGATCATCTCGGTCGTGGAAGTGGTCGATCGAGCCGTCGGAGGAAAGCTACCGACGTCTCCGACTATAGTCTCCGTTGGTTCTCTCGTGTCCACGCTCTCTACCGTTCCTATCCCGACAATCTCGGGTGGTCGTTCGCAGTTCATATCTGCAAGTAGTTACGTTTTACGTCGTGTTTGAGCATTGGATTTTTATATTATATTTAGATTGTGAAATATCCTGCTGTAATCTTCGTAAATCGAAGTTAATTTTGAAATCGAGAAAATTAGAATTTTTTTAAATTTCTTAAAGATTTATACATTTATAGATTTTTTAAATTAAGTCAATAATATACAATAGATAATAATACAATAGATAACGGTATATAATAATATATTTTTTAATTCAGTTAGATTTTTTATAGATTTATATTTATAGATTTGCTTGATTAAGAGAATATTCAAATTTTCGAGTTGATAATGTTAAACCTTTAAGATTGATTGATTCATTCATTTTCTTTGAATGTGGAGAGAAGTGAATTTTCCAAATTAATTGCTGAATTTACCGTTGGGGTCGATGTTGTAGAAACTTTTGTCTTGCAACCTGTGCGGGCTGCCGCAGAATTGCGGCTTTCGCTCGCGGCTGGTGACCTGCAGGTCCCTTGTCTTGATCCATTCGACGATCCAGCGTAGCCTACAGTCGCAAATGAGGAACCGCCCTCCCAGACTCAGGCCGCGCAGGGTACCGTTCAGTCGAGCGAGAGCTTCTTCCGGTACTGTGGACAACGGGTTACCGTCGATCGCTAGCAGAGTAATCGACGGGTTCCTTTGAAAGGCATTGACCGGTAGTTCAGTGATCAGGTTGAAGCCGATGTCCAGTACCTGTAAAACATCGATCATTTTCGCGATAAATTCACTTCATTATCACGAAGAGGCAACGGACTGGTCAGAAAAACGCGTAACTAGTGAAAGATTCGTAACGTGCTTTGTGATTTGTAGAAAATTGGAATATTCACAATTTGTTTGAAGCAATTGCGTTTTTATAATTGATCCTCTTAACTTAAAATTTCCGCAATTTCTTCCTTATTTGCACTTACTCTGAGATCATAGACGCTGTTGATGGCAGCCGTCGGAAAATCCGGAATGAGGTTGTTCAACAAACTCAAGGAACTCAGGGTGTTCTTGATACCGAAGAACGCGTCTGGGCCGATACTCTGTATGAGATTCCTCTCGAGATTCAGTCCCGTGAGAGAATCGAGACCTTCGAAGGCTTTTGTGCCAGAAGTGCCAGGTAGTTCGCGTATGCTATTCTGCGAGAGATCGAGGAAGGCCAAAGTGCTGAGACCCCTGAGCGCGTCTGGTACCTTCTTCTGCCGCGTGCCTTTGAGATTGAGGTTCTTCAGTGTCCTCTCCAAGCCGCGGAACGACCCGGCGGCGAGAGTGACCTCGTTATCGGAGAGTTTCAACGTGATCAGCTTGGTGCCAGCGAAGGCGTTCTCGTTCACCCTAGTGATCCTGTTCATCGAGAGGTCCAGCACAGTCAGGTTCCTCAGGCTCTTCAGATTGATGCTGGGTATCTCCGCAAGTTCATTGTCCTTGAGATTCAGACTCCTCAGATGGTTCTCCTGGCCCTTAAAGGCCTCGGGTTCGATAGTGCCGATGTGGCAACCGGATAGTTGTATGTTGTTGATCTTCAGGGCGGCGAACGAGCCGTTCCTCAACACGCCGATCGTACTGTTGTTGATGTAGAAGAGATCGACAGACGTCTTGGCGGCGAAACGTCGCATCGCCGACAGCAGTAGCTCGTAGTCCACCACGTCGCACTGCACCGAGAGCTCGCGCGCCAGGTTGTAGTCGCAGATGCAGGAGCTCTCAAGGTCCACCACGTGCTGCGCCCACGGGCAAGCGGACGTCGCCGCCACGACGACGAACGCTCCCGTCAACAGCAACAACAGCTCCGTGGAAATCGTGTCTGAAAGGATTAATCGCGCGTAAATTCTCTTTTATTCCCTTTTCTCGCGCGCGAGGCAAGTACGAGGAAGAAGCGTTGCAGAGACTCGAGATCGATAAATTCGATGAGATTACCGTTAATCCCTGATTCTTGTTTCGCGCGGAACGCGGACGTGACGTTACGATTTTCGCGTGCGCGAGTCAGCCTCTCGTCGAGTTCTCTCGAGTAACGCAGGGAAGGCATCCTTATAGAAAAAGCGTCGATTCCTTTGGGCGCACGTGGGTAGACACGCGATTACGAAACATGTTGTAATACTCGTTGGCTTGTGCATTCTCGCGATTATGTGTCGCTTTTCATTATGATGCCTCTCGCACCTTCGCCGGAGCGCCTTCGCGGCGAGCCTCGGGACAGGACATTTCACAAACGCGAAATGCCATCCGGCGGTTTCTGCCGACGCTTTATTGTTGCACATAACACACAGGTCCGTGTATGCCCCGTCTCGTATCGAAGAAACGGAGCATGCGATTCCGCGTGTTCCTTTTTCACGTGACGTTCTATTAATCTCGGAGAAAATTCGCTCAGAGTTCGCGTCGGGAAAAATCCACATATCGTCCGCCCGCAAATATAATATTTTGCAAAGAAGTCTCCCTTTTTCTCTTTTTCTCTCGGATAGATTTTTCTCTCGCATGAAATGTTCTCGGTCGTGTTGACGCTGTCGAATGTTCCCTGAGAGAATCGAAATTCTCCCAAAACAACAATGAGTGCAATTGTCAGATCGCGGCGGTCGGATCTCGTGGAAATGACTGCATTTTCCCTCGTTCGTCATGTCCGTAGACGGCGGAGTCGTTACGGTGTAACGACGAGAGAACGATCCATTTCTCCCCATATATGAGCGGACGAAAACGCCCGTTAGACAGCGTGCGACAGCGAACCGGCGCGGCGCCGGCGGAACCTGCCGAATGTGAGCCGAAGACTAATTACAGGGTTGCGGGCAAAAAGATATTTCTCCGGAGGAGAAATCGCCGCGATACCCCCGCTGCTCTGCCGCTGCAATCGCCGTCAAGGAACGTTTAACACTAAAAACGCACCAGGTTCCATTCGCAGTTTAGATCTAGTTAACCTTTTCCGCGACAACTTTCCGGCAAATTTTACGACACTACCGGAAAAGATCAGGGGAAGAAATTCCGCTGGTCTCTCGAAACGCGTACAGTTACAGCGACAACGAGAAACTTATCATTACATCCGCATAGCTGTAATTATATTCGTCGAAGGCGCACGTGCAAGCCGAGCTATAAAATTCAAACGAACGCGTGCCGTTACGATATCGAACTCGAACGTTACGTTAGAATTCGATCCAAAAATTTTGCCGCGTAATCGGACTTTCACGGGAGAAATCCGCGGGAGCGCGGTCGATGATCTTAATGATAGTGTCGGATGTAATAAGTAAACGCAATAGTAATTGGCGAAAATGGTTTCCCATGACACAGACAAGTTCGAGCGCGAGAACGCTCGATGAATTATTGAATTATCTTCTCCATTCCAAGAACAATCTCTTCTTCGTGCACTTTAAAAAAGACGAGCGAGATTACCATCGGGAATTCCGTAATCTTTTCTCTGTCCTCGGGACTACAATCATACGTGAGAATGCGGCTTGAATTCGTCACGTAGTTTCCCCCAGCGTGACGCAACGATCGTTTCGGTATGACTAAACCTCCGGGGGCGAGTGAATGCAGACGGTGAATTTTAATCGAAACACCAGAGTGACATGTCAGCCGGCATCAGTCACGACACAGGTATAAATCCGCAGGAATCCACGCACCGCAAGGTGCGTGGCTATCGATAGCGAGATCGGGCCGAGGACACGCACATATCGTATCGCGCGTAACACTCCGGCCGTTGACTCGTAACGGGTTCGGACTATGGGCCTGGGTTCGTTCAGCGAGGCGTTCTCCAGGCTGGTCACGCCAGCTTTTCTTGCACGCTACGATTTTCCACGACTGTCGCGTCTCTCACAGCCGCTTCCAGCTGGCCCAATAACCTCCTCGATCTCTCTTCAATTCCGCTCGCCTTCATTATTTTATTCCTCTTCTTAACGAAGAGGTACTCGCGACCCTTCGAGATAATGCGAAGGAAGCTGAATGAAAGTCAAGTTTTGCTTCGAAACATCGAGAATCACATTGCGTTTTCTCTGTAACGTACAAAGGGACTCGCGAGATCCTCGAGCTGTCGGTTACCCTCCGTCGCGCGGAAAGTCGAATGAAAGGTTCACTCCCTTAGGCACATTAGTGCGTAGTTCTCAGCGGGTCGATGCACTACGCACCGCGCCTCGTGCGCCGCGCATACGCGGCGGTAATAACAACCATTCGGCAATTATATGTCGCGCCGTATTTCCGCTCCAGCATCTCGGGACGCATCGCGCGGCCGGAATTTTGAGAGACTTCTTTCTCTCCGCGATGCCGCACGACATCCGGCGGGTTGTCCGTATTACGTTACGTTACTCGCGCATCCCGCACGAGTTCCCGCGAGTGCATATCGTGCATCACGCTCGACGTGATTACAGCGGTGCATCGGTAACTGCAGCCTCGCTCGGTCGCGGACAGGTAGCAGTAAAGTAGGTTGAGTCTTTAATGCGAGACGTATTATTTCATTCTCGAGCGAAGGGAGTGCGCAGCGTCGCGTGGGCGCGACATCGGTCGCAGAGAGGAGGTCTTTGTCATTCGATCAACGTCACAAGATCCTTGTCATTCGATAAACTGATCGGCAGAAAACGGCGCTTGCGAGAGAATCGGAAGCGTCTTGTTCCGGGAAGAGAATTTCGCATCGAGAAAGTCTCCGTGTGTGTCAAGGCCGATGATCACGCGTCGCTCGTCGAAATATTTACAACACGGACGTCTCTCTTTTTCTGCAAAGAAGAAAGAGAGAAAAATTCCATTTTATAATACTCCCACGTGAATGAGACGCTTACAAAGGTGACTTTCCTCCGAGATTTCGCCGCTTATGCGATTTCCATTACGAGAACATTTAGTTCGAGGAACTACTTAGCGCGTCCGCGGTGTTAATTACAGGCGTTCGTACCGATTTCGCGTGTAATTAGCGAACAGACCTCGTCGCGGGATTGACTTCCTAGATATGCGTTCGCGTAGGCGCTCGCTCGTTCGCTCATTCGCGCGCGCGCGCGCGCGATATTGCGGCCATAAGGCGTAAAATCTGGGAAAACGGCTCACCTTTCACATTTTTCGCGCCAGCTTGCCGTGATTGCTCGCGATATCTCGCGATCGACTTCCGGATTAAAAAGGGTTCGTGACAACGGAGTCACCTACATGCGGCCTACAGGCGCGCTCGCGCACACCCCGACGCTGTCGAGGCCGACGAAAGGAACATTGCGGACCTTTCACTCACGATCTGATTGTTTCCGCGCAAATATGTAAACCTGCTCTTTCTCGATAAGCGGATGTGGCGCCTTCGGCGCGCGCTTTTTCCACCAGTAGGAAAAAGTTCCGGCAAGTTCTGACTGGGAAAATATAATGATAATCGTGGGTCGCGCGAGGGCAACGTCCAGCTTATGAGGTACATTTTTCTTCGTTGTGATCTCGCGATTCCCACGCGACTCGGTGGCGATGTTTCCAACTCGGCCAAGTTCCTCGATTCTTCCGCGCTCGTCTTCGCAGGTATACTCGATAGCTCGTATGATCGCGCGTTCGTGAAGAATTTTTAGAGCGCAGTGGCCGATTTGGGTCTCTTCGAGAATACGTGAGCGCGGGTGCGGGTAATGAATTAATTAAACTGGCCGCGTCGTTACGGCACCGGATCTCGGAACACTTGTTAATGGGAGCACACGGCCAGTTAGCGTTGCCGCGTGCTCTTATTATCGTTAACTGTAGCGCACGAGCTTCGCTACCGATTATTGTTCGCTTCTATCGCGGGCGATCCGCAGGCGAGAGGGAAGCCACCGCGGGAGTCCAGCGACGTAACCGCCGACCGAATCGCGGAACGTCGACAATCAATCCCGACAATCGCGCTTCCGCACCTCAGCGTATAATTAATAATTTTTATTGCCGCGAATATCCTGAATTCGAAATGATGAGCGCGTGCGTCCAATTACATTTGCTTGAACGACGCACACGCCTTGCGCGAGAGAGTGCGTCTCGCTCACAGTGTCCAGGTCCGGGGATAATCTCGACTCACAGACACACAGGTGCCTAATTACGCGGTCAAGCCGCTGAGACAATTAACTCGTAACGGGCGCAATTAGTAGCTGCGCGCGGCGGCGATCGGTGATCCGCGCGCGAACGTAATCAGGGTATGACCGGACGAACGATCGCCCGCTTTGACTTCCTAGGCGTCAGCGACCTTGTTCGCCAATGACGGTGAGTGAATACGAAGAGGTGAGCGGACGATTCTTCGACATTCTAACGGTACAGCTTTTCCGAAATGGAGACGTTTCCTCTTGACGACACGCGGCGTCATCGCAAATAATCACTGGGCGAAAGCTCTCGCTCGGCTTGTTCCTGAGGAACCCGTCCACCACCGTCGGTACCGAATCGCTCGATGTTACAACATCCTCCGAGTGAGACCGGCTGATTGGATAACCTTTCGCCAAAGAATGCGACCGATCGTTCCGGAGAAATCGCGGTGGAATGCGACGCTCGGCCGGGCGCGGATCGGCAAGGGCGATCAGCGTCCTCGCTCAGAGAAGGTCGGAAGCTGGCCAAAGAGGCAGCTAGGACTATAGAAAGAGGGAGAGAAAGAGGCTCTCGAAGGGGAGAATTGCGGAGAACGGTTGATGTCAATTATCTCGTTGTCTTGTACGACTCGACACGCGCGGCCGATCGATCCGGTCGTCTGTCTCTCATAACAATCGGCACGAACGATCCCCACGTCCATGGTGATTCCGGATCGCCGCGGTTTTGCTCGCAAAGCGGCGTTTCCGCCGATTCACGTGGCGCATGTCGGCGCGTGCAGCAATAAGGTGCACGTGCACGGGTGCACCTATACTCGCCGAGGAATCTGATCCTTTCACT